GCCCCCCCCCCCCCCCCCCCCCCCCCGGGCCACCTCTGGACCACCAAAATCGCCAATATTCAGAAATTGTTATTTAATTATAGAAAGATACTTATAGCTTATAAGTTTTATCATTAAATAGCTTATTACTTATAGTATTTTTAAAAAGTATTAAAAGAAGTCTAATTATTATATAGAGACTAAATTCTTAAAAATAAAAACTTTTTTTATTTTTAATAGTTTTACTAAGAAATTATATAGAAAAATGTTAAAAGTCTTTTTTAAAATATCTTATTAAGAAAAGTTAATAAAAATATTTTAAAAATTTATTTTATTTAATTATATAAGTTATTTATAAAATAAATTATTAGATTATCTCTATATAATTTATATTAATAAGATTTTTAAAGAGCTAAAATTTACTAGTAAAAATAGAAAAAAAAGTAGATAAAAGTACTAAAAATAATAATATCTTTATAATAGAATTAGATATAATTTTATCCTTTATATATAATTATATTTAATTTATAAGGGACTTATTGATACTATTTTTAATTTTATAACTATTTTATCTATTAAGATAGTAATATTATAGGGTTAGGGTTTAATATAGGAAAAGTCCACTTTTAGATGGTCCGGAGGGGGGGTGGTCCAAGATGTGGGCCTCCGACTTACCTACCAAAAAATAATACAAGGCAAAGCCACCCAGCTGTCCTTCTCAATCCTCTCTAGGCTAGCCTTTATCGCATCTTCTACCTACAACACCATGGCTCCGCAACATCCTATCGAACCATCATCTCCTTTTCAGGATGATGAGAATGCGGAATTATTTTCTGCAGTGTCATCTGTGCTCAAGAAGGAGGAGTTACCTCGCCTTGGAAGCACCGTGCTGCGGCGCCGCATGGGCTTGCAGGGCCCATTCACAAGCACGAAACCTGCGGTCGGCGAGCCCATGTACGGCTCTTTTCATGTCATCTTCCCTCTCATCTTCGCGGACGGCCTTCGATGGGCCGTAAAGATCCCGATCAATGGCACAGCAGCATCCTGGGACGCGGCATCTGCTTCAGCTTTGGTCTCCGAGGCCAAGACGATGCGCCTGCTCAAGCGAGAGACCACCATTCCCTTACCTGACGTTCTGGACTTCTCCTCAACCGTTGAGAACCCTCTTCAATGTCCTTATATCATTCTGTCATTTATCGATGGGAAGCCATTATACAACGTCTGGTTTTCAAATCGACTCAAAGGCGACAACCCTGAAACCACCCATCTACGCCGCGTTCGTGCCCTTGAAACTATCGCCTCGGCAATGCTACAGATGAACAAATTTTCTTTCCAGGCCTGGGGCTCTCCTCGCTTTGATGAGGCCGGAGACATCTCAGATATCGGGCCGCTGCGCACAGTAGATGAGAAAGCGATGCTCGATCGATGGTTCATCCATAAAGATCCCGATGATAGCCCGATATACGTCCAAGTTCCTACATCTGGCAACCCCTCTGCATACTACTCTCACATGCTTGATCTCCACCCTGGCCAAAGTCCTTTCCTGAAGGGCGTTGAGTTGCTTCTTCGTCAACTTATCAGCTGGATCCCCGAGCCCGACGGGATGGATCCCTTCGTTCTCAACCACCCCGATTACGATATTCAGAACTTCATCGTCTCGGACGAAGGCGAACTCGTGGGGGTCATTGACTGGGATGGCGTTGCGGCCACGCCTCGTACTCTCGGCAATGAACGATATCCCGGGTGGCTCACGCGCGACTGGGACCCAGCCATGTACGGATGGACAGAAGCTATGGAGTCAGGAGAGGAGCCTGAAGGTGTCTGGGAAGACTCTCCTGAGACTCTGAGGCGCTATCGTGTCATCTACGACAATATAATGGCAAGGAACCGTGCGGAGAGTGGCCACAGCCCCGGGCCTAATTTCTGCCGAATGTCCCTCGTAACAGACAATCTCGCCATCGCGGCAGACAACCCTCGGTGCCGAGATGCGATCCTACGGAAAATGGTGCACGAAATATGGGTCGCAGCGGGAGAAGATTCAGAGCCACAGTTCCTGGACCTGGTTGAAATGTTTGCTGATGAGGACGTGGACGTGGCTGTGTTGGAGACATTGCGGCATGGGTTTGCCGCTCTGCTGACCAAGGAGGGTTTATAAGATGTGGTCATATAGGGACGGTGATTCTTTTCTAGCGTTTTCCAGGCTTTTTCAAAGCATAACATACATGCTACTATCACCCAGCGTTCATGCGTCAAGCATCAACACTTCCGGATGACCATGAATACGTAGCTCCAGTCAAGGTGCGATTGGTCAACTAACTTTATCTCGTTACAAAAGTTGTAGCCCATCTACCTGCCATCACTGTCTTACAGCCTTACTGTCTTCCTCAAACTTTTGTTCTGTCTCTTGGTTAGGTCAGCTGGGGCCTTTAGCATTCCATATTATTCTTCGCCTCAGACTCCAACATGTGAAGTTTTGCGCTCCGCAAACACACTCTCCGAGCGCATCCGAGCCTCGGCCTGAGCTACCGCATGCTCCCAATCCGAATTGTAAAGATAGACAAGTTCAAGTGCAGAGACCCTATGACAGTGTTCAGTATGATTAATCTGCAGAGGTGATCGTGAGTGAATATGGTATAAAGGACTCACACCACTAAGCCCGACGTCAACCCAGCCCACAAGCCGCTCAACTTCCAGCCAAGGACGAACGCAGTCGACAGCGACACCGGAAGTGCCACAACGTAGTACGAGAACAGGTTGGCGTAGCCTCCGATAGCCTGTCTGCCGACGCCACGCAGGATGCCGTGCGACACAGCGGCGAGGGCGTCAAAGATCTGCATGACCGCGCAGACTAGGATGACCTGCGCGACGATCTCGACGACTTCGCTGTCATCTGTAAAGACGCGCGGGAGATGGTACCGCAGAGAAGCAAAGATGGTCAGGTTGAAAAGTCCTACTAGGAAACCTGCGATCACGGCCTAGTATCGACCAGGAGGTGTCAGCAATGGGATGGGGAGGATGATACATTAGTATGATTTGGACTACATACCACTTTTGCTGTCTTTCGAGCTGCCTCACTGAGGTGCGCCCCGATGAGGTTGGCGACTCGGGTGGAGGTCGCGATGGCCAGTGGGAAAGGGATATTGAACGAGGTCGATGTCACGGTGACAAGCACGCTCTGCGCTGCAAGCTGCGCTGTGCCAAATTGGCCAGCCGAAATGGTCAGGATCTCCAGCACAGAGAACTGAGCCTCAATCATTATCATCCCCGGTAAGGCAAGTTTGATCATGGGACCTTCAATGTTGCACTCAATTAGCCAGCATCACTCACGAAATCACAGGCCCTGCTTACCCCAATTTGTAAAAGCCTTCTTGCTGAACCCCTTCCAGCACTCCGAACCTTCGAAGAGTCGCACGTAGATAGCGAGCAGGACGGGCAGCAGGTTCTGCGTCACAGCCATGGCAGTTGCGGCTCCGGCAAAGTGCCAGCCAAACTTGAAGACAAAGAGCCAGTTCTGAAGAAAGCTCAATGGCGCGCCGATGAGCAGGGTGTATGTCGTCGCGTGAAACAGGCCTTGTGACTGCACAAAGCGCTTCCCACTCTCGAACGCCGCGACACCAGGCATACCGAGAATCAGCACACGTAAATACAAGGCGGCGAGAGATGCCGTCTCGGCATCTGGAACGAGGCGTGTCAGGATCGGTTCGGAGAACCACCAGAGAATAGCAATGGGGACCATCAGCGCCCAGAGAATCCAGGTCATGCGTTGTGCTTGGAGCCCGACCACGTGTTTGTGGCCTGAGCCGTAAGCTTGTGCACACAAGGTGTCGAGTGCTGTAGCAAGGCCTTGAACGGGAACATATGCGGTGATACTAGCTGTCATTGTTGCCACTATAATATGAATGAGTTCTTTAATATTCCATAACCAAGAACTCGATGGCCAAGGCCAAGACTCACAGTTAACAGCAGCAAGCTCAACCATGCCGAGACGGCCGACGGTAAGGACGCTCGCAATGGTGACCGAGTAGTGCAGGAGGAACGTCACTATCAGTGGAGCGGCATATTTGACGAGCGTCATGGCCTCTCGCTGCCAGGTTGTCTTGATGATATGGGCGGCGACGGCCTCCTCCCACCGCTCGTGAACAATTTCGACAGCCGGCGTAGTGGGCGTCAGTGCTCCCGCATCTCCTTCGGCCCGGTGTAGCAATGGAGTCGTCTCGTATGCAACTTCTGCAAAAGCCGGAGCTGGTTCCTCATGGTCGCGGACCTTGGTACTGAAGAGGCCCCGGTACATGCGGTCAACAACGCTACCCCTTCGCCATTCGTGCGATGGCTTTGAAGGAATGATGTCATTGTCTCGAAGGAGATCAACTTCGGCACGGAAGGAATCCGCCACTTCGTGAGGATTGGGTACATGAACATCCATTCCCGGAAGGGGGATCGTGGAATAGCCGGACCCGAAGGCCACCCCCGTTGGATGGAAAGCCAGTCTCACATCTGCCGGCTCGTGGTCGGGAGGGGTATCAACAGACTCTTCTTGTGGCTCATCATCGTCGGAAGAAGAGCAGTCCTCGATATCGTGGTTCAGAATTTCCTGGGCAATTGGGGCGGTAGAAATGAAAGAGGGAGGCAAATGAAGGCTCGATGGGATGATATCCGGCATGATGGAATGGCGGCGGCCACGACCACTGGGAACGATGTCCACGGCCGTGGAGCCGTGTTCGGATTCGGATGCAGGCATTGCGAATGGGGTGTTCGCTGGTAAGTTTTCCTATTGCCCAAGAGAGCCGCACTTTGTGCAATATTTGAAAAACTGAAAGACATAGCTTCCAATTTAAAGAGGAAACACCCAGATAAAGAAGGATCAAAGATGGACTGGACAACGGCGCCGCTATGCCAGCGCGGAAAGAATGCCCCGGCATCGTACAAAGTGAGTAACCAAGTAGACAGCCTTGATGACAAGCGACATCATCTCCGCCATTCGTTGGGACAAGCTGGTGGCACAAGAGATAACGGTGAGTGAAAAGGTGGTGTACGAACTGGGAGATAACCGGTCAAGATGGCGAATCACAATCGAGGACTAGCAACGCAGAGCAGTGACGCCATCCTGGCCTAACCACCCATTCCTTGATTTCCTTACTATTTTAGCTCTGATGCAGCTGTTCCCTCCCAGCGTTGTTTGATGGCGCTGAAATGTTCGCCTCTTTGCATGCATGAGGTGCTGAACACGGGGGAGGCTTGACTGGCGGAGGGTGCCGTGGCGGGAGCTTGTGCGTTAGCGGTGCTGCACAGTTGTCACCGAGATGCCTAGTCGCACACCTTTGCGGCCACGCTGATCCCGCCGATCACGACGGGCTCTAACCCCAGAGATAACCAACCCACCAAGTTCATGAATGGGGTTGTGTAGCGAGTGGCGGGATTTGGCATTTACCAGGGTTCTGTGGGGTGAGACACATATGCAGATGTTGATGATGAAATTAATATGATGAAATCTGGGTCGTTGCTGTTACCGCCGGGACTAGATGCACACTACCTCCTGAGCTATCGTCAAGAATAGGACATTGTCAAATGGATCCGTTATGTTGAGTGGCGATGTACCTTCTTACCCACGCTGCGAGTTCGCCCCAGCCACCACCGGTGACCTTGACCTAGCACTACGGAGCTGCTCCATCCAGACCACTGTGCAGCTTGTAGCCAAACTTCACACTCGGGTCATTAAATCGGGCCTTGCAGTCCAGTCGTTCAATCTTGTCGAGGTCCTCTTGGTCAAGGGTAATCAGCCCCGCCTCCGCATTCTCCCTGATCTGCCACTCTATTGTGCTCTTTGGGATCACGGAGCGCCCATTCTGAATCGCCCAGGCGAGCGCGATCTGGATCGCCGACCGGCCGTGTTTCTTCGCGACTTCGAGCATGACCGGGTGGTGGACTAGGCGGGTCATCCTCGCACTATCCTTCGCCCTTGATGCTTCACTATAGAAAGGGTTCAGATTCGCGCAGGGGCTGAACTGGACGATGCGAATGCCCTTCTCGTTCAGCCAGCTGGCAAACTCGGGTTGCTGCAAGTACGGGTGCATCTCCATTTGGTGAACGGCTGGAACCTATGGAGCCCTAGGTGAGTGGTATGGACGACACATAGGGCAGCTTTGAAACGAGTTGCTCACATACCACGCTCCCTTCTTCTAGGAGTCGCTCGATCTCGGCCTTGCTGAAGTTGGATACCCCAATGGCTCTCGCCTTGCCTGCTTTTACGAGCATTTCCATCGCCCTCCACGTGTCGACGAAGTGTATCGACGGCTCCGGGATCAACTTGCCATTCTCATCGAAGGGTAGCAGCTCTGGACCCCGTTTGAAGGCACACGGGAAGTGCATTAAGTACAGATCGACGTAATCGGTACCCAGAGCCTTCAAGGACTCATCAAGCGCAGGTTCCACATCATCCGGGTGATGCGCGTTGTTCCAGAGCTTGGTGGTGAGAAAGATCTCTTCCCGAGGGACGCCACTGCGTCTTATACCCCGACCGACCTGCCTTTCGGTACCATAGCTATGCGTTCGTGTTAGTGCAAGCCACGAAGGGGATTAAAAGTTGAGCGGCATACAAATACGCCGTGTCTATATGGCGGTAGCCGCATTTCAACGCCGTGTAGACCGCCGTTTCCTGTTCGTCAGGATCTTGGAATGTACCCAGCCCGAGCGCAGGCATGATATAGCCATTGTTCAATTCAAGGACTTTGCCTTTGTATCGGGCCAGTCTGGTAGACATGGTGACGGCAGGGGGGTATGAAGGTGGTATCAAGTCGATTGGAAAGACGTGCAGCTTGAACTACTGCACGGTGCTTGGTTGGGGAGGACAGCAGCAGATTGGGAGTGGACGGGTTGCGAGAACATAGACCACATCCTCCCGTCATACTTCTTCGTGTTTGGGAAGTTGCTTACGTCCTCGTTGCTTACATCCTTGTACTTTATGGCCTCGCATTTCATGTCTTTGTGAAATGCGAGGACAACCTGGTGATGGAGCACGTCATTGGACGCCGAGCACTGCTCACATCCAAGTCTCCGGGGCAGAGCTCATGTAAGCGGGCACGGTACTCAGGAGGACCAACCGATATCCATCAAGTGATCGAGATGTCTAGTGGTACGTACAGATGGCTATCACCGAGATATATTTTGATCTTCTTCTCGGCGGACTCGCGATTCCGACCTACGCAATAGACATCTTCATCCCGCCGTTGGCACAGACGACACTGCCCGTGGTCCAGCCGGCCTCGGCGCTGCAGAGCATGTCGATGGTCCCCGCGATCTCGTCGGTAAACCCGGGCCGGCGGCCGCCCATGGCCTCGCGGACGAGCGTGTCAAACTTGTCTTCGGACCAGGCGCCCGCGCGGGCCTTGACCTCGGGCTCGCCGTGGTACTCGGCCAGCGGCGTGCTGTCGCAGTAGGGCTGGTTGATGTCCCAGAACGCCTTGCCGGCCTCGGCGTACATGTCGCCCCAGGCGGGACCCGGGTTCACGGCGTTGACGGTGGCGCGGGCGGCCAGCTCGCGGCTCCAGCTGCGGGTCATGGCCTCGACGGCCGCCTTGGTGCCGGCGTAGACGGACTGGCCCTGGTAGCCGATGGAGGACGAGACGCTGGACACGTTGACGATCCTTCCGGAGCGGTCTCGGGGCAGGTACGGAGCGAGAGCCTGCGTGAGGAGCAGAGGGGCCAGGACGTTTACGCTGTAGACGCGGTTGAACTCGGCCTCGTCGATGGGGCCCAGATTGGTGTCGTTCAACTGCTGGTTCGACGACACGCCGGCGTTGTTGATGAGGATGTCGACCCGGAACCCGGAGTTGGGTGTGGCGTAGGAAGCGAAGAACTCCTTTGCGGCATCGAGCACTTTCTCGACTGCGGTTCCGGCGTGCTGCAGGTTAGCCTGTACGTAGGAGCACTGGACTTGGTGCTTCAATGATAGCTCGGTGCAGAGTGCTACAGTTCGCTCGGTGGACTTGTCCGAGGTGTAGACGATTAAGACGTTGCAACCCTTGGCAGCGAGCCTTCTAACAACAGCCTCGCCGATCCCTTAGGGGGAGATAGGCGTTAGCACAGTTGATAAATCCTGCGTCCGAAGTGGAAGGTTTCTGACCTCTTGATCCTCCCGTCACGATGCCCAGCTTGCCTTTATAGGGCTGAAATGATGTCATATTTGTGAATCTGGGCAGTAGGCACTTGTGCTTCAAAGCCGCAAGTGTTGCGTTGCGCTGATGGCCTTGTCAACCCAAGAGGTGAGTCGTATTGGCACCCGCGATCTCGGACTTGATGCTCATGTGAGGTTTACTTCCCACGACCAACTCAACGACGGGATGTCTCTGGCCAAGGCGGGGTTGGGAGCCACAGTGTCCCGCTACTTGACGGAGTCGCCCCGCGATGTCGGTGCTCGGCGTGGCGCGGAATGGCCGAAAGAGGAAGTCCGCGATTTCATGTTGCTCGTGGTCAAGCAGGTGAGGTTCTGCTCTCAAAAGAAACTCCCATTTTCCAACATTCCATTTCACCTGGGATGTGTCTCCAGACAGAGCTGGTGCTCATGGTACGGATATCACCTCAACAGACAGTGTACGAATAATCATAGCATTTACAGTCTGAGCTCACCCCCCACACCCATCCCTTCGACCAGACTTTGCCCATACACGCCAAGACACCCTTTCCCCTTTTCCCCTTATTAACAACGGCTCGCTTCCTTGTGCGCCTACGCACCACCAATGACGATCGGCGCCACTGGTCGCATCTGCTTTGCCGTTGAGCTACTTGTATTATGTGCTGAACGTCATGCTCCCAGAGCTGCGTGCATTTGATGCCATCGTATTTCCTAGCACTAGACTACGGTGCACCTGCACCATGGGAAGCGCTGAAAGACCTGACACCTTGTCTGCGACAGGTTGTGATAGGTTGAGAGTGCTGATACTCCCCGTGGCGCATGTCAGAAGCTCCTGGTCTGGTTCATTCTTGATAAGCTTAAATAAATGAGGGACGTCAATCTAACTACCTAAAGTAATTTCTTCTTATCTACAACAATGAAATTGTAAAATGGCTAAAATGATGCAGGTGGCTGCCCATGTGGGCCAATCCAGTTCCAAAGGGGCAGTGTGTCTTCTGCACTTGGTGAAAAAATTCAGAGGCGTGAGAACCCTCATCCATTGCCATTGATGGACAGACCCTTGGACCCTGGGCCCTTGTTTTTTAGCCGCTGATTTAGGGCTGGTGGGACCCCTCAACCCCTATTTCTTGTCCCCGATCTGACATTTTACTGTACAAACCAAGAACGCCAAGTCACACTAGGTGCGCCAACGCCGCCTGTGCCTTCCTCGGAGTCGAAATTACACAACCGAGTAGGGATCTTTTTTCTCTTCCGGGGCAATTCTGTCATCATGGCCTCCCCCACACGCCTGTACCTGGCTCTCTTTCCTTTCATGTGTCTGCTCGCCCAGCCTGAAGAGCCACCGTCGCGCTCTTCGCGGTCAAGCACACGCACAGCGACAAGGTCAACCAACATCCGAGTCTCATCGTGAACCATGGCGAACCTCAGGTGTGCTGTGCCCCCAAACTATTTGCGGTTTGGGGTAGTCGCCCTGGTTCTCGTCCTTCTCGGTCTCTGGAGCCAGGCCTCCTTTCCCGGCGTCGTGAGTCTCCCACCTCCCTGCGCAAACTGTCCCAGCAGTCTCATCGCGCCTGTTCTTGCGGCAGTCAATTGACAAACTCCATAATTAGCCCGACAGTACAGTCTCTCGAATTAAGAGTTCGTGGCAGTCGGTAAAAGGCGACCCCTTGCGCCCGCTCGTCGTCTACGTCTACGCCGAGAACGACACCGCACGTCCCAACCTGGAGTTCTTCGTCAAGCAGGGCCTGCACGCTAATGCAGACTTCCTCTTCGTTTTCAACGGCGAGACCAACATGACCCAAGTCATACCCGATCACCCGAACGTGCGGATCAAGCAGCGCGACAACACCTGCTACGACCTCGGCACCCTGGGCGAGGTGCTCCAGGAGGATGACCTGTGGAAAAAGTACAAGCGCTTCATCACCATGAACGCCAGCGTTCGGGGGCCTTTTCTACCCGTCTGGAGTCAGGCATGCTGGACAGACCTCTTCCTCGGGAGGATCACAGACAAGGTCAAGGTATGGCTTCGGACTTCCCCCGCTTCTTTTGGGGTTTCGAGTCGTGCAGCTATCGGCTAACCAGGCAATTTCAGCTCGTCGGTACGACAGTGAACTGCGCTCCCAAGAACCACGTCCAGTCCATGGTCTGGGCGACTGACGACGTGGGCATGGGCATCCTCCTCGACCCCAAACTCGCCTACACCTCCACCGACGACGAGTGGGGGACCAAGGACGACCCCGTCGGGCTGAGCGGCTGCTACAACGAGTTCAAGAAGGCGGTACACTCCGAGGTCGGCAGCACAGGTCTCATCCTGTCGCAGGGATACGAGGTGGATGTCATGATGACTTCGTTCTCGACGGAGAAGGGCATCAGGGAGTACTGCCGGTCGATCGAGGGCGTCTACGACGTCCAGTACGACAAGCACTACTTTGGCATCAACCTCCACCCCTACGAGACGGTCTTTTACAAGACCAACCGCGGCATCGACCCCACCGTCGTCGACAGGTTCACCGAGTGGCAGACGAAGCGCGGGTTCAGCAGTTGGGAGCTTTGCAAGCGGTGATGATGAATTTTTATAGAACGACGCATCTGATGGTGTAGGGCGCATGTGAGAATTATGTGCATTTGGGGTCGCATTAATTGCCGCGCATTGAAGCAAGCCTCGAATTGTTGTAGTACGCGGCATGGCAGTATCTTGGAACGCGGTGTCGGAAATCCTGCCGCCAGAGTTATGTTTAATATACCCCATCCTCGACTTACTTGTTAACATCAAGCTTCCATCATGTCTGACTGCCTGGGAAGGATTTGGTGCCGGCTTTGGTCAGTCCAGGATCGGTGTTCCCGCCTCTGAAAATGTTTGCTGCAAAGCTTACCCCCAGGCCGAACTCCGGCCCGGGCGATGCAGGGGCTACGGGGATCTTGCGCCAATGACTCGAGGCAGGGCCCCCTTTAATGATGCCAAAACATCAAAATAGGGTTATTTGGAGCGAACATTTGCGGGTGCATCCGCGAACAGCGCAACCAATTGGGGTGTGATCTGCATCACGGATGACTTGAGCAGCCCCAGCTGGCCCTGACCGCCACCGTAACGACCCCAATCAACGGGCGCCAGCACGAGATGACGGCAGAAGCGTCTGCTCATGCTATTGCCATTTTTAGAGCCGTGCGAGAACCCTTGGAGTCTCAAGGGACCATTGAATAGGATAAAAGGCCCCTTGACTCACTGAGCTTCAAAGGCACCCGTCTTCCGTTCTCATCCCCCAAACCCACCCCTTTGGAGTAAGACCTGCCATCTCAAGATGGGATTGTTCAAGAGAAAACCGAAGAATGACAATGCGCCCTCATTCAGCGACCCGGTCGTCACATACAACATCACGCAGTCCCTGAGCGGCAAACTGACCGTGTCGCCGACCCCGTCCTCCTACCAGCCGTACAGCATCACGCTCGCCAAGCAGAAGGGACGCCGCGACGCCATCAAAGTGGCCGTACACCACTCCTCCCCCGCCGACGGCAGTAATCAGTCGCCGCTCTCGAGTGGCGGCGAAGACGTCGGGCACTGCCTGATACACGTCGTCAGGGGCAGGTTCCTCGACTGCCGCCTGGGCGACGGCACCGAGGTGCGGATCAAGCGCGACGGGCGCCGCTCTTCGGCGTCGTACGGCCTCGAGACCGTGGGCGGCGGGCACCGGGGGTACCGGGGGTACCGGTGGGCCCACGACGACGAGGCCCTGGGCTCGGCGGACAGGCTCCTGAAGCTCGAGGACGCGGACGGCAGCGTGGTGGCGCGCTTCGGCGGCGCCGACGCCGGGATGTCGGAGTTCGGAGTGCTGGAGATCTACGACGCGCGGGCGGCCGGGGACCAGGTCCTGTGCGGGCTGCTCGTCATGACGGGCGTGTGCGTGTATGCCAGGGAGGAGCGGAGCAGGGAGAGGAGGAGGAGGGTGAATGATGCTGTCGGGAACATTAGCAACTGGGGAGGCTTGCTGGCTCTGGGTGCATGAGCGTCTGTTTACTTGGATATGTTCTATACCCACATCCTCGCCCTTGCCACGCTGAGAGGTTCACTATTTCCTATGCTGTGCTATGCTATGCTAATTGTACTCGGGCATCGAGCCTTATGCCTCTTTCTGCTCCTTCCACCTCGGACTGTTCTTGAGGAGCATTGTGGTATGCGGGACACCAAAGAAGTCGGTCTCGCCAACGGTTTCGAACCCGCAGGTGTGGTACAGTCTCACGCCGGCCGGGGTGCCGACCAACCAAGCGTCTTTTGCTTGACTGGCCGCTTCGTCCACCCCCCACTGCATCAGCTGCTTGCCGATGCCTTTGCGGTGATGCGCCGGATCTACGCAGAGGAAGGCGAGATCTAACAACCTCGGCGTTAGCGGATATCCCCTTCCAGCGGGTTTCGAAGGAAGGTCTTACAGTAGGCATCATCCTTCCCCTCCTCACCAAGCACCTCGATGGCCATCTTCTCCATCAGCTTCTTGACCTTGGCGAACAGCTCCATGTCGACGCACTTGATCGACCGCTCGTACGCCTCGACCCCGACGAGCTCCTTGGCCCGCTCCTCGAAGCCCTCCTTTGTCTCCTCGTCCAGCTCCCACTCGCCCTTGGGGAGGTCCCACATGTTGAACCCGACGACCACCTCTCCTTCTTGTCCTCCCCCCTCGCCGCCGTCCCCGTCCCCGCCCTTCTCGACGGCCACGAAGATCGCCGCCGAGGGGTCGTGGATCCGCCTCGCCATGCGGAACTTGCGGCACGTGATCTGCGTCGTGAGCTCGTCCTGCTCCGTGGAGGCCAGGCGCGCCGGGTAGATGGCGCTGGAGATGGCGTCGCCCATGAAGCAGGCCGCGTTGATGCGGGCGATGGCGTCGAGGTCGGCCGGCGTGGCCCGGCGGATGTGGATGGGCATGATGGATGATGTCCTTTCCGTCTCGGTCTCTGGCGCTGGGGTTTTTTTTTGTATGGAGAATGAATGCGGTGGCGGGGAAACGAGGGCTCAAAGTTGTGAGGGGGGAACTACGGGGGCGGAGGGGGAGAAGCTTGACAGTGATAAGCTTTTCAATTGAGCTATGCGATGCGTCTGCCTGGATGAATTCGACACATCGTCGTCAAGACTTATGTCGGGGGCCTGGAGGTGGATACCGGAGAACGGGGCACTAGGCCGCGAAAGGCAGGCCGTTGCGTCAAGCCCATAAGATACCTAGGTAAAATGTGTCGAATCTTGGGCGTGAGGCGGGGCTTGGCGCCGCGTGGCTATTCATCGAAATGCTGCAAGTCAGACAGGGCCGGTGACTCATCCGGAAGTGCTTTCGGACTTCGCGATAACGCTCAACCGGTGTTTCGGCATGACTACCGGCATCACGAGATTAGGAAGGTATGATTGGGAATGGTGCATCGCTGGGAAGGCTAATACCAGGCGGGGGGGGGGGGGACTATTTACCAGTTGTTGTCTCCGTTGGCAGAGGCTTTTTAAATCTGTGCTCTGTGTATAACAATTCGAAACCAGTTCTGAGTACTTCATATCAACCAACAGGATAAACTTGGCTCTAGTAAATATACATATTCAGTTACCTCTCTCTTTGGCCCCCTTCCTCTCTTCCCCCCCGTTTCTCTAAGAAGAGAAGTACCTGCTCATCAATTGTTATGACCTGAGGTTTTGGTGCATCTATTCCCCTATCTATTCAATAAGCTGGTCCTCGGTCTCCCTAGTAGGTACAAGCCAAGTACCACTGTAAATTAGACACAGTTGAAGAGACACAATGAACACAAGGCAAATACACACTTGGTAAGAATTTATCTGGATTTCTCACTCCTGGAACCCAAAGCCAATCTAGACGCAGTCTACGAATGATCATACCTCGTGCATATTCATGAGAATCATGGAAAGCCTTGCCAATCACGAAGAACCATGACAGTTATGTGGGTTTTAAAAGATAATACGGTGAATTTATACATTGAAGAATAATACTGAGCTAGAATGTGCTTGGCCGTGATCGAAATCCTTGAACACATTTGTTTACCAGCCGCCGCCAGCCTTCTTGAAACCAGGGTACTTCTCGGCGTTGTAGTCGAACCAGTTGGTGCCGTTGACAGACAGGTCGCCGTAGACGGGGCAGGCGAGAGCTCCAATCACGGGCTCGATGGCGGCAAAGATGAGGTCGGTGACCGGCTTCAGGGTTGCATAGATCGAGGAGAGGGCATTGGGAGAGACGGTCTTGACAGCATTGAGGGCAAAGCAGATCAGGTTGTTACCCTGCAGGAGGTTCTCCGCGTTAAGGACACCGCCCGCCAAATCGTTCAGGTTGATGCCGACGAAGGTGTTGACGCCGTTGGTGTTTCCACCGATGCTGTGAACACTGTTGTTAGCATCTTGCATGAGGTCACGGCGAGCGAGCTTCATTCTTCACGTACCTCAGAGTCTCAGGCGCGCTGTAGGTAATGATATCGAGGGCGTTAGCGAGGATCCCGTAGTCGGTGAAGTGGCGGCGGTAGAAGTTCTCGGGGATGCGCTCGTGGCCGACAATGTAGGTCATGTTGTCCTCAGGGCCATAGACGGAGAAGAAGCTCTTGAGGTTCTCCTTGTTGAGTCTGCCCTCGTCGGGGTACTCGGCAGAGCGATTGGCAACAAGGCGCGCCGTGAAAGAGTACGGGCTAGCGCGGACGAGCCAACCAGAAGCAGGGCCAAACCAAGCAAACGGGTTCACGGCGATGGTCTGGTGCCAGCGGTTCTTGTTGTGCTCGTACAGCACCTCAATGCTGTAGTTGGGGTCCTCAGCGTCCTTCTGCAGGTTGTACAGGTCCATGAAGTAGCTCATGTTCATGTTGTTGTTGTCGCCAATGGGGTCGTAGAGGTCACCGCGAGTCGGGCTGCCGTCGACCTCAAAGAAGGGGTGGCAGCCGTCGAGGCCACGGGGAGTGCCGAGCAGGCCGAGGAGGTTGTTGTTCATGAACTTTGACCAACCGCCCTGTGAGACGGAGATCAGGTCACCTCCCAGGACGACACCAAGGGTCGTGAGGACAGCCGAGATATCGGGCGCCATACCCCACACCTTGGCCACAGCCGTGACGTACTGAGTCCACTGATCTTGTTGTTAGCATCGTACGTATAACTGTCAAATGTACGGGCATAGGCCCTTTCAGGTCAACTCACTGTGGCCACACCGTTACGAGGCAGATAGTTGTGATTTGCCAACGTGTTGAGACCAGGGCAAAGTCCGCGGACGTCACTATCGCGAACATTAGTCGATTGATCGAAAATTTGCAAGTGATTTTGATGACTCACCCGGCCTCCCAGTTGGGAGGTTTGAACTCGTGATCTCCGTGAACTGCAAGTGTTGATCGTCAATCAATGTCCTACCACGCAAGCTGTTAAAGAGCCACACATACCATCCACCAGCTGCTTCACCGGGTCAAACGGAATGTCTCTCTTGCCCAGGAAAGGGCAGTCAGGCGCCTGCGAAGCGTACTTCCGGATAACATCAGGGCTAATGATGTTGTGATAGTCTACGTCCCCTCTGGCGCCGAACTTGAAGGCATTGAGAGGAATCGGAGTGTCGGGGTCGATGTGAGGCAGGGCTGCGGCCTGCTTGGCGAGCAGGGCCACCGAACAAAAGGTAAAAGGCTTCATGTTGTTATTCACGACCGTCACACGCCTGTCTGTCTATCTGGGGCGAGACGAGCGTGGCAGAACACAAGCTTGGGGGAGTAAATGAGTGTGATGAAGATGCACAGAGAAAAGAGCGACTGCGAATGACAGAGCTTCTTTTAGTCATTGGACGTTGAGGAATGGCTCATCTTTATACGCCAATAGCATCCCGCGATGTTTCTGTCCGCATCATCAGGGCTGTGACATGCATGCCTGCTTCGCAAATTATCATCGCCGTCTTTCGACATCCCCGAGTGGATACGACAGCAAGACTGGGAAAGGACTCGGCATATCGGCCTCTGAATCCCTCTGTCAGCGTTTGACAGGTCGGCCCACACCTCCATACCAGGCTCTCTCAATCATTTCCAGGAGATATGTGCGGGTGGTACCGCTGCTGGGGGGGGGGTCAGAACATCTCCAAATCGGGTCGCGCCAAGACATGGCATTTGCCATCCGCGAGCGGGGAAGACAGATATGTCGCCGCCTCTCCCGTCGAGTGCCCGTGTGCTTGGTACTCGTTGGTACCTACCCTCACCGCCCCATCCTCTCCTAGTTGTCCCTATCCGGCACACCCTGCAGGTTGGATGGAGATTGGAGCCCAGGGGTGAAAGACACCGGTGGAGTCCGGTTTCTGCATTTCTTGCTTTTGAGAGGCTTCCCTGGTCTATGAACTGCTTCGGCAACCTTCTCAAAGAGGGAATTGATCGGTGTGGAAAATTTCAGAGTTGCGTCTGCTGGTTTGTCTCTTGCAGCTTGCATGGCCACCACGCCCTCTCTGTTCTTTCCCTCCTTTTCCCCTCTCCCTTTGTGGGCGTCTGGAGGGCTCTCATCCAGTCCCCAATATTGGAAACACATGAGCGAGCAATGGACTGTTGAGCTTTTTCGCCCCCAAGCAAGCCAGAACACGATACCTAGTCCCACGACTACGACAGTAGAATTATCGTAAGCTTGACAAGCGTATTTCCTCATCACAGTTCGCACTCTTCGGATTGGTTCGTGTAACAGGGGAGGTGTCAGTGTGACTAGCAGGGGACCCCGGGTAAAAGACTGCAAGCCGGGCAGCCTAGACAGGGGCATGATTACCACTGTTTCAACTGTAATTGAGCGAAGGCGTCACTGACAGGCCCCCCTGGCCACAGAGAAGCGCCTCTTGCCGCGAATCCCTTCGTGTCAGCCGCCTCTAGTCTAACGGTCTCGCCCAGGATTTACCTAGGGCTACGGTCATCCATAAATGCCGATCTGCACTGCCTCTCGTGCTGGCCGGGTATCTTGGTTACTACGTACGCCATTGGGCTCCTCAACAAAGGGTCCTGTATTCTTCGAAAAGTTTTCTCCAAACCCCTGCTATTGTGAAGTGGACTCGTCTCGCCCCCAAAGAACTAGCACTAAGCCCTAGTCTATAACACTGAAGCCCTATCGGTCAGGGTTAGGGACCCGGGACGGTGGCCTACTGATTCAGAATGCAGAGAAGACTTCCATTGGTGATCTTCCATCAACGTTGGTCGTCTTGGAAGGCTACCGCCGATCTTTGGTACCAGCTGTCGGGATTTTATGTCCCCCCAACCTAGCCTTCATCTTACTCCTCAATGCCAGATAGTCGGGCCAAGGCCGTTCGCCCTGCGGAGGATTCGTGAGATACGGTATATCCAGGACAAGGGGCCTACACGCAAGTCGGTAACCTCCGTACGAGGTGAAGAGGAAGAAAGACATGTTAGAATGCCGCCGTCGAGTCTGGCTATCACTTGAAGGATTTAGGTAGTATTTGTGGGCAGGTTTTGTCGATCGCAAGCTCACCGACAACGTTCTGTTTCAGAGCATTTAACAGTCCTGTCACTCCTTGAAGGCACTCAGGGGCTTGAAGTCATCTCATTTGACTTGAGATGCCACCAACGCATATATCAAATCGAGACTGACCCTGCTGGGACGTGCCTCTTTTGTTCTTCCCTCTGTCCACTCATTGCATCTTGGAGTCTGCACTTGCCGATATTGTTCGTTGACTCAACATGCGTTTTCTATCCGTCTCTTTGGTCCTTAGTGGGTTGACCACTTTGGTGTACGCAGCGGGGTTCGCCGAGCTCGCTGCTCAGTTGCCTGCATGCGGTGTACGTTGGCCGTGCAATCCCTCCAATGTCGATACTAACTGTCTCCCCAGCTCCAATGTGTTTCTGAGTCGGTGCCAAAATCACCATGCGAACTCACGAATTCAACATGTCTTTGTGTCGATCCGACATTCCTCGGCCTGACGCAAGCGTGCGTGGCTAAGAGCTGCTCGGTGAAGGAAACATTGAGTATGGTTGCCGAATCGGCACGTAGTGTAACATGCTAACTTCGTCAAGCCATGGTTCGAATTCAAAATGTTGCATGTGGCGTCCCGGTCAAGAGCCAACAAACCCGGTTCAAAATCCACGCGATCGCTGCTTGTGTCTTGGCCGAGATTTGTGTTATCCTGAGGATCTTTTCAAAAGTTCATATTCACGGGAAGCTTGGGGCCGATGACTACTTCATCATCATTGCGGGAGTAAGCATCCTATGGTAGCCCATGCCTCATTTCAAACACGCTCACAGCCTCATAGTGTGCGACTGTTCCGTACCTATATCTGCACTGCACATGTAAGTAACCCCGGAAGGACATCTTTTGGATGCAATATGGGATAAGACTACTAACATTGAGTAGTGGCCGACCTCGGTTTTGGTTTACATATCTGGGATATCCAGCCTTTCGACAATCTGTACCGACTGCTACAATACTTCTGGCTCGACGAGATGATGTACAGTATTCATCTGTACAGCACCAAATTGTCCATTCTTTGCTTCCTTTGGGGTATCTTCCCGGCCCGTTCATTCAGGAGAATGGTTCTAGCCATGGGGATATTCACGATTATGAGCTTTGTTGCCACGGTACTCACAACTGGACTTCAGTGCCTACCTGCCTCTTACAACTGGACTAGTTGGGATGGCGAACACACGGGTCGTTGCAACGATCTCAACATACAGACATACGCTTTCGGTGCAATCAACATGGTTTGCGACATTTTGATCCTGCTTATGCCTTTGCCGGAGCTCTACAAGTTGCAGGTCAAGAGCCGTCAAAGAATCCAGCTGTTCGTCATCTTTAGTCTCGGAACCATGTCAGTCAAGCACTCAAGCTCGCCTCGTCCGTAACATTCTTGAGTTGTCCTGAGCTAACCTTTGGCAATAGTGTCACCGTCTTCAGCATTATTCGTCTACCATTCCTGGTAAATCTTGGAAAGACAACGAACCCGACATGTGAGTGCTATGGAACATGTATGCATGAGCTACATTACTGATATTCTGCGCAGGGGACTACGTCGAGGTTACTATCTGGTCTGTTTGGGAAACTGGTGAGTCACAACCACCCCGAGGCATAGACCAAGAGTGTGCGTTTCAGAATCCACTGACGGAATTCATTCCAGAACTTGGTATGGTTTGTGCCAGCTTGCCTGCGATCCGACACCTTTTCAAGCATTTCTTCCCAAATGCCATGCAGACTATCGCCGCCAAGATGACATCGGCCTTGAGCAGCAATCGCACAGGCCAGGAGAAAAGCGGCAACTGGAGTGCGAGCAACAGCCGCAAAGATCGATCCATCAACCGCGACAACAAGGCATACTATGAGCTGGACGAGCGGTCTCTAATTGGTAAAGGCGCGGGAGGTACATCCTTTGCCAGTGCAACTGCCGTCAAAGCCTCAGCTTCGAACTGCTCCTAAGCCAGCAAACTTTACGGCACATTGCGAGTCAGGGACTTGCGCAGATTCGGTACTTTTTTTTCTTTTTGGTGTTGTATAAGGATGTATCTGCTATGTTGTATTCTACCTGTTCCTGTTTCCTGGATTCTATTTAGCACCCACCAGCAAGTAACAATTTTGATCGCCCTTTCACCGCCAGTCAAACTCACGAGGCTCATCACAGCAAGAGCGACCTCAACTTTGCCGTGTACACTGCCGGCCAGCCGTTGACCCATCTTTGGTCATCACCCCTGTGTCTTGAAAGACCGGTAATTGATCGGCAGTGCATTACTACCTTTGTAACCCCAGAACAGGCTAACTTTACCAGGGTTGATCGCCAGCACCAGCACGTCAAATTAAACTTCAAGGTTCCCGCTGCACGGGCCGGGCGGGCCTGTCTCTCTCCATAGGAGGTCAAATTCCTACCCTTGTTCTTCAACGGCGGTCAACTGGGGCTAGCCTTGTGCGCCAAGCCCAGGCACAGAGGTACATCCCTGAAGTTTCTGGCCGTCTCCATCCTCGTAAAAAGCCACGGTGCATGAAGAATCTCGCCCCCGTTGTTTGAGTCTTTTGCAGATCCCTGGGAGCCATCCCTATCGGGCCTAGTTGTACGAGCTAATGTCTGCAATGGGTCATGGCACCTTTACGAGGGTGTGTGGCTAAGGAACAGAAAGCGAATGCAGATCCGTGGGGGCTATTACTTTCTACATCCGACTATCCTACCGGGCGGATGAATCATCGTGCATGAGGAACAGCCTGGACGATGGCCTTCCTGCGTGTCACGACTTGTCCGAGTACATTTGCATGCTGAAATCTGATAATATGCAAGCGTTTCGAACAAGCATGAAGTTTCATTTTCTGATACTACCAAATTCGAGCATGTAGAACACACTCCGCACGAGCTTGCTAAGCGCTGACTGTGGATCGCAGACATGGGGTAGATGCGCCTGGTGTTCGATCTAGTAATAATTCGCGACCATGCTCATAACGGATGTCGGGTGCCAGCAGATGGTGGATGGCATCAAGGTACATGGGTGTCAACGCCCCGAGACCCCTTCGCAAAGGGACAGGGAGGGTGGGCTCGCGCAAGGAAGTGAGTGCCCTGTTCAAACGTTGCCGGGGTAGGCGCCGACAAACAGGCCGCAGGACAGGGGCCAGAGGTCCCCGGGCACCAGTGTACTTGGACTTTGAGGAAAGTCTAGACGAGAACCGATGGGGCTATGATCCATCCCGATACTTGCAGGCTGCAGCACGACACCGTCCCAAGCACATACTGATGTCTTGCCGTTCTGCTTTCCTTTCACGCTTCCCAAGAGAAAGAGTTCGTACTGGGTCTTCGTGAATAGAGCATTGCTTATATTTAAACATTGTAGTGATCGAATAATATCTCATGTAGGATCAACATGATAAAGAAGCACAATGCCATGACGATCCGTGACTTGATCCGGTCGAGATGTTCCGGCCAGGGTTCGGTGATCTACCATGGTGGTCCCCGGCTCAGAAATCCCAACAACACTCCAGCCCCCGAGATTCCAGACTCGCTACTACTCGCTCATACCGGTGCAAGACCCAACCTACGGACTAACCTTGTGGGTGTCCCCTGTGGATTCCCTTCTGTGAAATGATTCGGTCCAAAGACTCAGTCGGTCTTGGCCGACATTGATCACCAGAAGATCTTCCCAACACAGAACAGAGTGTCGTCTTGCCTTGTTTGGGACCCTCGTAGCAAGTCAAGGGATTGCCAAATGAAGGACAATGAGCCGGGTGTAGTGAGATTGAGAGACTGTCTCGGACTATCGAAGTACGAGGATATTCTCCTCCGAATCGGTCTGGATATGGAAGATGCCAACCTTCTGGATGATCACAATCTTCATGTGCCTATGAGGCTATTCCAGGTCAGCCGCCCAAGGAAAATATGGCCCGAAGTACACATGATTTGTTGACAAGGCTAACGACTTTCAAGCCTGGCTGGTCTGTTGGTCCCGCATGCGTGGATCGGTGAGAGGTGCTAATATGCGATCGTCATCATCCAGTCTTTTCTTATCTCGGCGTCGGTGGTTGGGTGACAACAAAACCTGCAGTTCGATGAGCCCAATTGGTCCCACTCACGTACGAAGCAGCCAGAAGCAGGCGTGATGATCGTGTCATGCGAGGAAAGGAGACTCTGGACGCTTCAGGGGGATGTCCCGGCGAAGCCGTTGGCCACATCTACAAACATCTCTTAATTTCGCTGTCAAATGTTCCTGTGCCGTAGATGCATCCTTCCTGGTCTCTGCCACGTGTGATAGCACCCTCGATGCCACCACGCCTTTTGATTCGTACAGTCCTTACCACTCGTTAATGCCCAACAAACTCCAACATGCTGTCAGAGCCTGCAAGGGTAGCCTTCTCGCAGAAATCTGAAGCCCCGTCGCTCGTTCGTTTGTACAGGTTCCTGTCTTCAGAGTACCGCATTCTTTTCACACTCTGCTTTCTGGCAAACCTCGCGGGCGTGGTCATATTTCTTTGGCAATGGGTGCTTTACGGGAAGCCAAACGAGGCCACTTGTGCTTTGGCGACGTCTATCAACCTTACAGTATCAATCGTCATTCGAGAAGAGCACATCGTGAACGCACTCTACTGCATCTTCACCGCCATTCCGAAAACACAACCGCTCTGGATCCGACGAAGAGCCGGCAAGATCTATCATCTCGGCGGGCTACATAGCGGATGTGGCGTGGCGGCAACATTTTGGTTCGTCTTTCTCTCTATCGAGAAGTCGGTTTCTTTCAGCAATGAAACAAACAGAGATGCTACAAAATGGTGCCACATCCTTGTAGTGTATATGCTCGACCTCTTGTTGGTAGCAATCGTCGTGATGGCATATCCCGCTATCCGCGCTAAATTGCACAACGCATTCGAGCTCGTCCATCGGCTGGCAGGCTGGTCCTGCCTTAGCCTTTTGTGGTGTCTGACCGTGCTGGATGTCTCGATTACCACGCCGTCGGATGAGTCTCTGGGTATCGCTCTCTTGAGCAGCGTTAACTTCTGGCTCGTCCTTATTTCGACTTGCAGCGTGATCTCGACCTGGTTGAACTGTCGGAAGTTATCTGTCCGGTCCGAGAGGCTCTCTTCGCATGCGTTGCGAATGTTCTTCAGCTACACCGACCCTCAGCCAGGTACCACAATTCGACTCTCATCTCGGCCGCTACTTGAGTGGCATGCGTTTGCCACGGTGAAGAATCCGGATGAGCCAGGCTTCTCGGTTGTCATCTCGAACGCCGGAGACTGGACTAAAAGGATAATCAACCAACCTCCCCACCAGATCTGGGCTCGACGCACTCCTACCTGTGGCGTGTTGCGGATCGCGCCCATGTTTAACAGTATAGTGCTCGTTGCTACAGGTTCTGGCATCGCACCCTGTCTTCCTGTCATAATGGCACAGCAAACCCGCATCACCTTGTTTTGGTCGACCCGGGATCCTCTTGAGACGTATGGGCCGGAGATTGCGTCGATCGTCTTAGGGCTCGGAAAAGACGCACACATTCACAATACCTCGACGATGGGGCGGCCGAACACTCTTCCAACCGTGATGGACCTTTACAAGCGGACAGCGAGCGAAGCCGTGATTGTCATTTCCAATCCGAAATTGACCATCGACCTCGTATTGGACTTGGAGATGCTGGGAGTGCCAGCCTTTGGCCCCATCTGGGATTCTTGAGTGGTAGTGGCATATCATTAAAGCAGGAAGCATCGCATTAACAGTATTCATCCCGGGTGGAGCATTATCTTTGAAAGTAGTCATCATCTAGCATTTTCTGGATTAGAATGGCGTTCTGCATGAGAGCTACAATATGCATATCAATCATCAAGAGCTGGTTATCATTCATTTTTTTATGAAAATATGACATTGTGCACTCATGGTGGCAATTCTCATGCACCACGCACAGGGGAATGCTGTATAGCCTCGGCACCGAGGGGTTGCACAACTCCCGAACTCGTAAATGACAGTTTCTAGATTTGCGCGTCTCTGATCTACATCCCCGTGTAGCCCTGCAAATGTGCAACACCTCCACTGATCAAGGTGAAAGCACCAATGAGGGATCAGGCTAACGGATTGGATCGGTTCTACACCTGTGGCGGGATTGGGGGCACGCACCTAGACCCCCGGCCCTGGCACCTCGTGAAGCTGTGCCGGTGTCTAGCTACCCACCGACGATGCCGAAGCGGTGAAGAGACTTTATTCTTCTGGGCTCTGTCGATCTCACCTTTAGCGTTACTGGGCCCACGATGACCAGGATGCAAGGACTTCGGAACTTGCTTCTTTGCGTTGTAGGATTCCTCCTCAGGGGTGCAGATGGCTTTAGCCCCCTTGTTTCGCCTCACTAGCGACGAACCGGTAACTCTAGAATGCAGCAGAGAAGAAGCGTGCACATCTAAATCCACTCTGCACTGCTGACTCACCGCATATCAACCTTGCCACGACGGCAGATGATGAACGTTGTGATGTCAAAGCTAGTTTCCTGCCAAGTTGTTCTTGGAACACCGAAATCTTTCTCCGAGCTTCTATGATGCTCGCGTCAACCTTGCTGCCGAGGGCCTACTTACGTGTCTCGAAGTAGGCGATTGGACCTCGCGTCGACGATATGCAAGCTCTTCCCCAAGGGGTGGAGCTTCTCTGAGACCAGTGCTCGACTTTTCATCGAAAGGGGTAGTTATCTTGCCAATCACTTGAATGACGTCGGACAGTTGTTGTGCTTATGTGACTCTTTCCAGAACTGGAGCGCTGACCTCGAGAAGATGCGGACATAGGCGTTTCCCAGTTGGGAAGTGACAAGTGATAAGCTCCAGCAAAGCGGCTTGTATCCGGCTATAAAATGAGTGTTATTCCCCTCCATGTCCAGTGTTGCAATGAGTGATCATCATTGGTCTCCAAGTATTACTGGTTTCATATATGTTGTCCAAGCTGCAAGACATAATGTACTTCCACAAGATGGGGAACGAAGAAAATGAGAAGACTGCACATGGCCCTGGCTCAGGTAAGGCTCCACCTCATACCTTACATCATGAATATGACTTACTGACTACTCCATATAGAAAAGAGCCAGATGAGTGTCATGAAGTCCTTCGCCTACCACCTCAAGACTCTTTGGCTATTCACGAAGAGTGACATGCCAACGTCGACTGGAATCAACTCTACCTTTGCCGTTGTGGGCGTCCTCGCCGGACCGTCCATTAGTGATGCAAATATAGACCTGTCAGATTTGTGGAAGGGAGTGCTAGTTACTCTCTACTTCACCTGGCACCTGACGCTATGCTTCAACCTCGGCAACCAACGCCAACCCTCTTCGATCATTGAGGACGGTGTGAACAAACCTTGGCGGCCGATACCAGCTGGCCGTATCACTCCTGAGGCAGCACGCGTGTGCCATCTTGTTGCCGTGATCACGATGCTCGGGTTGTGCGTCGCTGTCTTGGGAGCATGGCAAGAGACTGCCTTCTATCTCTTCTGCACCTGGCTATACAACGAGCAGGCCTGGGGAGATAAGAGCTGGTGGAAGCGGGCACTCATGAACGCCTGCGGCATCACCACGAACCGCGTAGCCAGTCTTCATGTCGTCATCAATGCGATCCAGCAGGGCGATCAATTCCGCTTTACAGACAAGGCCCTCGGCTGGTTTCTGATCTGTGCTGGCATCGTCATCGGCACGATCCAGGTCCAGGACCTGCGCGATCAAGAGGGAGACGCTGAGATTGACCGGCAGACGTTGCCGCTATTGATTGGAGACGCTGAGACCCGCTGGATCGCAGCCGCCGGAGTTTGGTTCTTTTCTCTGGTCAGCCCGCTGTACTGGAATCTTGGTATCATGGGCTACATCATCCCTGTTCTGGCCGCGGCTGGCGTCACAGCTCATATGCTCATGTACCGGACCCGCGAGCGTGATCAGCTCAGTTTCAGGTTGGTGGCGGTCTGGTGGGTCTCGCTGTATTTCCTACCCATGATGAAGTCCCATGGTATGTGATGGGCGCGTTGGCTGTGCCTTTTCAATCGATACGAAATTGTCGGTACTCGGGAACAACTCACGGCCATTGCATTGCTTCTATGAGAGAGAGCCTAGCAGGAAAATATCACATGCGCGTATTGCAGAGGATACACCTGAACCTTTCACAAACTAGGGATAGATTATATCCTCGTTCAGGATCTTGATCAGAATTATAGACATAGGATAGAAAATGAGTAAGGAAATCAGGGAGAATAAAGACAGGTACTACTTGCCAGCTACAACCATTCATTCATACATTGTTACACAAGGGGGTGCCTCGACACAGGAACTATAGTATGCACTGATCTGTGTAACAAGTGAACGTCTTGCCACTACAGAGACCGTCAGATTCTCGGAGAGATTGGGATGATGCAAGAAGCTACTCATGTGAGCTTAGGAAAGATGTCATTGAGGGGCGTTTCTTGGACTTTGAGATGTGTGCACCCGTTTGAAGATGAACCTAGCGATAAAAAAGGGCTGAGATGGGTGACACGCTCTGGGCCTTTAGTACGACGTATCAATCCAATCATAGCTTCCCTGCCAAAGTTCGCTCATAGTGATTGGCTTATCTGTTTTGGTTACCCATTCTCTCTTGGCTGTCGATGAGCCAGGCCCATTGTTATTGTATTCCATGTAGATGCTGATGACTTGTGAGTTTCCGAGGTATCAGGAGGCGTGTACGGCAACTCACGGAGTGGCACCCTGAGCCATAGTAGTCCAACCCGTGGGGTTGATGATATCACCAAGGTAGGAATATTGATAGATGACCCGCGAGAGGACTCGCCAGGGGCGGCCGAGATAGACCTGGCTTGCAAGGCCACTCACTCCAGATTTTGCGTCAACCTTGCGACATGTAAGCCCCCAACCTAGTATGATAATGCGTTGACTTGTAGATACTCACCATACAATGATCAAAGACGTACCAAGCGGGATCGTCGGCCTTGTCGCGCGAGGTCGCGGTGATTGATCCTGGACCGTTACAAGAGATAGTGCACTGATTGAACCACGCAGCGGCATCACCAAAGATGAAGTCATCGGCACCTTAGACGTGTTATCCTCGACTACAGCTCCAGCACTCTAAAGCAGGACTGGATACTGACCTTCGATGTAGCACTTAGAATAGTACTGAGCACCGGACTTGGCGTAGAGACTAGGGAAAGTAAGCCCGCAGGTTCTGGGTAGTAGGCTGAAACAGATACTGACGTGTCTTGGTATCCGTAGAAGCCACAACCATAATAGCCTTGATGTTGACCTTGAGCAACCAATGAGACAGCCTACAGAGATTTAGCAAAGACGGTCGGAGAGAAGGGAAGAGATATAATCCGGACCTGGGCGCCCTTGCCATAGGTATTTTCAATGTTGATGTTGTACATCTTCAAGTTGGCACTCTTGGCGTTAATCGTACTGCTGGTGTCTAGGCTTCCTGAGACGTGAGAGGTCATGCTCCGGGAGATTTTGACGGTATTGTCTTTGTAAGAGCCCGTACTGCGATAAAGTCTTAGTCACAACCTCTTTATCAAGACTGTCATGTCGATTTACTCGGTAGTGTAGCCATAGATGGTCAGAGGGCCTCCATAGCTGATAGTGAAGTTCTCCTTGTAGGTACCTCCGTAGACGAAAATACATGCCGAGCCGCCTCCGGAGAGTGAGGAGACAGCTGCACCAAGTGTTGGGAACTCGCCATTACTATTCGAGCCTGTTACGGGGAGCGTAAGTCAGATGCTCCGCTGACCAGCAATTACCACAACTGAACGAGATCCTTCTCATGGTCAACCCACCTTGACGGACAACCTTGCAGCCGCTGGGTGGGCTGGTTCGGCCAGCGCGTTTCTCAAGAGGAGGAACAGCACCAACCACTCCTGTGAGCCAGAGTAAGGTTATTCCTAGGTACATAAGATGCATTTTGTGGCACACTAACAGGAAACACATATGAGGGAACACCATCAAGCTGTGTTGGAATTACAAACAGATCATCAGCATATATGTGTATTTTTCGGAGAGAGAATAGACCTGTTAACCCCACAGACTGTTAACAAAACGGCAAAGGTTGGACCGAAGTTTATGAGGCCGGTATCCCTGCTATAGAGACGGCATAATAGAAACCCTTGCATTGAACATGTGTAAGGTAGGATCGAGCTGGATCCTCTCGAACCACTCGAAGGATTTCAGTGCGAATGTGAATCAGGGGTCCGAATTAATCCACAAATCAACTCGATCTGGGGAAGCGGCCATGTGGGCCATCCCCAACTCCATGGACACGGAGAAGTACGAGAGCATGCGGGGGATTCGGACGGACTTGATGATTTTCATTGACTCACAGAATAGGTTTTGCTCATCTCGTCTCAATATGGACCCCGAGCGGAACTCGTTTGACCAAGTATTGATGTACATCTGCCCCCGCGACTAGCAGTCTGTATATCCACTCCTATGAGTGCAGAAGAGAACTCAAGCCAGCCATAGCCAGGATCCGATATGAAGGCAACAATTCTTGCACTGCTGTATGCTGCCGGTGCAGCCAACGCAGCTACAATCTCCCGCGATGATGCCACGCCCCTCGTCTTCAAGCGCGGCAGCACCTGCACCCCCAAAGCCGGCGGCAGCGAGTCGATCGACGACGTCCCGGCCATCCAGGCCGCCATCGCCAGCTGCCCCTCTGGCACCATCGTGATCCCGTCCGGCACGATCTACCACATCAACTCGGTCTTCTCCTTCGCCGGCTGCGCCGGCTGCACCCTGCAGGTCGAGGGCACCCTCAAGGTGACGGGCGACACCGACTACTGGCAGGGCCGCAAGGCCATCTTCCTCCTGGACAAGATCGCCGGGGCGACCGTCGTCTCGACGACGGGCAGCGGCCTGATCGACGGCAGCGGCCAGGCCGCCTGGGACCGCTTCGCCCGCGACAAGACGTACCGGCGGCCCACGCTGTTCTACGTGAGCGGCTCGCGCGACGTCGTCGTCGACAACATGCGGCTGATCAATGCGCCCAACGTCTTCCACTCGGCGCGCGACGGCTCGGCCAACGTGCGGTACACGCGCAACACGCTCAGCGCCGTCAGCAGCAGCGGCAACCCGCCCAAGAACACGGACGGGTGGGACATCGGGGCCGCGAGCCACGTCGCCGTGGAGCGGAGCTCCGTGGTCAACGACGACGACTGCGTCGCCCTCAAGCCCGGGGCCGACTACGTCACCGTCACGGATATCACCTGCACCGGCAGCCACGGCATCTCGGTCGGCAGCCTCGGCGGCGGCGCCGGCAAGACCGACAGCGTGACCAACGTGTACGTCAGCGGCGCGACGATGGTCGACTCGACCAAGGCCGCGGGGATCAAACTGTACCCGGGCGGCTCCGCGCACGGGACCTCGGTCGTGAGGAACGTCACGTTTGAGAACTTCGACGTGCAAAACACCGAGTACGCCTTCCAGATCCAGAGCTGCTACGGCGAGGATCAGTCTTACTGTGACGCGAACCCCAGCACGGCCCAGCTGTCGCAGGTCATGGCCAAGGGGTTCAGGGGGGCCACGGCAAAGAAGTACGCGCCTACCGTCGCGAACATCAACTGCCCGGCGGCCGGGAGCTGCGGCGTCTCCCTGAGCGACTTCACAGTGAAGCCACCCAGCGGGACTGCCAAATATTTGTGTTCCAACACGCCGAGTAACCTCGGCGTGGCATGTTCTGGCAGTGCAAGTGGTTAATGTAGATGAGAAAAGCATGTTGAAGAATCTGACATGGCTTACCTTTAGTTTCAGAAGCTGGCTTCATGATCGCGCTTTGTGACATTCCTTGTAGGCATGCAAACTGTTCTATTCACTTTCCCAGTAACGCTAAGCCTAGACCCTTCATCCTTACATCCTCCCAACGCCACAATGTCCAGCAACCCGGAACTCTAAATCATTTCTTGCCCGCGTCCTCCTTCAGTGGCACAATCCGGTTGAGAACGACGTGGTTGTCCGTGGAGTCAGAGTCCATAGCAAAGTACGCAATACGCATGCCCTGGAATCGGACACTCTCAGGTCCGCCCTGGCCCAGCTCGCTCTCGCCCGCTGCCTCGGGCCACGGAGCCCGCTTCTTTACCTCGTCGAAGCCAGACTCTATCAGAGCATCACGGTAGATGGTTTCGTTGTCGGGGTTGATATCCTCGAGGAAGCCGCCCGGAGCCGCGTTGGGATCATCCGACTTGAAGAGCGGGCCGTACACTCGGACCTCGACTTTGCGGGAACCAGCCGACTCGGGAGGGACCCACTGGATGTAAGTCTTGGGCTTTTTGGTCTCCTTGTCGAGAACGGCACGGATCTCGGTCACCTTGCCAGTGGAGTCATCCTTCGTGAAGGAGACAGCCTTGATGGGGTAAGGTACTGAGAGCAAGCCAACAGTCTAATCAGAGTTAGTGAAAGATGTCGGAGGACTTTGAAGCGCGGAGGGGGATAGTTACTGACCTTTCCAGGAGCCAGGCGGAAGAAAGAGGGATCCGCCTCCTCCCTGAAGTCGGAGCGATCGATATAGACAGTCTTGGAAAACTTGACCTCATGTGAGCCCATCTTGGGATCCTTGGGGCTGAAAGGAATGCTGAAAGAAGTGCCGTCAAGCTCATCAGCGTCTTCTATGATAACAGGGACCGGGTCTAGCACGAGCATCAACCGGGGGACTGTCCGCTCAAGATATTTCCTGACGCATTGCTCGAAGCGCTGAATCGAGATCACCGAGTTGGAAGTAGTCACTCCAAGCTCCCCGACAAACTCCAAGATGCTGCCTGGAGGGACACCGCGACGCTTGATACCCTTCAGAGTGTAGAGCCTGGGGTCGTCCCAGTCACGCACAATCTTCTCATCTACCAGTTTCATGATCTTGCGCTTGGAGAGGACGGTACCCGAGAGCGCCAGTCTGCCGTACTCGCGCTGCATGGGCTCATAGACGCCCAGAGTCTTGTTCAGCCATTCGTAACTCTCTCTGCTGAGAACAAACTCGGTGGTGCAGAGTGAATGCGTGATGCCCTCGAAGGAGTCGCACAGGCAGTGTGTGAAATCGTAGGTAGGGTAGATCTTCCACTTGGAACCGGTGCGGAAGTGCGGCGCGTCCAGGACGCGATATGCGGCAAGGTCCCAGTTTTGAGGGTTTCCCGAAGTAATATCCTGTTTCATTCGGAGGAAAGCTTCCTTGGGCTTGTACTTTCCGTCCCTCATGTCCCGAAACTTCTGCAGGTTCTCCTCGACTGATTGTTCCGCATGCTTGCAGCGATAGCGGGGAGAAGCGCCTTTCTCACCACCGCGCTGGAGCTTTATCTCGGCATCGTTGCACTGGCACACGTATGCCTTGCCCAGTTGGATCAGTTGCTCCGCCTTCTCGTAGAGGAGGTCGAAGTTGTCGGAAGAATGGGTGATGGCGCAGGGGGTGAAACCAAGCCATGAGATCATCTCCTTGATCGCATCGAAGAATTTCTGCTCCTCGGCTTCGGGGTTCGTGTCGTCGAAACGAAGGAAGCACTTGCCGCCGTGGTACTTGGCGAAACCAAAATTGACAGCGATTGCTTTGGCGTGTCCGATGTGGAGATATCCGTTGGGCTCGGGTGGGAATCGCGTGACAACGGGCTTGACGGTTCGGAGCTTGTAGACTTCGTCGAGGAAACCGGTCTTGAAGATGATGTCGGGGTCGATGACGGTCTCGGCAGGCTTCTCTTTGGGCTTGGGCGGGGCCTTGTCTTGCTTCTTGTCTCCTCCAGCGGCAGCGGCAGCTTCCTTGGCCTTGGCAGTGATGGCGGCCTTCTCGCGCTTCTTCATGCGCTTCTTCAGCTCGCCCTTGGAGACCATCTCGCCGGTCACCTCGTCCAGCTGGAGCTTGGCGGTGCTCTCTGCGAGGTCCGCCATGGCTGCAGGGTGGCGGGGATGTTTCTGTTCTCGAGCTTCGGTGGGCAAGATTTCGATTGGGATTGTCGATACTCGAGCTTGGGGTCGAAGATTGCGGTAGTCGAATATCGAGTACGACAAGTTAAAGAGGACGCAGACGCAAAACGGAGGTCGCGTGTGCTGTTGTTATCTTTGTCGCACGGTGAGTGAGTCAATCCCGTGCTCCCTCGCCTGAAACGCCGAGGAGGTCAGTCGTGAATTTGTTTGGTGGGGGTGGTGCTCCGATAAGATAAGGAAGAGGAGACTGGTTTGGTTGGTGCATGGTGGGGCGCCAGAAAAGATAAGCTGTCCGCTGGGTAGGCCATTATTGTACATTGAATCACCCAACAGAAGTCACCCTACATCTCTTCTACCAGGAACCGAGACCGATGAAGAGCCTGGAGCGTAACATGCTTGCAACAGTCTTCAAGTGTGAGCTGAAGGATTGTAAAGTGTATGAAGAAGCGTGAGAAGGCTGCCAATGACAAGCTGTTTCCGGCACTTGAGCAACAGGGTGCCGTAGGAGTTCGCCAGGTTCCTGACCTGTCGGCGCCAGGGCATCCCGAAACCTGACGCCGCCACTTGCACGCCTGCTCCGTGAGACCAAGGCTGGCCACCGGAGCGATTCATCAAGTCTTTGGCAAGTGCTAGGGTGAGATGTCTCTTTTATTCTCTACAAGTACATGGCACTTGACTACTGCAATGCTACCTGATCAGTGATCGCCTATAATACAGCTGTGTGGACCCTAGCTGGCTCCCATGTCTCGATGATCCCGCCAGTTCTCGGAAGAATACAAATCTAAACATCCTCCTCAGGCTCATAGTCCTTGTCACGAGCATCGAGCTTTTCCTGGCGCATACGGGCCACCTCCCGAGCATTGGGCCTGCCGATCGGCGGAGGCTGGCTGCGCTCGAGCTGGTTGCTTGTGTTTTGTTCTGACGACTCGTGTTGTTTTGTACTCATCTCGAACTTCTCGGCTATGTCGAGGACAGCGGCGAGCTGCTTGTACGAAAAGGAAAGGGAGACATCCTCGACACCGTCGCAGAAGTGCCTCGGGGCAAAGTCGTGTAAAGAGAGCGAAAAGGCCTTGTCGCTGTTTATGGCATGGCCAGTAGAGGATCGGAATTCCTAGTGGCAAAGGGTTGTGACTATTAGTTACCCCTGCTCCCTCTTGCTCCTACTTGGAGTCTTTTCGGGTATGAGAATGGTCTGAACTTACCTCTTGGTTCACTTGGGTCTGGACGCCTAGGAAATCACCATTTTCACCCGTCTCGTGCGAGAAATGTGCCCGCCAAATGGAAAGTGTTGCCTTGTTACTGTCGGGCTTGTTGGTGTCGGATTGGTCGGGGAAATCGATGTTGAGTATGACGGCGATCTGACCGCGTGAGTCGAGGATGAACTTGCGCGCTCTCTCCTCAACGCCCTTCCAAGCCTGAGAATATGAAATCTCGAGGACGACACCCGGGTACTTCGCAGGAATGTACCTGAACTGGGTGTCAGGATGCCGAAACAACAAGTTCTCGACTTCAATCAGTGCCGAGCCGATGTCGTAGATTTGGCTTGCGAAACGGCCCGTGGTGCCACCTAGGTTCCTGACGAGGCCCAGTTCCTGCTTGATGAGATCCGCGATACCTCGATTGGTTGCGTCGTGCACCACGCCAGGGCCACCCATGCTAACGGTGAGAAGATGGGTTGTCGCGTCGTAGGAGAGACTGAATAGCGGCGATAATAGATGCCTGTTAGCCGTCACAACTCTCTCTATTTCTCTCTCTATCTCCCCGGGCGAAAAGAAAGATACAGTCTCAGAGGAAGGGTCCAAAAGAAGAGTACGTACCGAATCTTGTCAAGCGCGTCGCTTGGCTGGAGGTCATGGTCGAGGTGTTGACACAAAGGCTGGAAATGTTCGGGGAGGAGAGTGGCGGTAAAGTCCCTTGTCACTGGGAAATTGAGCGAGTCGAGGGTGGCTTTGAATCTGAGGAGCGAAATGATGGTTTTCTCAACCTCACGATCACTTGCCGGAGGGGCAGCCACTTCCAGCTCAGCCCGTGTGCGTGACATGTCGGCCATTGCCTCTGTGTGAGCCGCAGTGCTAGGGACCGGGCTCGCCATGGTTGTGACGACGACGTCGAGGATGGCGGGTGAAGATGATGATGAAGATGGTAACGAGGAGGTGTGTTTGTTGCGTGCGTACGAAAAGAGAGATTGGGTGGAGGAGAAGCACATGTCGGGTGGTTGAGCGCACACCGTGGGTCGGGGCTCGGAATTTGGCGAAATAACTTATCTGCGCTACATATACGTCTCAGGTTCAAATTCACTCCAATCTTATCAATCAGTGTGCACGCCAGACTGATCTCACTTTTCTTGTTCTGTATCAACAAGGAGCAATAGAATGGATGCACAGGAGCAATAGGATGGATGCACACAAAGGCGCACAGTCTTGAATATACGGTCAATATATGGAAGCGCCCCCCTTCTGCCACAAAGGAAACCGAAATGACATCTCCCAGGCCCGAGCCGAAAATTGGTGACTTGGACAATGGCATCATATTTGATTCAAGCTCTGAATTGTAAACCAAAAGCCCTTTGGCTTCCTCGGCCCGCTCTTGTCCGCCCAGGGTACTTGCTAAATTTGAGAGGTGACTTACAACAGCATACAGCCTTACGGAATGACAGTCACTGACGTAACCCAGAGATAATACAGGATTAAAATTGAACACTTGCAAGATATCCTCGCTTGATGGTAGCGGAAAGAGAAAGTAGATAAGGAAGCGGCCACCCTGTTATAATATTTATCAACGTCGTCGAGCTTTCAAACCGGGCAGTTTTATTTCTTACTGTCTACAGGGACGAGACGAAAGGGATGTGACTTGTCAAAAAAGTATCACCTTTGTGTGGCTTGGGCAATCGTGCATCCTTCGTTAGAGGTCGATGAGAACAGCAGTAAGGGAATAGCCGATGAGGTCCGAAGATAACAACTAGTGCTACTCAAAATCTGGGTCAACTTGTCTGTGGATTATTAGGCCTTTTGAGTCTCAAAGACATCATAGTCAAGTCAAATATTCGTAAGAAGCGTGGCCGCATTGGCAGTTTTGGTCGGCTCAAATATCGGTGGTCTTGGAAAGGAGTCGATGGCATTGTCTTGAAACATCACCGCCGTCTACTTTAGATTTCCTTACAACTCTTGTCTTATGCACAAACTTGGACCCAGTCTTTGCTAGACAGCAATAAAAACACTATGCCCACAGGCTTCTCCATGCTTCAGGCCCCATGACAACGTCAGTAACATCAAGTAGAAGAAAAAGAAGGACTGTATGGAATGAACAAACTTCAAGTTTACCTCATAATTTTCCCTCCGCTTTTACATGGAAGCAACCTTGCTCGGTTGATGTATTCGGTTGATGTATTTTCTGCTGTCGTCGTTGCCCGTGGTGTTGATTTAGATGGGCGTCATAATTATGTCAGCGTGACACCCAAGGCCGGGAGACTGGGGGGGATTGATATAAACCTCCCAAGAAAGAATGGGCTAGGCAAAGCGAACCCTTCATCTTCAAGAGACCATTACTTCCCACGAACAATGGACCGGAATAAGCTTCATCTATTTGTCAAGGCTACCAGGAGCGTCTACGGTCCGGTCGATGAGTCGTCCGAGCAGGACGCTGCAGAGTGGACCCCACCAGACAAGCCCGGGGCCGGCGGGTATCGCGGCCGGTACCTCTGGACCGATGCCTTTGGCGTGGTCAACTTCATCACCCTGTTCAAAGAGACCGGATCCCACAAATTCCTCTCTCTGGCCAAGCGCCTCGTGCAGACTGTGCATGACGTCCTCGGCCGCACAAGAGACGGATCGTCGAGGCTGACCGGCGCGACCGAGGACCATCCACTGAACGGGGGCTTGCGCATCGGAAAGGACTCGGCGACTGGGCCCGACGGCGACGGCCAGTACCACCACTATCTGACGCTATGGATGTTCGCTCTCAACCGACTGTCCCTGGCAGCCGGTGACCCCGCGTACAATGAGCTGGCCATTGAGCTAGCACAGGCAATACACCCGCACTTTCTTCTGCGCAGGCCCTCGGGCTGCCTCAGGATGGTGTGGAAGATATCCATGGATATGGAAGACGTCCTAGTGCCTTCTGAGGGCCACTTGGATGCAGCCACGGGCTATGTTGTCTACCGGCTTCTTCAACACACGGCACAGATTCAGAGCGGCGGACAGGCTACCGTCTTGAAAAGAGAAATTGACGAGTATTCGGAGATCATGCATCGGGAAGGCAAACTCACGCCCAGCGGTGACACGCTCGATCTGGGTATGGGTTTGTGGATGTGCCACTTCTTCAAGGGTGAGGGCTGGGCCGATGGCCTGGGCGAGAAAGCACTGCAGATGGGTCACAGGCTTCTCGGAGAGGACTCGAGTCTTATGCGGCGCGATGCTTCGCGCCGGCTCGCGTTTAGAGAGTTCGGCGCTTGTCTAGGCATCCAATGCTTCGGTCCCGACGAGTACTTGCGCCGCCGCATCGAGGCGGTCGTCGGCTTCTGGGAGAAGCACCTACGGGACCACACGGACGAGGATCTGCGGCCCATCTCGCAGGTTATGTACGCGGCGGCCGTGATCCCAGGAGGTAAGCACCGGGCCATGCACGGACGGCTTGAAAGAAGCGGAAGCTAACTTTGCAATAGCGTGGAGTAGCGGATATCTGGGAGAGTGATTTCGTAATTCTAAGATCATATTACGACCGCGGGGAGAGTCCTTCTCGTATGGTTTTACGTACTCGAACCGAAGCTGATGCGCACTTCGCCCGCCGTGCTCGTTCCATGATGATGTTGCAATTCAGTAGCGTTGCATCTGGAGGGGAACGAATGTGCTAACTTGGCTCTCCCGAGAGCCTTGTGTTTAGTGGTTCGCCGTTGCATAAACGGCACGGCGCGACGTGCGATAAGCTTCTGAGGGTGCATGCATGTACCGAATTCGAAAACTGGCACATCATCGACGATGATCCGAGCCAGCTTCCTCATCCGGCAAGCCTCTTATCGCGTGCCTGTGGGGATCTGCGGATCCGATCGCTGCTCTAGCGAACCCCGCGCCTGGGGCCGGCTTCGGCTTGCCAAGGCGGGTTTTGTGATAAAAGGCAGCTCCATCGCCGCTCTCGGTGATAATGATATCCTCTTTTGCCTATCCCGAAATTGAAGGGAAACAACATCACACCGAAGAGGTCACGCCGGTTCCCAATTGTTGAAGATGTATCGACAACTGCTCTGGCTCGGCCTCACCTCGGCCGCCGCGGCCGCAGTTCTGGCAGACACCTACGCCCAGCATGCTCTGACCTTTGAGACTGAGTCCAGCAAGAAGTTCAAGTGTGACCTGCCGCCTTCGGTGGCACCGGGAGATGATGGCTTCCCTCTGGCAAGTGACTTGTTCTCCGGCAACGAGGCCCTTGAGAGACAGGTCGCCAGGCACGGCGCGATCGTCCGCGTCCCCTCGATCAGCTTCGACGACATGGACGAGGTCGATGTCGATGAGCGGTGGGATGTCTTCCTGGATCTGCACAGGGTCCTGGAGCAGCAGTTCCCCAAAGTGTGAGTATCTGGAACAATTTCCCACCTGGAGGGCCCGAGAGATGAGAAATTCTAACCTGGCAGCACAGTCACGAGCGAATGACCAAGGAGATTGTGAACCGCCTTGGCCTGGTGTACACCATCAAGGGCAAGGACGAGTCTCTCAAGCCCCTCATGCTCGCCGCCCACCAGGACGTTGTCCCCGTCGCGGACCCGTCCACCTGGGCGCACCCTCCCTTCTCGGGCTACTTTGACGGCACCTTCCTCTGGGGCCGCGGCTCGAGCGACGACAAAAACAGCCTGACGGCGCTCCTGTCGGCCCTCGAGGCCCTTCTCTCCAGGGACGACTGGACTCCCAAGCGCACCATCGTACTGGCGTTCGGCTTCGATGAGGAGACCTCTGGCCGCCGTGGGGCGGGGACCATCGCCCCGTTCCTCGAGGACCGCTACGGCAAGGACTCGATGGCCATGATCCTCGACGAGGGCGGCATGGGCCTGCAGGTCGTCGACGACACGGTGTACGCGCTGCCCGCCGTCTCGGAGAAGGGCCACGTCGACATCTGGTTCGAGCTGCGCGTGCTGGGCGGGCACTCGTCCATCCCCTTCCCGCACACCGGGATCGGCATCATCGCCGAGATCGTGCACGCGCTCGAGTCGCACCCCTACGAGCCGAAGCTCATCGAAGGGTCGCCCGTGCACGACCACTTCGTCTGCCAGGCGCGCTACTCGCCACACGCCGACCGCCGGCTCACGCGGCTCGTGCGCCAGGGCGACCTCAAGGCGCTGGTCAAGGAGCTCGTGCGCCAGGGCCCCGCGACGCACTACCGGCTGCAGACGTCGCAGGCCGTCGACCTCGTCGAGGGCGGCGCCAAGATCAACGCCATGCCCGAGGTCGTGCGCCTCGGCGTCAATTACCGCGTCGCGCCGCAGAACTCGATCAACGAGGTCAAGCGGAACATCCTGAAATACATCCGCCCCATCGTGAAGCGCTACCGCCTCGACGTCGACGCCTTTGACGGCCAGACGTTCGGCCTCGGCCCGGACGAGCTCGAGTTCGGTAGCGACGACAACGGCGATGACGACGGCTTCTACTACGACGTCAACTATAACGGCACGCTGGCCATCTGGTCGACGCAGGAGACGCAGCCGGCGCACACGTCACCCACGTCGGGCAAGGTCTGGGACCTCTTCTCGGGCACGATCCAGCACACGTTCGGGTCCAAGCACCGCAAGGTCGTGCCCGTCGGCGAGCTCATGACGGGCAACACGGACACGCGGCACTACCTGGACCTGACGCGCAACGTGTACCGCTTCGTGCCGACGCGCCAGGGCGAGAGCATCAACATCCACACCGTCAACGAGCGCATCGACATGCACTCGCACATGGACGCCTGCCGTTTCTATTACGACCTCGTGCGCAACTTTGACCGCTCCGACGCCGGCAAGACGAGCTGGGGGTATAATGAGCTTTGAACGAGATGTCCCCGGACCTGAAACGTACCCAAAATACCGGGACGGAAGAACTGAGGGGAACTAGTTAAGGAACCATCAAGCTTGCAGGGTGGAAAAAGGCAGCTATCCAGATTGAGACAATGAGCTAGCCATTTAAGACGATTAATAAAGTCATGCATTCACTTCTAAATCTAACCTCTATTTGAACTCTTATGACTTGCTATCCACAACCTTTTGTAACCACCATTGGTGGATCCGTAGATCGTCCGTCAGTTCAGGGTGGAAGCTGGTGCCGAAGACGTTCCCTTGCCGCACGGCGATGATGTCCCCCGCCTCGGCATCTCCAGGATTACGTCCCGGCAAGACGCCCATCACCTCCACTGTGTCAGACATCTTCTTGGCTGCACTCTCGTTGCGTGGCTCCTTTGCCGGTGCCACGACCGTATCATCCTTCTTCGCCTCGGCAGCCTGTTCACCGTGCACGTGCGGCAGGAGTTTGTCGACGATGGGCGCGCGGATGAAGATGCCAGGGAAAGGCGGCGGCGGGCTTTCGCCTTCAGCTTGTAGTTCGGCGAGGAAGGGGAGGTCGAGGCCTGTCTCGAAGCTCTCGATCTGCCGGCCAAAGTGGTTTCGGTGTACACGCACGTCCAGGCCGCCGATGAGCTCCTGTCCGCCTTTTTTCGTCGAGTTGGCTGCCTCGGCGAGCATGATCAGGCCGGCGCAGGTGCCCCAGGTCGGTTTCCGCTCGACCCTGCAAAAGAGGCGTTCTCGTCAGTGCCATTGTCACGAAACTATTCGGGCTGGACGCGTACTTGACAAAGTCTCGCAGAGGCTCGAGCAGATTGTTTCTCTGCGCGATCAAGGAGAGTGTCGTGCTTTCACCGCCGGGAATGATGAGCCCATCGCAGCGCAAGAGCTGCTCAAGGGTCCGGACCTCGATGAATTCGAACCCCTCTTTGCTCTTGACCAGAGGCGCTGCCTTTTGCAGTAGGTGAATGTGCTCGATGAAGGCGCCCTGCAGCGCCAGCACGCCCACCGTGATGGCCATCTTCCCCTCCCAGAATTTGGTGGTGACTCGAATGGATTGATTGCGCGTTCGTCGGTGGAGGAAGCCGATGCTTGCCGAGAATTCGCGGCGAGTGCGGGGGCTCCCGAGAGGACCCCTTCAACCCTTCAACCCTTATGTACTTCGATCCGAGCAGAGAGTCAACTTGCCATATGCAGTCACCGGCCTAGGACATGGTAAATTGCATCTTCGACAGGTAGAAACCGTTCCGTTCGAAAAGTCGCCTAGGAGATGCGAACCCCAGACCGATCATCGCAGCGTAATAGATTGGTCGGGCGCCATTGGCGGCTCGGGGTCGACTTTGGACGGATAAGGCATTTGTACCCGAAGGCCGGCGCGGCTCACCAGCAAAAAAATCTCTTAAAACCCGAGATCGGCCCGCTTCTTTGGTGTGTCCGTTGGGCTGGAGAGTTGAGTCATCTGAGAGGAAGCCCTAAGCAAGTCTCCTAATGGGGAGATCGGTGTGGTCGAACGCCCTTTGGCAGTGCTTTGCGGGGGAGGGGAGGACAGATAAAAAAAAATGCCGCTCCATCCATTTGTCCTGGGTCGACTCATCCGTGCCAATCCGCCAAGCAAGATACCAAGTCGTCAAGGTGTATAAAAAGCCATTTCGTGTTTGACCCTTTGTCGAGAGAACCAAGAAAAAGACATAATCCATAATCCAATCCTTTGACATCTCCAACAAAATGACCAACAACGCCTCCACCACCGTCACCACGGGTGCCGTCGCCACCAACGGGTCGTCGACCAAGTCGGCCTTCACCGTCAAGGCCGGGCTGGCGCAGATGCTCAAGGGCGGCGTCATCATGGACGTGACCAACGCGGAGCAGGCCCGCATCGCCGAGGAGGCCGGGGCGTGCGCGGTCATGGCGCTGGAGCGGGTGCCCGCCGACATCCGCAAGGACGGGGGCGTGGCGCGCATGTCGGACCCGGAGGTGATCCGCGAGATCCAGCAGGCCGTGACGATCCCCGTCATGGCCAAGGTGCGCATCGGGCACTTTGTCGAGGCGCAGATCCTCGAGGCGCTGGGCGTCGACTACATCGACGAGAGCGAGGTGCTGACGCCCGCCGACGAGGCCTTCCACATCGAGAAGGCCGACTTCAAGGTGCCGTACGTGTGCGGGTGCCGCAACCTGGGCGAGGCGCTGCGGCGCGTGGGCGAGGGCGCGGCCATGATCCGGACCAAGGGCGAGGCCGGCACGGGCGACGTCGTGCAGGCGGTCAAGCACATCCGCACCGTCAACGCCGACATCGCGCGGGCGCAGGCGGCGCTCAAGGAGGGCGGCTCGCTCGCCCTGCGGGCCATGGCGCGCGAGCTCGGCGTCGACGCCGAGCTGCTCCGGCAGACGGCGGAGCTGGGCCGGCTGCCCGTCGTCAACTTTGCGGCGGGCGGCGTCGCCACGCCGGCCGACGCGGCGCTCATGATGCAGCTGGGCTGCGACGGCGTCTTTGTCGGCAGCGGCATCTTCAAGTCGGGCAACGCGGCCAAGCGGGCCAAGGCCATCGTGCAGGCGACGACGCACTTCCGCGACGCCAAGGTCCTGGCCGAGGCGAGCACCGGCTTGGGCGAGGCCATGGTCGGCATCAACTGTGATAGCCTGCTGGACAAGGAGAAGATGGCCGGCCGTGGGTGGTAGACGCGAGGGATTTGGAGGGTAGCAGATAGTATGAAAGTTGGTGGACGGCAACCGACAGAAGGAGAGAAAAGGAATATAAGGAAGCCAGAGATAACTCTGGCTAGTGACTCAATGGAAACCCTTGCGATTCAACTCACCTTGTTCGTCCCATTCTCATCATCTCTGTGTGTGTGTTCTCTGCGTGTGTCCAGTCCGCTCCAGGGCCTCAGCGCTTGCTAGGCCGCTAAAGTGCGCTGTTTGTGGACGCTGAGAGCCATCACGCCAGATTGTGGACGGCGATATCTTCCGCATCAAGGGGTCTGCCGCAAAGAGGCGATTGCGCAAATGATGTCCTCGACGAGAAGATCAAGACTGACACTCACAGGAGATCAAATATGTGTGGTTGAAGGAGTAAAGAGCGTTGACAGTCAATTCCAGCCTGTGTTTGGTGGGCCAAGTCTTGCGCGAGTGTGGATTCCGGCAGCCCATCCGGCAGGCTTTCCGGCAGGCATCAACAGCATGAAGGGGGGGTGATGGTTCAGGCATCCATTTTCTCCCGTGCTTCGCCTGCAAAACCGGCAAGAATTCATTGTCACGGGCATCAGCACTCAACACAGCCAGCCAGGTATTGTAAACTGACAAGTCGACTGAGAGTCTGAGACAGACCACCGCCACCAGATCGAAACCCGCCCGATCGGTTCGTGCCGTCCCTCCTCCAAACTCTCAAGCTTTCCGCCAGCCGTTCCGTGTCTTGTTCCTGTCTTGCCTGTGCTTCAACAATGTAACATGTGCGTGCGTAGTGCCTACATGTACGGAGTCGTTTTCCGGGTCACGGCAACTCCTCCCTCTGCTCTCCAGACGGCAAACAATTAGACTTCCACTTCACCGATCTCTCCTGCTCGCGTTGGATCAATATCCAGCTGGAATTGCAGGCGTCCATACCGTACGCCCTTGCTTCATCGTGGACAACAAAGCTCTGCACTCTACAATACGAACTCAGCCCAGGTGGCCCGCGTCGTATCGTCGTCGTCTTGTGCGAGCTCACTCTACGTGTAACAAGCAGCAATCTCTGCGCCGGCAAGCAGGTCTGATTCGCCGAGGCCCGCTGCGTCGCTGCCTGTCCCATGCCACGCCATGTCTAGGACAGGAGGAGCACGACGTCCGGTTCCCTCGGATCCGCATGCATCTCATTTCAGCCTGCGCACTCGGCACGCCAGGCCCGCATCGAGCTGTGCTCCAGTGGCGGCAGGGGCTTGCAGATCTGCAAAAGCTGACCCTGGGAGGATCACCCCAATTACGGTCCAGCGTTTCATGTGCCACGAAACACAGCGCGGGGAGTGTGATTGTTCTCCCTCTTGTTCTCCCTCTTGTCCCTGTAACTAGTTACTTGTAGAGTGCCCTACAGGGCCAAGTGGACATCAGACGAGCCTCGAAGGATGCTCTCGCAGACCGCAATCGCCACCCATTCAACCCCTTTTAGACGCCGCGATCAACCGGCGCTTATGCACCTGCTCGTATCCATCCATCGGACTTGCTTGTAAACATGCTGTTGAGCCCCTGCTTTGCGAATGCACGTACCTGCAGAATTACCCCTTTCGCCTGCCTTAGTTAGCCACCACCACCACCAGGGGCAGGGGGGAAGTGAAGACCCTCCTCTGGCAGCCCTACAACGTCATGGCCAACGATGACTTTCATTCATAAGGTTGGCGATCCCTCCCCGACAACCCTGCCCAGCATTCCTTTCCCAGCCCCGAGGGTGTAAAGCAGTGTTGTGCCCCCTCGCTCAAGTCATTCGTTTTGCCCGCAGCCCTTAATCATCATCATCACAACAGCTTTCCCCAGAGACCGCCAAGATGAAGACGTCCGCCTCCATCTGCGCCCTCGTCGCTGCCCTCGGTGTCTCTGCCAAAACCTACGATGTCTACCGCCAGGCACCGCAGCCCCAGCAGCGTCACCGCGTCATGCTTGCCGCTACTGCTGCAGACGCCGCCACCAACAAGGCGCCCGAGTCCGTCCGCGGCGGCGCCTGGCTCACGGCAGATGACATCGGCGCCGCCGTCGGCACCATCGTCGTGCCCCAGGCGCGCATGCCTACCGAGGGCCCCACGGGCAACAACCAGGCCGGCCTCTACATGGCCAGCTTCTGGGTCGGCCTGGGCTGCGCCGACACGGCCGACTCGCCGCTGCTGCGCGCCGGCGTCGACATCTTCTGGGACGGCGGCATGGAGACGTACAACGCCTGGCACCAGTGGTACCCGAACCCGTCGACGGCCTTTGACGTGAGCGCCGGCAACTTTAGCATCGTGCCCGGCGACAGGGTGCGCATGGGCGCCGTCGCGCCCGGCGAGGACGGCACGCCGGGCCTCGTGCGCGTCGAGAACCTGTCGAGGGGCGGCGAGGTGCGCTACGAGTTCGCGGCGGGCCAGGGCGCCGGCGCCGCGCCGTGCGGCACGGGCGCGGCCTGGGTGGTCGAGGACTTTACGCTCGCGGGCCTGCCCGACGTGCCGGTCGCGCTGGCCAACTTTAGCTCGACGACCTTTGAGGACGCCCACGCCCTCACGGCGGCCAAGCACGCGAGGACGATCAGCGCCAAGAAGGCCAGGCTGTTTGACATCAGCCTGCAGGACCAGGGCGGGAAGCTCACGAGCTGCAGCATCTCGGGCAGGAAGAATGTTGTGTGCTCGCGGATGGTGGAGAATCCGTGAATGGGTAGGGCCCTCTTCAATTCACTATCGGTTGGGTCTTTGGGAAGCTGGAGTGAATATGGTCGGGGCTGGTGGTACGAAAAGACAAAGGGGCGTTTCAGAGCTGAACAGGATTAGTGAATATTCTTTGTCTTCACTCCTCGAGGTTGCTATTAGTGAATTGCCAGGACAATGAAATCAAAAGTGACAAGGCCATTGTCCTTCCCTGGAGTCTTTGTTGCATTGTCCAGGATGCTACAAGCTACTTAAGCTGCATTTTCTCCTCAGATTAGACCTTCGCTCGTCCGGTATTCCCCCATCATTCTCCTCGCATTCTGCTCACCTTCTCGATGTATTCGAAACTCTTTCGCGCCGTCATGGCTCCCGCCGCACAAGCCGATAACAGGCTCTGCAAAGCCAGGGCTCTCAAGCCCCCTCCCAAGACCCCTCGCAAGACCCCTCGCAAGCCAGTCATGAGCGGGCCAGACATGAGCGAGCCAGACATGAGCGAGCCACTGAGCTGTGGCCACTCGGTCCCTTTGGTCAACGGTCCCAGCGGCGTCCGGGGGCTTCGCCTCGCCGGCCGCCGTTTCACGTTCAACACGCCAACCTTCCGCGCGCGGGCCGTCTGCGACTCGTGCCGGGACGAGATTATCGAGATGCAGTTCGAGCAAATTGTTAAAGAGCAGGCTGACTTCTCTCGGCGGCTTGACGCTGCCACGCTGCAAGAGGCTGCCCGGCTGTGCCGGTCGCTCGAGCATCGCCCCATCGGCAGCGGACGGATGGCTTGCGGGCACGTCCACGAGGGCGCGCTCTCTGTCAAGAACGGACAGCGGTATATCAGGTTCACACTCTTTGAGGAGTACGAAGACACGGTCGAGAGCCGCTCGGGCTGGGTGTGCAACTCGTGTCGCGATGCGAACATGGTCAGCATGGGGTATTGCAACAACGACCGTGGGGGAGACGCAGGGAACAAGCGCAAGAAGAAGAATTTGTCTTTTGACAAGCGGCCGGCCAAGCGGGTTAGGATATGAGCTGGCTCTGTCAGGCTTGATTGATTCCTTTATTCTACGAGCAACCACCATCGACATGAAGCCAGCGTTGCATGGACGGAGACTTCTATTTCAAAAAGCCAGGCCGCTTTTTGGGTTGGGGTCGCACCGAAATCAGGTGAATACACATTGCAAATCGCAGTGCGATATCTGCTGAATACACTGAATACAAGAAACTACTTTATTAACGTGCTTTGCCTTTCCGTGAATATAGATGTCGTAAGAGACCCTTTGGATCTCCAAATCGTGTGTGCTTCTCACTTGAGCCGAACCCCATGGTCCGTGGTCGGTTGGCCCCGAACCATCTCACCTTACATAATGACAAACCTGACATGCAATCAAGAGCGAATCAAATAAGCTGTTCAGTCAAATATGCAACCTTGATCGGCAGTTGTCTCTCTGTCGCGTTGTGCTTACTGTATACCCATTTGGGAAGCATGGTGCGAACATGATGCCCAAGAGAACGGAAATAGCATGGGGATTCTCCACAAAGTCTCAGGCCACCGAATACAAAATGCCGTATATTATGCTGCCATAGAAAGCCCTCTTCTTCCCAAAGTCCTGTATTTGTCCGTCCCCGCGTTTCTCCTTTTCGTTCCAGTGCAGACTTGGTCATGTCCGCACCACCGCAACAGAATGGCTTCCTGGAGGAGCTCAAGTCCGCCGAGGCGGAGATGAGGGATCGAATGATGAAATACACGGCAGCCTGGCAAGCGGGAGATTTGGACACTATCATGTCATACTTTGTTGACGAGGGCCTGGATTACTCGGATTACGGTGAGCTCGCGAGCGGCCTGTGGGAGCATAGAAAACGACTCCCTCCTCGCTGTTACCTTTACGAATGCTGATGTACTGGCCCAGGAATCATGGCCCTGCATATGGACAAGAAGGCGCTCACAGAGGCGTTCAAGCAGATGGCAACTCTGTTCGGAGACATGAAGCTCGAGACGACCTCGGTCCGCGGCGCCGTCGACTTTTGCGTATGGGAATGCGTATTCGAGTTCACGCTCAAGGAGGATATGCCGGGGGTCCCGTACCAGAAGGGCGAGCGATGCAAGCTGTTCAGTGCGAGCACGATTGAGTGGAACGCCGAAGGCAAGATTGTCAAGGAGAGGGATTATGCAGTGTGGGCAAAGCCGGCTGTGAAGCATGGGTAGATGGATCTAATCTTCGGTGAACTACGAGGGGATAACCCAAAGTAACAGATGGGCAAAAAGCTTAAGCAATAACAACAGTGACCTAAGATGGTGGGCAACAACTTAGAATACTTTCAGAGAGCCTTCGAACCGTATAGTGTATGTCAATAAGAGCCTAATTATAGCTACCTGCTCAGCACCACGCTTTCCAGTCCATGTCATTCTCGTCGTCCTCTTCAACCTCATGTTTCATCGTCCCACTCTTTGTGAGCACTTGACGGGCTTTTCCCTTGCTCAAGTAAGGGGAATCATCCTGATCCCGGATATAATAGGCCCAGTCGCATGTGTCGTCGCACTCAGTCTGGCTGAATCCGTTACCAAGCCAGTCAAAGCGATTGCCGGTGTAGCGCACATCCCAGTCATCTGCACGGACATACTGCATTGCCTCAAAGTAATGCAACGAGCTGCCCGGCCACAGAGCAGAAACGCGGCCATCAATAGTGTGCGACTTGTACCAACTGCGGCAACCGCTCTTCCAGATGGTGTCCCGCATGAAGAGGTCCGTTCGTGCTGCGAAGTCTTCAATGGCATCGAGCTTCGGAGTGAACGAGTGGATGTTTTCAGTCTGCCACCGATCGCACCAGCGGAGCATGTAATCTGCTTGAGCCTCTGGTCGACTGGTCAACTAATGCTGGCTATGATCTACCATCTGGCTGGGGGGAGTAGGTACGTACCGATGGCGCCCACGAGTGGACCGCTCCCAATGGGACAGTTTGGTCCCAGGAAATGAAGGTAGTTGGGTTGCGCTGGAGCTGCCACACCGAGATACGAGTGGGCCTCCTTACCCCAGAGATCCTGGAGATTCTGACCGTCGAGACCGATGATAGGAAAGCGCGGCTTGAAAGAGACGTCAAACCCCGTAGCACAAATGAGCACGTCAAGAGGGTGCTCCTTGTCACCGACCACACAGCCGTCTGCTGTAACTCTGTCGATATTTCCGAATGCGAATTCAACGTTGTCTGCTTGCAGTGTCTCCAAATAGTCGATCCCCGGTGTCATTCGCCGGCATCCGAAGTCCCACTTGGGAATGAGTTTCTCTCGGAGGTCAGGACGCAGCAGCTTTGCTCTCATCTGCATATCAACCCGGCGCTTCGTCGTCTCCTGAAGTTTGCTTCCATTAAGAAACATGGTGTAAATGTTGTTGACGTTGCTCTCTGTCTGTTTCCTCCAGTTCAAAAGCACACCTGGCTTCGTCGCGAACTCTTCCTGCTCTTGCTTGGTGTAGGAGTGCTGCTCGAATCCTTTGAGTGGTGTCACCCAGGTAGGTGTCCTCAGAAAGGTAACAACTGATTTAGCATGAGGTTGGATAGCAGGTAGTATCTGGATTCCGGATGAGCTCCCGAATGTTAGCTCTAGTTACGTCTGCGGTCTCACAAGTTCACTCACCCATTCCCAATCAGACCAACCCTCTGACCTGTGAGGTCAGCCGATTCATCATAGTTGGCGCTGTGTAGCAGAGTCCCTTTGAAATCTTTGAGACCCTCGATTTCCGGCCATCTCCAGTTGTTGAGGATGCCGCTAGCATTGATAAACAAATCGCAGAACTCAGTGTTGACCTGTCCTGTATTCACATCTCGGATGCAAACTTCCCATCGAGCCTTGTCATCATGCCAGCGGGCATTGCAAACCTCTCGGTTGACTGTAATGTACTGGTTCAGATCGTGCTTGGCGGCAAACCACTTGAAGTATTCTTTGATCTCAGCGCTGCCAGCGTAGACTGCAGACCAATCGTACTTTGGCTCCCAGGAGTAGACGTAGTTATGACTTGGTACGTCGCAGGCACAGCCTGGATACCGGTTCTCATACCACGTTCCTGAAATCTCCGGGTTCTTCTCGTACAGTCTGAGAGTGAAGTTCTGGAACGACCGCTGAAGCTTGTACGCGAAACAGAGAGCAGATGCACCAGCTCCGACAACTAGAATTGTCATGTGTCTTTCCGAGTGGATTGGTCCTCCGAGCTCTTCATTCCTATAATAACCCCTTTCGCCATTCCGCCTTTGTGGTAGTGATGCTTCGTCGACGCCATTGGTAGTATTGGTTTGATTCGCTGGGCAGCTGGTTGGAGGAGAGATCTCTTGTATCGTCACTGAACTATGCATGCCTTTGGTCTGGCAAACGTTTGCCTGTTGGATTGCAACGGCAGCCATATTCTGGTATAATCAAGGGCGGGAGAGTTCAGAGGTTCTAAGCGATATTGAACAATGAAAGTCTGGTTAGAGAGGAGATCTTACTCGTCGACAGGCGCTATTGTATGAGATGTTTATTATGGCCGGTCTCTTAGTATGCTTTGTATCGAATCTTTCTTCTAGCTATGTTACTACTACGATTGGGGCGGAGAGTGGCACGGCTTGTGGCGACCTTCACCGAAGCGGAACCCTCAATCTCCCGGACTTAGACACCGGACACGGGGCCAGCGCGGGATACGACTGGCACATGGAAGCATCTGCAAATCTTCTAAGGGTAGTGGTCAGCTGGAGGCTAGTGAATCATTGGGCTTCCAATCCTATCATGTGTCGGTAATATTGTCCGAGGGCTAAAGCGTCCGGGTTCAGTATACGGTTAAGACCCACCTGACGTTGGAGACGCGGCCTTTACATCCGCAACTACCTCAAGCACCCTGATCAATTGTCAATTACATAACAATTTCATGACATTCTGGTCCATGAGAAGTCCAACACGACGATTGGGAAAATGGGGAAAGGCTTTCTCCTGCCTGTGTTTGCTCGCTTCTTCTGCTTCCTCTCAAGCTGAATTCGTGATGCAGGTCGCAATCATCACAGGCGGTGGCGCTGGCATGGGGTTTGCAGTCGCTCAACGTCTAGCCCAAGAGGGCTGGTTCACTGTCATCGTCGACGTCAACGAATACCAGGGCCAAAAGACAGTCGAGAAGCTGGGGAACAATGCAGTTTTCAAGAAGGCCAACGTAACCATCTATTCGGAACAGTCCAGTGTCTTTGAGGAGACCTTTATCGAGTATGGCCGAGTTGACTTTGTCTTTGCCAATGCTGGGATTGCTGGAAAAGCAGACTTCTATGATATCGTCAACTATTGGCCTCCAGCAGCACCGTCGATGACTGTGCAAGATGTCAACCTCACCGGGGTAGTCTACTCAGCGTATCTAGCGATGCATTACATGCGCCGCAACACAAAACCTGGGGGCGTGCTGGTCATGACCGCATCTGGTCAGTACAGTACTAGTTGAGGAAGGTCCTCGAAATGAAATCCAGTTTTAACGCATATGAGCAATAGCTGCATCGATTTACTCATCACCCGACCTGCCATTGTATACGGCTGCTAAACACGGCGTTCTTGGCTTGATGCGTTCGATGAGCGAGCGTCTTCGACAGGATGGCATTCGGGTCAACTGCATACTGCCTGGCGCTATACGCACAACACTCCATTCGGCCGACACGTGGTCTCAGTTTGGTACCCGGGACTTCACACCAATCGAAGAGGTTGTCGGTGCAATCATGGATCTTGTACATGACCCCAATGCGACGGGCCGGGCAATGGAAATCAGTGCTGGAGAGGTGTTTGACCGGAAGCAACCAGAATATTGCAACGATACAATGGCAAGAATCATGAGGGGTATCTCGTATGAGGCCTCCGAATAGACATCGCATGGCTTGGTTGAATCAATGATTTCAAACTGTAGAAGAATGGTGCAATATGTGTTCAATTCCATCATGCTATCATCGAAGGCGCCGCCAGGGCAAGGTTTGTGTACAGCTTTCGAGTTGACCAGGCCAAAAAGGGGACCCAAAATCAATGATACTTGTTCTTATCGGCAAACGCGTCGTTCTCAAGGAAGACTTCAATCTTCTTGGTCATCTTGGATTCGATACCCTCGCACAGGAGTGCCAAGATGATTCCCACGACGCCGAAGGCCATCGATGCCAGAGCAGCGTTTCTGGGTATCAGGTCAGCTTGGATATTGAAATGGTTGTAAATGTGACTTGCCGTAGCCCAAACGCAGCAGAATACTTGTACGCTGTGCCAACAGCATCGATTACCTCTTGGCTTACGCCTGGGATTTTGGAGAGCGCAGCCGCACCCTGTGAAGCCGCAGCTAGCACCTGGGGAACCAGATTCGCTGGTAATCCTGCATCCAGCGCGGCCCGGGGAATGATCTCTGCACCTTTAGTCGCAATACCATTGGCAATAGCACTGGAGTAGCATGCAGCTGCAACCGCACCTCCGGCATATCGTGCCGTTCCAGCCAGGCCGCCGGATACACCGAGCATTTCCTGAGGAACGCCCAGCTGAGTGTATGTGACTGACAAGTACACTGACCAGCCGTAAGATGCCTGGCACAACGCGACAAATGTGACAATGATCGCCTTGTTGTTAGGGGTTATCATCGCCAAGAGACTCCCCCATAGGACGAGAGAGAACGTAGATACTACCATCTGCCACTTCCAATGTCCAATCTTATTCCCGAATACGGACAGTAATGTGGCACCGATAGGAATAGGCAAACTGTTCGGCAGCGTAAGAAGCAATTCTTCTGAGACCGAGGTGGTCGGTCCGATATAGAATGAATCTGTGTGTTTTCAAGTTAGACCTGGTAGAAGTAGAGCACAGGTTGCAAACAACTTACTTAGCATTGTAGGATAGATTACTGCAGTCCCGTAGAAGAATCCGACCAGGATGAATGTCAGGAAGAATGGCACTGTAAACTCCCTGCCGCGATGACTCGTGAAGATCTCAGGCGGACAGAGCTTGTACTTGACGCGTCCAAACTTCTCCCACGCGCCAAACACGATTATCACTACAAAACCGACGCAGAGACATACGAGAACCTTAGGGCTGGTGCTCTTTAGGTATGATGTGTTGACAATCCCAGAGAGGACAAGAACAGCGCCAATGGTGAACAAGACGCCACCAATCCAATCAAGACCACGGAGTGCCTCCTTCCAGGGAATACCGCGTGGATGCTTAGGAGGATCTAAAGAAACTAAATCAGCGATTGCTTCAGACTTCCGGCTGTCGTAGGGCAATCATAAACTCACGGTAGAGAAAGAAAAGCCCGACGGTGGCAACAACTTCCACAATAAACCCAGCCCAGTAAAGGAACCGCCAAGCATCACCTGGGTGGATAATAGCATATCGGCTCGCGATGGGCCCAATGACAATCATGATGTAAACGACAGCATCAGCCAGCACCACACCGATATGACGATATCGGTTCGGGATCAGCTCGGGTACGGCGATGAGGGCAATGCCGCAAATTCCGCTTCCCACGCCGTTGAATACAAGCCCAGCAATGAGCATGGACGTAGAGTTAGCAAGAGCGCAGATGATATAGCCGATAGCGGTCATGACGTTCGCCGCGAGGAGAAAGTATCGGCGGCCGAACAGATCGGAATTGGCTCCAAAGAGAAGAATCGAAACAGCAGCGGCGGTGGTGATACAGGGCACCACCCAGGCAGCGAGCTCGACCTGGCCAAATTTGGCTAATAGCTGTGAAGCAATAGCTGCAGTTGTCGGTGTGGCCCTGGCAAGGGTTAGCTACGAGAGCGTGTTGTATGAACCGTGGAAACAAAGCCTCTGACCAAAAAGGGCCACCGAAAGACAGGGCAAGAAACTGACCGGTGTTAGTGGACCAATTTACCTGTAAAACCAAGCCGCGTATGACTTACAAAGATCGACAACCAGGCCTTGACAGTGGTTTTCTCCTCTGCTGTGCCGTGCAATTCTTGCTGCAGTTCATTGGGCGGAGAACCATCTTTGTCAGTGCGAGCTTCGATCATCTCGACCTTAGACATGCCCAGATCTTCCTGTTTGTTCTCAGACATGTTTAAGACCGCGCTTCTTGTGGGTGAAGTATTGAAAACTAAGCAAGGCAGAGCAATTTGCTACATCAAAAGAAGACCGCGCGTTTCGGTGAAGGAGGCAGAGGCGGTCTTAACATCGACTCAATCAGGACCTCAGACTCGAATAGACTCTACTAGCTGGTATGCAAACAATGCAAGGATATTTCAGGAGGCTAAGATCCTAGGTAGTATTTTCCCCCGCAACTACGCACGACCCAGATCCTGGGGAAGCAATCTTGTGGTCTTGGCAACCCTTCGGATACCGATGCCAATCTTCATTGGGTTGGTGGTCTCCCGGACATATTCACCGAAGCTAACCAGCATGACCCATAATTCCGCATCGACGCATGTTGCAAGTCCGGGTCCCACTCGGGCCAGATGCATGTGAGGAGATGCCTCGAGATCCAGACCAACTGTAAGGAGTGGTAAAACTGTAAGAACGAATATTGAAGATTTGAGAGACTCATTCCATGCTTGTGCAAACCATAAAACGACGAAAAAGGGATTGTGTTAACAGCAATATTCAGATAGACGAAACAAGAACAAGCAACATCGCTCATCACCCTGTACATTATCTTTCAAGCTATCTCTATACGTCACTTGATAGCTGTTGCCCTTGTCTTTGGTATTCGCCGAGATGGTCTACCCCGGCCAGCTGAACTACGCCAACTTCCCGGCACCATACATCGGCAGGCCTATCGATGACCCTGGAAGAAGACTGCGAGTGGTGACTGTTGGGGCGGGCATATCGGGAATCACAACGGTCATCCGGTTTAATCAGCATCTCGGTGAGCACGTCCACTTGCAGGTCTACGAGAAGAACGCAGGTGAGTGGAACTATTCATCTTCAGCACATTCGGCATCAACTAACCACCCTCACTCCAGACGTGGGTGGTGTGTGGCTTGAAAACCGCTACCCTGGTGTCGCCTGCGATATTCCGAGTCCATGTTTTGCTTTTCTATTCGAAGACAATCCGAATTGGTCCAGCTACTATGCCAGCGGCGGAGAGATCAACAATTACATCCATGACATTGCAACAAAATATCGTGTCCGCCAGTTTATGAAGTTCCGTCACCTTGTCAAGCACGCTCAATGGAACGAAGACAAGGGCACCTGGAGCTTGCGGGTATACGACGAGGTCAACGACAAGGTACTTGCATCTCCGTCAGTTCACTGCAACCTAACAAGTGGCTTACGCGATAGCCCAGACCATTGAAGATGAGGCCGATGTTCTCATATTAGCAACAGGCATGCTGAACAACTGGGAGTTCCCCAAAATTCCAGGATTGCACTCTTTCAAGGGGCCCAACATGCATACCGCCAACTACGATATCAATTTCGATCCAACAGAGAAGGTGGTAGCGTTGGTTGGAGGCGGGTCTACTGGTGTGCAAGTCTTGCCGCACATTCAGAGACATGCAAAGAATGTGCATCATTATATGAGATCACAGTAAGTCAGAGCCTAAGCAGAAATCCTGTTTATTCTCCGCTGCCATTTTAACAACGATTAGAAACTGGATTGCCCCCGTGGGTTTTGGAGCCGCCGAGCTAGAAAAGAGGGGTCAACTATCACAGGGCAATTGTAAGTACAGGGAGGACAACTTATTTGATTGCATGCTCACCAAAGTGTAGTCTTGTATCCTGAGGAAGAGAAGAGACACTGGTCTCAGAATCCGCAAGAGTATCATTCCTACCGCAGACAGGTCGAAGATAGCATCATGGCTTATATGGCGGAAGAAGGTTTCAAGTTTGGTTCTGCAGAACAGAAAGAGATGGAGACCAACTTCAGGGACCATATGATGAAGATGCTGGACTCGCGACCTGAAATTCTCAAGACTCTTCTTCCAGATTTTCCACCTGGGTGCAGAAGATTAGTTCCTGGGCCTGGCTATCTCGAAGCTCTGGTTCAGAAGAACGTTGAGTGGATACCGGAGGGAATTCAGTGCGTGACGGAAGATGGTATCATTACCTACGATGGAACCATGCACAAGTGCGATGCGATTATATGGGCTACTGGATTCATATGGTATCTAGAAGTCAACGCTCTTCTTCGAGATGCCCATGCTGACTATCATGGATGCTAGTGACTTCAGGAGCCGATTTCCTATCATCGGCCGTGATGGAATAACTTGGAATCAAGTAATGGACCCTGAGCCAGAAGCATACCTCGGCTGCATCGTTGACAAGATGCCTAATTGCTTCTTGTACTTTGGACCGAACTGTGCTCCGGGCGCCGGGAATGCCTACCTCTGTTCCGAGTCCGAGTGCGAGATGATGATAGCTTGCGTCAAGAAGATCCTTCGGGAGAAGATCAAGTCGATCTGCATCAAGTAGGCTGTTATTCACCTTTCACCTAGCTATTACGAGATTACGCCGCTAACAGTCTCGTGCAGACAAGAAAGGGTAAAGCAATATACTGCGCACGTCAACACCTATCTCAAAGGAACTATCTTTGGTCAACCAGTACGTAATATTCTTCAGACTAGTACAGCTTTTACTAACTCTTCCTAGTGTAAATCGTGGTTCAAGAGAGGCGACCCAACTGGACGAAATATTGGTACGTTTTCAATGCCGAGCTGAACAGTTCTTCGTCTCTTTAACATAGCATCAAGCATATTATCCCGGGAACTCTCTCAACCAGTTATATGCACTTCGTCATCCGCGATGGGAAGACTTTGAATACACATATCTGGATGAACTCGAGAACAACCCCATGGCATGGCTCGGCAATGGCTACACTGTTTCGGACTACGACGGCACGAGCAGAACTACATATTTAGACCCTGCCTTGATCGACTATCCGCCTGTCCCGGAACCTGAGGAGAAGATTGAGGGATCTGACTCCGAGATGGAGACTGTGATTATATCGATGGCAAGTGGGGACGAGAAGGGAGCTATCTTAGTAGATCATATTGTCCCTGCAACTGCTGTGTAGAGTGTTTGAGGGCTGTCGCTTTCTATGGTCGACTTGGCGAGTATTGAACCTTCCTTGACTTTAACGAATGGTTGTTATAATGGAGTACTTGAAACAACTAGATGTCTTACAGATATGATCGTACAGGACATGAGAGCTATGTAAAGAAGCTAAAAGCGTTTTTAAGTCCTGTGATTCTGTTGTACTAGGTTCACACGTGTGCATACAATTAAGTCTTTCAACACCTGATCCAACAAGATTCCTGCCAACTTACAGAAAATAAGACTCGAAAGAATTAAGACGATCAAATTGAGTCCCCGTTGGCTGAAAATCGAGAAAGGGGAGAGACTGTAGGTCGACGCTGGGTGTGGCTGTGACAGCAAACGACAGCGGAGTTGGCAGGTTCATAAATTGGCGGGCTGACCCTGCAGGATTGATCACCGCATCTAGGTTGAGCAAACGTATCGCATGCTGAATGACTTTGCGGACGCGTCGGGTGACGACGTGGCTCTTTTCGAGCTCACTGAGAGAATTGAGACATTTGCGGAGCGCTTTGAGCTGGCTGGCACCTGCGCTCGCCTTACGCTCGGCGACATTGGCTATCAGTGTTGTCGATGCCGTGGCGATGATGTGCAGCGCAATCCACGACATGGTTGAGACACTGCCATGTTGCTCGTGATACTCTTGTAGATATTGTGCAATCGAGCATGCATGGTTAATGCAAGTCTGCCGTGATATTTCGCTGGCTGAGGATTGCAATGAGATCTCTTTACCGAATTGGGCTAATGGTCGATGAAGAAGAATCATTGCTGCAGCATATTGCATACTATGTTATGGGTAAGTTACACTTCTTGTATGTATCAATCTTTCTGACGGTACTTGAATAAAACCTACTGCAAGAGATATACGGCTGGGGTTTGTTTAGCATGATAATGCAGTGAAGGGTCGAGTGAAGAGTGCCAATTCTGCAATCTTTGGTCGACTTGGGTCATATGGTGCCGAGGCGTGTGTACCCCATTCCTCGTTCAGGTCAGACCGATGGGAGTCATCAGGATAACGAATCTTTACGTACAAGATCTCACATATCAATCCAATGAGTTCCAGAAGATTTGTCCAGGCGGCTGATACCTTCATGTCATTGGACGCGTCAAGCTGGCCTTCGCCGGGCCGCCTGACATCAATGTCCTCTATCCTGACGCACTGCGGCCGACCAAGATAAAGTGCCCAAGCGCTGCAATACTTCGATTAGTAATAGGGACCAATATCCAATCGTATAATCATAGATATTTATATACCGGTCAAGGTTGAAGCAACTCCAAAAAGTGATTTGCCTCACTTCAATATCCAAGCTGGACAGGCTGGTGTTGAGTTGTTCGCTATTGCTGTGAAGTCCAAGCTCATATGCCAATCTGCCCGCGCCACCTGTTGTGACATCAGCAGTTGTCCGCTCCGGAAATGAACTTGGTATCAGTTTACCAGCGTACATCCACCCCTTGGTGTCATGAGATATAGCGCAATGCATCTCGCTGAGTAACTGAAGTGACTGCGCAGTAGTGATTCCTGGGTTGTCTAACTCCGTTTCTAATAGCTGGACACACTTTCGAACTAGATAAGGAGGGTCATCTTCCGCGTCATCTGCCAGTGCCAGAGCACGGAGTCCTGGCTGATTCGATATCGCAGCCGCTCGGGTGAGGATGCAGTACAACAGGAGCGTGCTGCAGTATTGGGTGTCGCCATTCTGCATATCTCTAAGAAATGCTGGACCGATAAGTCAGCGACATAGGTCTACGATCAAGGCCAGCCCCTTTGTACCTTCTTTATGAATACTAACATGGTGTCAGCGGCATAGAAATACATCGCTGGCGATATTACTCACCATGGTAGAACCTGATGTAAGTACGTCCAATAGAGATCAAGGAGGTGATTCTGCACCTCGAGAGGAAAGTCGTCTTGCCACACTGGACACGTGGTACCGTTAGACTCGCGGATCAGGACGGACGATGTCACGCTTTCCAACAGATGAAGACTCGATGTAGGGCCGAAGAAACGCAGTCTGCCATCGCGATCACTGTTAAGCTGTCTCTGCCCTCCACAAAGCCGCACAATCATGTTATCAGACTTAGTCGAGCAAGATGCCGGAGAGAGGCTCTCGGATTGTTCTTCAGACATCCAGTCTTGATAAACATCGCCCATATTATCGCCCATGAGACAGACAGTACGGTGTTCTTCTAGCTCGGCTTTGAGACGGGCGTTCTCTGCTCGAAGGTCTTCGATGAGCTTCCGTGAGTGTGCACGCCGGCGCTCGTCAAAGTACGGGACATCGCATTCGACCTGAAGCCTGTGACAGAGACTGCAAGTGCTTGATCCTCGCGGGCCCGGTCGACACTGCATGGATGATGCAGTCAGTTCTCTACGTTGAATGAAGTGAAAGATTGAGTCTCATACCTTGACCTTTTTGCGCCGGCAGCTCAAACATGCCAGCTGTTTCGGTGCCTGGGACTGTTTTCTTCTCGCTCCCTCCTCGCCTCCGTTCTGAGTCTCAGGTGTGGCTTCTTGAGGCATCGTCGCCTCCCCTGCAACGGGGGCGCCCTCAAACCAGCTGCTTGAGTCCATTCGCCTTCCACTGATACAAGTCTTCTAAGATGAAGTAGAATCACTCTCAAGCCAGTATCTCCAATGTCATCCGGCACAGAAATTCAATATCCTATGAAATATACAGTATGGGAAATTGGTGGAAGACAGGGATGGAACAAACAACCACCCCCGCATTTGAAGACACCTTATCATCATCGTAGTTTGGAGTACTAGCGGCTTAGGTATGACTTCTAAATCTACAAGACGCTTGCCTAGACCGACTCTTTCTATTCATCCCATTAATCCAATACGCAGTTGTACCTATCCTGTCAGACTGAATAGTACTTCTTGATCACATACGTCTGACTTCAATGGTTTAATCGAACCAAGCTTCTTACTAGCCATGAAGATAGAGGCCAGTTCGACGCAGGAGAGGCCGAAGCAGTTCACGAGTGTGGGGAAGATGGATGAGAACATCCGAAACCCTATTTCCCCGCATAACCCTTTCCGACTTCCCCAGGTCGTTCCCACTTTTCTTTCGGTCATTAAGACCGGACTGGATCTCAGCTGATAGGCTGAGCTGGCCATCCTGTAAGTTTTAGCGATCTCAAGGGATCGAAGTTATAGACGAATGAAGTTATGGCTCGGAGTGCCTTGAAGAAGCCCGTAATCAGAGTCGAAAGTAGAGTCGGAGAGCCACACGGCAGTGTCCGGCCGGTATCAATCAGCGAAATGGGGGAACGAAGACACGAGGGTTTGGATCTTAAACTCAGATTTGTATAGAAGCGTCTTGAAGCTCATCATTGGTGTCATGTCACCTCGTGCATCACTCGCCGTAGACTTGGTCAACATCAAGAAATAGGACAATCTTGCACAATCTGAGAAGTTGCTCTCCCATAGCCCTCCAAGCTTCTGTGCTGCCCCCCATCATGTCGACCAACCTACAAGGCAAGGTCATCGCCATCACGGGCGCCAGTGGTGGCATGGGCTTTGAGACGGCCAAAATGCTAGCCGCACGCGGTGCCAAAGTCTCCATGGCTGATATCCAGGAAGGGCCACTGATGGCTGCTGCCGACAAAGTCCGCCAATCTGGCGGAGACACCATGGCGCGCGTGGTAGACGTGCGTGACGAAAGTTCCGTTGACGCTTGGATCGAGGATACGGTAGCCCAGTTCGGTCCTCTCGACGGCGGCGTCAACCTGGCAGGCGTGCTCCCAAAGACATTTGGGACGCACTCGGTAGCAGAGACTGTCTCGAGCGACTGGGACTTTGTGCTGGGGGTGAACCTGACGGGAGTCATGTACTGCATGCGGGCGCAGTTACGCCATATGAAGGATGAAGGCAGCATCGTTAATGCATCCAGTGTTGCGGGCGTGCAGGGGTTCGAAAACAACGCCAGCTACGGAGCGTCCAAGTTCGGCGTGATTGGACTGACGAAGTGCGCAGCTTGCGACGTGGGGCCGACAAGAAGCATTCGTGTCAATGCCATTGCGCCGTAAGTGATTACAAGCCGGATGCCAGATTCCCTTGGCTGAGGGCTAACCTTCACAAGTGGCACATTTAGGACTCCCATGTATGAAAGCGTCATCGAGGCTCGAAACGGCGAGGAGATGCCAACAATACAGAAGATCAAAAGGGAGGGACAGCCATCGGAAATCGCGTCCCTTGTTTGCTGGCTCCTTTGTGACGAGAGCAAATATATCACCGGGACTGTACAGCTGATCGATGGGGGCTGGATCTGTTAGAAGGGACCATGTTGTAATTTCCAATGTTATGAGCATTTGCACCACCAAAGAAATCAAGAGGCCTTTTGCGTTTCATAGCGTACACTAGTACATGGATATTAAGCTGATCGTTACATGAGATGTTCAAGGTCTTTTCGAATCGAGGCGCAAATACCCTCCACGAACTTCCTCTCTTCGTCATCTGTGAGGCCAGTAGATCCTAGCTTCCAGGTGACGGTGTACATGAGGCTTCCACCTTTGACAGCTGCGAAGCTGAAAGCCAACGATTGGCCAATAACGTGTCCTGGCTGCGTGAATACCACCTTCGTGACCTTGGCTCGGGTTCCCTGCCCAATTGCCTGGCTATCGCCACTGTCGAAGGAGCCGATATTACTCAGCTCGTATGAGCATTCTCGCCCCTTCCCGACTTTACCTAGGATCCAGGACCGTATGTTGGGCAACAATCTAAGCAGTCCTATTGGTTGATCCTGCAAGGTTGCCGCATCTTGGGCAAGCCGGCGTGTGTCCTCACGAGCTCGGGCCCATTCTTCTTCCGAAAACTCCTCCGAAGGCTCCGTCTTGGGATGGCGAAGGTAGGAAGCGGAGACAAAGTTTCCCATCTCGTCGTCCGAAGCACCGATAGCACGCCGTAGGTTGAGGGGTGTCTGCGAGACAAAGTTGGTGATGTTGCTGTCTTGTACGGCACGGCTGAGAGCTCGGACGATGACTTGATGCAGGACGCCTGTGAGCTTTGCGTCATGCTTTCTTGCCACGTTGATGGCGTTCTGCAGGGTGTTTGCGTCAATCTCTTGAAGTGACAGCTGCGTTGCTGACCGGTCCGGCTCTGGCATGAAGACAAGGCTGCCTTGGAACGTCCCTTTGTCGCCAGGCGAAGCAGGGGATCGAAGGTCGAGCCAGTTGTAGATGCTCGTGGGGAGGATTAGAGAAAGTATCGGTGCCAGCATGAAGGACAAAGATATTGGCAGTCTCTGCGCAGTGTCGAAGGGAGGCGGAAATGGCCTGGCTGGGGTCTCAACCACCTCGGGCTCTGCGGACTCTGACGGTGGCAAGCTCCTCCAGCCTTCGAGAAAGGTGCGGTGGAAAGCAGCTCCGGATGTGCCATCGCCAATGGTATGTGAGTAAGCAAAAGACACAAAGCATCGGCCTCGGTATGGTATGACGCTAATCCTCCACGGTGGAATTCCGGATTTGAAGGGTTGATCAAGATCGGTTGCTAAAAACTTCTCGATACCAGAGTAGCCGTCATCGCCGGTGGTATCTAGGATGAAGATGTGGTCCTTGAGGTTGATAACAGGCACTCTCTGATAGAATGGTTTGAGGGCATGCATGTCGCCAACTGTGACGCACAATTGAGGGTGCTTCTCAATGCATCTTCTTAGTGGTGCGAAAAAGGAGGCAGGTGTTGAAACATCAACGCCATTTTCAACGTCATATATGGCAGCGACGATCACCGCATAGAAGATGCCCAGGTCCTCACGCACGACATTGCGAAGCTCGTTCGGACCTGTCAGTGTCAGTAACATTCCTAGCTTCAAGTTGTACGCGCCACCTACTTGCGAATCTCTGAAATTCGTTCTTGTCTGCCATGATGGTTTCGATGCCCCTGATCCGGTGGGCATAGGGGATGGATGGCTTCAGACCGGTAGCAATAAGAGACAAGACAACAGCTCAAGGGAATAGCCAGTCGAGGGGTTGCCAGCAGAATGTTAGAAGGGGTTGGTCAGGGAGATGGGTCCAGCTGGCCACGAGACGGGATCAACAAGCGTCGTCAAATTCGCCATGGGCTACCTAGCTAACTCGGTAACTAACACCCAAGAGAGTTGGGTGGGTCCGGTAACTTTTTTCTATTTCGGGTAAAGCGGCGATCGTGGGAGGTTGATCCACCCTTTAAACCGCTCCCGTTCCTCAACGACGACCCTCGGAGTTTCGATTCTCTGCCAGCTATTTGTGATATGAAAACGTTTACGGGGTCGTATCCGCGCCATTCTTCGGGCTTCGCCGTCCCAAATATATCCAGCTAGCGGACTCACTTCGAGTAAGGGACAATGGGCTCATAGTGTTACAACGCTCAGCGCTACGGAGATGGATGTTGACCCTGAAACTGGCTCCGTTGACGGAACGCGCAGAGTCTCTCGATCTCCCGCAGACGCACGCCCAGCCTGCGAGCGATGCCACAAACAAAAGGGGAAGTGCCACTTTCTTCAGGGCCAATCAACTTGCTCGGGGTGCTCGCGCTTGGGCTTGGCCTGCCAGCCAAGACGACGGAAACGGATGGGTCGGAGGCCAATTCTGAAATCGTTCCTCTCTGGCACCACCTCTATTGTATCTCTATCTTCTGAGCCTTCACAGAGCTATGAAGAATCTACCGATCTCAATGACGCGGCCTCAAGCAGCGCTCGGGCGCAGGCGATCATCAAGACGGCCCCTTCAAGCCCTGTCCAAGCCAGGCTGAACTCTTCACCTACCTTCGAGCATGGCAAAAGGCAGTTCAGCTTGAACCTCCACAGTCTCAAATCACCAACTTGCACATACCCACTCGTCGACAATGTACTCTTGACGAGAGAGGGCTTCTTTGAAACCCATCGCCACTTCATGCTGGGCCCGACATTCGCCGACTCATACCACCACACCGTGCTGCGGCTGTACCATCGCTCTCCGCGCCTCATCGCCGACGCCTACTTGGCCGTGCTCCACCGGATGTACACGCAAAGAAAACTCATCGCGCATCCGGACCGAGAGGATCTAACAATAGCTGCTCAATGCCTCCGCAGCCTGAGACACGTATCATCAAGAGTATTGATCTCCCACGTGGAAGACGCAGCAGCGGTAGTCATGCTCGGCCAGATCCTCCTCGTATACAATTCCATGACTCCATGCACTTCAACCCGCGTCATCACGCGTGCCGCGCTGCTCTCTGTTCGCGACTGGTTCCCGGCTCTGTCGCAGAGACCAGACCTCTACGGCATCACTCTGGTCACCGTTCTGGTCGACACCATCGACTCCCTGGTTAGGCGCGAGATGCCCATCGTCAGGGTGTCGGCCTGCGCGACAGACACCGTCGACAGATCCGTTGGCATTTGCTGGTCTCTGTTGCCTTTGCTCTATGATCTCTGTGAGCGCAGCTTCCAGGTCAAAACAGCAGCGGCGCGAGAGCGCACCTGGACGTCGGGCGACCAAGACCCGTATGCGGATATCGAGCAGGCCATCCTCTCATGGGCCCCTTCCCTATCACCACAGTTCTACAGCCGATACTCGGCATCAGAAGTGGCGATCATGCAGTCTCAAGCCCGCCTGTACCGTCTTGCGGCGCTTCTTCTTATTCACCGATTGCGGTACCCGCTTGGTACCGAGGACAGCACCGCTTGCGCCTACGCAAAGAACATCCTAACTGAGATGTCTCCGCTCGTCTCTTGGCCCGTGAACGGTGCCACAGGCTGGTGCATCGACTTCCCGCTCTTCCTGGCCATGCTTGAGATCCCTGAGCAGGGCGAAGATGTCTTCAGGTCATTGGAATCAAAGAGGTTCCGACAGCCCCACCCTGAGATAGAGCTTCGATTCGTCAAGTATATCAGAAAAGCACGAGAAGCTGGCTACTCGGGGCTCTGGTTCGACCTTGTAAATGAAGGACTGGATGGAGATATCTTGCCATGAAGATCTCTCAAGGAGCTGCAAGAGAATAACACATAAATTCAAGAATAGAAACTCTACGTTATTTTGTGTCATCAATCATCAAATTTCCGGGAAGAACGGAGAGAATCTTTCCGGATTGTTCCAGAATTAGCTAGGAACAGTATTTTATTCCCGAGATAGAGACAGATAATGCCTCCCTCTTCCATTCTTCTTTTCATATCCATATCCTTTTCTATCCTACAACATGGCGCTCTGCGGGGGTTTGAATCAGCCATCTTGAATTCAGTCCGATACACCAGGCCAACCAGGGTATCCTTGCTCCACGTCCCAAAAAGCCTCAATCAACAACAATGGCGGTGATCTGGACCTTGGCGTCGACATAATGCCAGTTCTCTACGGTAACTGAGACTCCAGGGTTGATTTTGATCAAACCATGCGGACCCAGCTTGAAGTCCTTCCCCTGTATCTTAACCGAGAGTTTTCCGGATGCAACAAAACACACCTGCATCCGGTCTGGATCGACCGTGAATGAATGCGAGGTGCATGCCTTGATGGTAACAACACGGCATGCTACTTGGTCTGAAATCTGTATGGACTGGTTGTGGTTCAGGTAAGCATTTGAAAATGCCACATCTGTCGTGTCTTGTCAGCAAGCAACACTTGTGAGTTGTGAGCACCTGTCGTGAATAACACACCTTCGAGACCTTTGTCGGTGGCTACACGCACCCGACCTGGTGCGAATTCCCAAGTCTCCCCTTCTAACGTCGGTGCCTCTTCGGCAGCCTGGATGGCTGGGTCCATCTTTGAGTCCACCGAAGCCAAAGGATACTGCTTGACAGCAGGGTTACCATCACTTGACTCAGATACCCCGTTCCTCTGAGGTCTGGACGGTTCAAGCACTCCATCCGTTGAGGTAAACGTGCCCATCGTTAAACGGGTAGAGTTGGCCGTTCCAGGCGTCGGCGTTCTTGCTTGGTTTTGCAGCCGGACGAAGACACATGGATGAGAGTGAGACTGAACGAAGCAGTTGCTGCAGGAAAACACGCCAAAGTGCTCTGTCAGCTCCTGTGATACTCCAGCGGGCAGTGCGATACACTCTTCAAAGGGTTGTTCTGCTTTGCCGCTGCAATTGGTGCAGAGGCCCTTCGAGCCCGTCAGAAAGACCAGGCAGGCGGTAAAGTCCCTGGAGTGAGTTGCGCGTGCCCCGTGTTTGCGGAGCCTCTGCTGCCAGCTGACACTCAGAGTGCGCTGTAGGGGATAACCAAGGAGAGGAATGTCAAGGCTGCGGACTGTCGACTTCGGGCACGATGTTAAATAAGACCGAATATAGTTCCAGACATCTGAGTTGTCAAATACTGACGAGTTCACATTCGGCACGTGCTTCCGTTGAAGATTGGGGCTTCCGGGAACGGGTCTAAGACTTTGAAAGCCTGACCAACCTGGCTGCTGAGGAGGAATGTCTAATCCAGGAGGCGATGCTTTCTTTGAGGCAGTATTCTGTGTGGCCTGTTCCGCCTGCGGCTGGAGGGCTTGCACAGGCGACGTCGTAACCTCGAACTCCTCACATTCATAACTCTGACTTCGCACAGATTTCCGGGGCGCGATATGTGCGTGAGTCTTTTGTTTCGGAGGTCGCATAGTTGTGGAGGCCGATGTGACCATCGACTTGGCTGAGCCGTGAGACTGGGGAATGTGGAAGAAGGATTCAGAAGTCGCGTCTGCCTCATGCTTCAGTGCAGGTGTCGTACTCCGTGAGGATGTGAAAAGACTCCTCCGGGCAAGGTTGATGCTAAAATCCTGTCCCGGTCCGGGCGTGATCCTCGAGATATCACTTGTCGCAGATGACGGAAAGAGTGCGTCGGCAACGGCTGTTTTGACTCGCTTGGGGATCGCTGGTAAAGAAGCACTGAAGTGATCACATCCTCCTTGAGTCGTATCCTTCCTCTTCTTGGTGCTTCTGCTGGAAGGGGAAAGGGCGGAAGTGGCGTTTGATGCTGGAAGCATGTGTTTGGACATACTTGCGGCTCCGAAGGGTTGCTTTGACGACCAGGCGCGGCGCGGCGCAGCCCAGTGTCACAACAGGCGGGGGATGTAACGAAAAGGGACAATAGACAAGGACCTTGAATTTTGGGCCAGGCCGTCGCGGTGTGACGCGTTGAAGCGTGGGCGGAGTTGGGAACCGTTCAGGCCCTTCAGTGTTGGGTTTGCTGGTGCCTGAGTGTTAAGTTGGAGAGGGCAAACAAGTCGCGGTTGCCGGCATAAGTTGCAGTGGAGTTAGAAGTACCACAGCGCTGGGGAGCAGACTTAATCACCACTGCTGATAAACGCAAGGTGAGACGGACCTGACGGCTATAGCTTCAATGTTCCAACGATGTGGCCTCCTATGTCTATAAGACCTTCAAGTTTGTTCTTTGAGAACAACAACACTCCTCCAGTGGCCAAAGAGGCACCAGCAACTGTCTATAAGCCACATCCTAACACATCCTAACTTTGAAGCGCAATGCTTCGACCTATCGATTTTAGGTAGTGGGCTAAGCCATGTCATTTGAATGAGGATATGCATCATCAGCATTAAGATCTTCTGGTGAACTTCGAATCATTATCGCCCCGCTCAACAGCAAAGACAACATCATGATTTCCAGAGGAGCTTTGCATCTGTGTGTTCTCTCTGCCAGTGGCTTATTTGCTGGCCATGTGCGGCAAAGTCCTCAAGGCTATTAACAATGGGAGCAACGCGGAGGGTGTTCTCAGTCGTTTTAGGGATCATGGAAATGTGAAATCTTGAAAACAGAATTATTGAGCCACAGATTCAACGTGATCTTCCCGTCTCCAGATCCTTCTGAGGATAGGAAGTCACAGTCCCAAAAAAGAATAACAGACAGCTCGTTCAGATATCCCGTTGCACAAAATGGTTTTACATATGGCTGTGTCCAGGGACCAGATCCAGCCCATCTCTACATTTACAGCGTACACATCAATCGATCTTTGACAGCACACAGCTTCGATCATATGTATCTTACAAGGGTGCATGCACCAGCCGCCAACACTTTTCTGCCTTCTCCCTCACGCCGCGGCCTTCTTGTCCTTCTTCCCGTCCTTCTTGGCCTTGGCCTTGGCCGCCCGCTTGGCCAGCATCTCCTGCCTCTCCTTCTCCCGCGCCGCCGCCATGACCCGCCGCTGCCGCAGCGCCTCCTGCCTCTGCGCGAACTCGGCGTCGCGCTTCCTCCTGCGCGCGCGCAGCTTGCCGTGCCGGCTGCCCAGCACGACGGTGCCGGGCGTCTTGCCGCGGTGCCTGCCCATCAGGCGGCCGATGGCCGAGTTGGCCTCGCGGTAGCTGTAGTCCTTCTGCAGCAGCAGGACGCGGTTCGAGCGCTTGATGCGCATGCGCTCCGACCACCGACGGGCGAGGTACGCCGCCGGCGCGCGGTACTTGGTGTGCTTCTTCTTCTTGCCGTCGGCAGCGGCGGGCTGCTGGCTCTCTGCGGCCTCGATGGCGGCGTCGGCCTCCTGCGCGGCCTGGATGGCGTCCTGGATCTGCATCACGCCCTCCTTCCGGATGACTCTCCGCGGGATGCCGCTCAGGCTGAGGGCCTCGCTCTTGACCTCGGGCTTGCGGGGGACGGCGACGAGGCCCAGCTTGCGCTTGCGCATGGCATTGGGCGGGTAGGGTAGCTTGTCCTCGCGGTTGAAGACGACGCCGATGTACTGTCGAGTCGGGTGGCGGGCAGGGTCGCGGTAGTACTTGACGTATCCCGAGACGGCGGCATGGATCGTATGGTCGCGGCCGAGGATGGTGTTCTCGCCAGCGTGCCAGAGGGTGCCGCGCTGCTTGTAAATGATGTTGCCGGGAATAACATATTGGTCTGGTGATTGAACAGAGGTCAACGGTCAGCAAGGGCAATTGATGGGGGGGGCTTGGAAGAGGAAACGCACCGCCAGTCCTCTTGGCACCCAGCTTCTTGGGTATCGTCTTCTTGGACGTCAATTTGTAGGCACCCTGCGACTTGACCGTGGCATTCCTCCTTCCCTCGACGGCCTGGTTGCCGACATCGATGCGTGATGGCGACAGAATTTCGGGTCGGTGGCTCCAGGCGAAGGAAATCGTCGGCCTGAAGCTGGAGCCGGCAGCTGCCCTCAAGGGCTGCTGCAATCGTAGGAGCCGCATTTGGTCGGGTTGTTGGGCTCCAATGGCAAAGGAATGGAGCTTGGAGTCTGGAAGGGGAGGTCCCAAAATCGTCCCATGGTCCTCTCGATCAAAATTGTTGTCGGGGATCATGGGTCATGGGTGGGCTTAGTCATCCGGGCGGTGCTGATAACGATAAGCCCCAGCTTTACGGTACCGTACCGTACCTGCAATGGCCAAATTGTCCAGATGACGGAACGCGACCAGTCAGTCCCACGCAACGTTTTTTCAGATCTCTGCTCTAGAACTGTGAAATCGGGATCCGATGTGCGAGCTGTTTTCACGGCATACACACTCCTTCAGAATTACCCAGTCATTTAACCCGATTCCTTGCGCAAGATGCGTCCCCTCAGCGCCATTTCCATGCTAGTCTTCTTCCTGGGCTCCGCCAACGCCCAGTTCGGCTTCTTCGAGCAGATGTTTGGCGGCCAGGACGGCGGTCACGGCCATGGCCACGGCCACCAGCATCAGCAGCAGCAGAACGTCCCGAGCGACTCGTCCTGGTACCAGGCCAACGTGGACAAGGCCGTCTGCGACAAGTATCTGTGCCCCGACACCCTAGGTACGCCTCCCTCCATGCTGTTCCCTTGGTCACCACTACAGAAGTGACGCGCTGACGAGTGTCCCGAACAGCATGCGTTCACTTCCCACACCATTGTCCCTGCCCGTGGCCTGCGCAGGAAGAAAAGGTGGAGCTGGCAGAAGGAAGCAGGATATGTGTCTCAAGGGGTGGATTCAAGGCGGGAGAGGCAGCGAGGAAGATCGAACTGGCGCGAAAGGGACTGCTCTGAGACTGGTGAAGAAGCGAAATCGGGTGGTCACGACAGAAAAACAAGGGAAATGTGTGGCAGAGACGGTATTACGAATGATTATGACGCCACAAAGACCAATGCTCGGACGAGTGAGAGGGATCAAGGCAGCGAGCGAGGGACGATTGGAGAGCGCGGCCTGCCTGTTTGATTCGGCCGTCAGGAAACGACGCCATAGAACTATAACTTGTTTCTCGCGCAAGGTATAATCGAATGAATGATACCAAGGATCCCACAATGGGGGAAAGATCCAGCCAAGGAGACTCCTCTCGCGATACTGTACAACAAGGGCGAATAAGATCAGGTCAGGAAGACCCTCCTGCCTGCTTGAACAGACCCGGAACCAAGACGTGCTTGCGTTCTAACAAGACAACAACGATGTCCATGCCAAGGGGGGAAAGAAATCCTAGGAAACGCTACTGGATGCCCGTATAATGACCCATCTCTTGTCTTCTGCTCCATAACCCGGTGTGCCTGTCCACTGTGTGCGACGGATACTCCTCTCCCTCGATCAAAAAAAGGGGCAAGCGATCCCCTACGCAGCTCGGCCGTTGGTATTCCGATCGCTCCTAGGCAGAGGCGGAACAGGGGGCCGGCCGGCTCCGCTGTCGTCGTCTTCTTCATCCGCCAAGTCATCGAGCTTCTCCGGGTGGCCCAGCAGCTGGGCAACACCTCCCATATCGTAGTGCCTCTTGCGCAGCTGGGCGAAGCGGCGGTGCTTCTCGCGCTCCTCGGGGGACATGCCGGCAAACTCTTCGTCATCGTTGTCGTGGCCGCTCCCGGCGTCGTCGACGTGGACCTTGCTGGGCCGCCTGGCAAACTCGCCTTCGGGGACCTCCTCCTCGGGCTCGCCGAGCGACAGGCCGGGAATGTCGTCCTCGCGACCCTTTGTGCCACCCATCTCGGCATCCTCATCGTCGCTGGGGTCTTCGGTGGGATCGTAGTGCTTTGCGTAGGGAGTCTTGGGCTCGGTGATCTTCATGGTAGCCGTGCGCTCTTGTTCGGTGAGGTACAGGTTGGCCTCGTCCCACTTGAGGCGCTGAGAGGACTCGAGGTCTTCATCACCGTGATGGGACGGGGTGCGGCTGGATTGTCGGCGCGATCCCGTGGGTCGCGCGGCAGAGGAGGAGCGCCTGTGGCCGGCATTACGCTGTGTGTTCTGGATGGTCAGCTCCTTCTCGCTGACGTTGCTGTGGTCCGTCTCGACGGAAGGCTGGGCTGTCGTCGCAATGGGCGAGGTGGGCGGTGACCTCTGGAACGAGTTCTTTAGGATGCCTAGATTGGGCGTCAGCTTCATGAATACCTTTCTCCTGGATACCCAGAGGCTCATGCGCGACCGGCGAGGGGCGACTCGTCGGACTCAGTGTGGTCTGGAGCGCGCGGGTCGAATACATACCCTTGGGGCGTCTAGCATTGGGCCCAGGAGGGCTGTGGGGTTGTTCGGTCGAGTCAATAACAGAGGCCATCTTTGAGCAGAGTTCGCCTTGGACTCGAGTCTGGTGAAGGGGAATGTTGAAAGGTGTTTGGATTGAGAAGGCCTTGTCTTGGCGAGAAAGTCTGGGTGTTGTCAATGGTATTGTTCCGATCAGGCAGAGAGTCGCTGGTGGGGTGTCTGGTGGTGTTGGCGAGGAGGTAGCGAGTAGCGGGGTGCCCGGAAGCGAGGCTAAACTACCTTCAAACTAAAGAGGTGGGAGGAGAGGTGATGATTGATCCAAGCCAAATGCTAGATCGCGAGCTCCCGTATGGCCTGACGAGGAAATGCTGAAACGGGAGAGGCGTGGGAAGGGACGGACTGGGCCGGCCGCTGCGACGAGAATAATATGAGTTGTTTTGTTGATCTCGTAGGCTTCTTGTCGGGGTGCTTGTTTAGGTTGTGGTGGTGGTGTGGTTTTAAGGTGATCAGCAGAGCGCAGAAAGAAAGTGGGTGGGTTTGGGGTGTGTTTTGTTATTTTGGCCTGTGACTGTGACGCAGCGGAACAGTAGGGAGAAGCTTGACTCTAGCACAACAGCCAGAGAACTGAGTGGCCCCCAGACATGGCGCATTTCTGGTGGAGGTTGGGAAGCCCATTGGCCATTGGGTGGGGGGACACCTGTCAGCCCGTCAGTCAGCGTTGTGGCTGCTACCAGCAACTCGACTCGCGGTACCTTGCACTGCTGCACATGACACCTGTGCTGCCAAGTCTCGGTCACACCACGGCTGTTAATGCTCTGGAAGCTTCCACGAATGGCAGCATCGGGGGGCATGTGAGCAGCCCATGCAGCATCTGAAAACATCGCTGACATCATCAGTCCCCGCTACAACATGTAGCGCTATCCTTTCTCGCCCAGTCGATGCCGGCTCATGCCAATATTTCAGCATTCAAGCTGCCCAAGCTGCATATCGATGCGACTATTCTCCTCGATCGGCTGCCTGAATTGATCTAGTCTGATAGGTATCTTGTTTCCCCAGAAAAGACCCTTGTATCTACCCCGTATTGAGGTTTGGCCCCCTCCCCGCAATGCAATCTGGGGAGAGAAACATGGCTTGCATGGATTCTCAGTCCAGAGTTCTTGTATGTCCATCAACCTCGCAGGTATCTACTGCAATTGACAGCATGGGCGTGCAGTGTTCACTATGACTCAATATTGAGGGCAGGCTATAGATCAAGTGCTCAAATCTGGTGCTATACTACAATAATTACATAAGAATTCCATCATTCTCATCATGACAATACCCCCAAATCGAATCAGGGTATAGAATATAAACATCCTCGAACCCGGTCTCGCAGGAGCTTGCGGCAGAAACCGGGAGATGACAGCCTTCAGGGCTGCCCCTTGAGTTGGCTGGCCTGCGCCGCGCCGACCTGCTCGCTGTACATGTTCATCACGCGGTCGTCGACATCGGCCTCAAACACGTCGACGTGTGTCTTGGAGAACTTGCGTGCGCTGACTCCCCTCTCGAACAGCACGTCCAGCTCGGCAAACGACCGGCCCATGGGCTCCGGCACGCGGAAGAATGTGTAGATGATGCACAGGAAGCACGCACCCGCCTATAGTGCAGGTACTGTCAGTATGGACACCAGAGTATAGCGAGACGGCCCTCGGGAAAAGACACAGGTATTGTGTCACTTACCCAAAAGAAGCCGGCATAGTTGCGCCAGTTCCACTGTCCGGGGTTAAGCATATAAGGCGTCAGAACGCTGCAGATGATGCCCACAATGATGTAGAGCACACGGCCGAGCACCACCTACGGATTCGTGTGAGCAAGCAGGACATACTCCCATGAGAGAGTTAAACCTACCGTCTTGATCTGTAGGCGCCGAGTCGACATCTCCGCCACGAGGGAGTACGCGACGGTGCCGACAGTCAGTTGGTATGTCAGGGCCCAGCACAACATGATACTGCCCGTGGCGATGGAGCCCTCCGTCCTGTGGGCCTCGGGCACAAGGCCCATGAAGCCGAGGATGAGCAGCATCGTGAACAAGCCGCAAAGACCATACAAATAGAGAGAGCTAGAGTTGGGCCACAAATCAGTTTCCGTCAAAGTTTCCATCACAATGTAGTCTCGATTCCTCTTACCGTCTGCCGATACCCAAGGTCATCAAGCCCCAAGCACCAAACACGCCGACAATGTTGAAAGCGTATTGCCCGAGAGCGAAGCCGTAAGCATCATGCTCGCTAAGCCCGGCTTGTTTCAAAAAGTAACTGCAACATACTTTAGACAAGCTGATTTACCAGCGGGGAAGAACACTATAACCTACGTGGAGTAGTTGGAGAATGAGTTCCCACTCAGGTTCTGGATAGCCCAGATCATGCACACAATCTATGTCCAGATATTAACATCACGCCAGTGTTGCGTATACTATCCCAGGTTGGTGTTTCACGTACCTCGGTCCTGCGGAGATCATGACCCTTGAAGCAGTCCAAGTACGAAGCGCCACGAGTCGTCTGTTTGTATCATGCATACGTCAGTCTGGTGCCTGGGAGACGAGGTAATGAGCAAGGCACGTACCTTCTCCTCGAGAGCAGCAGTGTGCGCCATCATGGCAATCGTCTCGTCGGCGTCAAAGTCGGTCTCACGGTTCAAGCTGGTGAGGCGAAGCAGAGACTTCTTGGCAGCCTCCAGCTTGCCCTTGCGCACCAGCCACCAGGGGGACTCGGGGGCGAAGTAGATGCCGACGATCAGGAAAGGCGGCCACATCCACTGCAGCGCGTAGGGGATGCGATACGCCCACTGGTCAAACGTCAGCCCGGGTCCTAACAAGGATGTCGAGAATAATGGGAGTATACGCACCTCGTCATCTCGGTTCAGCATACTCATAATCACTCCGATGCCGATTTCCTGCCCGACACCCCAGCACAGGTTCACTAGGCACAAAGAGTCAGCATTCACCCGATTCGAGAGATAATCAGACCATTGCAACTCACCATAGCAAGTCAAATATCCACGCAGGGCTACGGGGCAGACCTCTGACGCGTACGTGATGGTCACTTGGAGGATCGTAAGCTTTGGGCACACGCAGGTGGGAGCAAGGTCTATACTCACAGGTCTGGAAGACTCCCCATGGCTACATGATACATGTTATGTCAGCAGCAGTCCCCTTCCCTTGGTAAAAAAACACTTACAATACCGCAGAGGATCTCCGCTACGAGAAGAGAGACTACGTTCTGTGCAGTGAAGAAGATGGACGTCCATGCAATGATGAGGACAAGGCACCCAATGACGGTATACCGGCTGATGAGGAATCGACGATTAGCAGTCTGTCACAAAGAACTGTGTCTCATGTAGGAAAACCTACTATCCAAAGCGCTCTGAGATCCAGCCGTTGAGCAGCAATCCAATGAGTTCACCAACGTTGGCGCCCTGTGTAGAATTAGCACGATGCATCTACTGCCCGTTACGAGCCACAAGTCCACTCACATTGCTCAGCCCAGACTGCCACGGCGCGGTGACTTCGTAATCGTCCTTGCCCGGCAGCTTCTCGCCATACTTTCTAGCAAACTGGGGGAACGCATCTTGAACCCGGCGACAAATGCGCGGTCAGCCACGGGACGGGAGTGCCATTTCCTTTTCATTTTCCAACCAGACCAAAAAACTTACAAAAGTTGTTGATCAGGCAGACGTCATAGCCCTCCATGACGATGCAGGTGCTGATCAGGACGCTCCACGCGATGGCCTTGGGGTACAGCCGGATGCCCTGCCACAGGGTCATCTTGTGCTCCTTCTCGGTGGCCGTCTTGGCAAAGTCGATCATGCGCAGGCGGGCCTTGTCGTGCCCGTCGTCGAGCGCCGCGTCGTCGCCGCCGCCGCCAAGGGCGCGCTTCTCCGGGTCGCTCACGGGCGGAGCCGGCGTGACCTCCTCGTCTTCGGGTGCCGGCCCGGAGGCGCGTGGTGGTGCCTCGGCCGCCATCTTCGGTCAAGTATGGTGTCGTCTCCGAGTGTGTGAGTCGAGCCCTCGAATCCTCCTAGCCGAATGTGCAGCGCTTGGCCCAGGTCTCGCTCTTTTGGTATCTCGAGAGATCACAGGATGTGGAGGCCCCCAGAATTAAGTATTTTCCACGCCAGAGAAAGAAAATCTGGGTCCCCGGAAATCGCCAGGGACAGGCGGAGAGGTGGACCGGACGGTCGAGATGGGGCAGGTTGCACCACTTGTTGGCTGGGCTCCGCTCTGAGGGATTGTTCTCGAGTCTGTTGTGGTTCCCGGCTTTTGTGTGTTTGTGTGTGTGTTTTAAAATTGTCTGCTCGGCTTTGCTTCCATTCCAACGGCGATGGCCGGCAGTATGTGGTGGAGCCGTGCTACTTTGTAAGAAAGATCTTTTTTCAAATTGAAGGCTTGTCTTAGCGGCCGAGGTCTCTCGTCTCATAAATAATCCCTAGACGAACAAAGCTATTGTTTGGGATGACGTCCCTTCTGCCCTTGAAATCGGAGAGAAGAGCGGCACTACTCCTCTTGCAAGCAGCCCCCTAGCCCGAGCCCGGCAGCGCATGCAGGGCATGCAGCGTCGTTCCATTTCCAATTCACGCTCGGTGGACAACAGCAGCGCAAAGATGGGTGCGGGTTCCCCGTTCCCCACAGGTCAGAAACCACGAGAAGGTTGCAGATCCCTTCCAGGGTCACAATCTGCCTGCTACAACGGGTAAGGTCTGGATTCGTCTCTCGTGGAGCATGCGCCCTCCCATCCCATCTCCTTGGTCTTCCTGTCCTGCTTGTTCGTCCTCCTTCTCCTCATTCGAACCCCCCATGCATGCATGTCCAGGTCCAGGCACTGACCGATCACATGGCCGGCTGCATCTCTGGGCCAGTCGCGCATCCCGTGAACGAGTCCCGTCCATTCGTTGCGTGCGGGGTCTTATGCTCCCATGCACACTCCGCTCATACAGAAGGAGGAGATGTCCATTAGGGTGTGTGGACGTGGTGCCCGTCTCGTGCCTCTGATTCCCGAGTGCCCGTCGCAAACCAACTCTCACTAGCTTTGAGTGCCGGGGGGGAGAGCGGCACCTACTTGGACGCGGAGCCGACACCGAAGGCAGCAACAACGGCAATGATAATCGTACAAGCTCCGCGACGGACGTGATCAAGGACCTCGCATCGCGCCAGTCATTCCAGTTCTTGGCAAAATCACCCCAAGTTTCACTCACGCCTTACGTGCCTTTCTTTTTCAATCTAACTGCCATTCCGTGCTTGTATCTATACCGTGGGTGCGATGGTGCATTAAGTATTCTATCATATCCAGGAGCCGTTCTCGTAAATCGCTTTTTGCAACATGATGTAGTACAATGGTGTTCGGGGAGGGAGCAAAAGAAATGGGGGTCGTCTACGTCTCCAGGCTGTCGTCTGGATCAAGCTTCTCCGCCTTCCTCTTGACCTCCCTCTTCTTCGGCCTCAGCCAGTCCTCGAATCCCTCGGGCCAGTAGACCCTGCCTTCCGGGCCGCCCATGCCAAACTCGTCGGCTGTAACCTCCATCCCGGGGTCAACAATCTGGTACTCGGCATCGTGGCTCAGCTCGTCCGCGGCCGACTTCGACTTGCGACCTGATTTCTTGATCTTCTTTCGGATCTCGGGCCGGTTCTCGTCCGGCCTCTCGTGCGGGACAACGTCGTGGATAAGCTCATGACCCGGCAACTTGAATGTGCGCATCAGCTCAAACACCGCCTGCTCCTTGTCCTTGGCCTCAATCATGAGGTCGGCGTCGGGGGGGCACGGCGGCAGCGTCAACACGCGTGGCCGGTGCTTGCGCCGATCGCGAGGGGTGACGGCGCCAGGACACTGCTCCGAATAGTGCATCTTGGGAGTGATGCCCTTGCGTCGCCATGTCGCCATAATCCGAGACATGAGGGCCGGGTCCGATATATCCTTGGTTCCCTCGCGCACGTACTGGGCATCGAAAACAATATTGTGGTGGTGGTAATCGAGGACGAGGGGGATGTTGAGCTCTTCGCACACGGGCAAAAGGTCGTGGACGCTCCAGGAGACATCGTCGTTCTCCAATACCAGTCGATTCTTGATTGATTGCGACAGGCCGGCATAGTTCTCACGGAAACGATCCAGCGTGGCAGCCTTGTCTCCGAAAACACCACCCATGTGCAGAATCATGACGGCGTCACGGTCTTGTTGCGGTGGGAGCCGAAGTAGAGTCAACATCTCGTCGTGATATTCGAGGTCTCTGATGGCAGCTGTAACCACCTCTTTACGCGGCGAGCCAAGCTGGGTGAACTACAAGGGGGAGTCAGTCAGGGCAACTTGGTTTGCGCAAAGGTACGGTTTGGGGGGCATGGTTGCAAATACCTGGCCTGGGTGCGTAGTCAGTCGGTGACCAAGCTCCCCGGCCACCTTTCCGGCCTCGGCAAGGACTTGGGATGCAAAAGGAGCAAGCTTGTAGCCATGTTCGTGGTGGCTGGCGAAGGGAAACATCTCTGAGCTCAGCCGCATAAATTTGATACCGTATTTGTCGTTCCATCTGATCATCTTGACGATATCACGCGCGTTGGCGAGCCCAAGTTCATGTACCCAGTCCTGGCCGCGGTCGTGGCTGGCCTTTTGCGTCTTGTCAGGTCTGTTCTTGGTGGTGTGCTCCGGTTGCGAAGGGTCTTGCAGCGGGTGGCGGTGATCGATGATGGATGCCATGCGGCAGGTACGTGAGCTAAAGACTGGCGGTCGAGCATTACGTAGATATGTATTCAGACAGGCCTACAACATGTCAGAAATGAACGGTTTTGATCCTGACTGAGGGGCTGAAACTCACATATCCCAGACGCCCTTTCCATGGCAGAGGGAGGTAGTCAGAGTTCACAGCCGGAGGCCGTGCCGCGCCCCGCTCGGCCACCCGGAGGCTTTCCGGGAGATCTTCCTCGTCTTTAGGTAATGGCCCCCCTGGCTCGTCCTCGTACTCGCTGTCTTCCATGTCATCACGTTCGGGGGTGGGCAAATGCTCCGCCGAAGTCATTTCGTTGGTGAAGTCATCCACGTTCTTGGTCGGGAATCGACCCAAGCCCTTCTGCGCTGCGTCATTGCCCTGCGACACGCAGAAACTCTCCTCTAGCTTAATCTTCTGGCGCTTGACAGCCCTCTTCAAGCGCCGCTCCATCTTGGCCAGCTCTTCGATGGCTTCGTTGACACCTTCCTCGCCCATCTTCAACTCACGTTGCTCTTCTGTGTCACTGCTAACGGCGGTCATTGTGTTCCTGGTTCCCTTGCTCTGGTTTTGGGAAGTGGGTAGCAGACCAGCACCACGTTTGGAGCTTGGACTGCGCGCAGCTTGGGGCCGGCGGGCGGAACGGCGTGGCGCATCGGTCTGGTTGTCAGTGTTTGGAACGTGGCCGTCGCCGTTTCGGTTGTGACCAGTGTCGGAGGGTGATAAGGCAACAGCGGCTGCCAGCGACTTATTGCGCGGCATGGTGGAGGCCGGAAGTGATGACAGAGGTCGGCGGGTGTGACGTACGTTGGGCGAGAAGTTGGTGGGTGCGGGTAGTTGTGGCGATGCGGAGCAAACTGTCCTGGCCAGGGCCGAGAGTAACTTCACCGGGCAGCGGCAAAGCTGCAGTGGCGCCGGTGCAGGCAGAGTCAGGAGGGACAAGGCGGAGGAAGGGATCCGAGAACCACTCGTTTTGCGACAAACGAGCACATATGACATGCGATGTGAGAGAGAGCGACAGAGCGACGACCCCAAGCAGCGTGTACACCGGGGAGCTGCCTCTGTCCGATCTGCAAATAGTTGCGCGTGTGCCCGCGTGTGGGCGTCTTGCACGGCAGATGCCACGACAACAATGAGATCTATTGGGTGGCCAATGACGAATCAATTGGCGGCGGAAGGGTCAAATTGTAGGATGGGTAGAGAGAGATATGCGAAGAGAGACCAGAGGAATATTGAAAGAACCCGAATCAGGTCGTAAGAGATGCCTCTCTTGCTCACTCGAGAAAGGAATAGTATGTGGTCTGCGACGAGACCTCTCTACTTAGGAGGCCGGCACTTTCAGAGAGATATTGGGGAGTTGGACAGATAGATAGAGAAACAGAAAGGCTCATCATCTCAGCGAGGCCGAGGACGGCAGAGTCCAATGGGCAAGAGGCAAGACAAGGGACGGAAGAGGAATGACGGCACGAGTCGTCATGGTGGCCAATCAAGAGACTGCTGCTGGGAGCTCGCTGTTGCGGTGCTGATGTTCTGCCAGCGCGGATGAGAGCTCCTAGCCCTACGTACGCATCAAGATCCGAGACAGGAATGTACCTTGACCAGCTGGCTGGTAAACGGTTCTTCTTCTGCTTCTTTCCTCTCCTCGCTGTGCGTCTGCGGGAGAGCTGGCCTGACTGACAATGGCAGTGGAGACCGGACAATGCGACCGAGTCGATCCCGTCATCAAGTGGCCGATGGCCGAGGGATGGGGCTTGCTTTGCTGCGGAGCGTGCAGAGCTGTCTGGTCTGTTGTGGTGTCCCGGGGATGCAGAGTTTGGGACGGGGATCGATCAATGATCTCATTGCTTGACGTGTGGGATCGGTGGCTGCACCTGTTGTCCGATCTGGGGCGGTGTTGGCGTGTTGGCGGGTGCCACCAGCCCGAAATTTAAAGGCCGCGCTAATTGGAAGTCTTCCCACAGCGTGCAGGTGGGCTCATTGTAAGGCTACAGGTACCTAATGTACTTACCTTACCAACTGCACCCACCACACACAGGTCCATCCATTCCCAAAATGTTCCGTAACAATGACGCTCTCCAGCATCGATTCAAGAGCAATGCAGACTCAAGCAGTCTGGCTGCGAAGGAGGATCACTTGTAACACAGGGCTTAATCACCATATATTACTGACATTGATCGAGACGGGCATCCGAGAATGTACCTCTGATCGTTGCCTGCCGGCCGGGTTCCAGTCATTGTGCGATTCTGCCAGGCGGTGACGCATCTGTCAAACCTCAGTACACCTCAGTCTCCACCTCTGACGACATCCGTTGGTGACGAAATCAGAGCTGGCCCTGCCCATCACTTCCCGACTTTGCACACTCACACAGCGCCAAACTCTCCCCACCCGCACCCATAAGATTGGTTGGAAATTTCCGTACTGCATCACTCCGGACCTTTCTTTCCCGGCTCATCTACAAGATACTAGACAAGTCCCTGCTTCCCGATCATTGGTCATGTTTATTTGTTCTTAATGAGATGATAGAGAGAAGCCTACTTGCTCAGCCTTGCGGCCATTCAAGCGACGCAAAACCACGCAGTGCCGAGTCGAGTACAGCCTTGTTGTTTCTGATACCGCACATCCTCTGTGTCACTATCCCTCTAGGTACAGTATGTAGCATATAGGATAACAATGGCCAGGATAGAACAGTGCGTAGAGGATTCTCAACATGAAGGTTCTGACTGCAAGATTTAACTTGATGATACAATATATGCCGTTTCGTTCCTTCACTTGACAAAGTCGTCCCTCCGGTGGCCTCGCTTCCTATAGACAGCACCTTTGCTTGGCAACATTTTTCGATTCATTCATGATGATACACGAGCACAATTTTGAGCACCAATCGCTCTTACTACAGGCAAATTAGCCCCGACGACACGCCGGACCTCAGGTAGCTTTTTAACCAACCCAACAACGCCAATCTGGACATATATCCCGGCGGGGGATAATCCTTTCGCTGGTTACGACTAATGCAATCTTGAACCCTTCTATCCGGTCCGAGGCAAATCCTTAAGTATCCCTCGCCCATAACTCTTTTACCCTCCTCCTCGTCCTCACGCCCACTTACACTTCGCCCTTCTGCTGTTGGCGAGCCTTGCGGCCGACAATAAGGGTGCTGAGATCGCCCACGGGGACTTGGAACGGGAAGTCGAGCGCCTCGAGCATGATGGCAAAGAAGATCCACCAGCCAGACACACAGGCCACGAAGAGGAAGGCTCCAGCCGCCTGACGAAAGCATTGTGTAAGCGCTGCTGAAAAGCCCATGAAAGTCCCGAGATGGCAGAACTTACGATGACAAGCTTGCCCGCGTACCCGGCCTTGCCGGTATAGTCCTCGCCCAGGGACCAGTACGCTCCTGCCAGGCAGCCAAAGGCGCAAAGGAGGCTCAGGAAGATGACGACGAAGCAGACGTTGGTCCGCAGGGCGCAGATGAGGTAGATGAGGCACATGAATCCCATCCAGAGCATGAAGAAGCCTATACGCACCCGCAGGCAAGATCTGTCAGCACCATCACTCACAACTCCATCCAGACTTTGGTCTTTCCAACAGGATGCACATCGCGCACCCATGTTGCATTTGTTTGCAAGGGGAGGGACAACACGAACCGAAACCAGCGTTGAAGCCCGTCGTGGCCATGCCGGCCGAAGCTGGCCCGCCCGTTGGCGCGTAGCCCGCATATGCACCGAAGCTCTCGGTCAGGGTCGCGGCGAAGGCCAGGTAGAACCCGCCGAAGGAGCAGAAGACGACGGCGGGAAAGGTGTTTCCGAGGATCCACTCCAGCAGGCCTCCCAGGAGCAGGAGAAGACCGCCCATGAACCATGTAGCACCGCTGTAGAAGGAAGGACAGTCAGCATGGCTAGAGCTGATGGAGGCAATTTCGGATTTGATGTGTAACTTACACTGTAGCAAGGCCGCTTAGGCCGCTTCCACGCCAACCCATGAGCTGGCAAGCGAGAGGTGTGAGACAGGTAAGGAAGCCGATCATAGCACTGTTTAGTCCTGAATGTTAGTATATTCTCCGTCCAAGAAGACACATATCATGCCTGTGTCTTGCTTTTCAATTCGTGTCATCTCCGTCGTCCATCAAACGTACATTGGTGTAGGATTGCCAAAGGTCTTCCTGAGCTCGCCCTTGACCGCATTTTGCGGTGACAGATATAGCTTCTCAAACAGCTCCGGCGTCAAGGAAATGGTGCCGGCGGTCCGCACGTGGCGGAGAGCATCCTCGTGGCTTTCTACCTTGGACTCCATGTAGTTGGCTGTCGGGCTGTGGTTGTTTACGTATTGACCGTCGTGCTCTACTTGTGGGGTCGTCATAGTTCTCGAGGAAGGGAACAAGTAGAAGCAAAGTGTATACTTGTATAATACAGTGCAGTTATAATGGTCGCTGATGTCGCAGGTAAGAGAATCCAAGGTTCGACCGTGACGAGAAGGATAGGAAAAGCATTGACATGCTGCCACCTGTATGCAGGCTTGTTCTTATATTTGCAGACCTAGTCTAAGAAACGCCTCCTCTGCCCCGTGGGAGCTAGCCTCGACGATGGACGGGACCTAAGGGCGGGCATGTTCTGCGGGGAAGATGCAGATGGGAGGCTGAAGTCAAGACCCGTCTACAAAGTATCATGAGAACCATATTTGTTAGTGGCACACCAAGAGACCAGGTGATGCTCTCGAGGCGTTTGCATGTATCCATCTATCGAAGTGGTGATGAGACGAACATGACAAGACCCCATCCTCATTCCCCCTCCCCATGGGCGCGAAAGTGGATATGCCGGGGAGAAGGAGACTCTGATGTGATGAGACTGAAGTCAGGGGATGCAGCTAGTTGTGCGGCGACACTCAGCATGCTCGCGGGTAGCGCACATTAGATCAGACCACACTTCCCCAGCTCGGAGCTATTGTTTGTGGGGAGTCCAGTCCCCATTGGGATCGTCAAGCTTCGTGGCCTATTGAGCGGCTGACCTGACGACTCGAGTTGATTGACTCGTCTCGAGGGTCGACTTGCTTGGGGCCCTGCTGCTCACTACGGGCTTTTGCGAATGGCTAAGGATCTACTGGCTTTGCATAGTTATGGGAGCGTAGATTTGCTACTTGTACGAGGTCTTGACAAGCTTAAGGCTTAGTTTCTGGGCGAACGGACTTCTATGGAAGACAGTGATGGCACCAGAATGGAGGGTGCGTGAGGTGGAAGGGCAGAGGACGAATCCCCGCCAAATGCCGGAGCTAATGTCGCTTGCGAGTCAAGAGCCTGGCGAAAGGACGGAAGCGACTGGTCCTTCCTCCGTAGCGCGTGGGCCACAGTCGCTACCTACAGTAGCTCGAATGCATTTTCACGAATTGCTGTATGTTTGGACGGAGGGCTAACGGAAGCTTCTGTAGGTGAGCTGGGGTTGAGGTGGTGTTGTGGTGCACTAGAGTGGGGTCCCGAAGCCGCCGACCGGCCAAAGGGAAGCCAATTCCCTAGTCGATGCGGTGGTTCGCAACGGCCCCGTTCCGCGCATGTGCTAGGGCCGGAGATTGCTGACGCTTCGATCTCATAGCATGAGGCTCATTGCATCAAGGACGCACTATGTAGCGAAGGGGAGAGATGGAGGCAGAAGAGAGAGAGGATAGAGAGGAGAGAGAGACTGAGAGATGCAGTGGGAGACAGAGAGATTAGAAAGAGAAAGAGACACGAGAAGACATGTCGCTTGTAGTGGATTGACTTCCAAGATTGGGAAATGCTGTTCTTGGCTGTCTTGCCTTTAAGCATTGTTGCAGAGGGACCAAGTTCAACGAGTTCCTATTGCATTCAAGTTGTCAGGATGCCATCTGGAATGCAACATGAGGACAGACCACGCATGGTGATCTGACTAAATAATGCCAGGGCCGTCGTCTCACGGGGTGGCGACCATAGCACAGCAAGCAATGCTCCCCAAAATGGCACAAGTGGCTCGCCTTGACCCATCAGCTAGCTCGGCTTTCCTCTAATATATCAATGCTGTAACTTCGACCTGGTTTGTGCTGATGTCCAGGCTGGCGTCTTGTTGGCCGGTCTGGTGAAACCACGGCTGCAGTGGTGGCATTACACTCTCAAGACTAGGTAATAAATCGTCAAAGATCTCTTCAACAGTTTCACTGGAAAAATAAGGTCACGTGTACACATGTGTCTACTTCAAATCACGCGGATCTCACGTGAGGGAGATACTCGAGGATCGCTTGCAAGGCGCCGGCGGTCTGTGGTGAGGCGATATGGCATCGGCGTCAAGGCGTGGTCGAGACCATTGCTAGCCATCTTAAGGTCGAATGGCACGGGCGGCAAGCACACGACGAAGGAAATAACGTCACGATGAGCCTTGGCCCCCACGCCACGGCCGTGCCGCTCGCTGGTCAGTGTCTGAGAAGCACCTCACCTCTGGCATGCAGAGCCACGGAGGGATGCCCGTGAGCGGCAAGAGAGCGCCCATGATCGGCCGGGATGACGATGCTTGCCTGGGGTCTTTCATCATCGCCAACAGCCAGACTTCGCCTCCGACCGGTCGGAGAGGACGGCCAACAGAGGAGCATGGCGATGTGGGTGGCCTTGGTAGCCCTGGTGGCCTTACCCTGTAACGACAAGCCTCTCTCTGAGCTGGTGACTTTCCGTCACTGAATGCCCCAGAGCCAACCGATGAGGGGGCATGACGAGCGACGGAGGTGCATTGTACGGCGGATGGCATTGAGTGTGACGGAGTGCGAGTGGCCGCATCGAACGCGACCGCGCGCCTGTGGAGCAGCAGGACGGCAATCACGGCTGCTCCGGCCATGGAGAGAGCGCCTGGCTCAAGTTATCCAGGCCATCGAGACAGGCCTGAGGCAACCAAAGGGGTGCAAGCTGCGGAATGGGCAAATGGGCGAGGCCGACAATTCGATCATGAGTTCGGCGTCCATTCCAGTGGTAAGATTAAAGCTTGGCCTCCAACAGAGAGAAAGATGGCTGTGACGGCAGGACTGGAGGATCACCAGTGCTAAGGATGTCTCAGATCACCACCTTTCGCCACCAGCCTGGTCGGTTGTGCAATGTTGAAGAAGGGCTAATGTTCCAGGAGTGATGCGTGTGTGTGTGTGTGTGTATGTGTGGTGTGGAGAGACTGACTGTCCCAGCTCTGCGCAATTGAGCTGACGAAAGCAGCTCTGGAGGAAGTAAGAGGGATACTGAGGGCGACTTGTTTCAGCAGAGGGAGCGCATGAGTTGTCGCAACCATGGGCGGTTTAGAATGGGAAATAAAATATCCAATGGCTGGTGGAGGGTTCAAGATGCGCGCGCATCTGTAGGAACCAAGGGTCTGAAGGCATTCCAGACGTCGTTTGACAGGAACGCAGAGTGGAGGTCCGGAGGGGTCCAGGTAGGTGCGCTCAGTGCGATCGCTGATCTGAGCTGGGGGATGGGGCCCAGAAGAAGGCGGAGCGAGAGGAAGAGGAAGAGAGGCCTGGAGCTCCAGCTTCTAGGCTGCCTTGTCACTGTGTGTCAGTGCCTGGGCGGACAGCTCCGGGGCTCGAGCTCCCACCTCTAGAGTGGTGGGGCGCCCTAAATTGCCCACGCACCCACTGGCAGTCAGGTACGCGTGGGGACTGGCTCGGAGGAGGTGGCTCGTCCCTTCCCCTTCCTTGGTCGGGAACGCGCCGGTGCACCGTCCGACGCGTTGATTGGCCCCTTCCCACTTTGGGACGGGAACCCCGCGAGTACTTTTTACTTTTCTCAGCCAGAAGAGAAGAGGGATCGATCCTCTCCTGCATGAAATGGGCGAGGGACGACACCCATTCAGCTTTGCCAGCCAACCCCCTGGAAATACCTAGGAAAGCTGACGCTCAGAACATGATGCAAGCCTGGATTGTACGTACAAGGGATTGTATGCATGTAATGCACAAAGCAGGGCAGTGCGACCAGGGCCGAGGCAGCATTGGGCCAATCCCCGTCGGACAGCGAAATCCTGCATTGTCGCCTGTTTCTCTTGACGCCCGGAATGATAAGCCCGGTGCCACCTCTCTGCTTGTACGGAGTACCAGACATACAGCGATCCAAGGGATGAAGTCGGGCAGAGCAGCAAACTCTGATAGATGTCAATGGGCTGTCAATCTATGTCATGATCTCCCCAATGATCTCCCGCTAAAGTAGGTACCTAGCCCCCGAAGGAGACAAGGAGAGACATGCAGCTCAGGCAGGAGAACAAGAACAAGAAGGCTCATTGTCTCAAAAGCTTTCGAGCTCCAGCCAGATGCTGCCTGCCCCTCCCAATCGGGGCCGAGATCTGCCATTAGCGAGCAAGCGAACAGGCCAAAGAAGAAGCCAAGAACAGACAGAGAGCCCACCCACACCTGGTAATTTGCGTGCTCCAAGTGGCTCCATACTCCGTACATCGCGACCGCGACGCTTCTTTTTTTCTCTGATTTAATTGCCCCCCTTTTCGTGATTGGCAGCTGTGTGTGTGTGTGTGTGTGTGTGCCTTTGCGTGGGCGTGTGGAGCCCTCTTTTACGCTTTTCGATTTTCCTCCCCATCCCTCCCTTCGAGACGCCAAACCACTTTCGCTCACGCGTAGGTTTGACCACGCTTCAGCACGTCCACCTCCTGCATCCAACCCGTCAGAGGCCCGACCGCGTGAGAGCCATTCGATTCACTCTCATTCAAGTCATTTCCCCTCCCAGGCCTTGTCCGTCCACTCTCTTTCTCTCCATCTTGCTCCCATCTCCCGTCCGCAGTCAGCCAAGCCGTCTTCTCTGTGCAGCTTGCCTCATCTCTCGTCAGATCGAATCAGCTGCTTCACCCAGCACTTGGACTAGCCAGACGCCCAAGTCTCTGACAGTACTCGCGATCTTGCTGCTTGGCAGACCGTGCCGCTGATCTCTTCGGCTCTCCACCACCACGCCTGGCCTCTCTGACGCTTTAAACACGTCGTTGGCCGGCTTCACTGAGACCACCACCATCCTCTTTCGGCTGATCGACCACTTTTGGCGGCCACAGCCCAATCCGAGCCTTAAGATATACCGCCCTCCCTCCCACACACACACCCTGCCACCCTTTCTCTCTCTTTCCTCTTCCTCCCCTCTCCCCTTCTGTTCATTGTTGCACTGGTGCAACAACATCTAGACGGCCGTGGATATCAAACGAACAGGAAAACAAATAAACATCGTGTCTGGCCAGAACCCCGCCTAGAGGATCTCGCCGGCACAGCACAGCATCATCAGTCAAGGCTCGCTCAAGACGACTTGTCCCTCTGGCATCTGGCTCGACATTCCATAGCCATTCGGACCCCTCAGGCTTACAACCTTGAGCCGCCCTACCTCTCGTCAGCTACGTAATTAGCAGTGTTCATCCATTCGTGATGGCTGCTGTCACCCGCCAACCCTTTGCTCCTCTCGACGGAGCTCGTCTGCAGAACCTGACCAGCCTCAAGAACAGACAGAATGGTATGTCGATTGTGTCCCGCGTGCCTTGTCGTCTCGTTATCGTACTCTGCAATCCACACCCCGTCGCCCTCATCCAGGCCGTGATCACCTCTCCCATCTCGCAGTGAGCATTTTGTACTAAATGGGATGACTGTCTAGCTATCTCCCCGTCTTCATCCGTGAAGCGCAAAGCTGCCGAGTCTGTCGAGGTGGACGACTCTGAGAACGTCGACCCGTCCGTCTTTTCAAAGCGCTCCAAGGGCACCGACAGCTTCTCCAATGACCTGTTCAAGCCCTCGTCTTTGGTCCTCACCAAGGCCGCTCCCACCTACACAGCAACCTCTAAGAGCTCCCTCTTCTCGCTCACCACCTCACCCAAAACTGCACCCCGTCCTCGCTCGTACCTGCAGCCCAAGTCCCCCGCAGCCAAGCTCAACACCAATGTCTCCAAGTCGGCCCCCCTCTCTGCTCCGGCCGGCCGCTCTCCCACTCGCGGCAGCAAGCGTGTTGGCATCCTCTCCAACAACCGCCGCCGCACCGGTTCGTCCTTTGGCCGCGTCGATCCTCCCGCCTTCAAGCTCTCCAAGGCCGCCCCTTTCTCCCTCGACGCCGCCCTGAAGGGCACCATCCCCAGCTATGCCTCGCGCTCCTCCGCTGCGCCCTCGTCGTCCCTGGATCCCCTGAACGAGTCTGGCGCCAAGTCGGACTGGTTCTTCGACATCCACGAGGACACGCCCGAGCAGGAGATGACCAACCTGCTGCAGCACAGCACCTGCGTGCTGGACATCTCGAGCGACGAGGAGTCGGAGCAGAAGGCGCGCAGGGAGCGCGACGAGGGCCGCGACAAGGAGAATGTCCCGCCCGCCGACGACGTAAGCCAGACCTCGCGGGCCGCCAGCGCCCGGGCGGCTGTGGGCACCTCCATGGACGACATGGTCGTCGAGAAGTCGCGCGACCCGCTCTCGCAGCTCAACGCGGCCGACTTCTACCCCGAGGGCTGCGACGAGTCCTCCGTCGTCATCATCCCTGGTGATGATGAAGGCCGTGATGAGGAGGAGCAGGTCCCGGAGAAGCTGGCGCCCGTGGCGGACGACAGCTACGCGTTTGCGCCGGAGGTCAAGCTCGCTGATGAGCAGGAGCAGGAGCAGGAGCCGACGGTAGAGAGCCTGATGGGCGCGCGGGAAGAGCCTGCGGCCAAGGCGGCCGTTCTGGAACCCATGGAGGGCACTGGTGAGAGCTTCGACCTGTGGGAGAGCGGCAGCGCGAGGGACGAGGCCGAGCCTGTCGCTCCGGCGACGCCCAAGCCGGTGGTTGACGAAGCTGTAGCAGTTGTCGAGATTGCGGCTTGAGTGTTTTGGCTGGTTTGAATTTGGGTGGCGGGGATTGGGCTTCGGCTGGATATGGAAGAGCTGCACAGGCAAGACGGTGGACTGGTTTGACGACTCTGGTTGGGAAGGCGTTTCAAAGGTATATGGCGTTCATAATGTGGTTCAGGGGCCGCCTTTTTGGCCTGGGAATACTTGGGAGGCACGCTTTGTCGTTTGATATTGTGCTTTTTGTCATGCAAGCTTTAGTTATGCTCTAATGCCGTAGATGAATGTTAGGAAAAAGCAATGCTACATGATATGATTGTTCAAATGCTCTGGTCTAATCAGGTCCCCTTGGAGATGGCAAACGAGATGATGTGTGAGCGAGTGACAGGCCGTTCAGTCTGGCTGATCAGCATAGAGAGTCTATCTGTACACTGTTATGACGTGCCAACGGACCCGATGGTTGGGAGTCCTGGTATTGTGGTTGTCACAGATTCAAAAACTTTGATGGACTAGAGAGAAAGAGTTTGTGTCGGTTTTATGCTCGCATGCCACTTTTTCATTCGCGTGGAGGCGAACCGTGGTGCATTGTGTTGAAGATGATAGCCTCCCTCTACCGAATTCGGCCGTTGAGGCCTGTCTGCTACATGAGCATGAGTCTTTTTAAAACATCTTTTCCCGCCCTTTTTGGCCCCCTCCATAGATGCGGTGTTGAGAGCCCACAGCAATAAACGCCAATGCAAAACAGCCCAATGCCATCTTTTGCAGATTCGAGGTATTGTTGAAACCCAGATCAGACCCAGTGATGCGTAGTATCATGACAACCAGAGAAACGCCTTGAAGAAATGCAGAACAAGAAAAACGAACGTGACCTCGTGTAGCGAGTGTTTCACATGATATCCGTAAAATTTTAGTGCCTGTTCAGGCCAACCAGCGAGAGGAACTCGTTCCTCGTCTTCTCCTTGCGCTCAAAGCAGCCCAGGACACAGCTGGTGATGGTGGTGGCGCTGGACTTCTCGACACCCCGCATCACCATGCAGAGGTGGGACGACTCCATGACGACAGCAACACCCTGCGGCTGCAGGATCTCCATGATGGCGTTTGCCACTTCTTTTGTGAGGCGTTCTTGGATCTGCAGGCGCCTGCTGAACATGTCGGCGATCCGGGGCAACTTGGAGAGTCCGATCACGGAGTGGGAGGGGATGTAGCCAATGTGCATCTAGAGCAAGGCTTGTCAGCATGATTGGAAACAGGGATTGTAGAAGCCGGACACATCGAAGCCGGTACTGACCTGGCCGGTGAAGGGAACCATGTGGTGCTCGCACATAGAGAACACCTCGATGCCCTTGATGACAACCATCTCGTTGTGGCCCTCGTGGAAGATGGCGTTGTTGACGATGTCGCGCACGTTCTGCTGGTAGCCCTGCGTGAAGAAGAGCAGGGCCTTGGCGTATCTCGCGGGCGTGTCGAGCAGTCCCTCCCGGTCGGGGTCCTCGCCGACGCACTCGAGCAGGGTTCGTACGGCGCCTCGCATGCGCTCGAGTCGTTGCGCAGCTTGCTCGGGCGTCTCTTCGGCTCTCGCCCTGGTGCCAGTGCCTGTTGTTCGCAAAATGGAGGTCAGATAAGCTCATTGCATCTGGGTAGCAAGAAAACCTACTGGGCCGGCTGAGGCCGTCAAAGTCAATGACCGGGCTGGGGGACCGCGTCACTGCGCCCTCCTCCTTCTTGGACTTCTTGGGCGGTGGGGATTCGGGCTCATCCCTGGGGTCACGAGCAGCTTTGCTGATGCTGTGCCTGCGCTTCGACGACCTGTGGAGGCCTGACTTCTTGCTCTTCTTCTTGCTCCTCTTCTCTCCGTCCTTCCGCTTGGCAGCCTCGCCGTTGACGGAGGACGTCTTGGAGGTCATCGCCCCACTCTCGGATTCGGAGTGCTCGAATTGCACCATGCTGGCTGAAGGACGTTCCGGCTGCTGTTAAGGATGAGATCCTAGGATTCAAGGGAGGAATTGGAGGGGTAGAGAGGAGGTAGAAGATGCCAATTGGGTCGCCGACACAGCAACTTATATTCCCATTGGCGCTTACGGAGGAGAGGGACCCTTTTTCCAAGCTGAGGAAAATTCCGTAAGTAGACCAGAGCGAGTCACACGCAGTCCAGTGAGGGAGCGAGCGAGCGCGGGCGTAGCGGTCGAGTTGGCCGAAAATTTCCATGTCTATCCGATCCGCTGACCGGCCTCGCACACTAAACTGCCCGCACCTCCATCCTCTGTGCTAAACTGATGCCCAGCTTATCTTATCGGAGCTAGGGATGGTCAGAGGGCCTGTGCTTTTCTGCTTTTGGGGTCCTCTAGGCTGAAGCTCAGCACACCACCCCCAGTCTTCAGTGGGTCATTCTCTAAAGCACTCGAACGTGACTGGTCCTTTGCACCTTGTCCTCACCAACCAGCACAGCACTCGTCTGGATCTCGACGTATCCATCCATCTCGTGAACTTTGACAAACCCATCACCCATCCCTTATACCCTCTACACTGGGCCGCGCTCTTTCAGCACCAAGAACTTTCTTCCTTTCGCAGCCTTGATTGAAGAGAACATCCATCCACTCCATTTCTCCCGGCGGGAAGCCAACTGCTGGCTACCACACCCGCAGGCGATGGCGTCGCCTCCGCCCAACCATCCGCCCTCCTACTCCCCTTCCTTCGCATCGCGAGAGCTCCCCGCCATCAACACATCTCTCGGCATGGGATCGAAGAAGCGCTCGGCCGCCGACGGCAGCACCACGCCAGCCAACAAGCGGCGGAAGGCATCCATCATGTCGGCCGGCTCTGCCCACCCGCTCCGGCAGACCTCATTCCCGCCCGACGAGGCCGGCACTCCCTTCTCGGCGCGGTCGCCCTCCGTCGACGTCGAGACGGCGAGCCTCGTCAGCGCCAGCGCCAGCCAGCTCAGCGCCGCGGGCCGTCCTAAGAAGAAGCGCGGCCGCAAGAGCAAGGCGGAGAAGGCGCGGGAGCAGACGCCGTCGGTGGCGGGCGGCAGGGCGCCCACGGCGGTCAGCGGGACTAGCGGTCCCAGGAGCAACGTCGGGGCCGGGAACGAGGCGGCCGAGGACGACGAGGCCGAGGGCGACATGCAGGAACACATGGCTAAGAACAATGCGACCCGCACAGAGGAGGAGCGAAAGGAGGAGAAGAGGCTGAGGGCCATGCTGGCCAGCGCTATGGATCTCGACCAGTTTGAGCGGTTCTCGGCGTGGCGCGCTGCCAAACTGCCTGATTCGGTCATCAAGAGGGTAGGCTCCGCTTCGTTCCAAAACGTCTCAACGGACACCAGTCGCAAAGGGGGATTTGCTAACATGACGATGGTTCTAGCTGGTAAATGCCACCGTCTCCCAATCGGTGCCGCCGTCCGTCGTTACCGCCGTCCGCTCCGTCACCAAGTACTTCTTGACCGACCTCATTGTCAAGGCCAGACGCGTACAGGGCGAGTGGTCCGAGGTGGAGAACGAGAAGCAAGCCGACGTGGAGTATCCCGGCAGGATCCTGACACGAAACCCCGAGGCCAAGGAGAAGTTCGACAAGCAAGCCAAGGAGTGGCCGTGGGAGGCCGAGAAGGAAGAGGTCATTCTGCAGGAGCCGCCGCGCGGACCGCTGCGTCCCGACCATTTGCGCGAGGCCTGGCGTCGGTACAAGACTTCCTTGCAGGGCAGCTCTACGGGACTTCAGGGCCTTTGGCATGTTCAGCAGCATAGTGGCGTAGAGCGTTTTCCTTCTAAGACTGGAGGACGGCGGATCTTCAAGTGAAGGTCCTGTTATGGCACATGATACCCCTGAATCATATTTCGTTTTTTACGGTTCTGGCACGGCTGGCTTAACTGGGAGATGGCAAGATACTACGAGAGGCGTTATGGCGCAGACCAAGAGCTGGTCAATTATTGAGGACTCCGGATAGAGACAGAGTCTAGTTACTGAATGAACCGCTGAAGGACTGCTTTTGAGCACCGGACTCTGTTCGCAAGTGACACTCTCGGACCGGATGCTGCACTCGGCAATTACAGCCTCAAAATCCTGCTCGCTCGCGGATCGCTACATGACCCACGATGCCAAAGATTTTCGTGAAGCAAAAGTGCATCAAGGATAATGGCGGCAATGGCAAAGTTGTATCATCTCCACGACTCAGTCTTGAGGTGATTTGCGCGGCTACTCTGTAGGGTAGATAGCAAGGGACAAGAGAACCCATTCTGAAGTGGCAACTGTCCCTGTCCTGGTCATAGACAAGACCCATGGACCATCAAGGTGCCTAAATGTTTTACCTCACAGGGGTCCTCGGAACCAAAGAGCAGTTCGTCGGGGAATGAGAGGGGTTGGCAGGCGTGGTTGCATCTGAGGATGAGAGACTTTTGGTCGAGACCAAATCTAGATGCAAGAGCAAATCTCTGGAACTTGAGTCCCGCAAACCGCAACATCGACATTCTTGTCTTGGGCCAAAACCAGTCATATCCCTGCGCACGCGGCGAAGGGGTTGGCTGACACCACTCACGCTCTGAGATCGGTGATGCAGCATCGGCGGCAAGATGCGAAGCACAGTGGAGTCTCTGGTGAGCGGATCCATGGACGACGGATGTGATGGCAATCCATGGATGGAGACGGAGTTGAGATGCCCACTGCTCTAGCGGGTGAACCCCCCACTAATGGACCGGATAGGGCCTGGCTCAGTGGGGGAGCAGCGGTATTTCTTGAGAGACAGGTACCTAGGTAGGCTACCGCGGGGCCTAGCTGCCGCAAGTTAACTACCTGTCACATCCATCCAACCTTGCCAGTATTCATTGACGGGAGGTCGACAGACGGGAAGATTGAATAGATCAACCACCGACCGAGATCAAGCTCTCCCTGAGATCTGAGATAATGGCTCCTCTTCTCGTCTTCTCCCCAGCAACTCGGCTCCTGTCCTGCCCACATCCGTCTGTCTGCTGGTTGGCATCTTGGTGTTTCCAAAACGCCCGACATACACCCAATGATCAGACCAGGTGCTGATGCTCAGCACCAGCGTGACGGCCAACCACCTTGTCCGCCTCTGACCTCCCCGCCACCGTCATCACACAATGGCGCACATGGATGGCGCCGGTCAGGTTGACCGCCTTTTATCGTAAGTTCGAGGCCAGGTAGGTAGGGCAGTGCGCAGTGCGGGATCCGCTCGAACCAGATCTGCGTTCGCGGTCCTCTTCCCTCCTATCTGCCTATCTTCTTCTGCTCCTCGTCTTCGTGGGCGCCGGGATGCTCAGAAGTCATTCTGCCCTCCCTCCAAAGGTAACGGTTTAGTCATCGTGCCCGGCCTCTGGAAGCATAGATAAAGGACCTGGCCTTATCTCGGGTCTGCCACCGGGTCTCGTGGCATCGCTACGTGCATTTTGCACTGTCCTTGCCGGTATCGCGCTTCTTGTCCCTATCAGAGTCCAGATGTGTAACTCTCTCCTTCATCGGGTTTCCTGATTCAGTAGTCCCCCAGACGTCGGGTGTCATCGGTGTTCTTCCCTTTCTCTTTCCCTCCCCATACCTCGTCGTTCTTTGAACAATTATATTGCGGTTTCCCTCGGGAACACAACCCAGAAATCCCAACGAGGAAGGCTTTATTCTCCATTGGTCCGTTACGCTCAAGCTGGCATCATGGCTGAGCCGACAAACACTCCAATGCCTGGGTCAACGCCCATCCCAGGGTCGACGCCGCGCTCGGCGTCCCCAGCACCTCCGTTACCCTCCTTCGCCCAAGGGTCCTCGGCCAACGGTCTAGCGCAAAGGTTCGCAAGGCCAATTGTCCTTCACATCGGCGACCCGGTCAGGTTCAACCCAATGACCTACGCTTCCTTCTCCGACATGTTCCAGGTGGTCAGGCCCGAGGTCGAGGAGCGCAAGCGCCCGGAGTTCATACGAGCTCTGCGTGAGGAGCGCTGGGGCCAGTTCTCAGCAATCTTTAGGCCATTCTGGGGCACGGGCGGAGAGATGGGCAAGTGGGATCGAGAGCTCATCGATCTCCTGCCCGACTCGTGCCGCGTCTTCGCGAGTGCCGGCGCGGGCTTCGACTGGGTGGACACTAAGGCGCTGGGAGAGAAGGGTAAGCCGCGATTCATATCTGTCAACCTGGTAGATTAGAATATGAGCTTACGGTCTGTCCTTTTGGGATTTCCAGGTATCATCTACTGCAACTCTGGGCTTGCGGCTGCCGAAGCTGTAGCCGACTTCGCGGTAGCCATGGTCATCTCCACGTTCAGGCATCTGCCGTGGTGCATGGGCGCTGCAAACATGGCCAGAGACTCGACCGGCGGAACCGATCTGCTGTTCAACACATGCCATACCCAAGCGACCAGCGCTTCGCACAATCTCCGGCACCACACCCTAGGGCTGATTGGCCTGGGCAATATCGGACAGCAGCTAGCGAACAAACTCGGCTGCCCTGCCTTTGGAATGCAGATACACTACTACGACGTAGTCCGCAAGTCCACAGAGGTCGAAACGAGACTCGGCGCCACGTTCCATGAAACGCTTCCGAGCCTCTTACATGTGTCCGACTGTGTCGTGGTCTGCGCACCGGCTGGCAGGCACGGAGAGCCACTGATGACCAAGGAAATGCTGGGACACATGAAAGAGGGGTCGAGGTTCGTCAACATCGCGCGAGGTTCCCTGGTGGACGAAGAGGCCCTCATACAAGCACTCGAGAAAGGCAGGATATCCACCGCCGCCCTCGATGTGTACTCGCACGAGCCCAAGATCAGCCCGAGGCTACTGGATCTTGCGAGCCCCTCGCCCACCACCGAGGTCCATCCAGGCAGAGTCATGCTGACGTGCCATAATGCTGGCGGGACCGTCGAGACGCATGTTGGATTCGAGGAGCTGAGCATGAGGAACATCATGGCTGTGCTCAGGGGGGAAGAGGCCATCACTCCTGTGAACTTGCAGTATCTCAAGAGACCTGAGAAACGACTCGAGTTAACGGATGAGGATTAGCTGGGAAGATCTTCCGCAGGTTTTGGATCGAGAAAATTATGCTTCGGTGTTCCTGTTCCGTCTACAATTGTTTCAATGTTCACTGTGTCAACCACATTTCCCTACGACGTCAACTGTTGCCAGATACCCAAAGTCATCTCTGAAAATGAATCGTTATTTTCCAGTCCCATCTCTGTGGGTAAGACTAAGATATGCAAAATGCCCCTTAGGTCGGCCGTGATAATATGTACAAGAACCCAATCAACCCACATTACAGCCCCAGACAGTGCACGTCCACTTCGTCTTCTCCTCCTTTGTTGCACTGTCACTCATCTCCAAGATGACCGACCACGTCATTACCTGTAGTTCTCCTGGCCCATCTCGACGGGGTTGTGAGGGTTGGGCACCGCCTGCGCCGGCGTGGCAGGCAGCTCGGCGCTCGGCGCGAACGACTGGTGCGTCATGTAGCTGCCGCCACCGGCGCCGTGGACCATCTTGTTCGGGTCCCGGCTCCCGCCCTGCGACGACGGCGCGTACGCGCCGCCGTACATGTGCTGCTGCTGCTGCTGCTGGAGGCCCGGCGACAGGTGGCCGCCCTGCTGGGCCGGGTTGTAGTAGCTCTGCCGCGGGTCGTGCTGCGCGGCGGCGCCGGGGCCGACGACGCCGTAGGGCGACTGCGGCGGGTACGTTGTCGACATCTGCGGCGAGGGCTGGCCCGGCACGAAGCCGGGCGAGGTCATGGCGCTGCCGGGGCCGCCGCCGCCGTAGTTGCTGTAGCCGCCCGCGCCGGAGGGGTCCTGCGGGTTCACGGCGCTGTAGTTGGCCTCCTTCTTCTTCTTCTTGTTGCGCAGGACGACGAAGGCCGCGATGGCGCCGAGGATGGCCAGGCCGCCGACGCCGCCGACTACGCCGCCGACGATGGCGCCCGTGTTGCTTCCGCCGCCCTTGTTGTTGTTGTCGTCGCCGCCTCCGTCCTTGGTGTTGCCGAGGTCGCCCGTCTCGGTGGGCTGGGTGCTCGTGGTGCCGGTGGAGGAGGTGGTGTCGGGCGCGCCGTTGGAGCGCGACAGGGCGTCGAGGACGAACTGCGGCTGGTCGTTCATGTTGATTATGACGGGCTTGTTGAAGCACCGGTACATGGAGCGGGCGGGCGTCCCGCTCCAGAGGAATGTCCCGCATGCGCCGGCGGTGGATTGTTGGCTGTATTGGCAGTTAGTATTTCCGCAAACATCGCTCACTCGTCGAGTTCCCCAAGAGCAAGGAGGGATAAGAAAGGGAACTTGCCAGCATCCCGTCGCTGCTCCAATCGAGTTACACGCTCCCTTCTTGTAGGCGTTGTAGTCGAGGCAGACGGTGAAGAAAGGGCTGAAGGTTCCCGACACGCAAGCCACGACGTTCTGCTTGTTTGTCGCACACGTCGAGCTCGACGCGCAGGTCCATGCCCGTGCTGTTGGTTCTCTGGTAAGCACTCACGTTCACTTTTCCCGGTGCATCTCACACGCAATCTGCGTGCAGGACTTACATGAGGTTCCGGAATACCAGCCACAGGTCTCATCGTTTTCCCAGTCCGTCGTAGCTGTCTTCTTGTCGTCGCCGTCGTCTCTCCTCACCAAGCACTTCAGTACTTCCTCTGCGCGGGACCAGGCACCCGGAGCCGGCGTCGGCTTCGGCGTCCATCCCTTCTTCTCGTCAACTTTTGAGGATCCCGTCTCCCGCGGGAAGTGTGCGTTGAATGGCTCGACGTCGCCAGCCAGCTTGACGAGACTCGCACCCGCCAGACAGCTCGAGGCTGCCACTAGTAGCAGGGAAGCCCGCATTCTGGCACGTATCGCGGCCCAACCCGTTCGTGTGTCTCAGTCGGCGGGTAAAGAGCCCCAAAAACGGAGCTCTGGCGTGTAAGTGACGAGCTCGGCGGAACCTTAGATGCTTCGTACCCGCAATTCCTCTCGCAACGCAATACCTGTCGGAGGACCAAGTGTGATGATGCTGGATTGTCGGATGCGAAATCCTTTCACGCTACGGAAATTGATTTTGTACCCAGCTGCATGGCTGGGGGCCAAGGGGCCTGTTTGTATTTAAGGATGGGCTTGACCGGGGTCGTCCCGATGGGCAAGGATAAGCAATTAGACCGTGTTGATCCTGGCGGGTGATAGGTGTGAGCGCCCTCGCAGGCGGAGGCAGTGGAGGCACACTAAACAGAGGTGACGAGAGGATGTAAGGCTGATTCGGGGGCGGGAGGTCTGAAACCCGCAATATGTCCTGCTATCTGGGGACCTTCTACTCTCCAGTTGCTTTGTGGAGGATGGTTACAAAGCAAAGCGCGAAGGAGCAAAGAAGTTTCTTTAAGCTTACTGTTCATAAAGAGATGATGCGGCTCAGAGCGTGAAAGGATGAGATGCAGGCCGATTGCATGATAGAATGCTACATCACTCCAAGACTGGGAGACAGTAGGTACCTATTACCTGCTCCAAGCTCAATGAAAGCCATTGCTTTACACAACTCACCACCACCCAAAAGACCCGACGAACCGCTGCTGGGCCACGCAGCGGCCCGTGATTGCCACGCAACAGAGTCCAGACACAGGGACTACTGTCGGCTGGGCCACCTAGAGACAGGAAGAGCTACATGCAGCATCTAGGGCAGTGTGTCGTTGAGTCTCCTGATAGGAGGTCTGGCCGCTCACTATTGGGCATGACAACCCCCAGAAAGTGCAGGAGGACCGTGTTTTTGACCAAGCACAGCCATCATGGATCGCACAGTGGAAATGAGCAAAAAATAGAAACAAACCACCGGCCCACCGGCCGAACTTGGGAAAACCCGCTAGCCATGAGCTCAGCCCTCGAGGTGGAGCCGCCAAAGGCGCAATTACAGCACGGTGGGTGGAGCGGAAATGGAGATGAATGGGCTTGCCAACGGCGAGACTGACCAGGATGTATGGACCTTTTGAATCCCTGTCGCGTGTTTCCGCCCCGGATAACAGTCGGTCGCGGGGTCTCGCGTGCTCGTCTTCGACCTCCCCTCATCAACTGACGTCTAGTCGCTAGAGTCGATATTGCGTTGCGAGTTTTGTCTTTCGAGAGCGCTCTTATATTTGGACCGGCTTTGATGAGGCGATTCCTCGCCCAAGGTCATACAAGGAATCCTGATGAAACATTTGATTACTGCTCAAGCCCCTGCCTGGTGGTGGCTCGTGATTAGCTGAGTCCTTATTAAAGCGAGCCTGGACATCGTATTGGGGGGCCAAGACTTCTGCACCCGAGGGTCCGAATTCAAATTTCACTAACCAATCTTTGGAAAGTCTTCTGCAACGATACCATTCAAGCCAAGACTGTGGCTCCTTGCACAAACAAGACGCCACTCCCAACATAGATGGACCTATGCTTATCAAGACGATCACGTTACCAGAGTTGGTGTAGCTTTGTAGAGTCCCGAAGCCTTTCAAACAGAAGAAAAGGGCTTGCCCGAAGGCGGGTTGTCAGTTTTGTATACCTAGGTAGGGAGCAACCACAGTCAGAGTTGAATAGCGAAGGAGTATGACAATCCATTTCTTTTCTTGTGTAGTTGTTGCTTTATTTCTATTCGGTACCCTTCCAACACGTTTATCACTATATTTAACTAATACAATCAAGGCCATCATCGCTTTCTCTAATCTCAAAAGTGCTATAGCACAAGAGAGTGTGTGACCAGTTGTAAATCATCACCATCAGGTTTTCAACTTACACATATGCCGGGGTGATTTAATTAACCGTGTATAGGCTTACAGGCTATCCCGGAGAAACTGACAGAAATGTTTCTGAGAACGGTTTCGATTTCATTGATTTTCATTGTGTACAAGTATACAAAAAGGGTTACCTCAGCATAGGGATCCAGGTCATGGGAGATCACTCAACGCCCCTCCCATAGACACAAGTCCTTACCCACGCAGCTCTTTCACCATGCCTTAGAAAAGAAAAGAAAAACGAGAAAAAAAAAAGCCCACTCGCCGCCCTTTCCCATCAGATCCTCCCATAAAAACTCCCTGAATGCAACAGAACGATACAACCCTCGGGTTTGGGCCCCATTTAGAACCCCAGAGCAGAGTTGAAGGCGTCGGCCGTCGTGGCGTCCTTGGTGCCGAGCCCCTGGACCGTGGCCTGCGCCTGCTTGCACAGCGCCTTGGCCGCGTCGTTGGCGTCGCAGACGTTGGTCAGCTGGTCGCAGATGCGGTTGGTGATGATGTTGGGGTTGAGCGCGTCCTGCTGGCCCTTGGCGACGAGCGGGTCGACGGGCAGGAAGGTGCCCTCGTCCGCCTTGCGCCCCGCGCGCCCGAGCTGGAAGTCCATGGTCGGGTTGCACTGGCCAAAGTCGGCGGCGGCGTTGGCGCCCGCACCGGCACCGGCACCGGCGGCGGCGCCCTGGTTGTTGTTGTTGTTCTTGCCGCCGTTCTGGTTGTTGTTGTTGTTCTTGCCGTTCTGGTTCTGGTTCTGGCGAGCGCCGATGGTGCCAGCCGACACGGTGGCGGCGGCAAAGAGGGCGAGGAGGAGAGTCTTGGTCTGCATTGTGGATGGAAGAGTAGAAAAGTAGTGAAAGGCCGGGCTAGCGGTTGGTATATAGAAGTTGGGTATCGTAGAGAATGGAAACAGTTCACAGAACTTTGTGTGTATGGTAACGATCGAGAGATCTACTCTGATGAAAGAATGGAAAGTGAAAGGCTTTGAAAGGCTAGTGAGTGAGGGAGAAGAAGGAAGGGAAGATGACTCTGGACGATGGTCTGGGAGCTTTATGTATCGAGGGAGCCCATATAGCCGTGGAGACCGATCCGCACAAGCAATCACGGGACGACGGATTGACACGAACAACCTGGGAGGCGAGGCATGAGATGTACGCCCCCCGTTTACCTGCGGATCAAACAGGCACGGGGGGTTTGTCATAAAAGAGTTTGGACGATGATATGATAGGACGACTCAGCAACCCCAGCAGCCGGCACGCCAAGCCAGACACCAGAACAACGGCATGAGGATCTTGGCAGCGGCGACGTGTAAGAGGTATTGTTAGTACAGCGCGTGTCGAGCGAGTTATCTGATGGGAGGACTGTGCGGCTCAACAGGCCCCTCGGGACCTGAGGGCCCGTGTGTGTGAGCATGTGCGTGCGGTGGATGCTGGAGATCTGACACAAGGCCGCCCAGACCCCTGGCGCCAGGCCGCCTGGATCAAACAGCCTCAACTCTTTTTGCAGGGGTCGCGCAACATGAGCCCAGACTGCAACTGTTTGATAAGCGCTCGCCAACACTTACCGTTCCTCGCATGAGGGCAAAAACCAGCCAATTTGGGCAAGGACTTGCAGTCGTGCACTGTGGGCGATCTCGGTGGCCAATGCTCTATGACGGCACGTCATGCGTCCGAACAGGACTGTCAGGCAGTCATGGAACACTCTGAGTCAACCCCTCGCCAACGGCGGTTGCGATGCAGTGCTGGAGCCCAAGAGATGGATGATCGGCCCGTGGTCGGCACATGCCGAGCGAATGTTACTGGTGCGTCGTCCTAATCGATGTCCCTTTGGCCCACCAGTAGTTCATTTCTAAATGACAGGATCCTAATAGTCAATTCGGAACACATCTCTGAGGACAGGACAAGCACGAGAACAAGGCATTTATTTTCACGATTGCAATGAAGCCATCTAGAAACAAGAAATAAAGTCAAGCAACCCTTTACTGAAACGCCCCTTAGCCCCGACCCTGATAAACACTCACTTACATCTTGACCCGGAACAGGTACCGGAGCTTGACCTGGGCCACATCGTACGTGATGAACTCGTTGTACAAGAGGTAGGCGTTGGGGACGTTGGTATCACCAGGCTTGACCGACACATCAGGCACCTTGACGCCCTTAAGGTTCTGGTGGATCTTGCCAGCATCCTTCCACTTCTTCGGGCCCGTCTGACCCTTGCCCCAGGTCGAGAACATGCCCTTGGCTTTGGCATCGTCGCCCGCATTGTACGACGCGTCCGTCAGCTCCTGCATGGGGTTGCCCAGCTCGGCCTCACAGAGCAGCAGCAGGGCGGTTCCGCCAGACGCGTAGGAGCAGCAGTAATTGGCCGACTTGGACGACATGTCGGCCAGGTAAATGCCCTTGCCGAACATGTAGCCGGTGACGGGCGCCTCTGGAGGAGCAATGCGGAGACCTTGACTGAGAATACCACCAAAGTTGGTGACACGCGAGCCGTGCCAGAGCAGTCTGCGGTCGCTCTTGGACTTGGGTACAGCACCAAAGTCGCTCTTGTCGAAGCGCTCGAACTCGCCACGGCGCTCGATGCGGAAGATCTGCTCGACCTTGTAGTCGGCGTTGTGAGTGGCGCCCCGGGTTTCCATGAGATAATCCCGGAGGTGGGCAAACTCGGTGCTGCCGTGGTCCAGAGCTATCATCTCCTCCATGCCCAGACCCTCGTACTGACGATCGAGCATATGGACAGTGGACTTCTGGTTCTTCTGTCCCTTCTCAACCTTCATGATAAGTTCGGCGTCCTTCATGTCGCTCAGGCTCTCCAGAAGCTCTATTTCTTTCTTGAGCCGGCTGTAGTCGCCAATGATGGGGGGACGGTTGCGACCGAAGGCATGAGGAATGAGACTGTAGTACATGTTGGACAGGTTCTCAACGGCAGTGGGCACATTCGTGTGGTACTGCGACTGAGCGAGGGTGTGGTCATCGAGAAGCGCAGACAAGTCCTTGAGTGCTTGGAAACCACGGGTAATGGTTGACTTGCTCAGCTTGCCCAAGGGGAGCTTGTTGGCATCATAGTTCAGATCGCTCATGGTGGCAGCGAAGAACTTCTGGTTGAAGATGAGTTCCATGAGCTCCTTGACTTGCGGCTCGAGGGTGCACTCCGGCTCGACAAAGTCCTCATCCTCTTCGTCTTCCTCTTTCTTCACAGCTTTGGCATCATCATCGTCGCCATCGTCCTCGGAGTCGGACTCGTAGCTGCGTTCAATGTAGGCGTACTTGCCTGGCTTGGGGTCGGAAGCGCGGTCATCCCACGAGATGCCCGACTTGTCCTTGAATTTCTTGTTGTACTGCTTCAGCGCATCGTCCAGGGTGCCGTTGCCAAGCACAGCGGTCTGGCCACGCTCGCCAACCCTGCCCCAACGCGTCCAAGTCTTGTATTCTTTGTTGCCATTGTGGAGCAACTGGGAATCATGTTGTTAGTGAACCAAAGTCCAGCCTGCTTCGGGTTCGTCTAGTCCAGTGAGGCATACCTGAATACGGTAGAACTTGTTATTATTGTTTGACGCATTGGTCTGATTCAGCGAAGCGTCGAAAATGGTACCCCTGTCGTCGATGTAGACGACAAAAGTGGTCAGAGGGCAGCCCTCATCCAGAGGAATCTGGGGGTCTTTGGACTTGGAAGGTTTGCTGGCAGCAGCCTGGGCTTTGGTGGCTTTGGCTGCCGCAGCTTTGGTGGCCTTGCCATTGGTCTTTGCCTTCTTGGCGGCTGGCTTCACATCAGTAGCCGAGTCATCGGCATCACTGGGGGACGCAGCACGCTTGGCCGAAGCCTTGGTGGTCCCATTCTGCGATGGCTGTTAGTCCCATTACACGAACAGACTCATATGCAGGGACGGGATAACGGTAAAAGGAATGGTGAGGAGTTGATGCGAGGAGCAACCGTCCATCAGCTGGGGGAGGAACACTGAACTGACCTGAGCGGCAGGCTGGGCAGCCGTGCCAAAAAGATAAGACTTCTCGTCCTCCTTCGAGCCCGAGCTCTTGCTGTCGGTCAGCCATCCGACTTGGACGATGGGGAGGCCCTTGTCCTGCGCATTCTTGACTTTGGCAGACGGCTTGGCAAAGTCCGCTTGGCTAGTGACGACATGGGTGGTTTTGGCGGTGACAGAGCTGTCAACAACGCCCCCAAGCTCGGCGATCAGGCTCTTGACCTCGGCCTGGGTGAAGCCGCTGATGCTGCCGCTGATGGCAATGTGGAGGCCATCGAGCGGCGGAGCGGCCGGAGGCGGCGCTGCGGCCTTGCGTGTGCTCCTCTTGGGCGGCATTGGGTCCTGTTGCTGGGTGTCAATTGATGTAATTGCAGCATGCATAAATCAGAAAAAAAGATTGAGCACGTTACCTGAGGTGCTCAGAAATTCAATGGCAGACAGTTGGCGACGTTGGAAGAAGGTCGTACCTCAATGGGAGCGGGAGCGGAGGAGGATGAGAGGTATTCCCATCAAAACAATGCAAGGGTCAGAAGATGCGACGTTTGCACTGTTGTTTGACAATCAGCTCCGCGCAATTGGTGTCGAATTAAGATGAATCAACACAGAAAATGAGGCTGATTGGGACGTGAAGAGTCGAGGGGACAAATATCGTAGTGTTGAAGTCGAGATGCCTGTTAACACAAATCCCAGTGCCAGTTGGTGGGATGGATGGATGGGTGGATGGAGAGATGAGGGCAGGAGAGGATTGGGGGAGAATGAAAGCCGGCTGTCTGATATTTGAATCCTTTTCAGGCTTTGAGAGGCCAGCAAGAAAAGAGAATGAGGCAATGGACGTTGGTAGGAAGAAAGAGAGGAAGTGATTGGCCTTGGCGAGCTCGACGTGGGACGGTATTCACAGGCAGCAGTGCCTCCCCTTTTTCGTTACCTCGACAGCTCCGGATGCTCTTGCCCCCTTGTCGCTTTCCTTGTGTCACCCGACAGAAGAAAACAACAGCAGACAGGACATCAACAGAGAGAGAGCTCCAGGGCCCCAAGCGGGGACCCTCGGGACCTCCAGCTCTCTGCAAGACCCATCTCCCAGGCAGCTTCAGGGGTCATGCAGAAAGCACTGGCCACTGTGGGCTCGGCTCTGTTGCCGCTAACTGCCATTTTGTCGCTTGCAGGCCGGGGCGCAGCCGCGCTAAACCTTTCAGCGACCCGCCCTAACGTCTTTTTTGGCACTGGTTCAGGCACCAGCTGGTCTTGGCATACCGACCAGCTCGACCTTGTCCAAGACACTCTCTTCCCTTTTCCCTCAATGGTGGTAGTCACGCCACTTGAGGCAGCGAAAGCCACGAGACGAGTGGTTGGGACCGATCAATTGATGGAGTGGACAAAGATTCTGATCAATCGAGATCGGGTGTATCGTATTTTCTTGCCTGAATCTATCGCGCGTCGCGCCCGTACCTTTGGAGCAATTCTCTACACCTCCAATACCAAATACGAAGCTACCTTACATTATCTATGAAGCCAGCCTTGGAAGTCAAGAGAAGAATTGCCCACATCTGTTGTGTAGAGAAGAAGCAAATGAAGTCGCCGGGGAGAATACAGTGACGTCCATACAACATGCATGTGCCACGGCCAATATCCGGTATCTGTAGCCGTTCAAGCTCCCATAAGCCATTGTGACCATGCTTGAGCTACGCCCGCGAGGTAAAGCCCAGCGAGTCATTCCTCATCGTCTCCATTACCGTCATCGTCGCCGTCGCTATCATGTTCTTCATCGGAACCTTCGCCATCGCCATCGTCTTCATCCAATTCGTCCGCGTCCTCTATTTCGGGCGGCCACTGGACGTACATCTCCCGCGCGGTGTTGAGGAGCCACTCCCTCACTCTCCTGGGGCTGCCGTAGAAGTCGCCCTCGAGGGAAGCGGCATAGATTTTCATGGTCGGGCCAGGCCGCTTAGCCAGTTCGAACAGCGAGACATCGATGATCACGCCATGTTCTTTCCTCTGCCGCATGAATCCGAGATGGACATGCTTCAGCTCCTCGAGCTTGGCCAGCCGGTTCACCACTGGCAGCCAGACGTTGCCTCGCACATCGTCGGCCGAAGCATCGATGAGCACCATCCTCCTCAGGCCGACGCTGGTCAGCTTGGGGAACTTGTTGAGGAGGCTGACGATGGTCTCGGGCTTGACCTCGAGACTGCCGAGAGAGAGGTCGTCGAGCGCCGGGAACAGCGGGTCATCCGAGTCCGGGTCGGGATGGCCAATCCACTCAATGAGCGTCTGCGCAGCGGTGTGGCTAGCATGCTGCAAGTTCAGGCGCAGATGTGTGACATTCGTGGTCCGGCGCAGGAACTTCTTCAGCATGACCGTAGCCACGCGGTACTCCTCGGGGTTGGTGATACGCCCGAAATCCAAGCCGAGTCCGGGATAGAGGTCCAGGTTCAGCACGCGGATGCCCGCCAGCACGGAGTCGTAGGCAGGCTCAAGGGCAGGCGGCACGTAGAAGGCGAAGTCAGTGAGGCCCCATGTCTTGTTTCGGCATATAACCTCGAGCTTGGAAAGCCGGACGCCGGCCTCTGCCGCTGCCGCGAGCACGAGCGCAAATGTCTTGGAGGCGAAATCGCCACGTGGGTAGCCGCTGGTCGTCAGTTCCCGTCCCGTCTTTTTACAAATGGTCGGCGCGCCATAGCTGCACCACTTGCGTGTAGGACCATCGCGCGAGCGCCGGTTCGAGCTAAAGTCCCTGATGTCGATTGTTTCTAGTCTGGGAAGGTTTCTGAACGCCTCGACGAGGAGAAGCTGGCCGCGACTTGACGATATCAGGTACTGCTGCTCGGCATGGCCGGCCCGATACTCGGTGAGCTGCTCCGAGGAGAGGTCCCGGGTCCCGGCGTCTTGCAGCTCGAAATGATCCAAGCCAAAGATGACATGCGTCAGGCTTTGCGAGTAGGCCTCGTGCTTTGAGATATCGACCAGGGCTTTGAGGCTGAATTCCGACAGCATGAACTGCTTCTTGGTAAAGAACTCCCGAATGTATTGAGACGAGAGAGCGTCTGTGATGCGTTTGCAAGTCAGGCGCAAAGACGACAGATCGGAGGTTGTGAGAGTGTAAGTAATGCGCATGATGAGTTCAACTGGCAGGGTTGCCAGCCCGCAGCCGTTCTGCTTGTCCATCGTGTCAAGGGGGTCTTGCGTTGACATGACGGCTTGCTTCGAAGTGTCTGGGGCGAGGAGTGAAGGTTGGGTGGAAAATACAGGCACAACCATGTGGCCCTCGTAGACGTGTGGTAGTGAAATGAAGTGGCTGTTCACCAGCGTGCTGGCATCGACCCAACAAGAGTCGAGCTCTTGATGCAGATGCTGGAGACGGCAGCTGTTCTGGTATTGTGTGAATCGTTTTTCGATTGTACTTCTCTGAACAGCTGTTTTGCAGGGCGACGCGGTCGTGGTCCTGGAGTCGTTTAATGAACAGAGAGTGTAAGACGGTCGCTTCCGTGTCAAACAAGAGCAGATCAACGATGACCTTTTATCGAGGAAGCTCTCGGTAGCTCGGAATCACAGGCTCCAATGCCTTCAAGAACCATCCAATGGATTTTGATGGATCCTCAGCTCCGGGCCAGGGTCACATTTAGCGCTGTCAAAGCGGCACACTCCTCGCGCTGTTGCCTGTCTCGTGCTAGCCTGAGGTGATGCATGGTCGCGCTATCACGTGGAGGCAAGGAGGCAAGCTAGGCTACAGTGGACCTTGATTGGTGCTACAGCACGCACAGTCAAGGAGACTCAACACACCACATGGATGCATGTCTTGAATCATAGATTGTAGAGATGCTAAAATACTATCCACCACCTACGGCGGTAGTACTTAGGTAGGTACTTACCTACATTGGTCTTAAGATCTAATGCGGACCTTAAACTGAAGTGGATCTAGATGGGTGTAGACCTAATGCAAAAGTTCGGGATTTTATGTTTGGACACAGGGACCATTCTCGACCGCCGTAACCACTGGGCATCAATGCGGGGGGCTGGCGCAATGGTAGTAAGTAGGCTATGCCGCAAAAACCCGGCATTTCAGGAACTAACCATCAGCAAATAGGCGCGTTCGACTCCAGATCGAAAGGTTATCCGTTCAATCCGGGTGTCCCTCATCTTTTTGACTCTTTTTTTCTTTTTTTTTTTTCCAAAGAAAGAGAAGGAAAGGGGTAAAAAAATCTCAATAGTTATCTTACAAGACAATCCAATTCATTTTGTCTGCCTCCTTTGTCTTGTTAGTTATCACCCTTCATTATCCTATTTTCTAAGGCGCTGTTTGTCAGCAATTGATAGCTGGGTATTTAGGTCGACATCCATACAGATCTTTCTTCCTGGCAACTTAGTTGTGGCTCACGAGCGAGGGCGCAAACAACCTCACTACATGACCTCAAGGCGAACATTGATTGATAAATGATCTTCTCAAATTTGGGAATTTCAAAAAACGCCATCGCTAAATGTCTAATCCTATCTCTAATATGCATGGGGGTATAAAATGATATGTGTACAGGGAAAACAAAATTCGATGCTCGCCGCGTTGGCGTGATGCTCATGCCAAGGATGCAGGAGTGCCATCTCCTGGCCCAGCATTAACACAAAAATTAGGTCGTCGTGTCGTCTTCTTTCGTCGCTTCATTCATTCTTGTCTTGTGTGTTTGTCTTCAGTCCTCCACGAACGACCCCGGGATCCGCACCTCGTCCTCCACTGTCGGCGCGGGCGGCCGGCGACTGCTCTTCTTCTTGACGGGGTCCCGGTAGTCGACGGCCTTGGAGTCGAGCTCGTGGGCCTTGAGACGCTCGGCGGCCCGGTTGAAGAGGCCCAGGCTGCCCGCCGAGTCCGACGTCGACGGTCGCGTGAGGTGCGTGTCGGCGCTCGACATGGTCTCGGACCGGCCGAAGGAGGCGGTCGTGTAGGTTGAGGAGCCGGCGCTGCTGGCCACGAGCCGGATATCCGACTGGATAACCGTGTTGGGGTCGTCGGCCGTGCGCATGACCGAGAGGGGCGATCGCCTCGTCCGTGTCGGCTGGCTGTAGTTGCTGCTCGCCGCGCTCGACATGCTGACTGTGCTGCCCGCCATCCTGTTGTACTGAGCGGGGCTCTGCACTTGTTGTTGTTGTTGTTGTTGTTGTTGCTGGTTCTGGCTCTGGTTCTGGTTCTGGCTGCTCTTGCCGATCTTGCTCGGGCGCCTGAGTGGGCCTCGAGGCTTGTGCCTCAGAGAGGAAGAGGATTGCTTCCTGGCGACTGCCGGTTGTTGCTGTGGCTGTTGTTGCCAGGGGAAGCCGAACTGCGACAGGTTTGGTGACGACGCTATCGAGTTGTATCCAGTCTCCTCAGCCAGGTTGTTCCACTGGCTCTTCCAGTCGCCCGGTCGCTGGTGTACGGGGGGTGGTTGCTGGTGGACCTCCTCAACCTCGACCTCGACCTCTTCGAGGACAGGCTCGGGCATCGTTCGCGGGCCTAGTAGGGAGCCCTTTCTCTCTTGCTTCTTCTTCTCCTCCTTCTTGGATACCACGCGCCTCGGCCTCTCCTCCTCGATCTTCTCGATGATTGGGCGTGGTCCCCGGATCTTCTCCTTGACGGGCTCGCACCGGTGCATGCTTCCGCGCTGGGACACGCTGTCGTCAAACATGTCGTACTCGAGGGCGCTGATCCGGCACGTGATGACCGAGTCGGGCGTGATCCACGGCAGAGTGAAGGGGTACCGTGCAGTCTCGAGGACGGCGAGCGCGATGCTCGTGGCGGGCCTGGAAGTAGACATGTCAGCAATGACCTTGGGAGAAAACGAACAGCAGAGTGGGCACCAAACTTACAGTCCCGCGACACAGGCGACGACATTGGCCTGGATGGCACGAACATTGCCCGCCCGCTTTGGATCCGCCTTCGCGAGGATGATGGACGACGCTACAAGGGCAATCGCCCAGATAATCACATCGATCCGGGCGACAATGACGGCCCACGACTGGAGCGGGTGCTGGAACGCCTGTTTCCGGTCCATGGGGTAGTCTTTCCTCGCATTCAGTATGTGGAGAATGATGTATATTATCGCCAATAAGCTCTGTTCCCTCGCATTAGTTTGGGTGCTCCTCTGTGGTGCTGCCGGTTCGGCCACGAGTGTTACTTACTGCAAAGAGCACGAAGCTCTGTCCTAGGGCGACGCCGGCAATATCAGTCGTGCCCCCTAGCACGATACCGGACACGACGAAGCCGATGATGCTGAATATCAAGACAGCCACGAGGGTGACCAGCATGAGCCACTGGAGCCATAGCTGCCGGGGCTCTGGTTGCGGGTTGAGGCGCTCGTAGGCCTCGAACAGCTGCGCCTTGAGGTCGGCTTCTGAGGTCGAAGATCTCGCGTCCATGGCTTATACCGTGCTGCGAGGAATCGGGCGATTGTGTGAGAGAGGTTGACGCAGGCAGAGCCGTACGTGGGAGGATGGGAGGATGGCAGCGATGGCCTTGCTGTGTGTAAGTGAGGGCACTCACTGTCCCAGGGTTGAGGTCCTTGGACGATGAGAATCAATATTGTGGTTTTGACAGGAATAGAAACAAGAAAAGGGAGAAGGAAGGAAAGAAGGGAAAAGAGGTCGAGGTCAGGGGAAGACATGGGCGATCGCTGGGAATATACGGGATGCCTATGCTCGAGATGGTGGTCGACAAGCCACCAGATGGCGGCTTGCGACGATGCAGAAAAACCACATTCTCTAGAATACGACAATCTCACTCCCAAAATCTCCAAAAAAAAAATTGCCCCGCATTCGTTGCACATCACGGTACAGAGGGGACAGAGGGGACAGAGCTCCCTTTCCCAGGTGGTTGGAATGAGACATCCAACATTCCTGGGCGAGGTTCGCCGACCAGCACGGCGGCCCGCCATTGGCCAGGCAGGCGCGGCATTGGAATGTCCAGGCCGCCAATGTACTGGAGATTGCATTTCAGCCACCCCCAGGTCAGCCCGCCCTTGTGGCTCGGCACTCTTTGTGGGCGGTGATGAGCACAGAAGTCGGCTGACGTGCGGCGGACGGCCTGGCTGAAGAATGCTGGCGCAACTCTACGGAGCAGCCTCAGTGTAGAAGTGGCAGGGCGGGTGGGAGCGTTAGCGCGAGCCTCGACACCACCACCGCCGTCATCCAGCGCGGCAAAGTGGAGCTTCTAGACCTGGAAGGTGGTAGGCGTCGATTTTGACAGCACTCGAAGTCTACATCGAACCCATCAAGGGCAGGCGACAGGCTGTCAATCGGCCGCCTCCTTGCTTGGATCCGAGGCATGGCTTCATGATGATGGGCAGGGCTAGGTTCTAGTTGAAGACTTTATTGGCACCGGTGCTAAAGAAGCCACTAGATGGAGCGGAGGAGCGAAAGTATCCTGGAATTCATTAGAAAATAAATAAGACCCCCTTTCTTCCCAGGGGCACAAAAGAGACCGAGAGCCCAACATCCCTGGGCTATCCCCAAGCACAGAGAGGAATGTCTGCTACATAATTGCTCCCTTTTTACAAAATCGACAAGCTGACTGAAGCTTCAAAGAAAAGATCCTTTCAATGGGGCCAGATTGCGCTTCGCTCAATCTGAATTGATCTCCCGCCCTCTCTACAGCTCCTCTCCAAGCCTCGCGCCGCCGCCACCGACCCATCCCTCACGCTCGTAGAATCGGAAAATCAGATCGTAATCGTCGAAATCATGCACGATGCGGTCCATCCGGCGGTATCCCGGGATGCGCTCAAGGCGCTGCCGGCTCTCGGCATTGGCGCCGTCATGAATACCCATCCCCGACCCGTATGGATTGACGCCTTTGCCCTTGGTCTCGAAAAGGGTCACGCTGAAACGGCCTGGCCGGAAGATGCGGACCACGTGCTCGATGATGTCGGCGGTCTCGCGTCCCTTTTGGCCACCCGGAACATTGGTCTCGAATGACGCAAAGGAGCAGTCCGGCTCGGGCGTGACATGGACGGTGAAGTAATGGGCCGATGGGTTAGTCGACTTGTTGCCCTCGTCAAACGAGCTTTGAGCTCCGTCCGGTCCTGGAGGCGCCGGAATGACGCCGTTGGCAGAGAACCCACAGGGAGCAAACATGTAAGCATCGATGCGAGCGTCGGGATAGATCGACGTGGGATACACGTCCGAGAGGCCGCAGTTGTTGGAAACGACGGTCCCGAGAGCGTGTCCCTCGGTGGTCAGCGACTCGGCGAGGACGGCCTGGTCCGTCATTGGAGTAGCAGTACCCGCTCCCTTGTCAACATCGTCCACGTCGAAAATCTCATCGGCCGTGGTACCATCGCTGGTGCAGCTCTCAGACAGCCCACCGAGGCTGTCGTGGGCCGCCTTCCGAGCCTCCTGAGCTTGCAAAGGAACCTGTTCGCACGCGACCGCACTCGCGTGCGACAGATAGAACTGCTTCGCATTCTCCGGGTCGAGATCGGTCATAAGAATCTCCAAGGTCTCGTCGCTGACATTCTGGGGTACTTCCTCAGCGGGAGTCACGAGGCCGGCGGGGATCTTGGAGCGAGTAGGACTGATTGTAGTCTTCCCCTCGTCTGGCGAGCGAGGCGGCGTGTGTGTGGCGCCAGGCGAAGTGATGTATAGATACCAGTGATCGCCGTTCATCTTGCCCACCATGTAGGCGCTGCCACCCTCAAACATGTCGTCGAGGTACTTGACTTCCTGCTTCCAGCTCCGGTGAGGCCCCTGCTGCTTGTCAGGGAAGAGGAAGTTCTTCCGGCTGTAGAACACACGGTAAGGCGTAGCCGCTGCCTTGATGTCATCGAGCGACCCAGTGTTGTGGTATGGGAAGCCGGCATCGACGGCCGCAATGCGTAGGAGCCGGTGCAGTCCCAGAAGCAAGGTTGTAGTGCCACAAGTCTTCAAGATGATCTTGTGGGGGAAGACAAACATGCTCGACTCGGAGAGAAGGTAGGAGTCGACATTCTCCGAGGTGATGACGGACAAGATCTTGCAGTTGACCATATCAAGCATCCCAACCCACGTGTCGGACGGAACGGCCTTCAATCCATTCTGGGGCACACCAGCCGGCAGAGAGGTCGGTCCTGGGGCGAACCACACCTCCAGCAGCTTCTCGGGGCCTATACAATGAATGAGTCTCTTGATTGCTAGGTTGAATGTAGGGGTAAACGTACCTTCAAATGCATTGCTGGAATCCAGATCGGCAGCAACATCGTGATTGATAGTCAAATGCGGCGTTGCCTGGCTGGGCGAGAAAGTGTAGTCATTGGGGACTTCAAGGTTGACCATCTCCGTCTTGATCTCCTCTGATGGAGCTACGGGCAACGGGATGTCGGCCGGGGTTGAGGGAGAGGCGGACTACTGAATGACTTGCGAGCAGTCTTTCCGCGGAGCGCTAGCTGCCACTCAAACGAACTTTGCGGCGTTCGCTTGAGAGAGTAGGCCCACAGGACGGTGGGTTTCCGTAAAGTGCTGGCGGAGCCAGCAACAATGTCGGGTGAGGTATTGCGCAACGTCTCGCGAAGGGGACGTTAAGGGGGGCGGGCGGAGAGAGGGAGGATGAAGACCTTGGAGGACGGAATGGTGGGAGCTATGTAACCGCCGTCTGGTTGTCGAGTTGTGATAGCCCGACCTTGTTGGCGAAGCGTCGGGGTAGCCGGTATCCGGAGGGAAAGGCTTTGATCGGCTTGATATATGTGTAGAAAAGTGCTATGGAATGAGGATGGAGGTCGTGCTATCGAGGCCTGTAAGAGCATTGTCAGTAAACATGTTTACATCGCATGCAGCGCTCGTAGTGGCACGGAGCACGGGGGCTGTAGATATGTACGACCAAGGGTCTGTGAGAGAATAGGGAGCGGGTATCTGCCGTACTTTGCGGGTTTGGACAGGAAGCGAAGCAGGTCTCTTGTGCTCATGGAACCCTGATCTCGGTAGAGAGGGTGGCTTTGGCGGTCTGTCCGGTGGAGGAGTTCTTGTTGGCAAGGAATATCTCAACTAGTAATCATGAAAGGCGCAAAAAGGAAGCGGAACTAGTAGAAGGAAGATTCCTCTGTGAGCAAGAGTCTCCAGTAGCTCTTGGAGAAGCTGTCGCCGTAGAGCTGGGCGCAACAAGGTGGGTGGGATGGGGCCCAATCTCGAATCGAAAAGACAGAAGCGGCACGGCTAAGAGCAGCACAACCGAGCGAACAGTCTGCAACCTGTTCAAGGCGTGCCTGAGTGTTGCCTCGAGTGAACGGGGACGAGGTCGACGAGCGCAAATTTATGTTCTGTCGAACGTTACGTGCACCAGGGACACTGCATGTGCACGAATGCGGTGCGAATGGCCAATTTGAATATTTTTTTTTTTGCTCCTCGCCCACCAGCGCCCACCTTTGGGCTGCAGTGGCTTATCGGGCCATGCAGTTTTTGGAGCGGCGATTGGATCGAGATAGGTGGGGCAGCAGTGGTGGGAAAACCCGGCTCGTGCCAATTGACTTCTGCAATTACGTAGTGTCTCTCTGCTAGGATGATGTCTTTGGTGGGGTTAGATTCAGCACATCCCCCGCTGGAACCAACCCCTGAGGCTTCAATGCTGCCCCTCCTCCAAAGCTGCACACAGGCTCTCCGGTGCTAGCTAAAAGGCCCAGGTTTCTCTCCACCAGTGTCGCATGCTTGACCAGTCTCTCATCACCCATCCACGACCCGTGCATCATGCACAACTATAGTGTCGGGGATCATCTGCTGTCCTGAGTGGTTCATCATGCCATTACCCGGATCTTTCCGTAGAGATCATAGCTGGTGTATCGGTGCCATAACAGACTGCTGCTCAGGGATCGGAACCGGGTAAATCGGCACAGGTCCGGTACTCCATCCTCAGTCTGTGAGCTAGAGTTGCACACCGGAGCCTGCTCATCGATACGGAGCCCTCGAAGGGATCATCCCGCAGTCTCGACGGCTCGGATAACGCCTTGCGTGACCGTGTTGAAGATCGGCGCAAGCGAACAGAACTGGTACTTCCGGACAAGCGTGCTGATCTCTCCCGGGTCGCCCGCTTCTTGCGTCGTAGACATGTCTCTGCCGTTGACCTCCGTACCAGCCGGGTACTGCGGCACGCGGCCCGTTTCCACCAGCATGCTGAACTGCGGATCGATGGGGACTTTGCCCAGGAAGTCGACCGCGAAGTCTTGGGCCATGACCTGGCCTCCCCCGCTCATGAAGATGTTGGTGCACTCTGAGCAGTTTGGACACACAAACCCGCTCATATTCTCCACTACCCCCAGTACGCGGATGTTGGTTTTGACACAGAAGTTGAGTTCCTTTCTCACGTCTGCTGTCGCTACCGCCTGGGGCGTGGTGACGACCACTGCCCCGGCCAGCTGGCCCGGCGAGGTCTTCTGGAGGAGCGTCTCGGCGAGTGAAATGTGTTCGTCGCTCGTCCCCGGCGGCGTGTCGATCAAGAGGTAGTCCAGGTCGCCCCAGTAGACATCGCTGAGGAACTGCCGTACCATGGCCGTCTTCTTCGGCCCCCTCCAGACCACAGCGTCGCCTCTCTTTGGCAGCAGGAAGCCCAGACTCATGACACGCAAGGAGCCGATGCCTGCGGCAGGGTCTGCTTCATGGACAGTGATGGGCAGCCACCCGCCGGGTGCCTGGATGACTTTGGAATCCTCGATGGCAAACATGCGGGGGATGGACGGCCCCGTCAGGTCGACATCGAGCACCCCAACCGAGTGCCCTGCTAGGGAGAGTGATAGAGCCAGCTGCGTCGTGACTGACGACTTGCCAACACCACCTTTTCCAGAGAGGATCTGCAAGACGGGTTAGTGCTGGCCATTCACGAGATACCACGGCAACGTACCAACACAATGTGCTTGACTTTAGATAGCGACATGGCGAAGTGAATCTGTCACTAGGCTGCGTGAGAGTGCAGAGTTTCTCAAGCGCCCCTCCTTTTATAGCCAACGCTACAGGCGAAAAATGAAAAATGCGTGTGCAGTCGATTTTTAATTCGTATAGGTGAAAACTTCGTTGGGTCGGATTGAGAAAATGGATAACAAACGCCTGGCTTGCTGCGTTTCTTTGTGAATAAATATCGGCTCCGTTGATGATGCTTTATCAGCAGAAACGGGCCGCCGACTAGGCGATTCCTGAAAAGGCGATAGTGTGAGTCAAATCCAGTGTGCTAAGCACCCGGTGCCGGCCTCGATTCAAGCCATCCATCCATCATAAGGATCGCGGTACACATAGTGGGGGTGTTTGGTCTGGGCCGGCGAACCACAGAACCTCTGATCAGGTACTTTGAGCACCACCACAACCCTTGGTGCGATCTGCTTCCACTTGGACGGACACTCAATCCATATTAACCTCTAGCTTGGGTTCGACCCTCTTCTTCTCGTAACAGCTCCCGGGGAATTGATCAATGGCATCAATCAACGACCTGGCCGCAGCAGCAGTAGCAACATCGCCGTCGACCTCGGGCCCAGCCGCGAACATCCCGATGAATCAGGCCCCACCACCACAATTGCCGTCGATCAGCACGGCCATCGCCATGTCTGCTACATCCGATAGCGCGGCGGAAGGAGCCCGCAGTGGCGTCCGGGGAGCACTGATTGTGCTCGAGGGCCTGGACCGGAGCGGCAAGACGACCCAGGTGAAGCTCCTGGAACAGCGGTTCGTCGAGCTCGGCAAGAGAGTCAAGGTCATGAGGTTTCCTGGTAGGTTGCTTTCGTCCATTTGTCTCATACAAAGTGATGCATGAAGTTGGTTCTACACATCCAATGCGACGCATTCCATGAGTTTCACGCATGCACACGTTGAATATTCACTCACACAAACACAGATCGGACAACGCCCATCGGGCAGATGATCGACAACTACCTCAAGAGCCAGGTCGAGATGGACGATCATGTCATTCACCTGCTCTTCAGCGCCAACCGCTGGGAGGCAGCGTAAGTCGCTTTCGCTCCCGCTGTGCCCGTGAATATACCTGCTGACCATCAGGCACAGCAAAACCATTGCCTCCCTCCTGGCCTCGGGGACCACAGTCATCTGCGACCGCTATTACCACAGCGGCATCGTCTACTCGGCTGCCAAGCAGAACCCAAGCCTGACGCTGCCTTGGGCGCGTGCGCCCGACGTCGGCCTGCCGCGGCCAGACCTGGTGCTGTTCCTCGACCTGGAGGAGGCCGTGGCCCGGTCGCGCGGCGGGTGGGGCGGGGAGGTGTACGAGAAGGGAGAGATGCAGCGGCGCGTGCGCGAGCTGTTCTGGGGTCTGAGCCTGGGCCGCATCGCGGTAGAGGGGTCTGCCGTGGGCGCGGAGAAGGCGTTGTCACCGGTGGCGGGACGGGGCGAGGAGCTGAGGTTCCGGCAGGAGGAAGAGGATCTGCATGTCGTCGACGCCGGCTCGTCGGTCGAAGAGGTCGCCGAAGAGATATGGAAGGTTGTCCAGCCCAGAGTAGAGGCGGTGGAGAGGGGCGAGGTCGGCAGGGAGGTCAGGCTCGTGTCTTGAAAGTGGCCAGAATAGCTTGTGGGTTCGACCTCAGCATCGAAAAGCGAATGTCAAGAACAGTTATCATGAAGATGCCCTCTGCAAGTCAAACATCGATGCAAGCCGCCTCGCCTGCCTTACTCTAAGTCAGATGAGGAAATTGACCAACGACATGCAAGGGTCTCGGTGAGCATTGATCGAACAGTGCAGCAATTTTCTAGGCCAAATGATGAGGGTGCACATGCCTCCCAATATCAGTTCCATGGATCGTTCTTTGACTCTTGAATGCCATTGTTCCGCAAGCTGTACAAGTAACTACCTAGTACGGAGTAAGCTCGAGACCAGCCCGGGTTGCTAACACGGAAGCCTGAAGCCGCGACTCAGCGCTGTCAATTTAGAGTTCTCCACTCCGCTAGCGCCACCAGAATGCAGGCCCCATGTATCAAAACCATGGATCTTGGACATGCACACTGCGCGCCCGTACAAGATTGGTCGACATTTTCGCTGCCCCTTTGCTGCCACGTTCATCAATCTTCTTGGATAAGCCCGATGCTCAAGTTTCGAGAACGTTGCTTCCATTGATCCGCTGAATTCCTTCGCTGTGCTGGTCTACAGCAGAGCTACCTCCCGCACCAACCACTCGCGCTAAATCGAACTCTGGCGCACGCCCCCCTGCTCGACAGTTGATGATGCACACCCTGGCCAAACCCCGTCACGACGACACTCGAGCTTACTGAACCAACGGGCCTCGCATCGCTAGGCCACCTTGCATGAGGCAATCGCAACATGCAAGTGCCCGCCGCGCAGAATGGAGGATCCATGGGGCTCGCCATGGACAGCCGTTGATCCAAACCGCGACAGCCCGTCCAAACAACAGACCACCTCCGCCGCATCCGACCTCGAGCTGTCCGCGCCCGCGCCCGCCTTCCTCAACGCCGCCACCTCGCAGGTGCCCAAGTTCACAGCCAACTTCTCCCCCTGGGCAGAAGACGACGGCGACAATGGATTCGGAGACTGGTCGTCCGCGTCACCCGCGCCGACGAGCTCGTGGAACACGGGATGGATGAGCAGCAGCGCGGCTGGTGCCGAAGGCCTCAGCCCGAATCCGCAGCTCACCCCGACCCCGAAGCAGGACGAGTTCGCCATCGCCAGTCCCATAGCCTGGCCGGGGAGTACTGCGACATCGCCCGGCCTCCGGGCAAAGTCCCGCTCCGACTCGACCTCACTCTTCCCCGCGCATTCGCCCGACCCCTGGGCGCACGATCTTAGCCCCCACCGCGGGGCGACGGCGCTCGAGCGCAAGCAGCAGGGTGCTCTACGAGAGCCCTCGCCGGTGCGATTGGATAGTGGAACTCCTCAAGATTCCGGAATCGTACCGAATGTCCAAGACGATGGGAAGAAGCATGCGGATTCTATGCACAAGGACAAGAGCGAGGAGACACTTGCAAAGACGGAGGCTGCCGAGGCAGCGATTGAGAAGCAGGCAGAAGAATCGCACGCGGACAGAACGAGAGAAGACGATACCAGCGCCATTGATCGGGCTGGAATCGAAAGAACATCGAGCTCTCGACCATCCTCGCCCGAATCTGTGGACAGCCAACCCGCGGGAACACGCCAGGACTCCCCGATTACATCCATCGACGAGGAGGGCAGGGCACGGCCTCAGTTACAAGAACGAAAGGTCTCATCTAAAGTCCAGGATCTTGTTGAGATGTACGATGGGCTAGGCAGGAGAATTGTCCACGAGCCACGGATATCTAAATCAAGGGACGTGTCTAAATCTAGGGACGAGTCTCAATCTAGGGACGAGTCTAAGTCAAGGAACCGTTCGGACTCGGGTCGACAACCTAGCATCAGTACCGAGCAGCCCTCGGATGATGGCGATTTCGGTGACTTCGAAGATGCAGCAAGTGTGGCGTCAGAGGTAGAAGATGCCTCGGAAGAATCACCAGATGTCACACCCAAGAAAGCCATTCCGAAGCAGGACATTCTCTCGCCTTCGACGGCCGTTTCGGATATCGAGGAAACGGACACGCAGCGTACCAGTGGGGCTGATGAGACAAAGACAACGGAGGAGATAAAACGGCCAGAACCTGCAGAATTCGCGGTGGATCTTGGATTGATCTCTCAGCTATTCAAGCTACCGGGCCAGACTTTCCCGGAGGACCCTGAACCAGCCACGATACCCGACAAGATCATCACCGACTCGTTTACAACCATATCAGAACGAAAGACGTGGTATCGGATATCACGCCTGGGTACACTTAGGAAACACAATTACGGCGATGACGAGAACTATAAGCGCGTCTCATGGAGCTCGTCGTGGATCCACGCTGACACCATCAAGATCGTCCGCAGGTGGATGGAAGAAGATTCTATCACGGGCCGGCCAACATTCAAGGGCGGCGCGGGCAAGGGCAAGGGCAACATGTTTGGATGGGACTCGGCGGCTGAACCAGTCAGTCTCGACAAGGTCTTTGCCATGAGAAAGACGGCCTCGCCGCGCAAGAAAGCCGCGCACAAGCCAGAACCCCTCCCATTGCGGTCATCCATGTCTCTGGGGCGCAAATCTAATGATTCATCTGCCCTACCCGGCCCTGGCAAGCGCGCGTCGCTGATCCAACCGCCGGAGCCGGCAAGCCCATTCGCGTGGGCATCGCCTCGGACCAGTGTCGCTTTGTCGAGCCCTGGAATTACTCAGGCGTCTGTCGCACTCTCTACTGCGACACAGGCTGGTTCACAAGGGCCGGAAGGGCCGCAAGGGCCGCAAGGGCCGCAACTGGGAGGCACACTCCAGTCTACGCCGATACCCAGCAATCCTCCCAAACCTGGTCAGTCCCAGCCAACGAAAGACCTTGTCCAGGCTGATGACGACGATGACTGGGGAGAGATGGTCGGCTCACCTCAAGACTCTGGTCCGCCCATGGGTGCTTTCGATGAGGCCAGTAAGGGGGAGGAGAAGACTGGGACAACTGCGCCTCCCGTGCCCCTTGGGCAAGGTCAACAACTTTCAAACCCCCGGGCTCCTGGGACAGCTTCATCATTGCTTGAGCCCCTCCCAGTTCAGCAGAGTCCCTTAGCCGGCACTCTAGCTACTTCAACGGCTCCGGCGACTACCGTTGATCCCTGGCAGTCTGCCGACTTCTCGTTATGGGACACACCCGGCACTTCAACCGCCGGCAACATACCGCAGCCCCAGGCTACCAAGATACCTGAAGCACCAAAACCACATGCGGCTTCCTTTCCTATTGGCCTCCAATCTCCAGCCCTCTCATCACCCCCTCTACCACACCCAGTGGCCGCCCCGGTAGCGGAGCAACATCCTGATGATGCGGCTGATGCACTCGTCAACCGCATCATCTCAAACCTACCAGACCTGTCGTACATGTTGCGATGAGAAGATGTCGAGGAATTCAGGATACGATTGCAACGAATCGGGCACGTTTTTGGTTTTCTATCTATATTCCACCCTTTTTGTATGATAAAGTACTTGATACGGGCAAGGCATTGCACGGTGTTTGGCGTAAAGTAAAGCTGCGTGTTTAGAAAGGCGAATATTGCGTGTTTGGGGCAAAGGACAGACAATCATATATTGAAAAGGAAGCATGAGACACAATGAATGCGTCAATTTCATAGCATGAGTTCCAAGAATTTCTCATGAATTGAGAAGACTCGCATGCGAATCCTCGATCTTTCTTGGCTCCTAAGAACTCATAGTAGGTAACTAGGTAGTTAGATACTTCAGGCTTTGAAGTCGTTAGCCTCAAGCTCCAGCGCTAATGTTCAGCGGAAGCCGCCACGCCCCAGGCGATTCTGCACGTGCTGGAGGCAGGGCCCCGCAGGCGTTCATCATCTGATCCACCTACAACCTTGTCTCATGACGATGGATCCGTGATATTGAATTGCGTGCTCCTATTTCTCTCGACGACAACACTCAACATCACCCCCTTTGACTGTTCGCAATCTTACCCAATGAACTGAAAGAATAGAAACCCATACTCTACTCAACCACGACACAACTCTGCCCCTGATACCGCAACCATGGATAACACACCTGCCGCGGCATCCGGCGGCGGCGGCGGCGGCACCAGGAGCACCAGGCGGCAACGGCCCAGCCCCGTGCAGACCTTCTCGTACCGCTTCCTCCTCATCGTGCCGGTACTGCTCGCCGTCGCCACGGCCCTGCTGCTCTTCGTCCACTCGGACGTCAACGTGGCCATGCTCTACTCGCAGTGCCACGCCCGCTCGCGCCTGCACTGGCTCAGCCGGGTGCCCGTCCTCGGCGGGCCCTCGTGCTTCCTCGTCAGCTTCTTCCAGGAGGCCGCCGCCTCGGTGCGCTCGGCGGCCGCGCTCGGCGTCGTGCTCTCCTTCGTCGCGGGCCTGCTGACCGTCAGCACCGTCGAGGCCGCGCGCGTCTGCAACGGGCCCGCCGTGCTCATCGCCTACCCGACAGGGCCCTGGCTCGTGTTCAACCTCGTCGGCGGCGCGCTCGTCTGGGAGCTCGTCATCATCCCGGCATTCTTCCTGCGGTCCAAGCAGATCATCGCCGCGCGCGCGGCGACGGACCGCACGCTGGCACCCGCTTCCCACCCGGACGTCGGCGAGGCCATGCGCCACCTCTCGGCGGCGGCCGAGGTCGCGGCCATCCCCATCGCCGTGGCCGTCGGGTTCATCCTGCCGTCGGTGCTCATGCTCGTGCTCGACTCGCCCGCCGCGGTCATCGTCTGGCTCTTCTTCCCCGTCTACGTGTCGCTCATCCGGCAGGGCATCCGCTTCGGGCTGACGACGCTCGCGAGGGAGCACCGGACGTGGCACCTCGAGTCGCACCGCCCGTCGCTGCTGGCCGTCTACGCCCTGCCCATCCTCTGCTCCGTGGCGTCGTACGTCGTCTGGTTCTGGAGCCTCGCGCAGAGGGACGACAGGCGGGAGATGACGAGGGCGACGGTGCGCTTCATCGAGATCGACATGTTCTTCATCGTGCTCACCGTGCTGTACTGGATCTTCGTCGAGACGTGCTGGGAGGTCGCGCTGGTCACGATCCTGGCCTCGGCCGTCCTGGGGCCCGGCGGGGGCCTGTGCGTGGGCTGGATCTACCGGGAGGGCAGGGTCCTGCAGACGCCGGAGCCTGTGCCAGAGGATGTGGTGGCTGCTGCCGATGATGAAGAGGCTGGACCTGGCGCTGCTGCTCCTGCCACTAACGAGGAGACTCCCCTGCTGCGGTGACGGTCCTTGAATGTGGCGTTCGTGGCAGGGCTGGGCTTGTAAAATGGATCACGCCATGTCCGCTAGGGATTGCTCATAACTATAGATAATATCCAATAATTCTGACTTGAGTTGCTCTATCAATTCGCCTTTTTTAAAAACTGTAGTCATTGCTTTTAAAAGACATTTTCATGACCCTGCTGACTCTTGACTCTCTTACATATTTGCACTGATGCATGTGTCGTGACCACCAACGCCTATTCCAAAAATGCGCGCCATGTGATGATCCAGTCAGTACAAGGGTATCTATCATACACAAGAAAAAAACCAACAAAAAGTGATAATCTACCCTGAACCCTTCCCAGTTTCCTCGTTTCTTTCTTTTTCTTTCTTTTTCTTTCCGCCTCGTCCCTCATTCTCCTTACAGACAGACCTAGACTGCCGACATATCAGCCTGCGGGAAGTCCCCATTTAGCCAGTCGTTGGAGAACCACGTCAGGGACTCCATCCCAAACGGCTCGAGCGTCATGTCGAGCCCCTCGAGCGCCCCCTCAAAGGCATTGCTCTGCTGAGAGGCCGACGTGCCGTTGGACAGGACCCCGTCCTTGGAGACGCCACCAGTAGCCATACCCGTCGCCGGGTCGGGGTGATGGGTCGCTGTCGTCGCCGTCGGGGCGAACCCTCCGTATGATGACGGGGCCATGGCGGGCATGGGCATGGGCGTCTCGAGGGACTGGTAGAAGGCCTGCACGCCCCCCGGGAAGTCGGTGGCCGGGGTCGGCGACGGCAGGCCCGGGTTGGCGCTGGCGTCGTCCTCGATGATGACCTTGTTCAGCACGCTGTGGCGCGACAGGACGGCCGGCGGCGGCTGGGCCGAGGCGGCTCTCTGGTGGCCGCCTGGGGTGTCCATGACCACGGCGCTGGGCGTGGGCGGCCGGCTCGCCGTCACGTTGTTGTTGAGGGGCCCGTTGGCGAGGAGCTTGTCCATGTCCTCGCGCTGTGCGTTGAAGTTAGCGAACGTGTTTGTAATTTTGAATCTCCTTCCATCGGAAAGGAAGAGAAACAAGGGAAAAAGCAAAGCAATGAAAGACAGGCTTACAATATTCATCGTGATGGGCGTCACGACGACCTGCCGCAGCACCTTGTCGCACACCTTGGCCATCTCGACGACGCCCTCGGTCGTGACGCCAAACAGACCCTCCGAGCTGTGCTGCAGCGTGTAGAAGAGCATGCGCACGCACTGGTACAGGCAGACCGGCAGGTCCATGTCGGTGACGGGCACGCCGTTGTCGAGGGTCAGCAGCAGGCCAAACATGTCGGCCATCTCGCGCGCGTGCTCGTAGACCTTCTGGCGGCAGTGGGCCGCGAAGCCGGGGTGCTGCATCTCGAGCTGGTCGATGGCGGCCGAGGGCATGGCCTCGCGCAGGCCCGCCAGCGCGACGCGGTACAGGTCGCAGTGGCACTGCTGCCACCAGATGTGCGTCATGACGAAGACGCAGAGCCGGGGCGAGTAGGTGCGCAGGCGGACGTTGGCGTCGGACCAGCGGAAGCTGACGGGCAGGCGGGCGCTGAAGGCCTCGAGCTCGCCCGACAGCTCGGCGAGGCGCGTGGGCACCTTGGCCAGGACGGCGGGCGTGCAGCGGCTGGCCACGGCCTTGGTGTACTGCAGGATGCGGTTGCGCAGCAGGTGCACGCGGATGTGCAGGGCCAGGAAGCCGATGTCGTCGGGCAGCGGCGGCAGCACGCCGTCCGCGCCCGGCGCCGGCTGCTGGAGCGGCTCCGTCGTCTCGGGCAGGTCGTACTCGAAGTTGCGCTCGTTGCACGGCAGCTGGATCTTGATGGCGTCGGAGCGCCACGCCCAGAGGCTGAAGTCGGCCAGGCCCCCGGACAGGCCCGTGTCGAGCATGTACAGCGACCACATGAGCCGGCGGCGGGACTCCTGGGCGAGGAAGCAGAGCTTCGGGTTCTCGTAGTTGAGGCGCAGGGCCACGGCGAAGCGGGACGCGATGGCCTGCAGCATGAAGGCGGAGGAGAAGCGGGTGCTCAGGAGGCGGTGCTTGATGATCAGGATCAGCGCCTGCAGTCGCAGGGTAGAGGGCCTCTCGATCTCCTTGAGCACCAGAGCCTCGGCCTGGTCGATGCACTTGGGGCCCAGCTCCTTGGTCCCCGGGCCGAGGTCGCTCAGCAGCGCGGTGATGCCAATCATGGCGAGGAGGAGCGGCCGGTCGATGAGCCCGGCGTGGTAGCGCTGCATCAGCGAGGCGCGGTGGAGGAAGGAGAGCATGGGGATGTGGTGGACGTAGCGGAAGAAGTTGTCAAAGGTGCGCATGGCGACGGCCTCGATGTTGTTGTCGTCGGCGCCGGGGGTCTCGCGGCCAAAGTTGCTGGGACTCGTGGCGCTGGCGTGGTCCGGGTGGCCCGACGACATGCTGCGGCTGTGGTCGGAGAAGTGGTCGTCTCTGCCGCCGCCGACGTGCGGGGCCTCGCTCATGACGGTGTCGACCATGAGGCCGCCGGGTGTCGAGGCCACCGACGCCCGCACGCGCTTGCCGGGGCGGTAGACGCACTCGATGCCCTGCGCGCGGCACCTGTCGCACTTTGGCGTGGTGCCGCTGCACCGGGCCTTGCGCGAGTGGCAGTTGAGGCAGGCCTGGCGGACGCGGCGCCGGGGCAGGGTGAAGGGGGACACGCCGTCGCCGGCGAGGCCCTCGCCGTTGAGGCCGGCGCCGTCGTCGTAGGAGCACGAGAAGCCGAGGCGCTCGCAGTTGGCGCAGACGTCGCGCCGGCCGTCGCACCGGACCTTGCGGGCGCGGCAGGTGACGCAGGTGTTGGAGGTGCGCTTGGCCGGCGGTCTCGCCTGGGACGAGCTGTGGGTGGTAGGGTGGTGGTTGTTGGTCGTCGCTGTCGTCGACATGGACGACGGCGAAAAGGTCTCCATGTCTCTTTGTCGAGCGGCAACAGGCGCTACGCGAGCGCACCCGATGTCTTAGGGTCGCGAGATGGGGCGACGCTGGCGCTGACGCAGCAAAGGTGATCCGAACAGGCGCCGCGACGTGTGACGCCTCAGGACCGACATCCGGGGAAGGGTCCCTGGCCCGGGAAGACTAGCTGACTGACTGACGCTGCTCCCGTCCGGTTGTGTGTATGGTGGTGTTGTTGTTGTGATATCGGCGGTCGAAGTCCGTCCAGCAGGTTCCGGGAGGATGGAAAGGTGGCGCGCGTGTGTGCATGCAACAGCGGCGACGTCGGTGACGGCAAGCAATAGCAGCAGGTGAGCGAGGCTGGCTGTAGTGAACCACAGCGAGACTACTGGCGCAAGGCTTCTGAATACATAAGACGGTACTCTGGTGACAAAAACCCCGCCCCTCAATCGCAATGGGGGAAAACACTGTATGGGTTTGTAGAATGCGGTAAAATACAGAGAAAGCGACGTCGTGTAAAGTTTCGGTGAGCGGGGGTGTCTGGTTGGGTTGGTTGCGGGTTGGGGTAAGGCAGGTAGTGTAGTCCCGTCGGGGAGAAAGCACAGGTCCTCCGTATGTTAGGTAGTCACGGTAGTGAATGCAGGTAATGAAAAATTATTACGGAGTAGATCGGGGTCGGGGAGGGTGCGATTGGAAGACTGGGGACTTCAGGGAGAGTGAGAGAGCGAGAGAGACAAACAGACGACACACGGACGGACCGCTTGATTCACGCAGCAGCAGCAGCACCACCACCACCACCTCCACCACCACCTCGAGTTACTCTCCATACCAATGGCCGGCCAGCGGATGACTACTCCCTAAAGTAACCCACAAATATCCAACACATGTCTAGTGGCTCCACCGAACGCACGACGAGCAACGCCGTCTGGACAGCTACACGAACGAGAAGATCATGAGAAAGGAAAAGAGCCAAGGCCAAGGAACAGAACCTGCAGGGTCTGGCATTGTTCTGGGCGGGATGGGCAACGGCTCGGCAGATCGACTGGCAGCCAGCTTTTGCAATTTGTGGCCGGCACCAGACCTAGAGTCCATGGCATTTGATCGGTCAAATGAACCGACGGGTCCGAGTCCATCCATCATCGCATCATCCCCAGGCCAAGATCCGACCACCGTACGGCGGTCGTCCCCCGTCGCCTCCGTGTGTCCCTACTTATTTTCTGGATAGCCAGCCAGCACGACCCCGATCCGCCCCCCTGATCTGTAGTCTGGCCAAGGTTGGTTTTCCTCCCTTCGCGGCTTTGCGAGGCGAGCGGTCTTTGCTCCGACGACTTCCTAGCTACAATGGCCTGCATCGCCTCTCGGCTATTAAGCCATCGTGCCAAGAGATTTGCCGGCCAACGACGCGCCCTACAAATGATGATCCGGGTTTCTGGACTCGACCTTGGCTTCCCAATAGTATTCTCTTGTAGAATCCAATCGCCTGTGGAGTAGAAGGTGTCCAAAGAAAAACCTGGACCTTTGCCGGGTTCTCTCCGCGTAAAGAATGTGCAAAATGAGGAACCGGGGCCGGCAGCCGGCACCGGCGCCCGGCCCTTAGTGGAGAGAATGACGACCGACAGCCGCCCGACAGCCGAGCCGCCATCTGGTCGTTGAAATCATAGGTGAATGTAACTACCAACCTTGCACGATGCTGTACATACTCATTCTTGAAGTGTTATTCAACAATCAAGATGTTTATTTCAAGCTGGCTGCTTTTGCAGTCTAACTTCAGAGCCAAGGTCCTACAAATTCATATTGAACAGACATTGTAGTCCATAGTACATCTTCAGGAATCCACAAAAAACCTAGCGCCTGTCCATTGTCCAGATCCTCGCTCTTCAAGTATATCCAGATTTCGTTCCCCGTCGTATTATCCGACAGAAAGATTTTGAGATGGGTGTATAGCAGACAGAAATATTACCATCCTCAAGGTTCGAAGTGTCTCCTGTTCTTCTTCGACGCCACCCAAAAAAGGCAAGTGTGGTTCTCGACCACACGCTAACAAGCCCGGTCCTGATTGAAATGGTCATATCGGTTTGTTCTCTCCGCCGAGCTCGATTTGTAGCTTTGGAAGTTGTCGACACCCGTTGACGCGTCAGGTTGGTTGGTTTTGGGGGAGGTTTGTTGTACTGGGAGTTGTCGACACCTGCCTAAGTCTCAGGTTGGTTTGTATTTTTTTTTAAATAACGCCAGAAGCAATAAGAAGACTCACCTATTGCAGAGAAAATGGGATGCGATATTCCATCTCGACATGGATGTGCAGTCAACCACGGAGAACACTGGCAGCGAGTAGCTGACCGATGGCTCAGTGCAGGTTGGCGTAGATGGTTATATAACCTTTAAGGTTGATCGGGCAGACCTCAGAAGCCTAGCCAGGGCGAGGGTGGCAAAGACACCCCAGCAGAGGCCGCAAAGGACCTGACCGACAAGCAGCATCTCGCGGCTGGTGGCGAAGAAGACGCAGTTGAGGTCCATCATGGTCGCCATGAGGACCTTGTGGTAGCCGAGTAGCCGAGCCGGGAAGGCGTAGTTATCAAAAGAGGGGACGGCTGAAACGTCGGGTTGGTTTGGTGGTCACCTGATGGGATGGGAGTTGTTGACACCAGCTGAAGCGTTGTGGTTGGCTTGGTGACTACCTGATAGGATGGGAGTTGTTGACACCAGCTGAAGCGTCGTGGTTGGTTTGATGGTTACCGGGTTCGTTGAATGGTCAATGGATGGGATGGGAGTTACCGACACCAGCTGAAGCGTCGGGTTGGTTTGATGGTTACCGGGTTCGTTGAATGGTCAATGGATGGGATGGGAGTCGTCAACACCAGCTGAAGCGTCATGGTTGGTTTGATGGTCACCTGATGGGACGGGAGTTGTTGACACCAGCTGAAGCGTCGGGTTGGCTTGGTGACTACCTGATGGGATGGGAGTTGTTGACACCAGCTGAAGCGTCGTGGTTGGTTTGATGGTCACCACAATGAATGGGACGGGAGTTGTTGACACCAGCTGAAGCGTCGCGGTTGGTTTGATGGTCACCACAATGAATGGGACGGGAGTTGTTCACACCAGCTGAAGCGTCGCGGTTGGTTTGATGGTCACCACAATGAATGGGACGGGAGTTGTTCACACCAGCTGAAGCGTCGTGGTTGGTTTGATGGTCACCACAATGAATGGGACGGGAGTTGTTGACACCAGCTGAAGCGTCGGGTTGGTTTGGTGGCCACCACAATAGGATGGAAGTTGTTGACACCAGCTGAAGCGTCGTGGTTGGTTTGATGGTCACCACAATAGATGGGATGGGAGTCGTCAACATCAGGTAAAGCATCGGGTTGGCTTGATGACTACCAGATAGGATGGGGCTTGTTGACACCAGCTGAAGCGTTGTGGTTGGTTTGATGGTTACCGGGTTCGTTGAATGGTTGCCACAACGGATGGGATGGGAGTTACCGACACCAGCTGAAGTGTCGGGTTGGTTTGATGGTTACCGGGTTCGTTGAATGGTTGCCACAACGGATGGGATGGGAGTTACCGACACCAGCTGAAGTGTCGGGTTGGTTTAGTGTTTACCACAATGGGACCTGTTGATAGCCGCCAGTCAGATTAGTTTGGTGATTATCACAACAGTTTTCACTCCGTACCTACTTGCCGGAAGACACTTGGCCTCAAAAAACAGTCGTTGAACTCACACCAACCCAGGCGCTGATCGTCCATCCGCATCATCTCAGCAACGTAAGTTGAGTCATATCAACGCCTCAGCCCCTGGGCCGATACCCGGATGGGAGTCTGCAGGATGGCCACCATCCCGGTCCAATTGCGTGTTGTATGTCGTCGTTCTTGCCAGTAGTGACTGCCGCGAGCGCCGTACTGGTACTCTTTGTCTCAGGCGACCCATGTGACCAAGATTCAGCTTCCGAACGAGGGGGCGAAGTCCATGAGCTTGGTGTGCACACCAGATCTCGTTTCGGCCTGCGGCTCGGGGTAGTTGGCACCTCGCACTCTCCAATGCCGACTTCTGAGAAGCCCGGTTTCTCCTAGTCCCAGCCCTCGAGATCGTGTGCAAGTGGCCGTGCTCTGCGACTGTGATAAACTCGAGAGAATCTAGCAAAGGTTGACACGCCATAACCAGGGCAGGGCAAATGAAGCGTCGGGTTGGTTTTTTTTTTTTTTTTTTTTTTTTTTAGGAAACGAAAAGCAACGCTGGGAGTAAGAATAGTTTAACGCTTAACAAAGAAGTAAAATACAAGAAAAGAGGAAAATGGAAACGGGAAGGAAAGCAACGCTGTTAAAAGTAAAAGAAGGTAAAAATGGAGAAACCCAAATATAAATAAAAAAGCAAAAACCGATAACAACAACAATGCAAAGAAAATAATGAAAAATAAAACGATAATCCGGGGGCCGGGCCGGAGTCGTGGGAGGGGGGGTGGGCGGCGGAGTGGGCGGCGGCAGCCCGCCGGGCACGAAGGGAGCGTTGTTCATGTTACTTTTCATCTGGTCAGTCCTAGGGTTGCCGAGCAAGGTGTGCAGCCTCCAGCAAAACACAGACTTACACGAAAGTTATGATCGAAAAACTGTGACATTACATTAGCTTCTGTTCACCTATCGGGGAGGGAAATGGGAATGGAAGCGAGTTCGCAAAGCATAGAAACGTAGCGATGCAGCGTAGGCTCACTTGAGCAGAGAGACCGGTAGATCAGCAGTCCGCTTTGACAGCCCGGACGTGAGATGGAGGCTCATTGTAGCTGTCTGATGCTTTGTTTTTGATCTGTTCTGGCTTGACAATATGACAAAAAGAATCTGGTCGACTTACATTTCTCTGCGATCTCTGAAGAAGAGAACGAGAGAGAGAGAGAATTAGAAAGTCGGAACAGATAAATATTGAACAGCATCTTTCGAAACATGTAAGACGGGCAGGTACAATCGGGAAGTGGGCAATTCCCTCTCTACAGCCAGGCAATTCACGGCAGCTTCCAAGGGCAGCAAGGTTTCTAGGATAAACCTTTCCAAGTGAGGTTCACAACAGTCAGTCACAATACGCTTTAGAACAAAAAGCAGCAATTCCCAGTATCAACAACTAGCGTCAATTCGCGGCAGCTTCGACTCACTCAGGCGCAACAAGGTTCCTGGATGAGTCTTTCCAACTAGATCAACAATGATAAGTCTCAGCCCGCTTTCAGCACCAGAAGGAGCATGTAAACAAGCATGACATCCTCAGAGAATCAAATACGTCATACTTACAAGGTAACTGTTGACACCCCAGGTGGCTCGTATCCCTAGCTGCCCAGTGGTGGAGAGCACGGGGGAGAGTCCAGTCGCTGCCAGCATAACGATACTAAGCAGTAAGGCGGTTGATCCACAATCGGGCTGCATTTCTCTGGCAGCGGGAGCTCCTGGCATTTAAAGTTGACCAGAGATAGTAACGCGAACTTTTAGGCCAGCAGCAAGAACTCCGTACCGCAAGAGTACCTGTCAGGGACCGGTGCCATGACATGCAAACACTCCTACTGAAAGATTGGCAAAGAGACACGTTCCTGCCTATGTAGACCGCTCCAAGTAGAAATCATCCCGGGCCGCGATATGGTGATAGCCCCATGCTTGGACTGGGAAAGATCAGACACAAACAACCTCCTACAACTCATCAATTACAGTGATACTTACAGACTGCGTTTCGATTCCCGGGATTCTCATTCCCAGCGTAAAAATGGGGTTCTAGGATATGCCAAGTCGCTATAGCGAGGTGGCTGTGAATGCAACCTACCTTTCCTGGGAGTGTAGCTTCATCTCGGATTCTCACATCAGTCTCGTTCATGTTGTCGTTCACTTTCAAACGGCGTACAAAGTCTCTTTCGTGCCCTATTACAGACTACTTATAGCTATCTCAGGTGATGTCTAGACCATGCATGGCCTCTTTCATCTCAAGACTGATATATGGCTATTCCTCCTGAGCCGAGCAAATGGCAGCTACTTGTTGGGCTGATGGCATTAGGGTGGACTTCCATACTCCTCATTGTGTCTTCCTCACTGGGGAACGTCATGATGACTCTGGAACACGGTTGTTGTGTTTGCTGCTTCTTTTCGACCGTGTCTAATTCACAGTGTGACTCGGCTTGTACCTGATAGGTAGACCGAGAAACAACTCTTGAATAGATAGACTCTGCCAACCGGGCTTATGATCCCGTGGCGTATCTCCGTTATCGACATCCTGCCGGTGCTGAGTCCTTCCACAACTAATGAACAATTGTGGCAGCGATTGAAGCTGTAGTGTCCACCTAGAAAGAGTGCAAGTAGCTACATGGTCAGCAAATAATCTTCAAGATTTGTCTTTCCCCTTCAGCCCTGACATGCCTGTATCACTGCTTTCTTAAAGCCTGACGGAGCCACCAAATCGTGTACCGAGCCGCCCACAGCCCATATGCCAGCCAGTAAGCTGGATAGGTCTGTACATACCAGATGCCGTAGTGCACATAATTATATGACCAGTCGTGGAAACCCCGAGCATGCCGAGAGTTTGGTCTCAGAAATGGGCGGACTGCAAGTGCTAAAGGAAACGAGAACAGAGCGGCGAATGGCATCATTGCCGCCACTCTGATATTCTCTTCCCGAGACCGTTGAGATGCGTCCAGAATGAGCAAAACACCAGCCATCAGGAGAAGCAAGGCTTTCGTTAGCAGGCGAGTGGAGGTCAACCGGTTGGTGAATGACATATTGACTTTTTGGGGCGAGTTGGATGATGAATGGGTTTGGTCATGACAGGCTTGTTCCTCGACGTCTTCCATGTTGAGTAAATGGCGAGTTGTCTCACGGTAAAGGCGGACCGTCTTCTGGCGCCCTCCTGAATCGTCTGCAAAGATATCTCATGGGAAGATGGCACCTATCGACTGATGAGACTGTTGTCGCAGGCAGAGATGGAATGTTTGTCGGCTTTATAGCCTTGAGCAAAGCTTCAAACTATGACTACGTCGCCATTCCATTTAGCTTTAATTCCCTCCCGGTCCCAAATAACTAGCACTGAGACTGCAGTACCAGACGAGCAGTCCCACAGGTTTTCTTGCTGCTCATGCTGGGTGTCCGTGGTAATCAAGGTATGTATGAGGAGAGATCCAGGGATCACTTTAGTGCATGCAAAGCGATCGAATGTTCTCCCTCCCAACAGACAAGATGTTCTGGACAAGACGGCCAAGCCCACGCTTGAAGCTTGCTCGAGGAAAAAAAGCACGCTTGGCTATCGCTGTCGGCCGTAGCGGGGTTAAGTTTAGGTACCTGGAGGGAACACGTTTTCCCAGCAGTCTGGTCAGGCGATTGGAGGGACAGGAGACGGGCATGCCATCATCATGCGAAGTAACTTGGGTACCTGCTGTTCTGTTTTTGCTTCTGACGTCCAGCCCACCTTGGCTGGTCCATCCGCGGTGGTCTCCCTCTTCGCCCTTTGTCCCGAGGCTCGCGACTTCATACTTGGCACGTGTCGCCTCTACCGACTCTTGTTCGACTAAAGTACACAAAGGAAAGACTGATTGCTTTCTATCTCTTTGACTGCGTTCAAAATGCGAGACGAGCTTGCTCCGTCGGGACTAATTGAAGGTCCGAGTCCGCTTCGTTGGTACAGACACACACACATGCGAATTGCAGCTTCTGCGGATGGGGGGACCATGGTAATGATGATGCCAATCATGTGCCAGAGATCAGCGCCGCCTGGAACAGGAAAACGAGCAGGAGAGTGACAGGACACTTGACTATTTGCACGTGTCAATGGAGCCGTCTTTCCAGGCAACCCCGTTTCTAGTGGGCTTGGGCGCCTGTTTAGGGCGTTTAGGGGGCTGATCCTCAGCACGCTACAGGCAGCCCCTAGGCCAGCCCTCGATCACATGCGAATTGTAACGACGCTGACCCCCCAGCGATTGGCTGCGTTCAGGACCCTGGAAGCACCCTAGTTCGAGCGATGTCCCCCACAGGGTCAGGTCGATGATGCCCGGCATTCGGGTGACGGCACGCGCAGCCAGATAACTAATCAAGAAACCTACTGTACAGTCCTTGCTGAGAATTCGCATTCGCATGGAGTGCCGGAAGTGTGTAGTCAGAGAGATCTTGCGTAGTTGCAAAATGCCGATCATCAAGAGGTACCTAAGGTAGTTAAGGTTACAAGTCGTGGCTCCGTGGTTGAGACACCCATGGGTCAGCTAAGGTAAAGAGCATCCATGGATGTCCTCTAGTAATTTACGAGTTCAGCGGAGGACTTGACGCACACACACCTGCCAGAGTCGCAAAGTCGGGACCGCCCCCGCTCTGACATGTGCTTTGGTCGTGGCCGACACCGCCAGCGAGCAAAATGCTGATTCACAAGCCAGCCCCAGCGCTGCTCTCGCTTTTTTCTGCGCTTGGCTCTCGCTGGCCCGCCCCATTCTGTGACAAACCCGCCCACTTTTCTTGTCTCTTCGCCATCCCACGCCCGCTGGGCTCCTCCACTTTCGCCTTCTTTTGCTTTAAACCTGAGAGAACCGCCGCCGGCTGTCAATCTCGCCTTGCCCCATCGCCCATCCATCCTCGACTTTGCTCGCACTTCCTCGTGGACCTAACTACCTACACTTCGAACGCACTCGAGTCATCCTGCTGACCCTAATAATAAGCCCGGTCCCTGACATATCTGCACCTCTGGCGTGCTTCCGGCCCTCTGTCCGTTCCAGCCTTTATTTCCACCCAAACCTTCGTCCCTTGAGTCGTGAGACCGATCTCTTCAGCCATGCACGCCTCCTAAATCGGCTCCGCACTTGTGTGGGCTCTGTCGCGCGCATCCATCCAGCGTACACCCAGCGTACTGCGTAGTGTGTCTGCTGCCCGCCGCCGTCATGGAGCACGATCACATGCGACCACGTCCCTCCGACGACTCCTCGCAGCCGGCCTTCTCTCCATCGCCTTTTCAGCGTCTCCCACCGCTCTACGATCAGAAAAAAACGCCTCTGCCCTCTTGCCCTCCGCCAACATATGCCCAGGCCCGCGATGCACCCGCACAAGCCTCAGTGTTCCCGCCCATGCCCACCACCGAGTTAGCGCCCATCCAGCCAGCGCTGATGGCCACCCAAAAGCCCGCGAGCGACAATACTCTTCCCTCGCTGTCAGCATTGACAGGCAAGGACATGGCTTCCCCAAACATGTCGTCGCCGTCATCTACTGCCGCCGACCAGGCGGCGTCCCCGTCCGAACCTCAATTGACGCGGTGGCCTAGCCTGAATCCGCTAACCGCCTATTATACGCCGAGCTTCGCTCAGGGCGACGAGGTGCCCCTCAAGATGGAAGTCGATAGCAACACCTCCGGAACCCCCAGTGTTCTCTCGCCGGACCGGCAATACGACGGTCGTGGGAACAGCCTGAGCCTCGACGACCCCGATGTTCGCATGGCCGCCGAAGCCTTGGGCGATTTGCGGGCTGGTGAGTTGGCATTCCATCATCTACTGCCGAAGCGCTGAGTCGCCTCTCAAGCCACCCACGCACTTCCCGTTTCGCTGCTAACCGGAATGTCTGTTTGTCTTAGATTTCGTCTCTTCACCCCCAAACCGCAACACGCCCCTACGTTCTGGAACCCCCAAACCTCTCGCCGGTCAATCGTCCCGACAGTCCGAGCCTCTGCTCAACTTGTTGACGACGTCGCATCCACTTCTTGCCAAGACGATTGAAGGTACTACGTCCGCATACAATAACTCGAAAAACTTCTCTCCCCGCTTCAAGACGAGTGCCGAGTACGTCGAGACCTACCTCGGCCCCATTGGCAACACATTGGGCTCCGTATCCCGGGTCACTGGGGTTGAGGGTGGCGTCCGATGGTTCCTCGGTGGCCGGCGGCATCGCCGCGACCGCGAAACGGATAGCGACCCCGGATCGCATAAGCGGCGCAAGGTCGAAGGCAAGACAAGCAAGGGTCCCAGCACCCCTCGATCGGACCCTACGAACCCGGCTGAGGCTCTCGAGGTGGATTTGTATGGTTTCACCAAGGAGAGGAGACCGTCTCTCAGCACCATCGACACCCTCCCCGCCTATGACGACCTCACGTCGCCTGCTTATACAGAAACCGCTGATGGCCAGGGCAAGGAGCAGAGCCACGCTCTCTCCAGGGGTGGCTCGTCAACACCAGCCCCTTGGCAGTCGCGCCTCATCATGTCGACGTCGGGACTGAGCATCGCCATGAGTGAAGAGAGTCTGCGAAGCCTGAAATATTGCCTCCGATGGCTTCGCTGGGCCAACGAGCATATTGCTGGCATCATCAGCGCGCTGAAGAGCACCCTGGAGCAGTATGAAAAGGCCGAGCAGGCCCAGCCTGCAGGATCCTCGCAACAGGCCGAGCACGCTCAGGAGGACCGCCGCGAGCTGGCCGCACGCATTGTGGCCCTCAAGAGCGACGTACTCAAGACTCTTCACGACGTCATCAACACCGTCTCCAAATACGCAGGAGGCGCCCTTCCCGAGAATGCCCGCGTCCTTGTGCGCAAGCATCTCACGAGTCTCCCCCAGCGGTTCCAGCTCGCTGCCAGAACGGAAGGCCCCGCACCTTCGCAAGAAGGCCAGGGTCAGGATGCTGCCGACCAGGAGATGCGAGTCGGCGCGCAAAAGGTCCTAGTGCTTGCCAAGGAAGGCCTCGACATGATGTCCCAGGTCAGCGGTGTGCTCGATGGCACCATCGTGAGCGCCGAGGAGTGGTGCGAGCGCCTGGGCAAGAAGCGAAGAGACCAGAGAGAGCAGCTGACAGGAGGACCTGCTACCGAACCGCCTACCGAGCCACTGGCCTCTGTCGCTGTCGACCAGGAAGTCGTCATGCAATGATTCTTGGGCACAGACGGAATTTTGTGTTTCTGCATCATCGCATTATACCATGCCCAGTCACGGGTGCTTGTGTCGACGGTCCTTTTCCTTCCCGCCCATCACATACCCGCGACTGATCTGTGTATCCGCCGCTTGGCGATTTCTCCCTATCATGCCCTCATTTTGACAGATCCTTTCCTTCGTGTCTTAACCGACCTCATTCATTGTGTTTGCAGATGTTGCTGTTCTATTCGCGGGCGTCAAATATATCTGGGGATGAGTGCGCATTTCATGATCTCGTGATAAACTGCCGGAAGGCTTGGGCAATGGGTCGCCCGTTTTCTGTGCTTGGGATTGGGATATCAACTGGTACAGGGCGCGGCGAACTGGAAAGAATAATGTATTTACTGTCGAAGACAAAATCAGCGAACCAAAAACTCGAAAGACATTGTTAATGCTTGACCTGTACCTTGGTCTGCTTATCCACTAGGTGTTGTGCCAGTGACGCATGAGCTCTTCTCCATTCTCCATGAGCATGAGCCGCCAGATGATCATCACTCAGGGTAACCCCGTCCTGCATCGGTGAGCCGTGGGCCCGAAACCCGAGGCTCTTCATGCTGCGAGTGAGTAAGCCGGGAAGTATCCCTGGATCTGAATCCAGGCACCGGAAACGGTGGACGGCATGCACCGCCCGGGGGTTCGGTTCGTGGGCACGGCAAGTCCGGACAGCACAGGCAGCTAAAATTGGCCTGCAAACGATCCCGAGTTGATCTACCGACGCACAGAGCTGGAGCCGGTGCCCCCAGTCTTGGAAGCAGCTGATTGGCGTCACTGGTCTTGTCGCTGTACGGGACTGTCGGCTAGGTACCTAGCTCGAGGCACTAGGCGGGCTCTGGCTCTTGCAACGCGGGGTCGCGAAATCCAATTCATAGGATCCTGATTGGGTCCCGGCTTGGAGATGCTCCTGAGTGCGTTCCCTGGTACCCGGATCGCGTCGTATATAATTTAGCTGCAACTCTACTCTTTGAGGGGGAAGGTCGATGGAGGGCGGAGTAAGCTGACGGAGCATATTCGTACATTTTGTCTCCTCTCTGAGACACGGACATTGGATTGATATCCCTTGAGATCTCCCCCGTTTGTCTTTTAGGCATTGGATATCGAAAAGGTCTCCTTGCTCGCACGGCCGAGTTACTAACACCTTTGCGGCGCCACGGGACTGCTCCTCCAAAGCAAGAGAAAAGTACCAACCACTTCTCAAGCACAAGCATACCAGCCTCGAGGAATCCCCGAGCGTCTAGGATGGCGCTGGTCAACCTCCTCCTCTCGCCGTGGGCACTGCTCGCTGCAGCAGTGGCCCTGGTGGCCTACTACCTACTCCCTTACTTCACGACATATGGCCACCTCCGAGGCATCCCGGCGCCGTTCCCGGCCCAGTTCTCGAACCTCTGGTTGCTGTCCGTGGTCCGCAGGGGCAACAGGTACCTGAGGGTCGACCAGCTGCACAAGGAGCTCGGCCCCATCGTCAGGATACAGCCCAACCACATCAGCGTCAACGACGACGAGGCCATCCAGACCATCTACGGCCATGGCAATGGCTTCCTGAAATCGTGAGTGAAGAAGCCAGTCTTGCGTAAGATGAGTTCGATATGCCTAACACAGCGTCCGGCGTACCAGTGAGTTCTACGACGCATTCGTGTCCATCCGCCGCGGCCTCTTCAACACCCGAGACCGCGCCGAGCACTCGCGCAAGCGCAAGATCGTGTCCCACACCTTCTCGGCCAAGTCGGTCGCCCAGTTCGAGCCCTACATCCACCAGAACCTCGAGCTCTTCGTCAAGAAGTGGGACTCGCTCGCCGCCCTCGCGCCCACGAAAGACGGCGCCGCCCACGTCGACTGCCTCAACTGGTTCAACTACCTGGCCTTCGACGTCATCGGCGACCTGGCCTTCGGCTCGCCCTTCGGCATGCTCGAGAACGGCGCCGACATGGCCGAGGTGCGCGCCTCGCCGACGAGCCCGCCCATCTACGCGCCCGCCATCGAGATCCTGAACCGCCGGGGGGAGGTCTCGGCCACGATCGGCATCCTGCCCCAGATCAAGCCCTACGCGCGCTACTTCCCGGACCCTTTCTTCAGCAACGGCCTTGCCGCCGTGCAGAACCTGGCCGGCATTGCCGTCGCGAAGGTCAAGGCGCGGCTCGACAACCCGCCGAGCGCGGACCGCAAGGACCTGCTCGCGCGCCTCATGGAGGGCCGCGACGACAAGGGCGAGCCCCTGGGCCGCGAGGAGCTGACCGCCGAGGCCCTGACGCAGCTCATCGCCGGGAGCGACACGACGAGCAACTCGTCGTGCGCGCTGCTCTTCTACGTCGCGCGCACGCCCGGCGTCCTGGAGAAGATGCAGCGGGAGCTCGACGCGGCCATCCCGGCGGACTGCGACGTGCCGACGTTCGACATGGTCAAGGACCTGCCGTACCTGTCCAACGTCATCAACGAGACGCTGCGCTACCACTCGACCTCGGGCATCGGCCTGCCGCGGCAGGTCCCGCCGGGCTCCGCGGGCGTCACCATCCATGGGCACTACTTCCCGCCGGGCACCATCCTCAGCGTGCCGACGTACAGCATCCACCACTCGCGCGAGATCTGGGGCCCCGACGCCGACGACTTCAACCCGGACCGGTGGGACGGCCTGACGCCGCGGCAGAAGAACGCCTTCATCCCGTTCAGCTACGGCCCGCGGTCGTGCGTGGGCCGCAACGTGGCCGAGATGGAGATGAAGCTCATCGCGGCGACGTGGTCGCGCCGGTACAGCGTGTTCCTGCGGCAGGACTACATGGACACGCGGGAGGGGTTCCTGCGCAAGCCGCTGGGCTTGGAGATTGGGTTTTCGAGGAGGCGCTGATGCTGATGGGGTCTGGTGGTGGTCGAGATGGGTTGGGGAAGAAGGGTACACCGGTTTGGGAGTTGGGTTGGACTATTTTAGGCTTTCGGGGTGTTTGGCCCTGAAGATCGATGGTTCGTACGATTGAGCAATATATCACGTCACTGGGCGCACGAAATAGCACCTCTACCTGCTGTACTTCACACATGTAGGTATCGACTAGTAATGCATGAAAGCAATCACACCAAAGAGTAACATTGAAATGTCCGGTGCCTCTGACGCCGCCCAAGCAACCAGGGTGAACTCGCAGAGGAGCCCACATGCTCGGCCAGCTCTTATGGCACCGCAAAGTTTCCTTCCTTCTCCGCACCACCAAATCGCAGACCACACCTACGACGGACACAGTCGGAAAGCCCGGCAGAATGCCAGAGATCCAGTCGTGCCGTGAAAAACGACGGGCCGCACTGTCTAACGGGTGCGTTGAGGAGAGAAAGGAAAAGAAAGAGGAAGGGGAATTTCCCAGGGCAGACCCCAAGATATACGAATTATTTTTTAGCGGGAGGACTGGAGCACAGTCCTCGCTGGAGGGGTGCCTGATGACTCAGCATGTGTAGGCCGCATTAATCCTTCTTCCCGCCCCGAACTTTCTTCAATTCCCACAAAGACTGGACAGCAGGCACGGGCCACGCAAGGCAAACGACCTCAAGCTGTGTAGAGTGCTTGCAGCGCACGTCCCACCCCCAAAACGACCAAGTGGGCTGTCCCTTTTCGCGATTCCCTAATAATATGCCTGCGGTGAGCCTCACAAGTGGGAGACACATTGCACCGTTTCTGCCACTCGACTGTGGAGCGTCATAGCTCAGCTCTCTGTCCGCCAACGCCAAGCTCTCTTGCCTGAGAGCTCTTCGTCGCCGCCAGTACCCTGCTCTCACCTTGATGCTGTGAATGGTTCCGGCTTGACACAGCACCATCCCGCGGGCTTCAGCGCCCATCTCCATCTCTGTCCGAGCTTCGAGCCGTGTTCCTCCGCCGCCCATCATCATGGCCTCCGCCGTCTTCTTCCTCGACCTCAAGGGCAAGGTGTGTTGCTGTTCATCTCCTCTGCATTGCCCTCTCTTGCTGACAGATCGACGACGTCCATAGACCCTGCTGGCCCGAAACTACCGTGGAGACATCCCCATGTCCGCCGTCGAAAAGTTCCCTGTCCTGCTCAGCGAAGCCGAAGAAGAGTCCTCCGCCGTACCTCCCTGCTTCTCCCACGAAGGCATCAACGTGAGCATATGCCCTATCTGGAGACTACCCTCTCTCCCGTCTGGACACCTGTGAGGCTAACATAGGCTCCCTCCCTTCCAAGTACCTCTACATCCGTCATAACAACCTCTACCTCCTCGCACTCACCAAGCGCAACACCAATGCTGCCGAGATCCTGCTCTTCCTCCACAAGATTGTCGAAGTGTTTACGGAATACTTCAAGGCGCTCGAGGAGGAGTCTATTCGCGACAACTTTGTCATCATCTACGAACTCTTGGATGAGATGATGGACTTTGGCTATCCCCAAACCACCGAATCCAAGATCTTGCAGGAATACATCACCCAGGAGTCGCATAAGCTCGAGGTGCAGGCGCGGCCCCCCATCGCCGTTACCAACGCCGTCTCGTGGCGCTCAGAAGGAATCCGCTACAGGAAAAACGAGGTCTTCCTCGACGTCGTCGAGTCGCTCAACCTCCTCGTCTCTGCCAATGGCAACGTCCTCCGCTCAGAGATCCTCGGTGCCATCAAGATGAAGTGCTATCTGTCTGGTATGCCAGAGCTGCGTCTGGGTCTCAACGACAAGGTCATGTTCGAGACGACAGGGCGCACAACGAGGGGCAAGGCGATCGAGATGGAGGACGTCAAGTTCCACCAGTGTGTCCGCCTCTCGAGATTCGAAAATGACCGCACCATTTCGTTCATCCCCCCCGATGGAGAGTTTGAGCTCATGTCGTATCGCCTCAACACCCAGGTGAAGCCGTTGATCTGGGTCGAGTGCGTTGTCGAGTCCCACAGTGGCAGCAGGATAGAGTACATGTTGAAGGCAAAAGCGCAGTTCAAGAGGAGGAGTACGGCAAACAACGTCGAGATCATCGTTCCCGTGCCTGATGACGCCGACAGCCCGCGATTCCGCACCAACATTGGAGGTGTCCACTATGCCCCCGAGCAGAGCGCTATCGTCTGGAAGATCAAGCAATTTGGTGGCCAAAAAGAGTTTCTGATGCGGGCCGAGCTGGGCTTGCCCAGCGTCCGAGGCGACGACGAGCACGGAGGAGGTATGACGGGAGGTTTTGGCGGCAGCATGGGAGGCGTCGGCGCGCCTGGCAAGGGCGCCAAGAGGCCCATCCAAGTCAAGTTTGAGATTCCTTATTTCACGACCAGTGGTATTCAAGTGCGATACCTGAAGATCACCGAGCCCAAGGTATGCTCCCCCCTGCAAAGAAAGGGCAATTATCTAAGACATCATTGGCTGACTCGACACCTAGCTGCAATACCCTTCGCTGCCATGGGTCCGGTACATCACCCAGTCCGGCGATATCGCCGTTCGGTTACCGGATGCGGTATGAGGAGACATATGATAATGCCAATACTAGCGTTCACATTTGACAGTTCAGTTGCTTTTCCACGTGAAGTCGTGTGTATGCTCGAATGCCTGAAAGGACATATGCTCCACACGGAAGACCATGTTCTTGAGAGACGGTTTCAATGAGGCCGGCCTTCACCGACGACAGAAACGGAAATAACAAAGCCACGAAACATGAGGGGTTGTCTGCTTCTTATGCTCAAAAGAGTGGTGTATTTGTTTCCTGTCTCCGATATTGCGACTGATTGCAATGTCACTTCCATTACAAGTTGAAAGGTCAATAAGCAAACTTCTGAGACACAAGATCCTCGCTCAGTGTCCAGAGCTTCTCAGCGTCAATGGGATCCCTGCCCCAAGAGTGTATCTGCTTCACGTCCACCACCTTACCGTCGGTCAAGAACGACCCGTTGAGGTCTATCCAAATTTCAAGTGTATTAGTACAGCCCTATCTTAGCAGCGTGGCATGTCTTGGTACTGACCGGGAGACTCTAGACTGGGATGGAAGGCAGCGAACACGTGGGTCGCGACCCCCTGCGACGGCGTCTTCATTTCGTGCTGCGCGTTCCAGTATGAAGCATGGCCTTGAGAGCGGTTCAGTGGGACTGCGGGTTTGCCAACTGGTGTTAGCAACTATTCCTCTTTCCCGAAAAGAAAAAGGAAAGAAAGAAAAGAAAAGAAAAAGAAAAGAAAAGAAAAAGAAGGGAAAGCAAGAGGCCAGGATAATAACGACAGCGGGACCCATACCAAGTTCTCCAAAGTCCTCCCATGCGAGATTCTTTGTCAGCCCGGTCATGATGTACCCGGGGTGCAGGCTGATCGAGGTCACACCTCGCTTGCCGAGCTTCTGGGCGAGCGAGCGCGAGAAGAGCATGTTGGCTGACTTGGCCTGGGCGTACGCGAACCAGCGATTGTACGTCTTTCCATCCTGTTCGTTCCTCGTTGTCAGCACACATTCTTAGGGAAACTGTTCCAGCTCTGTCGATCGTATTTCTACCCAGGGGAGGACAACAACATACGTCAAAGTTCCAGTCTTCGAAACGGACCGGGCCCAGGCGGTAGCCGTCGCTGGCCACGTTGACAACCCTGATCTTCCTCGGGGCATCCGCACTAGCCTCGGGGGCCAGAGCCTTGGAGAGCAAGAGGTTGGTGAGAAGGAAATGCCCGACGTGGCAGGCGGCAAAGTGGCTCTCGATGCCGTCCGCGGACTGCGTGTACTCCTTGGCGCCCATGATGCCCGCGTTGTTGACCAGCACGTCTACCCGCTCGCAGAGGGCGTCGATCTCGGCCGCCGCGGCGCGCACCTTCTCCAGGGAGCACAGGTCGAGGGCGACGCAGTGGGTGCGGACCCCTGGGGCGATGCGGGCGATCTCCGCGGCCGTCTCCTGCGCCTTGTCCGCGGTGCGCGCTGTAAGGATGAAGCAGGCCGGCTTGTACTGGGCGACTATGGCGGCGAAGGCCGCTCCGAGTCCGCCTGGGCTGGCGCCGGTGACGAGCACGGTCTTGTCCTCGATCTGGGCTTGGCAGTCTGCGGCAACCTGCTCGCCTGTCGTGTCGTAATTGTACTGAGGCATCGTGTTTTTGTAGTGACACTGCTCATTTAATGGTAGGGACTTATACAAAGAAATAAAGAATTTATCTCTTCGACTGGTAGTAGACGCCTCCGAACGAAAGTTTAGTCAATAATGATGATTTATTTATTTCAATCGAGGTGAGTATTCTGGCTTGCTGTACCATCCTAGAAACCCATGCTCGCTTCATTGCTCTCGGAAATACGTCCCTAGTAGATACTGCAAACTCCGTGTTTGGAGATCCGACATGGCTGCAGGACACAAGAGCTGCTCCAGGGGGGCCTCGGCGAGAAAGGCCGTCAAAGATGTCCGGATGGACCGCACGACGGCACGGAGGTGGCGCTAGTGGGGCCGTCGATTAATTCTGACCAATTGAAATGCGACGTGGAGCCTACGGAAGTTCCGTATCACCCGTTCTCAACGTCCCCCTTCTCTTCTCTTCTCTTCACTCTCCCTCTCGGCAAAAGCCAGCAATTACTCACGGAAGTAAAGCCGACCCGTCTGGGGCTCCTAACTACACTAGCTATTGATGTTCTAAGCGACTTTGTCATGTCGGGTCGCGAGCAGACGCGAGCCGACGGCATTAAGCGCCGGGCCTGCGTCAACTGCACCGCAGGCAAGGCCAAGTGCACCCGGGCGTCCGGGGACGAATGCGAACGGTGCAAGCGGCTAGGAAAGGAATGAGTGTATCTGAAAATTATTGACAAGCGGAAAAAACCAACCCGCCACTCGTGAGTGCTCTTGGCTGATTTGAAGGTCGACTGACTCACCAAAGATGCAGGCGGGTGCATCAGCTGGAGAAGAAGGTGGACGGCCTAGTGTCTCTACTCACAGATCCTTCTCAGCAAGGTCGTTCCCCCATTCAGGGATCCCCAAACGGTAGTTTGCGGCCGCCAAACCCGGGGCTGCCAAGCATGTCTCGAGACTACCTATCCCCACCAATATCTCTTCCAAGTGGGCCAAGCCCGCAAGAGTCACATTCGCATAGCAGCCCGCAGACAAGTGCAATTGGCGATGTCATTGACCGAGGGCTTGTTAGCACTCACCAGGCGCAGGCAATGGTTCAGACTTACCGACTGAAGGCTGTGCAGCATTTTCCCTTCGTCGTCCCCCCTCCCTCTGCCACCTTGGAGTCCCTGCGCCGCGATCACCCTTTCCTACTGCTTGGTACTCTATCGGCAATGACTGTCCATGACTGCTCTAAGCAGAGGCAACTAGGCGAAGACGTGCGTTTGTAGATATACAACCACATCATGCTCGGCTTCGAGAAGAGCGAAGACCTACTTCAGGGGCTCTTGGTCCACCTCGCCTTCTACCAGTATCATCTGAGGCCTCAGAGACAGCAAATGTTGCTAATAACGCAGCTTTGTGTAAACCTTGTCTACGATTTGGGCTTGGATGACCTTCGTGGTTTCCGGCGAGGACTACAGAAAGAGGGTCCGCAAAGTGGTGTTGACATCTGCAACAGGGCAACGGAGGCCCGACTGTTGCTTGGAGCATACTATCTTGCTGCTGTGTAAGTTGGTACTAGTCACCTTTTATAATTCAAGCTTATCAGAGGCATACAGATATACCAACAAGCTCAAGAAACGAAGCATAATGCCGCACACGAAAAAAATGACGCACGCAGCTGTATGGTTAGCAGAACAACAGCAGTATCCCACAGATGGGTTGATACAACACCTTGTCGCCACGCAGGAGCTTTCGCGTCGTATCCATGACACCTTCTCTTACGATAGCTTGGACAACGCTGAACCAAGTGCAGAAGCTATTACCTTTGCCATTGTGAAGAGCTTCTTTCAAGAAGTTGACAGACTTGAGAAGGTCGTTCCGTCGTATTACAAGAACAATGGTACACTTGAAAGACCCCATCCAACGCCTGAGATCGGAAACGCTGACACTACGAAAGTCACTCTGGCAATGGAATTTCCTGCGATGCGGGCAATGGCCCAAGAGGCCACACTTTATGAGTTATTTTGGACTACTGCAAACTCAAGCCAGGCTATCTCACCAACGAGAGCCAACCTGCTCTGGGAGTCTATCCAATCTTATAAGTCCTTCGTCAGCGGCTTAACCAAGTACGATAACGACGAGGCCTTTTATCTTACCTTCGCCACGTTCTCCAAGCTGTGCTCGGTCCTGGCATGGCTGGCGAAACTGGTTGATTTCGCGCTTGAATCTCCACCAGACTCGCAGGATTGGAGGGGTACAGCAGGAGCAGCAACTATAATTTCGCATCCATGTGAATTCATGATACAGGCTGATACAGAGCTACCGCATTTGCTCCGGCTGACCCAACACAAGCTCAACGCCATGGCTAAAGGAATTGTCAATAGATCGAGTGAGCCGGACTGTATGACGACGTTTTCCATCCTAGTGGGCAGCGTACTCTCTGGCTTTGACAAGCGCATGGGACAAGTCAACGGTTCGTTGAATGGTAGTTGTGCGGCAGCCCCTGTTACGGCTGAGGGAGTCATCCCAGACTTTCATGTTGGGCAGAGTGTGAGCCCCGCTCAGGCTCCACTCCCATAGAGAAGAAAATAGACGTAGAGACGAGGATCTCCTCAGTAGACTGTCGTCATTGCATGAGGTATAGATCCGAGACTTCGCTCAGACTCCAGTCCATCAAGTGTCGAGGAAGGACTGACCTGATCATAAAACCCTAGTGATATGCATCTTGGCCAATGCGATATTTCTGATCAATTCAAAACACCCGCTAGATCAGACACCAGGTAACAGCTAAAACATATCACCCCTATCTGGTTAGGCAGCACGAAGGAAGCCAAGTGTACCTCAATGTGTACTTGACCTTCATAATAGTATCAGGAATTAGACATTATGTGCTTGGTACGAAAACTAGACTATGTAATTTTCTTCAATCCGCTGCTCTCGGTATAACACCGAGCTGTGTTCATCCTCGCACTGTCAGCCGAGTGCTTCCTCTTAACGAAAGGATGATTGATATCAACGTCCAAAAAACAAGAAAAAACAAGGGAAATACAACATGCTCCTTTGGAACGAGAATCCGATGCTGCGAAGAGAGAAACTTTCTGAGGCCAACGCTCAATCCTTAGGCTGCTCCTCTCCGTAGATAACCTCCCAGAGCTGCTCCTCAGCAACCCTAAACTCATCCTCCGCGCCGCGGTATACGGCAGATCGCATGCGGTTCAGCACCGAATTGATGTTGGGCACTTCGAAGAAACCAACACCCAAACGAGTAACCGTATCCTCCACTGCATGCATGAGAGCCTTTAATTCATTGACAGCGCCTGGGTCCTGTATGACAGAGTCTGGCCGGGCTATCTTGAATGGCCGCTCAACATCTAGGTCAGGCGATGTACCGGCACGTTTCGACAGGACAGGGCTGGTCGCGACGTGAATAGTCGAGAGCGCTTTGAGGATGCATCAAATCCCTCGGCGTCGAGCTCCACCTCCTCGGTCTCAGCCTCAAGTCCAAACTCAGTCAATGCGTTGGCCAAGTCGACGTCATTCTCGGGGACATTCAGCCATTCCATCGGCTGAGCAGATCATCTTCGAAATCGATATTCAAGCTGTAGTCGTGAGACTCCCAAACGTATCGAAGATTCGCGGGTACAGCCCCGAGGGGTGTACCTGGGTCGTAAAATTTGTCCGGAATCGAAACACTACGGACCAGCTCTTTGAGCCATCCATAGGACTTGGAGGGAAAGTTAGACTTCAACCAGTTGGAGATGCGAGCCTCGATGAGTACGTTGTTCCGCGAGTTATCGCGACCTGCAAGAGTCGTGGCATCTACAGACCAGCCGGTTTGCATAGAATGTCCATGGAGCTTATGTCCAATTGCAATGCAGAGTGGGTGATACCAGTGTACAACCAGAGGAAGACCAAGAAATTCCCGGTATTCCTGGTGCCATGCGATCTTCTCAGCACTGGTCGAGAAGCCATCCACGAAGATGGTGCAACGGGTAACACAGCTCTGGAATATTAACTCCAGGAAAAGGGTGAAAGCTGTATCGGTAGTCGTGCCATGTCGATTGCATCCTTCCTTCAGTCGACTGTGTCGCGCGCAGACAAAACTCCAGGCTCTGGAGGGGCAGGTTGGACGGGAATTCAAAGTCGTAATACTGGTTTCAATCGGCCGTTGTTATGATAGGGAGCAAATCACCACGCTTCAAGCCGCCCTTGGCTGTCTGTCGACAAAGGTGCACATCGTCAAAAGATGGCAAGACCACTTTGCTGAACGCTGAATGATCTGGCTGCGCGAGACTTGTTCCAATGGCTGCTTTGAATGCATCAACTTTGCCAGTCTCCGTGTTGAAATAGTTCGTCAAGAATCGAACCGACAGGCGAGTTGTCCTGTTTTCACCAGATGAATCCGCATTGTGGGCTCACAGAGTATGACTGGTGCTATGGCCAGACTGAACGGTGGCTGTACCAAGATGGCAGTGTAGGCAAAATGCATCATGCCGATGCATGCCCTTCGACACCAGTTTGGTAGTGGAGGGCTTGGGGCCGACACTTGATCAAGCTGTAACGGCCATCGATTCAGTACTTCGACTAGCCTAGAACAAATCTCCTGAACCGTGTCTCTGGACTTCAGACCACGACCCACAGAACCAAGAAAACGGTCGTCCTCGCCTTCCACGTCACAACGGTGAGAAGGTCGGCTAGTTCTGGTGGAAATGTAGGGTCGGGAATGGTGACGTCCCGAGAAACGAAGCGGAGACCCTGAAGTACCGAAATGGTCCGTTGGAGCATCTCTCGGTCATAATCGGCGAACACATCGGAGGCTTCGAGCGGCTCGAGGACTTCGGTGGGCACATTCTCCGGCAAATGCTTGCTCGTTGGCAAATCTGGGTATGGCTTCTGAGGTCTAGCTCGGATACCCTTCGACCGACGTCGCTGGCCGCTCAAGTCTTTCTCTGGGGTGAGCTGAGATTCGCGGCCTTCGCTGATCTCATATAGAGCATCATCTTTTGATTCGACATGAGCTGGACTGGAGGATTCATTACGATCCTCGGATGGTTGAGAGGGAGAGTCGGAGGGATCTGACGATGGCATGTACTCGTCGCCCGAGTCGTCTTCGCTCTGACGAGGCATGCTACCGTGGAAACGGAGATCAGTTACTGGACGGGTGGAATCCGTTTCTGTTCTGCATTGAACTCACTCTGGAATCGTGTCAGGTGGCAGTAGCGAGACTTCGTAAGAACATGCAGGAGTGATGTGATGGTGATGCCGAGCAGTGGTGGTGCCGAGCGGTGGTGATGCCTGGATCTGGATGAAGGTCTCCAGTGGTGTGAGAAGGAGGTAAAGCAGGAGTGATGTGAGGGTGATGCCAGGCAACGGTAATGCCTGGATCTGGACGAAGGTCTCCAGGGGTGGGAGAAGGAAGTAGATTTTTTGAAGCTGAAATTGAATAACGCGCCCGAGTTCTACGCGTGTTGTTGACTAGCACGTGTTGGGTATTTGCACGTATCGTTGATTTTATGTCAATGACTCACTTATCTTGGGGCACTCGTCACAATCATGTCAATTTCCATTTGCCAGCCAGACCAGAGGTAAAACCGGTTGCATTGCCTACCCAGGAGCCTTCATAGCATCACCACTCTGGTGCTCTCCACGGGTCGCTTTAGCCTCACCACCTGCAGACCAGTCCGATCTGCTCCTCCGTCTTTAAGAGTCCGCATCGTGTTCTAGATTCGAATACAGTGGCGGCATTAAGCAAGCCAGTAAGTATCATCGTATCGTTTTTGCAGTGGACCTTCACTGACGGAGTTCTCAGAAAACTACCATATCCATCCACCATGTCAGGCCTTAGCGACAAGTTCATGCTATTCGATGCTTACTACGAGAGCGCTTGGAATACGGCCGAGCTGGTCAATACGACAAAGCCAACGACATCTGCAAATGGCTCTTACTTCAGCAGGACCTTGGCCTGAATCATCAAGCTGGTGCTCACTTTTTGCTCGCCCATTCACCCGACTGCTACGTCGAACATGCCCGAGAGGCGCTCCGAATTTACGAGAAGATCAAGACACATTGCGATGGGGATACGAAGTGGGCGGAGGAACGTGTCGCAGCTGCAGAGACACTGCTCAGGGAGGCTGAAGAAGACAAGAAGAAATATTCGGAGCCTATGACGGATGAGGAGTACGACCAGGCAATGATCGAGGCCTCTGATGCAAAGTATCAGGCCGACCAAGCCTGGCCTCACCTTGTTTCCGAAGACGAGGAAGACGACGTGGAGGAGAGACAGGTGACGGCTGATACCCAGACCACTCAAGAGTCTGGAGTCGAGGACTCTCAGACCACGAAGGAATTCCAGTCGACCGCTATCACCCGACACGACACTCCTCTCAGTGAAAAGTACATCCGTCAGGACGGCAGCCCCTACTTTCCACTGGAGTCTGCTATGTGTCGGCCTCGTGCTTCTTGATCTTGGCTTCTTTACTATTACTCAGCCAGGGCTGGGCTGCCGTGGCAGTAGATGCGAACATACTTCTTCCATCGTGCATCCATCGTGCTTTGCTAGGGTTTCCCTTTGGTCGTCAAAGATCGGCCTCGGTCCAGGATCCCTATCGTCTATGGATTCTACTGCTAATACAAGTCCAAGTCCCCTTTGTACTTTATGTGTTTCGATAAGCGGCTCCGGGTGGTCGAAGGGATCAACTGATTCCTGACCTTCTGTTTCCGGCACAACAGGGCTCGACAACGGTATCTTAGGTACCTAGGTAGTCTCCATGGAAGTCCTGCTTTCTGGAGACCTTCAAACCCATCAGGATTGGCAGGAACACGACGAGAAATAGTGCTTACATGCATGCTCATCATCCGAAAGCAAAAGCCGTGGCTTCCACCCACACACCCCTTAATCAATGGCCTTGGTGATCAGACCAATATCCATTTACATCTAGTAATTCGCAAACTAAACTAGCATTAAGGCTTCTCATGGGTCTCACCGCTACCCAGTGGGGGTCAGCCGAAGGGTCTTCAGGCCATTGTCGTTAGTCATCTTCACTCTGACCACGCTGGCGGCATGGCAGATCAGGCTAAAGTAGCACCGAACGTGCCCGTCCATCTCAGCGAGGAGCATTGGAGTGTAGCCGTGAAACCCCCTTGGAAAGCATCGATGATGGGGTACACTCCCCAATACTACCCCGAACACTTCGTCCCCCGGCAGCTCGGGTTTTGAAACAATGCAGTCGTGCCCTGGGTAGAGTTTGCAAGACAGTTAGACGTGGTAGTCCTGCCAAGTCATGACCCGGAGACGCTGCAGCTGTTGAGGGAACGGAGGATTTATAAGCCCCAAGCTGAGACAAACATAATGGTAGATGAGTGAGGGAAACTACCAGATAAGAATGGTTGACTTTTCTATTCATTGTATACATAGAGGTCATCCATATGCCTCACTTTGAGATAATTTACGTTCTCCGGCTGTTACAGCTGGGCAACCTTCGCGTGAACCAGGGGTCCTGTCCACCATATAATTACTCAGCCCTCATTGATCCTCTTATCGATTCCTTCAACTTGAGCAACATCGACGCTACTTTTCTTCATTGCTAAATTATGAGCCTGTTCGTGGATCGTGCACACAAACGTGGCGAATTGGCGTGTTGGGACCTTCTTTTCAAAGAGTTCATCAATCTCTTCCAGCATTCGTCCCTTCATCTCGGGGAGCATGAAGTAGAAGAAGACTGCCCTGAAGTCAGACAAAGGATTAGGAGAATCTCACGGCGGTCGACTTACTATACGTTATAAGGTTGGATGCAGCCCAGATCCAGCAATACCTTGCTCCCCAGCCCATGGCCGTCGGGTTGATGAAATAAGGTGAGCAGAACGCAACGAGCCCTGCAAATCGACCCCGTTAGAAATGGAACGCCCCGAACGTGCCATTCTGTCATACACGGTGACTTACAAGCGGCGAGGTAATCGATGCCGGTGGCAAGTGAAAGAGTGTACACTCTCAGCCGCGAGCTGACTACTTCGGCAGAGATGGGCCAAGACATGGCCCCAGCAAACCCACTATAGACAAATTGATAGCAGGTAGAGAGACCAGTGAAGGCCTTGGCGGATGCTTCAGACCCAGGTGCAATGGTGTCAGCAATGGCGATGCCCAGCATAAAGATACCCGCACCGCCGGTGCCAATAAGCATCATGGATCGTCGACCAAGCCATTTGTAAGAGCAGTAGATAGCGATGATCGTGCCGCCAATGGCGGCAATCAAGACATATATCCCCATGATAAATGGGTCACCGATGCCTGCTTGCTGATAAAAGTATGTCTGTGAAGATATTTCAGCAATTTGATAAAAGAACAAACAAAGACTTTGGACAGCGTACCCCATAAGCGATGAACAGCCACAGTCCTGAGGAAGCACGGGAGAGGACGATGGCGGTACAGATGATCGTGCGGCGCCTATCTGTTCCTCTGAAGATGTCCAGAAACTGTGAATTGGATGCCATCGCCTTCTCTTCTTCGATGCCGCGACTAATTTCAATGAACTCTTCTTCCAGGAGCTGTGGACTCAGCGAATTGTCCCGCAGAATAGCTAAAGATCTTTCAGCCTCCTGGGACCGGTTCCTGAGCAATAACCAACGCGGGGACTCTGGAACGAAGAGCGAAATAACCGATATGAGGGTCGGGAAGAAGAACAAGCAAGCCAGTGGAATTTGATAGCAATGCTTGTTCATGATGTTCTTGACCCCATTGCAAATCACTGCGCTTATAATGGCGCCAACGCCAGTCATTATGCCAAATATGCTCGACACAACGGGTCTTAGATGAGGAGGTGTAGATTCGGCGATGTAAGAATTGGCAAATGTGATGAAGAAGGCATTTGAGGCACCGACAAAGGCTCTGCCGATGCAGACACCGGCGATCGAAGTTGAAGCAATCTGCACCGAAGCACCAATGAAACATATCAGAGAGCCCGCCCAAATCGCAACTCGACGGCCAAAAAACCTGCCAAATGGTGCAGTAAAAAACACACCGATCATGGTGCCAATATTGAGAAATGATGTGATGAGCTGCTGGTTGGTGGTCGTGATGCCCCAGCCAATCTTGAGCTTCGGGTCTCTGTACCCAAATACTTGCAAGAAACCTGGCATGGCCTGCAAATTAGCGATGACACCCGCATCAAAGCCATACTGGAGATTGGCCATGGTCATGCCGAAGCACATGACGAAGCATTTCCAATTCGCCCGGAGCGGCGTTTGGCGTGTGTCAGACATAGTGATTGACTTGGGCTCTAAGATCAAGATTAAGCAGAGTGTGTAGGGAACACCATTCAAACCGAAAAAGTTGTCGAGGATAGCAAAGAGGTTCGACACGGCCAACGAAGGGGGGTTTCTGGAATCTTAAATGCTTACATGTGCCGTGCCGCAATACGTCTTCGTTAACAATTGCCGAGAAAGCCTGTGCTGCGAGCATACGCGCCGATCCAATGCAAAGAGCCATGTAGAATGGAGTAGAGTCTACCTTGAAGTGACACTGACGTTCTGTATGCACATCGTAGCAGCACCTACCCCCAGATGAAGCTTGGCTTTCGGGGCCAGATTTACGGTTCGCTGAATCTGAATCGCTCTGGTGGAGAATGAATGCGACCACCCTAACCTGTATCAGCCATTCGGAGGGCCTTGTTTGGTCAGATACAACGGTGTTGTCTAAACAAGAAGGCGTCAACACGGATCAGGGATAGGTAAGTGGTCTACCCCAGACTGTCTCCGCTTGTGACAGTTGGGCAAGCCCGGTTAGTTTGCGGGGGTTTTAACGGGGTTGCCAGGACCTAATCATCCACTGACAGCCCCCCAGGCAGATCTTGAGAACCAAACCTTGTCTTTCTGGCTCCTTCTGTCATATTTTTACCCCTCTCGACACAAGCACCGCTAAGTGCGACTGCATGACGACCCTCACCATTGTAGCCAGTAGCTGGGAGCAGCCCTGCTTAGGAATTGAATAAAATATTCAGCAAGCGGGGTTTGACACCACCATTCGTACCAGGGACACTCGACAGCTTTCGACAGCCACCATGTTTAGATGCTCTTGAACAGGTTTAGATCGGCTTCGCGTCCACATTCAAAGCATGGTGAGGCTCGAGGATTGTGCGAGCGAGTTACTGGATGCCTGGCTCCATAGGCAACACATGCAATACTTGACGGAGTCACCTTGCTTGAGACATTCACTTAACTACTCCGAACTTCCAAGGCCAACTATTGAAGCGGAAGGAAGACAGGTGGCGGCATGATAGCCTTTGTTCTGTCGGGGGAAAGTAAGACAATGCCAAGTTCGTATTGATGTGATCAACGCCCAGGAATTATGTTACAACAAGAGGATGATATCCTTGGAAACAGACACCGGAACGGGCGCTTAGTAGAGGGCTAAAACAGATCAAGTACTTGTGTTGCACCTGCTATTCTTCTCGGCTAATACAAATAGTCCCGAGTAGGTCAACCACCCCGGTAAGTTAATACATGCTCTGGTTCTTTTGCCACTTGTATTAAGCTTCGAAAGTGACATCCCATCTCCGCACACACTGTGATAGGGTAGAGGACTCGCTTGTAATGGCAAAGTTGCTTTCAATCGCTCTGCGCGATAGTCTTGATCACAGCCATCATGTCCTCCTCTCCCAACCCTGCTTCGGTCGCCTTCCTAAATAGGTCGTCGCATACGTCCATAAGAGGTGTTCGTACCCCCTCTTTTCTCGCAGCCTCGACGATGATCCTTGTGTTGCTGTGATAGCAGTTTTTGATGTGGCCTTGAGGTGTCCAGTCTTCATTGACCAGCTTCGGCATCTTCATTTTCAGATACGGGGATACCAGAGGACCGGCTTCAGTTGCCCGAGCAAAAGCATCCAGATCCAAGCCCTGGGCTTTGGCAAAGTTCACAGCCTCTGCCAGCCCAACAGCCATCGTGATCATGAACAGATTGACGGAATACTTCATCTTCAGCGCTGCACCTATATCTCGCCCACAATAGACGGTTGCCTTGGTCATCAAGTTGACACAAGGCTCGATACGGTGTGTAACGTCCTCATCCCCCGCCACCAGGCCGACAAGTTGTGCCTGCTCCGCTGGTACTTTGCTCCCACTGACAGGCATCTCCACGAAAGCCGCACCTGCGTGCTGGATCTGTGCTGCAATATCCCTACTCTCCTTGACGCTCACCGTGCCCGTATTGACGACTGTCTTGCCGCGCAACGACTCTCGAAAACCTGCTGAAGCGATGACTGATTGCAGTGCCTTCGCATCGGCGAACATTGCAAAGATGATTTCGGCATCCTCGGCGACGTCAGCCGGTGTTTTTGCCATCCGTGCACCAGCGCTCTCGAAAAGTTGGGTCCTTTTCGCGCAGGCTGTACGGTTCCACGCGATCAGTGGGAACTCGCGGGCCATGTTAAGGGCCATGGGCGTGCCCATGATACCGAGGCCAAGAAACCCAATGCGCATCTTCGGTGTAGGCATGTGTGAGAATAGATTGCCAAGGAGATAATAGGGAACGAAGCGATGGGCGAGGACAAGATGCAGAGACTTATATGAGAGGCTCCTATCTTGTTTCATAGCACTCAAGCTGACACGTCAGCCTGGAAAGCGGTGAGACCCCGAGGACGCTTGATGCTACCGAATCTGAAATTACCGTAGCTGGGTAGTGGTCTGATCATTAAGGCCGTTTAATTGAGGGGCATGGGTGGAAACAACGGCGGCTTTTCCTCTCAGACTGTTAGCATGCATGTCAGCACTATCTCTCGTCATGATCCTACCAATCCTGCTGGATTTGAAGAGCTTTACAAGGTCTACAGAAAAGTGGGACTCCCATTGATACTAGATACAGTTTCCAGGCCCTATTCGGTAGCAAAAGAGGAGTGTAATATTCTGGAACAGGAAGGTCAGGGATCAGTCAAAGACTGATCCCTTCGACCACTTAGAACTTGCCCGGATCCGTTTGCCATAAATATAAAAGATAAATGGGACTGGTATCAGCAGTGCGGCAAAGCCACCGACGATACTAGATCCTGGACCAACGCCGATATTGTGATACATTGGACCCACCACCAAGGGAAAAGCCCCAGCAAAGCATGATCGAAGAAATGTGTTCGCAGCTACTGCCGAGGCAGCGTACTGCTGGAATGTGTCCACCAGGTAGTTCAGTGCGGCCTGGAAAATGGTAAAGAAGCCTATACCAAGAAGGACCAGGCCGATACATGGCAAAATCCAGTGGAAATTGGGACTCGCGGTCCAGCCGGTCAAGAACTGACCTCCGCTGAACAGAACAGAGCCAACCATCATTGGCGGCAGGCGCTTTTCTGGCACTGCACGGTTCCCCGCCGCGTGATAAGCCTTGTTGTAAAGAGTCTGGTTATAGACGTTGGCAGCGGCACCGCCCATGGCGCCGAGCAGGATGGACAGAAAGGGGAGCGTAGCCACGAATGGGCTCCATCCACGAATCTCGCCAAATATGATGGGGATAGCGCCTAGCTGTAGGTAAAGGATACCGTAAGTGAAACTAGAATACAGCGCGACGAGGAAGCAGATGGGAGTGAAAAGAAGCTGGATCGGTCGGATGAGGAACTTCTTGGCAAGCTCTTTGATGCTGACATCCCACTCTTCGAACTTGGCATGCAAAGCCCAGTTGCCCGTATCGTGCCTTAGGCGTCGGCTCTTGTAGACGAGGAGTTTTGGAGGATAAGACTCGTCAATGAAAATGACGGCGATGACGAGGACGAAACTTTGAAGAATGCCGGTGAGGTACTCAGTCCAACGCCACCCTAGGGATGGTGCTGCGGTCACAGCCGCTGACACAATCGGTCCTAGTACCGGACCACCAACGACAGCCATTGCGTATCCTGCCATTGCAATTCCTCTCCAGGCGGGCGAAAAGAGGTCACCTATACTCCGATATTAGACATTTGGACAAGGATTTGAGACTTGGACTGTGTAGGTCACCTACCCAAAACCCCCCCGGTGTTGGTGACCGGGGCAGACGCGAAGAAGGCACCAAAGAACCTGGTAATCATCACAGTCTGCAGATCCTTTGCCGTGGCAGTACCAAAACTGAAGCATATAGCCACCACCATCGGCAAAAGAACGGCGATACGCCTGCCAAAGACCTCGCTCAAAGGAGCCCACAGTAAGGGGCCAATACCGAAGCCAAACAAGTACAAAGTAGTGCCCAAAACAGAGACCTGGGTGCCGACGTTGAACTCCTTTGCGACCGCTTCGGTGCCAGCAGAGTAGGCGGAAGAAGCCCACGTACTACTCATCGTCGTGAACGCATACAAAAATAACGTTAGCACCTTCTTGTGAGTGACCCAATTCAGGGGATGGTAGGGATCGTTGGGTCCGTCGAAGTCAACCAGGTCGGCCTCGCTTGTTTTGATATGGGACAACGGATGAGTGAATTGAGGCACCGGCCGGCTACGGATGCGTGATATGATGGTCTCGCGCCGCGAGATGGTCCTTTGCATGCCGGTTCCAAAGCCGGCCGATGAACCAGCGTGGCCTTGGAGACGGGCAGTGGGTGCGCGGGATAGGCTTGGCCGCATCTCGTCTTCTGTTGGCCGATGTCCATCGTTGTCTGTACTCGGCTTCTCATTTCCATTGGCAATGGCACTGGCGGGACGAGACATAACGCTGGAGTCGCTTGATGACTCGATATCACCGTTATCACCGTTGCTGTCATGTGGCGAGTCGTGGTGACGCCGGTCTCGCTCAGTCCCGCCATGGGCCATGATTGGTTTGTAGTCAGGCGGTTGCCCAAGTCTTGTCTGGATCTGTAATCTGGCCGAATGCCAAGAGATCTGAAGGCGGGACTGACGGGACGACTAAGTTTTCAGGGGTAAGGATAAGCTGGAGGATACCGAAGGAGGTGCGGCGGAGATGCAGGCTGAAATTATGTACGAGACGAGGGTCGAGGAGCGAGAAGTTCCACCACAACAAGAAAACGGACGTCATAACAAATCCTTGTACTCTTGCGTGCTAAGGCCGTGGCGTCGGCAACTGGCCGTGGAGACTTCCCGATTTCGGATGGCGGCAATTAGGCTCTAGACGACTATTTCCGGCGCTAGCTCGGTCCAAGACGGAGACGCGTCCACATGCTGTCCCGTGAGAAGCCGGAGCCACACTGGTGGTGCAGGGAACATGTTACCTAAGAGCTTTAGGGGGTTATTCTGTGCCGCAAGGCCTGAGTCCTCTCATATCTCGCCTTACGGAGTACCTAATCAACCTTGCTGGCCAGAGGTCAGCACAACGACGTACTGCCCAAGATGAACAAATTCCCCCAAAGATGCTTTGCATTCCTTATGATCTTGGCAACATTCCCTTGATGTCTGGTTGCTAAGCGTTTGCTTGCTTGGCGCAAGTTGATTCATCTGATCTTTCATTCACCATTCAATATAAGGACATACAAGGAAATACAACCCGCCTTCTAGAACCCATCACTCTCAAACGTATCATCATCATATACCTCCTGAAGATCCCTCAACTCAGTATCGCCAGCGTCTGGCAGCTCGGCATAATCAGGGAGGTCAAGGGTGCCGTCGGCAGTGAAGTATTGGTCGTCAAATGCAACGTCAAGTGGATCAGCATCATACCGCTCTGACGCACCGGCATCGTCAGCAGCCCATGCACCGTCCTGCCTTGAGGTGATGTCGAGAAAGAGGAGGTAGCACTCGTCAACCTCGCCATTAGTGATACTATATTCCAGGTCAGGGGAGCGTAGTAGTTCCAGCCCGGCTTCAATGTCATCGCCGATCAAGTAGATCTTGGCGCCCTGTCCGTCACCCTTGTATGTGCAGACGGCGGGGAAGAAGATGTTGCCCTCGGGATCGACGGCGGCCAACATGCTAGTATTTGCGTCGTCGGGCGAGTAGTAGAAAGGCGTAAGAGCGACGTAGACGGATGTTCCTGGGATGTGCGTTTCCTCTGCTGTTCTCAGGCGACTGACGTTCAAAAGGGACATGGTATTTGCATAGTAGTGCAGTACCTCGCCGGTGGGGGTTGAAATAACGGTGTTGTCAAACCCGGCCCAGAGCGTGGTGCATGTCTGGTAGAAGGGCAAGTCGTTCTGAGCGGACTTCTCTTGAAGGTAGACATTGCCATCATTGCACGCGGCAAGCACATACTGCCCACTGGACCCTTGAAGCCCGAGCGTACTGAACCAGAACCCATCGAAGTCGCTTTCGTCTAGATCATAGGGGGTCGACGGAAGTGAAGGACCATTGAACCCGAGATCTTCGACTTCTTCAACTATAAAGGGTGTAAGATCGTAAATCTGGCTCGAGCTAGCCCCACTGGTCGCTTGAAGTTTCTGAAATGCAGTGGTGCTGGGCAGGGTAGTGGGCGTCTGCGAGGCAGCGCTGCTATTGGAAAGGTCGCGGCGTGCTCTGGGCTCCTCAAAGCCAATGTGACTGCCAGACCAAAGATCTGTCGATCGCTTCGTGGTGCTGACTTTTTCTCTGTACGAATTGCGGTTAGAAGGTACACTGAAGGCTTGAGGGAAGCGCACTTACCCAATACAATATGAAGCGAGAACATAGTCCTTGGTCTCGTAAATTGTCCAGTTCTTTTGAATGAAACCGAATCCCTTAGCAACGGCGTTCACATCATTCCTTGCACTCAATGTTGTCGAGATCCCTTTGCAACCGTTCAGTGGTGTCAGACCGGCCTCGATACCCTTAGATGCGTTATTGTAGCTGACGTAGGCAGAGATTGCAGCTGCAATTTTGATAGAGGGCATATCTTCAATGCCGATAGTGCCCTTGCAGCGCTCACAACCATTGAAGGTGGTGATGCCGAACTCTAGGGCGAGCGGCACGCCGAACTGCACCGCGGCGTTGATCTCGCCGTCCGCTCTGAACGATGGCTTGAATTCGGGCTATGGAAAGGTTAGTCAGAAGGTCTATAGGGGATTGCATAAAAACATCGAGTTCATACCTTGAAGCCCCGCGACACCGTCTTGCCTCCATCCCTGAAGTCATACACGAAATGAGCACGTGCAATGCTCACATCTGCTCGAGCCAGCATTGTTCCAGTCATGTTGAGGTTGTACCTCAGCTCGGTGCCAACGGACAAGATTGGGCCCACGGTGATGAACCCTAGCGTAAAAGGCGATAGAGGAATGTCCCACAAATTCTTCCGGAACTTGTCTTCGTACAAGTACTGCGCGTAGATACCCAATCCGAGGCCGACTGACATGTCGAGGTTGGCTTCAAGGAAGCCTTCAGTGATGCCTCGAAGAGCCTGTATGGTGACATTGCCTTTGGTCTTCATGGATCCCTGGATTCCACACTGAACGCAGTAGATGTTGATGAAGCTCGCCCTTTTGATAGTTGTCTGTTTCTTGCCGCCTACGGGCAACAAGTCTTTGGTATCGGGCAGTGTGCCGATAGTCTTGAGGAGCACTGCACTATCACCCCAAGGGGTCTTCACGCCCTTAGCGTCGCCTTTGGGCTTGCAGGAGTTCTTTGTCTTCTCGGAATTCCCGTTCTTGGCGTCCTCCTCACACTCCTTTGCAGGACGCGGAAGCAACAGCTTGTCGAAATCCTTCTCAAATGTGTTGGGCTTTCCCAGCACTACGTTGACTGCCAGCTGCGCCGCGGTTTGATAGACATCAACGATCTGGGCACTGATCTTTGCTGCTGTGGTCCCAGCCTTCTTTATGTTTGCTCCGAGGGCCTGGGCGGCTTCCTTTGCAGCTGTGGTAATCTGCTTGATGCCTTCCTTGGTCTTGTTGGCGAACTTGCGCACGGAGCTGACAACGGAGCTCCACACAGCCCAGCGTCTTTGAACAGAATCGGTGATCCATATATTGTCGACATCTTCCCTGCTCAAAACCGAACTATAGCCAAAGTCGCTGGTATTGAAGTAGCCCAGACCACTGTCTAGGTCGTCGTCAAAGTAAGGTCCAAGGCACGCCGTTGGGAGGCCGTACTTGGTGTCGATAGGAGCCACGCAGGATGAGGTGCTGCTTGGGGCGGCTGATGTCGTTGCTGTACCACCACCACTTGTCTCAGAACCACCTCCCGAACCACCAGGGGACCCGTAGCTGATGCCGCCCAAAGTCCCCCACCACACGTTGACTTCAACGGTGATCTCTTCGATGGGCCGAGCTTGTCCGAAGGCGAAGCATGATAGTGACCCAGCATCAAAGACAATCTTAAACGTATGGTAATAGCACCGTTGGCCAAGGTGATAGTCGCCACAACCCTCCGTGTACGTGACCAGCACCATCTCGCCAGCAGTCCACTCTGAGAGGCAGTGATCGAAGGATGCTTTGTCTGCAAAGTGTATGATCAAAACTCCATCTCGTAATTCGACGCTCGCGATCAATATTGAATGGTCAAGCACAACCGAGGGGCATTTCCATTTCGGTGTCGCTACGGCGAAAATCCCAGCCTGGTCTGGTGCATTCAGTCAGCACTTGCCCATCCTTAGGACGAGCGGGATGCGATGATTACCTGGTTGGCTTTCAACAGCATAGTGGATTGGGGCGCCAGCACCGGCGCATTGGGGGGTCAAGTGCACGATATCGTTCAAGTCATGATCATCGTGGATGACAGGCAATAGCGTGGCCAGTGGACCAGCCGTGGTGGTGGAGGAGCAGGTGGTAGTCGACGCGGCAGTGGAGGCAATGGTCACAGTGATGGTCGCATTGGCTGCTGTGTTCTGGACAAAAGAGTCGTTCCTCTGAATCTGAAAATTTCCTGGACCCTGGGGGCGCGCAAATGTGCCGCCCAGCGTGAAAAGAGTGATAACCCACGAGGGCCTCATTGTTCAAAAGGCAGCGACCGGTCGTGACCTCTGCCGAGGAAGACAAATGAGTGACTGAAGGAAGAGCAATCTTCCCAAGGAACGGCGGGGAGATAGATAGAGCGAACACATCGTGCGACGATGCATTCAAATGGCCATGCGCATATTTATATTACAAGAAGGTCGCGTCGCGCTCTGTATCCTGCCCTGCGTCTGCCTCGAGGACGTTTCCGCCGCTTCCACCACGTGCGCCCGACTCGCGCATTTGATTTCACTGCTTTCTGCCCGCTAGGGACGCCATTTAGCATTCCGTGCCTGTCGCATTCTATCAGAATTAGACGTTGTCCCATTGAAGGTCACCCCTACCAATCCGCGGTAAGGCTAGAATGATCCAAAGTTAAGGAGAACTCCACTTTAGGTTGGTGTCGCGCGCTGTCACATTCCATTGAATTTCAACCTTGGACTCGCGACGAACGAGCAGATGTGCGCGAAATAATCCGGATTAGGCAACACGTGGAATTTGCGCCAAAACCTTTATGTCCTGGGCGAGCTCGTCGTCTCTGGGGACGAATTGTAGATGAGCAGTCGAACGTCTTCGGGAAAGGTTCACCCGAGACGATCCGGCCTCTTGGGCATCTCGTCTATGCTTTCTGAAAATACATTAGCGCAAACCACGGAGTACTCTTGACGATGCAATGTGGCGATTGCCAAGAAACGCTTGTACGATACGCTGTCTGCCAGGAATGTGAATAAGGACTTGACGGCGCCTTGCTCAACCGGTGGTGGTGATACGCTTTGTCTTCAAGAATGGTAACTGAATTGACAGGACTTCCAACCCCTCTAGAGGTCTAGTCACAGAAGAAAACCGCCAGTGTCTTGTATATTATCAGAAATACAGTGGAATGATATGACACGAACCTGGGGTGGAACACTGCAAAAGATGAAAGACTACTGATATCCTTCCTAACGTCTCGACAAGCTCCTCCAGATCATATAGTTTGCCGGTGGGCAAACCGACATCGGGATGGTTGTAGTACGAGCCGGTGAGCGAGGGCGGGTAGCGGGGCCGCGCTTGGACCCGGCAGCATCTCCCCAAGCTAAGCAGTGAGTCTTATCTCGTCCCGTGTCCAAGCCAGCCGCCCGCTTGACAACTGGAGCTCTGTCCTGATCGGCGGTCGGCATTTGCGGCGCTCGACCACAAACCCGCTGCCGAGAAACACGATGTGGACGCAATGAAAGTGCAGCTCAAGTTTCCGAAACCATAAAGACGTCTTGATAAGTTGTGATTCCTTTGCCTGTTAGGAGGTCGGCTTTGCGACGCGAATTCTTCTTCAGCGAAGTATTTTGATTTTAATCATCAGCAGAGTCTTGTATTAGTCAAGAGTCTCACAAGTTCCATCCGGGTTAGATCAGAGAATTAACCACATTTATCCATTCAAAGAACGATAGAGTTCAACTACCTGATTTTGAGAAGCTCAGGCCGGGGATGCATAAACTACTAAACCCTCTCAAACTCTTTAGGTAGACTCCGCCCCTTGACCCAAGCCAACACCCCTTGGGCAAAGAGCTCTGGAAGCTGCATGTCCCACCCATGCATCGCCTCCCTAATCACCACTGCTCCTGATCCATCCTCAGGCCACGGCTCACCCTCGTCAGTCCTCCTGCTCCTCAGCGCATCGGCCGTCTTCTCTATCATAGGCACGTCATCCCCTTTCGCCCCTGCGATAGACAGAGTCCGGACTTTCAACGCGCGAACATGATCTAAAGTAAAGGTCAAGATCCACGGGAACATGTCCCGGACCAGCTCCCAGGTGACGTTGTCCCTCAACGCTGCGACCAACTCGTCACTGAGGTTGAGGCCAGCTGCTTGGTACCGGAATACCCAGTCAGGAAGCCAATGGATAAGCCTCATGGAATAATAAGTGAATCTGGTCCATCGCGCCATAAATAAGCGTCTTCCAGGCACAAGCGGAGCAGCACCTGTGACATAGAGCGATAGTACGAGTTCAGGATGGTCCAGTGCGAGGCATTGACCGACGTAGCCGCCCATTGAGGTCCCGACGACGTGGGCTTTTCCGCCATGGGCGTGATCTTGGATAAGCTGGGCGACATGCCGGGCCGAATTTTCGGTTGTGCCCGGTGTGATGTGGCGTGATGCGGAATGCAAGGGTTGGTCGGGGAGAAGGAGATGGAAGTCAGAGAGGTACGGTATGACGTGCTCAAACTCAAGTCGACACGTAAAGCCTCCGTGGAGAAGGACGATAGTTACCGGCTTCTCTTCGTTGTATGAGCTGAAAGACAGCGACATGATGGATGAATCTCTTGGTGGGGTTGAAGCGGCGGTGGTAAGTCACGAGCAATCAGGAAAGCCCCGAGGCGAACTGTCGAGAGCAAAGATGAAACCTTTTATGTCGGTCTCATACCTTGCTTGTTGGTGCTGAGCGACTCAAATCTCCAATCGCAAAAGTGCTCAAAGAGGAAATGACTGAGGTGCCCATCGTACACTTCCCGAACAGGAAAGGTCAGGTGGCGCAGGGAGGCGGGGCCACTTTTTAAAGTCTCTCGCTGCTGGAAATGACCGGACACAGGGGCAGAGGCAACCATAACAGCCATCGTAAAGGTCCTAAACGGGAAACACCGAACAGCAAAGAGATGTCTGGTCCACCTAACGCATATGCAACCAGGCCGAGACGGGGTTGGCTGACTCCCGGACGGACTTTGGCAGCACTGCGCCCATGCCCGCTGGACACCACACAGGCCATGACGTGGAAGCGAAAGAAGAAACCTAATCGCTGGAATAACACATGAGCATGAATCGGCAAAGCTCGTCCGCCATGAAAAAGAGGCCACAGGCCATGTCAAGGTACTGGCACTCACGGTTGCGAGACACATGCATGGAGAATCCCCATAGATACCATAGGATAGCCAAGGCTGGTACTCCAGGCGGAATGGAGATGCACCGAGAGAATGGCGACGAATCTCGCAAGCAGCTTCATCTCGACCCAAGTCTTGGGCATAAAGTTTCAATAAGGAGGCGTAGGCTTTTTCGCCAATAATGAGAGCAGAGAAAAAGGAACCGGCAATATATTTTGAGCTCCCATCGTCCCGCGGGCCTGACATCTACGACTGCAAGCCCGGCCTTCGTATTACTTCTGAAACGTGTTGTTTCACCCAAGGGCAAAGGTGTGTTGGCTCTGGCCTGGGGGTGCGGCGAGCACGTCAGTAGCAAGATTGAATCCCGAAGCACACAGACAAGGAGATTATTGGCAAGTTCTACGAACCATGACATCATAATAGTGACGGGTTCGGGTGCGCCAACAGATCCTGACACCCTTCCTTCAGCAATCGCCAATGCTACTCATGATCAAGACGGCGCTTCGTCCAGATATCGTCATCAACGCCCAACATGACGATGACTATGACCGCGAAGCCTGTACCATACGCTGATGTCTGTAAGGCTATCTATATATGGTTGTGTATGCTGCTCGCTATCCGTGTTGATTCCGAGGTCAGGACTCTCCCTAAGAGTTTGACGGCCTTGCCCATTGCGGCGGTCAATTTGCTTTCTGGAATTCGACAGATATCAATGAACAGTACGAGGGATGGAACCAAGCCCGTCTCTCGCGCAATTAAGGGCAATAGTCCTGTGCTTGTGGAGATGGTCGTCATCGCGGTGCCACCCTGCTCCCCGACTCCTGACGTGCCTTCGCTGCCACACGAAGCATGCCACATCTGCTTGAGGGCTTGGGTTTGATGGAAAGCCCGCGTTGAGAAGAATGGCCTCCTCAATCGAGGCCGACCGAGGTGTGCAAGTCGAGATGGGGTGCCGATAGCAGCAGATATTGTAATCGCGGCGTCATTTCTCTGGATTTGCGATGCAGTACAGTTGTCTGAAAAGCCTACTGTTCTTGGTTGTATGTGACTTCTAGGTTATCAATGAATCCGGCAACTCCGGCCTCCTACTGAATTGTGCTGATGCGTGAACAGAGGTTGCAGGGGTAAATAGGTAGGTACGTACCCATACCAGGAGGAGCTCATCTGTGACAACGCGTCCCACCTTCGAGCAGGGGAGCGAACAACTTAGGCCTAAAAAGCATTGCCATTGGCGCCGTCCTCGGCAAATGGGATCGGTGGGCGAACCGCTCAAAGACCCGTTTGCTGCCTTTCCAATTCCGGTCTGGTCTGGTCTGCCTCCCCATATTGCCTCGGAGGCATGATGCAGGATCCCCGCACATTCACTAACCGCCCCCGCATTGCATTTAGTCTGCCCCTAACAGTCTCCCAATGATGACTTGAAGGGGGATGCGACAGAAGTGTTACCTCAGACACGCATGCGTCAGCCTTTTCAGTCCGTTTCCAGTGAGATCAAAACTGCCGCCATGAGTGCTATGGTAGAAACGCGAATCGAAAGACGCCCCATCAAGAAGCCCCGGGCCTGTGGCCATTGTCACAGCCGGAAGGTTCGGTGCGACGCGTGGCAGGTTGGCTTGCCGTGCACACGATGCCGGCGCCGGGGACAAACAAGGACTTGCGTGCTGGCGCCTGCAACTCTGTTGGCAAGACACTTTCGGTACTAATCATCCATCATCTCATTACCCTATTCGACCGTGTCTAAGCGCTGAACTAAGTCTGCCGACAGAAATCCTGCCAAGCAACCGCATCAAGGTTCCGATACCGCCCATTCCGTCGAAGAAGAGGCGCGATCAGAGCAGGGTGGCCTCGCCGCCTCTTGCTCGATACAAGAGTTCAGCGCAACGACGAGCGATCCTGTTCTGGACCAAGTAAGTGATCCGACACTTGACACGAGGCGCCTCCGGCAGGTCATACGTAGCTCTGTGGCTCATCAACCATAATAGTCCCACGCTTCATCCGGAAGACATACTGGTGCAGCCGAGATCGATCAATGCAGTGATGGTTCGTCTCGTGACGGCACCGACTCTTTGGTACTATCAGCAGCGAGAGTAGAAGACGAGCAACTCTTACCAGTGCCCTCCCTCGAGGACCCTGATAGCGACCTCGATCCGGCCACAATCACAGACGACTCTATTGCCGAGCAAGACGTGCACTTATGGATAGCCGACGAGATGTCTCGAGGATCAGCAACAGTCGTCTCACCCACCGAGAGTGGAAAGGCCGATGGCTGCTGTGAAGTGATCGAGTACCATGAAGGAGTTACGCCTGTCACGATAGTCTGTGGCGCTCTCGGGGGCCAGGTGTCTAATCGTCTGACTCGAGTCAAATTACGAGAGAGTACGGCGGCAAGTGCCAAGCTGCATTCTGGCAGCTCATGCCTCAGCGTGACTGACCTAGCCTACTTGGAAAGAAGAGGCGTTCTTCAGCTGCCACCAAGAGCTACATGGTATGATACATATCAAGTACCCAGTCCGAGACTGTGGTACACACGAGCTGTCTCTGGAGAATCCGCTAATTGTTGAGGCAGCATCCATCTCCTCCGTCTCTACTTTAAATGTGTCTACCCGTATGCCCCTATCCTGGACCCCGTTCGATTTACGCAGGACTTTCTAAGCGGGAACTACTCTCACTTCCTGATGCAATCGATTTTCGCTAATGTGGTGCCGCACGCTTCTCTAACTCTGCTGAAAGAGATGGGGTATCACGACCGCAGGTCAGCACAACAGGGATGCTACACAAAGGCTACCCTTTTGTACGATCTTGGTGAAGAAAAGCGTCAAATTTGTTGTCTCCAAGGATCTATCATGCTAAGCTCACTCTGTTTCTCCTATGCGGTCGACAAAGATTATCGATACTGGTTCTGCAATGCCTGCCGCATCGGTACTCAACTCGGCCTGCATAGGCAGTACATTTCTGAACGACTAGATGCGAAGACGAAGAAGCTATTTCGGCGCATTTGGTGGATCTTGTACAGCAGAGATGTGCTGATGGTGGTGTCGGGGTTAAGCAACCTGCGCAAGTTTGATGATCGTTTCTGCGACACTGTGGCCTTGACCGAGGATGACTGGCCCGACCAAGATGTTCCAGAAGAGCTTAGCTTGGTCCTATCCGCCACTACACGTCTGCAGAAGGTGTATCTACTGGAAAACTGCAAATTGGCTAGAATTAGTACGCATCAGTCCTGCACCACCATGGCCTCGGTCACAACAGGAAGAATTGAACTGATCATGCATACAGGCAGTCACTTCCTCGAATGCTTTACAGTGCCAGGCCGGACCGTGTCTTCTTCTGATATCCAGAGCTTGGAAAATGAGATCATCTCATGGAAGAAGCAGCTCGACCCGGTTTTGTGCATACGCATACATGAGTGGACGGTCGACAATATCTGGGTCTTGATTCTCCTGGCTACGAGCTACCGTCTAGAAGCCGTATTCTACCGCCGGGCGCGAGACCACTTTCGGCGTATGGATGAAGACCCTGCGATGACGGCGCAACTACACCAGAAGCAAGAGAACGCTATGTTCGAGCTTTCCTCGATCATTCAGAGAGCCTCTCTACACAAAGTTCTCGGACTAGCCCCATTGTCATTGTAAGACGACCACATTGTCGTGCTGCGGATGCCATGCGTACCAAATTATTAATGACACTCATATAGTATGACATGTGCATCAACAATCCTGGCGATGCGAATCGAGACCGCCCTAGACCCCGCAACAAGCTCAAAGCGGAGATTCTCGGCCAGGATTCAGATTGCCGCAGAAATTGAGTACTTACGCGAAGCATGTCAACACTGGGTAAGCCTTAGCTGGACGTTACGCATGTTTGAGGTCGCTATATCACGTAAGGGACTTGATATCAACGACGACACTTCTGCCGCCTCGGCCGGCCGAGCCAGAAGAACTCCTGCTTCAAGAGATGTCGCCTGTGGTATACGCAGACAAGAGCAGGAGGACCTCGCCCTTGCTGGTCTCAACGAAAGCGGCCTGGCCTCAAACGACATCTTCAATATCCAGAATGACTGTATCGATGTAGATCTTGGTGGGGACAGGGACGAATTCTTTGGTGGGTTACCCATGACTGGTAACTACGATTGGATTGAAGATCTCCTTGCGCCTAATTCTACATAAACCTGGGGTCACATGAATATGCGTATCATCACCGCAGGGTCAAGGAGCCATAAGTGTACCCGTTCCATCCGTTCAAAACAATCTATTCTTGACTGATTACGCTTCATGTGCCATCCCGTGCAATCGGGATCATCAATACTGAGGACCGGTGAAGGACTTCGGCTGTTCGTCTTTGCCATCTATCAGACCATAATACCAAGTCAAATCACGCCCGTCAAATTCGCGCGTGTCGAACCCATCCCCCAAGAAGTTGAATCTGTTCCCGGAATGGTACTCCATGTCGAAATCTTCGAAACGCGGCTTCTGTAATATTGTGAGATAGTGTACACGTGAGCCAGGCCAGCAAAGTGGTTTCCTGTGCGTCTGCCCATTCTTGAACCACGAGCTGCAAGGCCCTGACCAAGCTGTGCGCTGCAAGTACAAGTCTGCGTGCCGTGTGAAGGCTTCTGCCACCTCGCGATTCACACGGAGGCTCTTTATATCTTCCACTTGTGCTTTCTGCAGCACTTGGATGATGTATTTCGTGTAAGCCTCGACCATAGGAACGACAGACCCATGTCCAAGAGGCCCATAGGGACCGATATATATGAAATAGTTAGGTACTTCAGGCACTGAAAGCCCAAGATATCCGATAGTGTCACCATCAAATCGGTCTTGAAGGTTCCAACCGTCGACAATAACGGGCATGGCAGGCCTGAAACTTGTGTCAAAGCCGGTAGCACAAATGATGGTGTCCACTTCATGTGCTTTGCCCTCGCTGTCAACGAATCCGGAGGCAGTGACTTTCTGAATCTCGTTTGTGAGGACCGTGGTCTTGTCGCTGCAGAGCGCTTCAAGGAATCCATTCCCCGGAGTAGGTCGGCGGCACCCAACGCCAAAATTTGTTGGAATAATCTTGTCCATCAGATGCGGCTTTGCGGCAAGCTTGGCCCGCATCTCCTGTGTTGAGTAAGCCCGGGAGGTTTCCGCTTCCTCGGAGCCGTTGATCAGGAACTTGAAGCGAACGTTCAGTTCCGATTCAATTGCCTTGCAGTACGATAGGTAGAGATTGGGGTCGGCCCGAAACTTTGCCATGGTTTCCTCCGAGTATGCAAAGTTGTCACCATTGGGTCCGGCGTACGTGGGTGCAAAGCCTGCTGTGATCCACACGGGTGAACGAGCAACTACATAGAGTTGATCAACTTTTTCGATAATATTAGGGGTCACCTGGACACCAGAGCTGCCAATCCCAATTTGAAGAACCTTTTCCCCACTGAGGTCAAGAGATTCTGGCCAACGAGCCGTGTGGACAAGAGTCCCTCGGAATGAATGCAGTCCCTCAATCTGAGGCCATCTCCAATTGTTGAGAACGCCACCCCCATGTAGAAAAAAGTCGGCATAGTCGTCAAATGTATCGTCCGGGTTTCCATTGCGCATGACTGTTATCTTCCACTTGCCCGGTCCTGAGAGCCACTCGGCACGAATGATCTTGTGGTTAAAACTGCAGTACTTGATTACGTCGGCCTCAACTGCGACATCTTTGAAGTATTTGTGTATTTCCGGCGAGGCCGAATAGTACTGTGACCAGTCGGGCTTTCGGGCCCAGCTGTACTGATAGCATACGCTCGGAATGTCGCATGCGCAGCCCGGGTATCTATTTTCAAGCCAGGTGCCGCCAAGGTCCTCGTTTTTCTCTATCGGTTTGGAATGTTAGGCCCAGTGTCGAGTCTATTAAAAGTGAGACGAGACTTCAAATTACCGTAAATAATAAGTTTCACATCTTCCATTGTTCGACCTAGCTGTCGAGCAAAGTCGATACCGCTACAACCCATGCCCATGAAGATGACCTTGAGTTTGCGTTTCGTTCCCATGGGGGTCTCGCGAATTTTATATGTAGAATCTCCATCTTCGATAGTACCGCCTCCATTAAATTCCGCTGTTGTTGGGGAGGTGGCAAGAGCAGCAAGCATTTTCGATGACTGTGCTGTCTGGCTGGTTGTTTGTTTGTAACGACATCTAATTAGGCCAATATCTGACTGTAAACGAGTAAATAGACCTCAATAGCTCTATTAATACGATACTGCTGTCATGGTTCAGGTGAAAGATGGTTTGCAAGATCAGGCCATGGACCGCCGTTAGGAGGCTCGGCGCCGATGCTACGTACCGAGGTGTTTGCCGCCACCTGTCGGCTCACTCCCCCAGACCGACTCAAGAGTACTAGGTAGTCCTAAAACAGGATGAAGCATATGATCGATCACTCTGCGTTGAGCTGGTCATGCCGGCGATACAATTTTCCAGGTAGTGAAGCCTGCATTACATCCCATTCTCCTCAAAGCCTTACTTCGTGCTTCGGGCCATTCGCAAGCACCATTATGGCATCACTGATTGCCCTGCTCTTCAGGAATCCACTTCAGTCATTTCTATTCCTCTATAATTTCTCTGTCCTCATACTTCTATTCTTATTGCGCAGAATCCTACTCCCGCACTTCCCCGCATATCAGACTTTTCGGACCCAAGTCCAACGTGCATTCCTCTCTGCCACATCGACTGCCTTTCCGGACCTGGCCCGTAGGCTTCCAGTTGGCAAACTGCCCGAATCTCGAGCAAGGAAAGTCCAATGCGACTGTGATACATATCTCATCCCAGGCGAACAAACCCTGTCTTCTTTGGTCCCCGTGTCGAAAAATGCCAAAAAACAAGCTGTTATTCTGTATGCTCATGGCGGGGGCTACGCCCGCGGAGAGGCAAGAATGTATGTCGACTACATGGAACGATGGGTTCAGGTAGCCAAAAGTGTTGATATAGACATCGTATTTCTGAGTGTGGAGTACCGTGAGTTATTGCACATACCACGTGTCAGTCTACATGCTTACTCTACTTGCCAGCACTTTCAACCGAGAGTTCGCACCCGTCGCAGCTTAACGCGTTCCTCTCCGCCTACCGGATGCTTTTAAGGAACGCTATACCACCAGAGAACATTGTTTTTATGGGGGACTCAGCTGGGGGCAAGTGCAATATCAGCAGTACTCATGAATTGTGCAACTAACAGTTAATACCCTTCATAGGCGGCTTATCCGTACTCACCGCGATTGAGGTTCAGAGGCTCGGGATTCCCCAGCCAGCCGCTGCCGTGCTAATCTCACCATGGATTGACATGGCGTCTTCTACTGATAAAGGCGGAAATGCGTCTGTGGAAAGCGATTATTTTGTGATGGCCAATCAGGCTGTTCCTAAGCTTGCACGATCATTTGCTGGTAGTTATGAGCTGGACTCTCGGGAAGTGAACCCTCTATGCCGAAGTTCAGAGGAACTCCGAGGCTTGTGCCCCCAACTCACTCTTGCGGGAGGAGCGGAGTTTGCGTTATCTGACAGCAAAGGCTGGGCTCGGGCATGTGATGATGCTGGTATCCCTCACAAATTGCACATTGAATGGGGGCAACTGCACATCTATGCCATGGGTTCGAGACTTTTGAGCCCAGGTATTCGTCAACGTACGGATCTAGAAATCATTGACTGGATCAAAAGACATGTTAATTGAGCTCATTTAACACGTGTGACAGTCTGTAGAAATTAGAATCCTATGAACTAGAAAAAGGACTATGAGAGGTTCCCTTGCACGAATTATCTCATTTGTGTCACACGCCTGCAGTACTTTTGAGCAGTACAGTTGAGTTGTTACCTCAAGGAAGAGAAGCATTTTCAAAGTTGATAAAATCATTCTGTTATTCACAACTTAGACGTGGTCTTTGCTTGCCGTTTGACAAGTAGCCGCCGCATAACCTTGCCACTGGGCGTCCTGGGAATAGCATCGACGAATTCCACACCGGCAGTCAGCCATTTATGCCTAGAAAGACGCCCACAAATGTAATCCTGTATCTCCATCTCTGTCAACTTACGGCCAGTATGACTGGTAACTACAAATGCTTTTGGGAATTCGCCATTTTGCCTAATAAGGTGTTCTTTAGTATAAGAAAAAGAAGATCAAAGCCAATCAGGATGTGAAGAGACGCACCTCTTTTCGCCAATGACGGCCGCGTCCTCGATGCCTGGATAGGCCAAAAGTGTTTGCTCAATTTCTGCCGGGGCAACCTGAAGTCCTTTGACCTTGATGAGTTCCTGTCTAATGGTCAGCATTAAGCTTTCAGAACTTTGCTATATATAGTTGCTTACCTTCATACGATCAACAATGTAGAAACAACCACGGCCATCCACGTAGCCGATATCTCCAGTCTTGAACCACCTATCGCCTCCTTCGACAACAATGCACGAAGCCGTTTCTTGTTTGCGATTGTAATATCCTCTCATTATATTTGGTCCCGAGACCCAGATTTCACCCAATGGATGGGAAATCCCTTCATAGTCTGCGAAATCATAATCAGGCGTGGGCACGATTCGGGCGCGCATGTTAGGATTCAGCCAGCCGATTGAACGCCCGTCATCTTCATCATCCTGCGCAAAACCTGTCGCGGAGCACGTAGTCTCTGTAAGACCCCATCCCTGCTTGACTTGGACCCCTGGTCGTAAATAGAGATCTTGCACCAACTTGCCGATCTCTGGGTTCAGGGGAGCAGAGCCAGTGACTACAGATTCAATTGCGCTGAGGTTGAAGTTAGAAGCATCCGGGTGCTTCGCGAGAGATGTCATGAGCGTAGGAACACCGGTCATAAAGGTGATTCGGTAAATATCCAAGTACAAGAGATATTTGTGAAGGTTGTACTCGGGCATGATGAAGACTTTGCAACCGCTTATCGCAGCTGTAGTACAGTAGTAAGTTTGACCATAGATCATTATTAGGCTTGACACGCTTCAGGGAATACACAACTACACATGTTTGCCATCCCAGGGCATGTACTTACATATGCATGAAACATGGGCAAGGGAGCCAACCATCTTTCACCAGACATGTCTAACCGGTGCCGTCTCGCTCGAGCTGCCGTCGTGTCAGCAACCATGTTGCGTTTATATGCTACTTGTAGCGAGTTGGAAACGATGTTGTAGTGTGAGATTTCGACACCCTTGGGCATTCCCGTTGTCCTGTTGTGGCTTCAATTAGCTGGATGACCACAATGCATAACATCTCCTGCACCTCACCCGCTTGAATAATTTATCACTGCTGTAGTGGACTCTGCCTGACCCTGGCTCAAGAACTTTCTCCACGTCCATTCAACAGCATCTGACTCTGATGCCCAAAGATCGGTCCATGGTCTGACGGGATAGGAAGAGCTCTCTCCTGGGCGACAAAAAACGAATACATTCGAACGTGACAACCCGGACTTGTCTGCTGCTTCGAGTGATCTTTCTAAGCATTCAGGATCAGTCAAGAGAATGCGTGATTCCGAATCGGTAAGTTGATAGTTCAGCTCTTGAGGATTGATCTATCAGCCATTGTCGTCTTGTCTTGTTGAGTATAAATTCCTACCTGCTACGGAGCTTTTTGAGGAGCAGCCTGTGAAAACTGCACCTGATGCTAAGACGCCCCAGAGAAGAATTGGAAAGTAGAGTGAATTTCCAGAGCATAACATGATCTTGTCATTATCTCTGATGCCGAAGCTCTGTAAGCCTTTCCCCCATCTTTTGACCCATATTTCTGCCTGTTTGAGACCGAAATTTTCTGCAGGGTTGTCGGCATTGAAATATTGCGGCTGGGACTTGGATGGATCGGAGAAAATTAGGGTTGGAACGTCTATTGCAGGTATCTCAAGTTTATAAGGTGACTCGTAAATCTGCGACATGGTGATGGTCCACAGGGTTGTTCAAACGATAAGCAAGATTAGATGTCTTGGCTGAGGCTATCTGGTACCTAAGTAATCAGTTCTATTGGGGAGGCTCTTTCGACAATTTCACCAGCATCGTCGGTGTCTACCACCCTGTCACCTCGGCAAGACTACTTGGATGTTGAACTGACTGTGGAGAAGATGTTCTCGGTGCCGGGCCTAGTCTTTGCCGCCATTCGCGGACATCTCGGTACTGCTCCACAAAACGATATCCCGGGAGGGCCACAATAACGAGCCTACATTTTATATAAAGAATCACTCGAACGATGACGATTGCAGTATTCAAGCGACAAGGTGACGGCATCTCACGTTCACTACCCTCACAAACCACCCCTGCTCTTACAATGGCGCCACGAAGACCGGTTGTCAACGGTAACATCTCCGGATCAACTGGAGATCGGCTCGATGGTTTGTCATGTCAACCCCCCAGTAGCGCCCCCCGTTAGGTGGACTTTGCTGACAGTGGTTGAAGGACTATTATCAATGCTTAGCGGCCCGACAAAACTCGATGTAATCGTTGGGGATTGGATGTCCGAGGTATGGCAAGCGACGAATTTATTGTTCAGACAATAACATTGTTTCCATGCAGGCGAATCTGGCCTCTAGATCCCTTCAGCTCCGAGCTGGCCAAGGCGAAGGCTACGAGCCTGGATTCTTGCATTCACTTCGCTTGGCTCATCAGGAGTATCTGACCTATTCCAACCCATACCTCAAAATTGTCGTTAATGCTGGTGGGCTGAATCCCAGAGCACTGGCGGAGAAAGTACAGTCGTTCTTGTCCTCTCACGGGTCTCGCAAACGCGTGTCGTTTATCACTGGGGATGGTCTCCTCTCCGAAATTGAGTCATTGCAAATTGATCCCTTGACCCGCTCAACGGGAGATTTTGCAACTTGGCGGAAAAGGTATCCCGATATCATTCAAGCTAATGCATACGTGGGATGCTGGGCCATTACCCGAGCACTGGCGCAAGGTTCTGACATCGTCATATGTGGGAGATGCACGGACGCGAGTCCAGTGAGTAACCTCAGCTTGGAGACTGACCTTCATGATCTACTAACATATATACCTTCTAGATCATGGGTGCCGCAGCCTGGTGGCACGAATGGGGAGTGAATGACTTCGACCGATTGGCCAGTGCACTAGCAGCAGGTCATCTCATCGAATGCGGATGTTATTCTGTAGGTCCTGGTTCCTTATTTCTTTCATGTTGATACTCCTGGCCCTATCTAAGACCGCCGTAGACCGGCGGCAATTATGCGGGCTTCATGAGCATGGGATCCGATTACTATGACCTCTCATATCCTATCGCAGCGGTCAAAGAGGATGGCTCTGCTGTCATCCAGAAGCAACCAGGACAAAATGGAGTGTAAGTTCTCAGGACTTGGTCATCTAACAGGTCTTTAACCCAGTGTATAGTGTGAACGTCGACACTCTGCGTGGGCAACTACTTTATGAGATCCAAGGTCTCTATTATTACAACCCAGATGTCATTGCAGACATTACGCACATAACAATTCAACAAGTCGGAAAGGACCAAGTCCTTGTTTCACATGTTCGAGGTGCGTTAGTAATGCCCATAATTTCTGATACTCAATTGACATGCTCAAGGACGTGCACCCCCTGAGACGCTGAAAATTGCTGTAATGGCAATCGGGGGCTATCAGGCCGAGTTTTCTGTTTATATAACGGGAATTCAAGCCCGGGAAAAGGCACAGAGTTTCGAGGGAATGGCCCGCAAGATCATTGACACCTCTAAGCTTGAGGTCCTTGATTTTCAATTGTACGGAATGCCGAAGGAAGACCCCAGGAACCAGGAGGAAGCAACAGTACAATTGAGGGTTATCGCCCAATCGAGTGACCCTCAACGCCTAACAGCTGGGAAGTTCTTGGGGCCAATCTTGAGCAACCAACTTCAAGGCTATCCTGGGTTGACAGCGAATCTTGATTATCGAACTGCGGAGCCTAGACTGATCTGCACATACTTTCCAGGACTCGTTGACCGTCACAAGGTGCATCAGCAAATTCATTCGTTGGAAGATCCAAGCCGACCTGTCCCTGTCCCGGACATAGCGGTGCTTACCCCTAAACATATGCTGCCGAAACAGCTCAGTCATGAAACCGCCTGTCCCATGCGCCTAGATGATTTTGGGCCGACCGATAGAGTCCCACTAGGATTGGCCGTCTATGCACGCAGTGGTGATAAGGGGTCGAATGCGAATGTTGGCTTCTTCTTTCCAGAGAGGACCAATATGAAATTGAAATTCGACTGGCTACGAAGCTTTCTTACTATCGATACATTTCGATGTATGTTAGCTCTCCACTTCCTTGCCCTATCTCATATCGAACGATTCTTGCCCCACATAGGTTTGAAGGATGCGTGAGACTTCGAACCTCTAAACTTCTTGACTGACCATGATTAACTTAGGGCTTTTAGATGAAGACGCTGGAAAAGATACCCACATCGAGCGATGCGAGTTTCCTAACATCCAAGCTGTTCATTTTGTGTTGCATGGCCATCTAGGAGCTGGCGTCAGCAGCTCGATTAAGATAGACGCGCTAGGAAAGGTAATACGATCTTAGCAATGAACATAGACCCATCTGCTGACTTTGATATGTGTAGAACCTCGCAGAGTATCTCAGAGCTCGATATGTAGATATGCCCCGAATCTTCTTGCAAGGGATCGCTCATATGTGAAATCACACAACTGGGAAGGCGACTAAGAGACCAGCGCGGCCCAAATTTCCATCTATGCTTGTAGAATTGCAGATGATCATCATGACGCTGTGCTGCTGAGCGAAGAGGGGAAGAACCTAGTCCTGACGTGGAGAGAGTTACATGTGTCACTTTAGAGAAGCCCATCCAGGTAGTTGAGGCTGTAACAATTGGAAGCCAACGTTACTAGGCAGAGAGTACTTCTCACAGTCTCGTCTCCATTTTCCTTTCCACTACTAAGCTTACCTCGTGATTTGAAGGCGGTGGCCGGGGATAGGGCCCAATGCTAACCGGCTGTTCACTAATTATGCACTATGCATTGTTTTACCTTGGTAAATTGCCATCTCTCAGTTGGAGTGCTTATAGCTTATTTGGTCGCCACACTTCTGATCTTCACTTTTAGCACCATCAATCAATTCTACGCAATCTCCTTGTTCAAAATGGCTGCAACGACTCCCCTATCCGGTGTCCGTGTTTTGGAGCTTGCAGGGCTGGCGCCAGGTAAGAGCAGTTCTTCGTCAAAGTCTCTAAGCTGGAAGATACTTAATTTGATTTGCAGCCCCCTTTGCTGGGATGCTATGTGCAGATTGGGGTGCTTCTGTACTGCGAATCGATCGGCCCACAGTCCCGGGTACCTTGGGATCCAAAGACTTACTGGCACGACGGAAAAGCTCCTTGGAGGTCAACTTGAAGAGCGCTGAAGGGGTGGAAGTGATGAGAGACCTCATTCAAAAGGCGGATATCTTAATTGACCCCTTTCGACCAGGAGTTCTTGAAAAGCTGGGACTCGATCCCAAAGGTTTACTCGTGCAGTATCCCAGGTTGATCGTTGCTCGTATGACTGGTTTTAGAAGAGATGGCAAATACAAGGACATGGCCGGGCACGACATAAATTATCTCGCGGTGTCTGGAGTGTTATCGATGCTCGGAACCCGTGATGCACCTCCATCACCCCCAATGAACCTTCTCGGAGACTTTGCAGGCGGCGGCCTGGTGTGTTTCCTGGGCATTATTCTCGCTTTATATAACCGTACTCAGACAGGCTGTGGTCAGATTGTCGAGGCCAACATGGTGGACGGCGCCGCATTTATTGCAACCTCTCCAAGGCTGGCTATGAAGACTGCGCTCTGGAACAAACCGCGGGGAACCAATCTTCTAGATGGTGGATGTCCTTATTACGCCACTTATAGAACCAAAGATGATGGATATGTAGCTGTGTAAGTTACACCACACAGCAGTATTGACAGGCTACTAATCTGGCGCAGGGGAGCTCTTGAACCGCACTTCTTTAAGCTGCTCGTGGAAAAGCTTTCACCATATGGCTTTCAAGTCGAGGGCGCTAGAGATGACGTTGCAGTTTGGCCTCATATTCGAGCGCAGCTTACTCGCATTTTTTCATCTAACACAAGAAGCCATTGGGAATCAACGTTTGATGGAACAGACGCGTGCGTGACGCCCATTCTAACTCAGCAGGAATTAGAGGCATCCGCGTATGACCAAAGACCCCTCGTTCGACTGAGCCATTCTCCATCTCTCCCTATCGCGATACCGCAGGGAGCCCCTGGTATAGCGGGTGACGGATGGGAACCAGACCCGCTGAAGCCAGGCCAGGGCGGTGACCTGATATTGGAGGAATGGATGGGTTGGAAATGCGGTCACGATTACCATCACACAGCACATGGTGTTGTGAAAGGTGCTAAGGTACTGAATAAATTATAGCACCGTCAACGAGATTAGAAGGCTATACACTGAACAATTACCAGTGTAATTGCACACAGCACAATACTGACACTTATCCTCGGGCATCTTGGTCCTGGAGGTCTCTCTGTGCTCAATGCTTCATTCTCCCGCAATTCAAGCTGTCAACGTCAATTTTAGATATCGACCTATGCTACTAACGTAGGATGACAATACCGGGCTTTCCTTCTGCTGTTCCTATGTGGGATTCTCGGTGCCGAGCAATTTCTCCGCCTGTGGAGTGAATATTCGGCATGTAACTTAGGTAGGTGTCTGCTCGGTTTTATTCGGCTAAGCTTAAAGCGAATCTCTCGCCAGCGCTTTCCTTATGTTCTAGATATACTGTTCTCCTTATGTTGTCGCTTCAAGATACTATCACTCAGAAATTAACTTATTTGTGTCCTATTATCCGTAATGGCGCCGCAGAAGAGTGATGTCACTGCATACTATATCCCGCGAGAGACTCGTACAGTCCTGATGCAGGGGCTTTTGGAACACCCTCAACACAAGGGTTTACCTGGTGAGGCGAAGACATTTGCAGAATACATCACATTCGAAGGCTCGCCTAATCCTTGTTTGCCTATAAACTGGAGACTTGCTGAGAGCGTTGCATCGCTGAAAGGACTCGAAGCAGTGCTCCTGAGTGTGTTGATCAAGCGTAAATATGGCCAAGGACCATTTCCAGTCACCATCAATACCGATCATGCACAGCTATTCTTCATGTCTGCTCTCTTAGTCGAGGTTAACCCGGATCTCTCTCAGCCCATCCAGCCGACACCAATCCGCGAACTCACCGAGAAGTACGCGACACATTTCCCAAACAGAGACTTGCACCAGATGGCCTCGTCACCATTTCGCAAGGCAGTTACGAATATCTATAAAACCCGGGACAATCGATTCTTCCATCTTCATGGCAGTCTCAATCCGAATCCAAGCCTTGCAGCAATTGGCTTCGGGCAGGATGACCCGGAGATTAAGGACACAGAATCATCTTGGGTGCCGTTTATGAGACGCATCGAAGAGGAGAATGCCGAGTTCTGGGATAACAAACTCGGGAACGAACATAGACAGGCTGCCACAATATGCCTGGACGCGGTCGAGTATGCGGAGAGCCCACAAGGCAGGGCCAACGCTGGCATGGGCTTGTACAAAGTGATGCGGCAGGAATCAACACAGCAGAGCGGCTGGTGGAGAGGAGCTTCGACCAAAACTTCATTTCAGCGGCCCCTCGCAGGCCTTAAAGTCGTCGACTTGACGCGTGTCATCGCAGGCCCAGCTATCGCCCGTGGCCTCGCGGAACTTGGAGCCAGCGTCATGAGAGTCACGGCACCTCATCTACCCGATTTCTCAGGCTTACACCCAGATCTGAACTGGGGCAAATGGAATTGCTCACTTGATTTACGCCGCGAAGAGGACAGGGAGAAGCTGTGTAAGCTCATATTGGATGCTGATGTGGTGGTGAACGGGTACAGGCCTTATACCCTGGATAAGTTCGGATTTGGCGCCAAGGATGTCTTCAAGATGACGGAGGGACGGGAAAGAGGAATCATCTATGTTCGCGAAAATTGCTTTGGTTGGGATGGCCCATTGTCACACCGGAGCGGATGGCAGCCCATCAGCGATGCACACAGTGGTATTTCTATGGGATTCGGTCGAGCAATGGGTAACAACGAACCAGTCACTCCAGTGTTTCCTAACTCTGACTATTGTACTGGTAAGAAAGACTTAAGTCTGAACAGCATCCTATTTTGATATTTAACTCCTTCTCCTGATTCGACAGTTCACTGACCGACGCATAGGCATAGCCGGAACCTGTGCCGTTCTGGAAGCGCTCATAAAACAATCGGAAGAGGGCAGCTCATATCTGGTCGATACTTCGTTGAACTACTACAATCAATGGTTAGCAAAGTACGTGGGCGAGTATCCTGCTCAAGTCTGGGAAGACGTATGGACGCGGACGGGCAGGGAAGTGTTTCGACATTACCAAAGCATGAACTACAGCATTCCGAGGTTTATTGCCAAGATGAGACAAGACAAGACCTTGTTGAAAGCCGAATTCTTTGAACGGCGACAGTCTGAGGCCCTAGGTGGGCTGATGTTCCGAACCCCTAGACCGGTCTTGCAATTTCCTGTCGACACTGTACAACTGGGTTACAATGTTGGGACCCGGGGTAATGGTATCGATCAGGCATACTGGCCTGACGACTTATCCACTGAAATTGTCACATAATCAACCCAAGTGATTACGTCAACAATAGCAGATATCATAGTAGCTGTTAATTATGTTCACATATTTCCCAAATCACCACGAGATGTGCACAACCCAACAAGCTATTGTCGTGAGCATCATGGTAAAACGTACTGGCGCCGGCTCAGGAGTTTCGAGACCTTACCATGAGCTAGCACCCCGAGCTGTGGAATCTAGGACAACTGAAGTTTTTGGAATAGTAAAAGCTCCTCTCCGATAGCTCTAGCAATAGCAAGCGTATTAGATCGTCACACAATGTTAGACAGGCGCAATCGTAGGTAGGTATCTATGACCAAAACTAAGTCCGACAACCGGTGAGTAGTTACATTTTATTTCCCGTTGTAACACTTGCTTTATTATGTTCTGCAGTAGATAAGAGACTGCCAGTTGACCGGTCAATCATCTCACCCCTTATAGTTGCGAGCCTTGTTCCCATATGCAGCACTTCGCATGTGACCATAATGTCCATATCTGGTTTTGCAGGCCTCAGATATGTAATGGACAAGTTCCGAGACACGCCTCCAAACTCCCAAAACCCTTTCCTAGCCAAAGGTGCGGCGCACATCGTTGTACACATATCATAGACCAATGCCACCGCGCCGCCGTGGATGCTTCCAACCCGATTGGTCAAATACTGGCCTCCAATGAGTGAAAACACAGCTGTAGCGCGGTCTGCAGTACAACTCGCAGAAACTAATCGTATATGGTCACGCATCAGTCCGTCGTCGAAACCCTTGTGTGAAAACTTCCGTTAGCGGCCGGACGGATATCATTATTGCGATGAATAGGGGACCCTACCCCCGTGCCGTTTGGCCCTATTGGATTTTGGTAGTCATCAATGTAGGCCTGTATTCTTTCTGCGGGGTCCGCAATCTTGATGTCAAAGGATACGCCTGGGCGATCAAAAGTGCCTGCGGCAAATCCCATTGGTTTTTTTGGTGGTATACCTGACGCTGCCATGGCGATGTTGAGTTACCAGTGGCGCACCACAGTTCTAGGCTGGTGCACGCAAAATGCCAACCACCTACCAGGTGTGAGGCGAGAGTAAATGTGTCGGCAAAACACAAAACCCCATGTCATTTCTCCGCACCCATGCCGGTAGCCACTCTGCGAAGAAAATCCCGAGGCTAAAAGTTTAGTTACTAGGTGGAGTTGACTTTCGGCGTGCACAGCTCGGCACCGAGGCAACAGAATTGGTGATTGGGTGGTGAGCATCCAGGTCTGGGAGCCGCCTAGGTGCGAGCTTAGGGTGCTGAGCAATAGAAAGGGAGCAGCTTGAGATGCCCCACAAAAGATAATCCCGTTCTTCTACTTGTAAAACAATAGGGAGAAAAGGTTACAAGCTTTTGTGAATAAACGATCAGACATGACCGTGTACTCAATAGCAAGCGACCAAATAACTGTCTCGAATAGGGCTCTACGCACTTTTGTGTACCAGAATGTCCCTAGGACTGTCGAGGAACCACTAAGGAACGTCAGAAAAATGAGGTCTGTTAGCATGTGACGTCTTAGTATGCTGTACCCTTTCCCACAATCTAAGGGCATCTTGTAGTGGTGGGGCCGGGCATGAGGAGCTTGACACAGAGAGAGCCTGTCAGTCTGCTGTCTACAGTACAAATCCGGGCTGGCGGGGAATAATGGGAAAGTAGGCTTGATCTCTTGCATGATCTCTAGCACCTTGCTCCACATGAAGCGATCCGTGGGACCTGCATCGTGGGGCTAAGTAAACAGTATGAAAGTGTAGGCAAGGTCAAAGCAAATTGCAATGTGGGTCACCGGCGCCGAGGGCAGCGGTGTATGTTGGGACTCTAGTGACTCCAGTATTGACCCAAGCATGTAGTCCGGGAGTCTGTTTAAGTGCTGGCTAACCTTCTCTCTCCGGATCCTGCGGATCTCTTAGGTTCAAATTTAGCTCATTGAGTGGAAAATCAACCCTTCCCCTTCCTTCTACAAGCTTGGCAATCAGACAGGACGACTGGTTGATAGACACAGACATACGAATGACAGAGCTCGCACCTGATCCCTTCGTTGCCCCATCCTCAATCATATCTTACTTCAGTTGGGAATAAACACACGTTTTATTTGCATTTCCATACTCGTCTGTATCGCCCGTGACTTGATTGACCGGCCTGTGCAAATGAATCCATTCGACGCTCCAGCTTCCGCGAGCCCTCCTTGCGCTCCCCTCACGGCACCGAAGCCCCCTTCATCCAGGCGCCGACGACGGGCTAGAAAGGCATGCATTGGATGTCGGACCCGAAAGGTCCGTTGTGACGTGACGATGAAAGGATCACCCTGTACGAATTGCCAACTGGACTGTGTGGATTGTGTTGTCAAAGAGCGAGCTCCAAGACTTATGAGACGGTACGTTGCCCCAACATAAGCATAGGCAGCACATACTGGAACTGATTCGGGCTACCAATGACAGTGTGTATGCCACCGACCAAGAAACGAGACAGGTCTTCGATTGCACCTGCGCATCACCAACACCAGAACGTGACGAGCTCGAGTTGTTTGACGAAACCCAAGGGTTTGCAAATGCCGTACAGAGCTCATACGATGGGCCTGCAGAAGCAAGCGACAAGTCTTTCAGCTTTGCATCGTCAGAAGCGGCAACAGCTGTTCTCCATGATACAGATTCTCCAGGGCGAATCTTAGCTAAGACGAAAGGTCAGTGAAATCGATTGCCTGTCACGATTTTCCAGCGTCCAATGCCTAAATACCTCTCAATATAGAAGCCTCTCAACAGCCTCCCCTTTCTTCCGAGCTTCCAAGGACCGACACAGGACTGCTCTACGAATCCGATCTTGACCCTGAATTTCTGTCAGACGGCTGTGGGGAAACGATGCTATTGTATACGGCATATCCATTTCTCGCCATCAACAACTTGGCAGTTATGTCTCAACAAGATCTTGCGTTTCTCCAAGGCAAGGGCGCATTACACGTCCCCGCTAAGCCGATCTTGGACGAATTCATTCGTCAGTATTTTCTGCAAGTCCATCCATTTTATCCTTTGATGGACGAAGGAGACTTTTGGAGCGTATATCGGCAGGACGCGCAATCTAGATCGGCCCCGATGGTGCCCTTACTGGTCTTCCAGGCTATGCTATTCGCCTCCAGCAACGTAAGGCCAGATGTATACAGATTTTGACTGGACTTGTGCTAATTAAGTCGGTGTGCAGTTCGTCCCTGAGGCACTGATTGCATCTCTCGGGTACGACAATGCCAGATCAGCTCGCGCGGCATTATACCATAATGCAAAGGTATGATCAACCGCCAAAGTCAGATGGGCTCTAACTGACAAAGCACTTGATACCAAGTTTCTTTATGATTTCTCTACCGAGCAGTCACCCGTCGCAATTACCCAGACCGCGTTGTTAATGTCGCTGTGGTCCCCCCCGGAACCGAGACCTATGCATCCAAATTCAATGTGGCTTCATATTGCGATACAGCATGCTCGACATGTCAACGCTCATCTAGCATGGGAAACATCGATTGGTCTAACCGTTGGCAATTTGGACCCCCGAGAAGAGCCGCAGATGCTTAGGAGAATTTGGTGGTGTTGTTTGATTCGTGACCGCTTCATGGCACTGGGGTTAAGGCGCAGCCTCCAAGTCAGGAAACAGTACCCGATTGTGTACATCTCCGACTTCGAGTGTGAGATTGGTCGATCAGAGGTTCATACCAATGAGACTAAACGGATGTTAGTCTTTATGTTCCTCAGGCTCATCCACCTCAGCAACATTATGGTGGATCTTCTCGTCCTCATGTCTCCATTAGACAACTCACCGAGTTTGGAGCAACTCAGCCCAGGTATCCCGATTAAATGTCGAAAGGATCTACACAGGTGGCATGAGAGGACACAGCAGAAGATATCCTCGTGGCTCTCTTGCGACCAAGATCAAGGACATGCCGTCATTATCCACAAGAGTATCTTGTTTATCTTCTATAAGTACTGCTATCGTATCAGTGTTCGAGCTCTATAGGATGGGGACTAATATCTTCTCCATGTAGCGCTGCGAGATCGGCCACCCTGCGCCAGGAGATCCTTCTTAGCTGCTACCCGCCGGAAGAATCGAGCATGGAAGCCCTCACTAACTATGAGCGAAGTCAGCAACTCCAAGATGCGGTTATCAACACCGTGGAGTGCTTAAGAGAACTTGCTCAGTTGGATTTGTCGCGATACTTACCACTCAGCATGCAAGTTTTCCTAAACACCATCATGGATAACAAACTAACCGCAGCATCTAGTATGGCATATATCACGGTACCATTGCTCTTTCACATTCTCGACGTGAAGGTCTTGTCTCCAGAAAGAATCGACGAGGTCAGCTTCGAAGCAAGACACTGCCGCCTCCGAGTGCTTATCAACGCACTCAAAGAGCACCGGCCTCGCTATGACGGTATCGAATGGATCAGCTACACTCTACGTTACGCAGTCAACCTCGCAGAGATGAATTCGGCGCGTATTCCCAAGAAATTGGTTGGCAGTTGGGCTGATCTATTGACTCAACAGCCGAGCTTTTGTCTCCGGCTGGCTCTGACAGTTGATTTGAGCATCAGTCAGGTCAAGATCCCGGACGACCAGGACTTCCCGGTAATCCTACGAGGCTCTTTGCGGCCGGGTGTAAGCCTCGAGCAATCTCTATCGTTGAAGACACCAAATCGAGCCGCAGACTTCCAAGATATGGATCTTATACGTTTTGTCCCGAGAAATGAGTCACACACGACTACGAAGTACATGAAGCATGATTCACAGCTCAAGGAATCCTCCTTGAGAAATCATTCCAACGAAGAAGTGGCTATTGGCGAAGATGATAGTGTGAGCTTTGTGGACAACGATGATCAAACAATTTCGCCAATGTTCACTTCAATCAACACTCAAATGGAAAAGCCTCAGACGGATATTCACGAGCGATCACACCTAGAAGGCGAAGCCATGCCGCATTCGGTGATGGAATCATTTGATTTGTCTTCAACTGGTAACTTCATCCTGGAGGGATGCGAATCAGAAACGTTGATCGAATCGGACTTGGAAAGCTTCTTGGCCACCTCGAACACTGCAGTCTCAACAGGGGTACCCTAGGGAGTGGGAAATGGTAACGAAGAATGAGTTGTCCCAGAGAAGTGTGAGACGAGCGCATTATACAATATGGGTGTTCCAACACATTCGAGATTGTAAAATGTTCAATGTTGTGTCGATACTTTCCGTTGAGCCGAACTGGTTTCAGCCCGGAGAGGTGTAGGTCCGGAGAGGAGTGGACCGGAGTACTTAAGGACTCCTGAATTTAAATTACGTTCAACGACACTTAACAAAAACAAGGCACAGTTCAACAACTGCCAAGGCGTGTTAGGATAGCGCCTCTTTTGAAAATAGTTGGACAACACACCGATATTACTGATACATACTGGTAAGAATGTACTAGTACTGGCTCTGGACGAGAGGGACCTTATATCCTAGCACATTCTCTTGCTATAAATTATGTGTTAGTTTCCCCTTCTTTGAAACCTTCATGTTTCTCTTGTAGTTCGTGACCAGTTGACGAATTGCAAGGTCTAACAAGACATCCTCGCTCCCTCCTGGAATTCTTGCGCCGGGCACCTCTCGATAAATGCCTGCAATGGTGTCAGAAGCATTATCTGGACAACTGGAACTGCAACTCACTTTCGATGATTTCACCCTGGCCTGACCGTGTGTAACCCTTGCCACCAAACAGAAGTACCGCACAGCGAGCACACTCGTCCAGGACCATTCCTGCGTTTGCCTTACATAAAGCAACAAATCCTCCCAGCTGGGTATCAGCATCGGCCTTGGTCATATTTGCCAGTTGGTAGACAGTCAACTCCATCCAGGCGGTATGCGATTCTAGCATGGCTGCACACTTGGCAAGCCTGTGACGAACGACAGGTAAGTTGATCAGAGGCTAGTGTTTGATGCCAAGTCAGCACAGTATCTCATCCCCTCGGAGGTCAGAAGTGCAGATCGACACGAGGAAACGCACCTTTCCGAAAGCTTCCCGATGAAGACAGTACTCAAAGGCTGAACTGAGAGCCACCCTTGCCTGTCTCACGATTCCGACGCCAAAGAACATACGCTCGTGGTTGAAGTTTTGCATGATGTACCGCATGCCCTCTCCCTCGCGGCCGATAAGATTGAAGACAGGCACCCGAACATTGTCCAGTTCTATATATGTTGTTCCAGAGGTGACTGAACCGCCCACCTTCAAACGCCGGCAAACCACGCCCGGGGTATTCTTCAACGGAACAACCATCAGGGACATCCCTTTTGCTCCAGAGCCTTGTCCGCCAGTCCGGACAGCCATAGTAGCATAGTCAGCCATAATACCGTTTGTGATCCATTTCTTGGCGCCATTAATAATGTAAAATTGACCACAATCACTCTTTTCGGCCGTCGTGGTTATGCCAGCGACATCAGAGCCAGCACTAGTTGCGTGTTAATAGCTGGATACCCCACAGCTTCATGTTCTGGTGCTAGAGAAGGGTGCGAGAGATTCGAGAAGGGGTTGACACACTCTGGCTCTGTGACAGCAATACAAGATCGTGTCTTTCCCAGCAGCAAATCTGGAACAAATTTCTCCTGGAGCTCTCGGCTTCCATAGTGCAGCAGGGGCGGCACTCCGTATGCCATACCAGCGGTTATTGCACCACCAGGTCCAGCCAATCCCGACCTATTCATCTGTAGGGAGCCGAAGGTGATCGTTATTGTTAGAGGGACCCCCGTGACTGCGAGCGGTGTGACATACCTCGTCCGAGTAAATCATGCAGTGAATAGTGTCCCATTTCTCGATGGGAACCCCACCAGGCATCTCATTTATGCCTAGACGCCGTAGCCATTCGACTGGCAACGGGCTAGGAAGAGCAGGCAGCACAAAGTTAGCCTTGGCAAAGGTCGCAAAGAGATCAGCGGGCACATCGCCAGCCCTCTCCCAGTCGAGAGCATCCCGATGCAAATTCTTGTCTAGGAATGCCCGACACGCTCGCTGGAATCTAAAGTGCGATTCGTTGTAGAAGGGGCTTGGGAGACCACGGAGCCAAGATGGCTCTGAGAGTGGAATCTGCATGTTGCTGGTGTTGTCCATGGCTATGCAGTATTATCCTTCCACGAAAATGGTACGGTAATCGCAAAATCGCACAAGTCCTTGGAGTTTTGTTCTTCAAGCTCGTTTAGCAAGGGAAGTGTCTCCGTTCAATGTGCGATAACTTTAGGCTCCAATTTGTTATGAGAAACCGATACCAAGGCAAATATGCACAGTCAAAGCCGCGGTATTGTACACCAACGTCGAGATCCACACATTCATATATCGTGAAGGCCATCGACATAGTAGCGACTGCCATTGAATACCGGGGCAGGCGGTCTTTTCGAGTGAGCCACCTAGCGCCGCCAGTGGAACCATTCTGTCGTTCCTCGGCAAATGCTATGGGGCAGATCGGCGCCGAGCCGCTTACCACGGACGGACTGGGTGGTGAGGCAATTACCCATGTCTTCGATTGGGATCTAGTGGCGATAAAGATTTTGCATTCAATCTGCACAAGACGAGAGATAAAACCAAGGAAACGTCGCGTGCAGTTTGTGAGTTCACCCAGCGAAGAGCGTAACACTTTGGCCTCCACAAATGCCAAAGAAGCCCTATCAGTTCTAAACGGGGTTGTGAGATACCGACTCACCCGCGATGAAACCGGCCAAGCTGTGATAGCCGCGAAATGGGTGTCTTCACGAATCGCCAACAGTGGCCAAACAGGCACAGGCCATGCTGTCAGGCAAGCACCCAGTACTTCTGTTGATAAGTGCGAGGCCGGATTTGAAGGAGAGTGGACCATAGAGTATTTTGGGCCAGATGGTCAGCTTGCAGTGACTCCATTTCTCCTCAAACTCACGAAGAATGGTCAGGTAAGAAGGCAAACTTTGTCCCCAACTCATCAGCTTTACATATCTCCTTGGCGACAGCACGCGAAGCAAGATCATTAACCGTGTTTCAAGCTTTATCATGGAAAGTGGAGTCTTCCTCATGGTGATCCCGTCTTAGAAGGATTTGGTTTTGAGGAAGCAGGGCACCTGATAATGCGGTATGGCAACATGTAGTTTGTTTATGCCAATCCTCGTTCTGCGTAAAGTTGACGAAGTCTTCAAGGTTGGATTTTCTGATATACCCAGATCAATCTTCTCATACGGTGCAGGTTCAACAGGTTTCCACACTCGGGGGGAAGAATTAGATTAGGCTAGCTGAATAATATTACCCGACCGTGAAAAAGCACGTGTTTGCTGTGCCAAAGGGGTGTGCTACAGACTATGGCCTGACGTTTCACGCATCATTCTTTGTGTTCGAGAATATACGCGGAAAGTCCTCTCTCGATAGACTGGACGTAAACTCTCGTATTAAAAGATGCAGAATGATATTCGTGCAAGAGGTAGTGGTTACTCCGCTATCGACTCTACTGTCTTGTTTCACCAACGTTCTCCCTACTCTGCTTAGGTAGAGCAGGTGGTAAGAATGAGTTCAATTCAATCGACAGCGGCAAGAGACATAGTGAAGAAAACTAAGTTATTGATCTGAAGCCTTGACCTGCAAACGATGGGAAGTCCTCAACAAGATGTCCTGAAGCTCGTTGAACAGATCACCCTCATCATAGTCATCCTTTCCAATGTCAAAATAGCCCGATGAGGCAATTTCACGAGGTACAATAGCAAAAGACCGACCTACCAATGTAAGTACATTGGATATTTGTCCAGTGAGTTGAGAGGTAAATCCAGCACGCACCGTTGATGTTTGGGTTAGAGGCAATCCTCAACCACGCCGCGGCCGCATCAGCCGACTCGGCGAAAACAATGTTCTTACTCTTGCAGTATTCTTGGACTGCTGGGCTCAAGATCGTAGTCCCAACGTACCTGTAAACCTTAGCACTCAGGAGTTTCTACTATTGACACTGTCTGCTCACCAGGGACCCGTCAGATTTATTCGAACACCGTCGACAATCGTTGTTCTCCGGACGCATCTCATGAGGGCACGGCACCCCCACTTTGAAGCCATATACTGGGGGATCCCGGGAACATCCAAAAATCCCACTAGACTGCCATTCATGATGAAGCACCGATCGTGGTGGGCATCAAGGGGGTGCTTCATAAAATAATGTCGTGCTAGCTTCAATGTGTAGATGACTCCAATCAGATCGATATGGAGAATCTTCAGTAGGGGCTTCGACGGTTCATCCGAGTCTATCGCGGAAGTAATGACCTCATTGAGCACATGTTCATCTGTGGTGTCTGCGATTAAAGGACGAACAAGAGTTCCACACACCTTCAATGTTAAAAGCCTCATCTGGTCCACTGATCCCAGCATTCGCTACAACAATATCAATAGCCTTCTTTGATGAACCGGCTTCAGCACTCTTGAACATGGCTAGTTGATCCTCCCACGATGTGACGTCACATCTAACAAAATTGGCATTGCTGGTAATAAAAGGTTACAAATCTGCATCTGCCTGACCATATTGACAGGGGGAAGACACTCACACGCCAAGTTCCCTTGCGAGTTTCTCTCCACTGACTGTGTCAGTATCGCCGAAGGTCACGAAAGCCCTGGAGTCGAAGATGTTAGGATGCGAACTCGAGTAAAAATGATCAAGATAATGCTATACTACCCAGCGGCAACAAATGCTCTGACTCCATCTTCACCCATGCCCTTCGCGCCTTGGAATAGTTGTCAATATTCTTATCACAAGTGAAATAGAGAATTGCCACTTACCTCCAGTCACGATAACTGTCCTTCCTTTAACATTTGCCAGATCCACATCCGAGTTGCAGTCAACGACTCCGGGGCTATAAGCTTGAAATGACATCTTCAGAAGGTGATGGTGTGTTGCTGTGGGAGTTTGTTAGTGTAGACTTCTAAATTGGGGACACGAGCCGTTTCCTGCCGCCTTGCCCAAGCGAACGCATTTGTGCTTTTTAACCAAAATTCGGGTGGCATATAAGGGTGACTCTCGGCACCGTTTGTTATGTCCGGATATATATCGGTGCCGGGGGCTGTCGGCGCCGCAATATCATCTGCTATCGTATACTTCGCTTGCCACTGCTATGGTATACCAACAGACCAAGCCACCATAAGCGTCTCCCTCGGCTGTGAGAATGTGGTGAGGGGTATAATTATATTGGACGTGGACCTCACGCCCGTCCTTTGGCTTTCAAACGTACCCACATGAGAGGTGGCACAATCAGTTGAAATACTAGGGTCCTTTTCATCATGGGCGTTCCGACTCCGGGTCTAAGCATCCCAGACTCAAGATCCACGGTTTCTGTATCGGTCATTGACTCAACCTCCAAAATTATCGCCAAGACCGGCATTGTTGTCCAGCCACATATTCAAGGGCACGATGAGTTCAACTGCCCATGCTACTCATTCCTAATTACCCATCCGGCAAGTGGAAGAAAGGTTCTCTTCGATCTTGGTATCCGCAAGGATCCTGAGAACTTCGCACCAAGAACACGGTCGTTTGCGAGTGCTATGACGATAATATCCGAACGCAATGTCGCCGACATACTAGGCAAAAACGCCTCCACAATTACGGATATCATCTGGTCGCATCACCATTTCGACCACATAGGAGACCCATCGCAGTTCCCACCCTCCACTAAGCTAGTGGTTGGGCAAGGTTTCAAGGACGAGTTCTTTCCGGGTTACCCTGCCCGCGAGGATTCATGGATTCTTGAGAGCGACTATGCCGGGCGCGAAGTGCAGGAGATTGACTTCAATGCAAGTGATCTGAAGCTGGGACAGTACAGTGCATTCGACTATTTTGGAGACGGGTCCTTTTATCTCCTCGACTGCCCGGGACATACTGTCGCTCACATGATGGGCTTGGCTCGTACACGTCCGACAAGCTTTGTGCTCATGGCAGCTGACTGCTGCCACCACGGCGGGGAGATTCGCCCTACACAATTTGTTCCCTTGCCAGAAAGCATTGACTTCAACTCCCCACGGGACCTCACAAGGGGTGCTCGCCGTGCACCGTGCCCAGGGCAACTGTTTGTCGATGTGCACCCGAAAAGATCGAGGACTGAGCCTTTTTATGAGTTGATCAATCCTCGTGATCTGGATACCGTCCGGGAGGCTACGAGAAGTCAGCGAAAGCTCGATGAATTTGACGCCAACGACGATGTGTTTGTCCTCAGTGCTCATGACTCGGATGCTGCTGAAGTCATTGACCTGTATCCTGCAACAATCGACGACTGGAAAGATCCAGGAAAAGACTGGAAAAAGAAGCTGCACTGGTTATTCCTGCGAGACTTTCAAGTAGAGTGAACATGCCAGTTCAGATTTATTAAGCGTGCTCTACTAAAATGGCACTTCTTGGCCATCTGCTTGTTTACCTTGTTAATGGATAATTTTCATACGGGGTCCATCGCCATGTAGCATTGAGAGGGTAAAATCAGAAGCGAGATGCATAAGGGAATATATCCGTTAATACGCTGCCGATAAAGCTGTGGTCTGGGAAGTTACTGTGCTGTAGTTCCCCAGATTATTAACCCGCCTTATATTTTGACGAGCTGTTGCCGCATTAGTAGATGAGTGACCGCTAGACTGATGTTCCTTTATCACATCCTGGTACCTCTTGATATTCCAGGACCTGCTATTCGCCTTGGGTGAAATATCCTGGAATATCGCAGTACCTACCATTAACATCTGCTGTCTACGAAGCCCGGCACAGCCTGCTGGTGCAGACTACGATGGCCCGGTGCGGGGTGCCGAGAGCTTCTGTGGGTGAAACCGTCGGCGCCGAACCGAAACCCCGCCTTGATATCCTAGGCAACCCGGCAACTCGGTATGTATTGAGTGCCAATTGGACTCAATTCCCGCCTCGCTCTCAATAATCTATAATAGTACATAGCTGGGGAACTTCTGGATCTCGATGCTTTGTTAGCGCTGTACATGTAGTTTGCATTGTGTTTTCCGCCCCGCTCGGTCCCCGCTATTGATGGCTACTCCTCCGTTCGGCTCCGCGTTTGGCCAATCCCCTGTTGAAGTGCCCGATTCCTGCAGTATCGAGGACTTCATTTTCGACGAGAAGTATGGAAGGCACTGTATTCAAAAGTCGTTAAGTCCCTTCACTTGCGGCATTACTGGCAAGTCTCGGACGATATCTGAGGTCAGGCACTTCGTATCGGACCTAGCCAAAGGTTTGGCAAAGAGGCTTGGATGGGTTGTGCCGCCAGAGAACCAATGGGAAAGGGTCGCAAGCATGTTTTCTCAAAATTCTGTAAGCTTCGAAGTCGAATTGGTGGAGCGGGAAGACGTCTAACATGGCACCAGATCGATACCCTGCCGGTTATCTGGGCCGTTCATCGGCTTTGCGGAGTCATAAGTCCCATCAACACTGCCTTGTCCGCGACAGAGTTGGCGGAGCAGCTACTCCGATCAAAATCGAAAGTTGTCTTCACCAGCAGATCCTTTCTACAAACAGCCATTAAGGCATGCCGTGTGGCCAAGATTCCCGACAGCAATGTTATGCTTATTGCGCCCGCGGGGGCTGCGAAAACCGACATGTCAAATCATTTTGATAGTATCGAGGACATCCTGAATGCTGGGAGAAACGCACAGAGTTTGACTTCAGAGAGTTTGATGGATCGTGGAAATCAGAATCACATTGCTTTCTTATGCTTCTCTAGTGGAACAACTGGCCTTCCGGTAAGCTAACGGGTCCTTTCTACAGTTTATTTGAATGATTCTTATTGTACTGATCTTACGGCTGCTAGAAAGGGGTCATGATCTCCCACCAGAGTATTATTGCCAATATTATACAAGCTTGCCGAGTCAAACGAGCAGATAATAGTGGTCCGAGGCGAAGATGCCTGTGTGTCCTTCCTCAGAGTCATGTCTACTCCCTTGTCTTGACTTGCCAGGCGGAGATCTACATGGGCTCTGAAGTCGTCGTCCTGCCTTCCTTCAAGTTACCCCAGCTGCTGTCCGCAATCAAAAGATTCAAACTTAGAAATCTGTATCTGGTCAGTTAAGCACACACTGATTTTGGAGACTCTTATGCTAACTCCTTGAGTAGGTTCCGACGATCATGGTTAATATCCTATCCAATCTTGACCTGGTCGAGAAGTACGACTTAATGAGCTCTACCGCAGATATATACATAGGAGCTGCACCTCTGGGTCCAGAGATTCTCAATAAAGTAGAGGAACTGTTTCCTAACTGGAAGATACTCCAAGGTTATGGTAAGTGTTCTTGTCTACTCTTTGCTAAATCAGGCATCCGTTCGAGAAAAACATCTGACAACTTGTTGAACGTAGGTTTAACCGAGGCTGGTCCTGTTGTTAGTCTCACCCCGAAGAACGATATCTGGATAGGCTCATCGGGGATACCATTGGATGGTGTCCAATGCCGTTTGATATCTGAGGACGGGCAGGATATCGATGACTGGAGTCGACCCGGAGAACTGCTACTCAAATCGCCCGCTCTTGCTCTTGGCTACCTGGAAAATGAGCAAGCTACACAGCAAACTTTCATAGACGGCTGGCTGCACACTGGAGATGTCGCAGTAATCAAACAAAGTCGCAGGGGCAATTATCATATCTTCATTGTGGACCGGCTGAAAGACTTGCTGAAGGTGAAGGTACACCTGTCAATTCTAATAGGCTAACATGCCCATAAACTCATCTCCGAGTATGTCTTACTGACTTTGATGACAGGGCATACAAGTTTCCCCAACCGAACTTGAAGCGCATATCCTTTTACATCCAGGCGTTGCAGAAGCGGTCGTCATTGGTGTGGAGGACGCAAGATACGGCGAGGTACCTATGGCCTTTGTAGTGCCCACAGTAACAAATACTCCCGGGAGCTTGCCCTCTCTTGCCTCTTCTATCAAACTACACGTGGAGAAACACAAGGCCAACTATAAATGGCTTCGAGGAGGAGTTACATTTCTTGATACTCTACCAAAAACCTCCAGTGGAAAGGCGAATCGACGAGCCTTGCGAGACGGTGAGAGAAACAGGTCGAAGAATGCATCTAGCTCTCACCTATGATTCTGTGCGAGACGAGGTTGAGATCGGGACGGTCCATAGCTCATGTTGTAGAAGGATTATATAGCCTGTAAATTTTAGAAGTCGTTCCTTGGCTGTGCTTTTATTAATCACTCCGTGTGTTTGAAGCTTCGTGGCTCGGATGGCAGCTTGACTAGAGAAGGGCGTCCTCTTGAACATGTTATTAATATAGATCCTCCAGCCAAGGCACTGAGATGTAGGGAAGGTATTGATCCTAGCCTCTTGATTCTTTTAAGAAGAATTATTACAGAAAGCGATTTTAGCTTTAGTCTGAGATATATATATTTGAGAGCATTTACAATTTAATACTTGTTGATAAAATGCATAATTAGCTCCCGTGCCTCTGCTCCCTCTGGGTTTCGCAGAAGTGCATATACATGTATCATATCAGCCTTCTCGATAAACGTGAGCTTCTCATTATGAAAACTTCCAGGCACAGGCTCTTCTGTGCCCTTGCCTTGGAACTTGCCGCTTAACCGCCGCGCGTCCGCGCACAGCATATCACTCGTCCCGCTCGTCATGATGATGGGGGGCAAGTTGTCAGTATCGCCGTACAGAGGGCTTACTATTGGGTCATTCATAGGGAGCCCATCTGCTAGCATCGGCATGAGCACCTCTAGCCCCTCAATCCCAAGCCACGGGTCGTCCTTCTCCAAACGCACAACCTCCGGATGGCTGAGCGAGCAGTCGAGGACTGGTGAGATAAGGACAAGGCATCGCAAGCGTGCCGCTAGCTCGGGTGCTGTTTTCTGAAGCTGTTGCGCCATAGCGATGGATAGCATGCCACCAGCGGAGTCGCCACCGATGCAGACGATAGGCTGCTCGGACTTGCGGCAGATCTCGATAAGTCCCTTGTTGATCTGTGCGGCGCTGGAGACTGGTCGAGGAAGGAGCGGGTAAATTGGAACCAAGACGTCAAGGTTGGTTTCACATGCTACCTGGGCGATGAATTGCCAGTGCAGTGAGGCAATGTCATGGAAGAAGGAGCCGCCATGGATGTAGACCATAGCATCGCGCTTTTGGTCATTACGCTGATTTGATGATGACCCTCGACCTACCGCTGACACGCGGTAGAGAGGCCAGGCATTCAAGTCGACACGATCGATAAAGATGTTGTTTCCGAGGTTCGTGGGCGGGCTGAAGCTTTGCGGGCGGATGTAGAGACTGTGTAGGGCCTTTCGCATGGCGGTAGCATTGGACATAACAGTCTTGGACCGGAGAATCCATTTGATGTAAAACCGGAAGGCCCAGGCAAAAAAGGACGGCATTTTGGCGATATTGGGTGAAGCTAGGTTTGAGTTGACTGCAACAATGAAGATGAGCAATTGGTATTTAGCACGGTTCGAAGACAACTTATATATAAGCATCTTTTCCCATTATTGTAGTAGGCATTTGGGTTCCGGCAAGCTGTCGGTACATAGCATCATGATTGGTTGAATGTCCGGTTCAGCTGGCTTGGTCCTCGTAGTTTGGCTCTGGAGAGAAAAGTGGAATGCTGTAAACTCTATTTTCTCTGGGTTACGATTTGTGAGCCGAGGCAACCCCACCACCACCACCTTTCGCGCCTTGGCCGTTCAAGCCACCTACGTGACTAGCTCTCGCTGCTAGTGTTTCGGGGCGTCCTTGCAGTACTTACTCGTTGCAGGACGCCCAGCCTTTTAGTAAAAGATCGATTCATCTGCCCCTGAGATGCTCGCCATTGCGAAGGGATGGTTCTGAAATGGAGGTGCCTTGGCGTGTCGGTAGTGCCGGATGTTACATGGTAGATGGTTGCTCATGGCTGCGGAACAAGGCATACTCGTGCCTTGACATTGCAACTGGGATCCTTCTTCGCACCATGACATCTGCAGTCGTCAGCATGCAAAATGACTCCCACATAGACAGCACTGCACACGGAGAGATCCGTTGTGATCCTCGGAGATGGTGTACCAGCCTCCCATAGACTACCACACGCCCATAATGAGCTTCGGGGCGATATCCAACTATTCGAAGACCTGTACATTGCTGTTAAGGATGATTGGTTGGTACTGTGGCACTCCGACGAGTTCCTGCTTAAGCTTAAGATCAACCGTTTCCCCGAACTCGACTCGCTCCATCCCTATAATTCCATGCTTGCCACCAATTTCTCATCGTACAAGTGGGCGGGAATCGGACGGCACACTTACCCATCTCCTTTTCGAGTTCCTACCTGTGTCAGAGGTTGTGAGAGGCGGTCAGTTTCCAAAGTTTTTCGCGGATGGAATCGACAAGCCGTACACATCTTGGATCGCTCGCTTCAGGAGGTCATCAAGCATAAGACCCTGAGGATCTTCACTGAATGCGTTTCGATGCCTCAGGAAACCGGTGGTCCCTAGTATGCTGTGACGATATAGAATGGTGTTGGATCTTGCGAGGGCATGCGTGGCGATGCTCCCTCCGGATACCCATACCAGTCACTTTGACTGTCTTACTGAGAGTGGTTAGCCTTCCCGCTGTCGTCTTGATTAAATGCAACTTCCAGAAGTGTCAGGTTTCCAAGTGGAAGACTGCCCATTGCACGAGAAATAGGTTTGAAAGAGCAAAGTCGGCAAAAGCTCGTCAAGAACGGCTCGTAACTCTATGCAACAAGTGTCTTTGCTCTTGATATCGGCGCCTGAAACTGGACTTCTGAGTGCCGGCAGCTTCATTAACGCTTGGAAAAGCAGTCGTACCCGACGGCATCAATGTTGACCACAAAGCCGAATATACATTCTGGACTTCTATAAGCATACTCAAACACTCGGACAAGCAGGTCCACTAATCTCTAATCTTTATCCAGGTCCTATGGTCCTTGCCCCAAATCGTCAACACACCGGATCAACTCACTGTTGAGGCACAATCATACCACGCGATAGAGATGCATGTCGGTCACGCGGTTCAAATAGGACGACCGAAGTATGAAACTCCTTTTGAGGAATGGTGACCTGAAAAGGGAGGGTCAGGCTAAACATTGCCGTTATCATTTTAACAGAGAGAGCGCGTCCAGTTATACAAACCATAAAGGTGGCCATCCAAGACTAGTCAAGGCCGGATCTTCTGCGCCAATATTGTAACCACGTCGTTTTCAACTAGCAATTGCTCAAGAGATCACATCAAGGCTATGAAGGATGAATTTGCTGAACAAACTGACGTTTCCAGATCGAGACCAAGACGGGCAGGATATACTAGACGGATCGTGGATGGCTCCTGTTTGACAGCAGTCATTTGCCCCAAGCTTAGTTCAGCAAACGGGCCTGACTGCGAAAAAGATGAATGCCGCTGGAGCTGGAGCTGGGGTCTGACTTTTGGCGTCATCATGCACCACTCCAACGAGGCGGTTGGCCTTAAGTTGTAGAGGGTCACAGGTACGTATCAAATCTGAGCGGGAGACTACAGGTGTAATATGAATATGGAAAGGAGGTGGTTTCGCGTCTCGGTACGTTTGTTTTTGCTCGCGTTACTGTAATCTAGCCATGCAAAGACAAGATAAATAACTCGTCCCCTACTGGCCGATATAGTTCATTATGTCGGGTTGCAATAAAGCTTGAATATGTTTCGGACTAACTGTCCGCGCTCATGAATAGAGTCAGCAGAAATATTCTTTTCATATCAGGTACTTCTCCATGCAGCAGATCGGATTTTATCACTTCATTACCTCCCCTCCTTTAAAGTATGTTCCAGCAATTGTCTTGCCTGGGCTTCCGTTCGTCACAGATAAGGGAATAGGGAATTCGCAAGCGGTGCTACCCTGACTACCAACATCTCGACTTGACAGCTGTGGGGTTCCTCGCAGATTCCCGGCAGGTTGTCTCCTGGTTGGGTTCAATCCGGAGAAGAGGTTGGCCGCCAAGGTGAGCTTCAGAGCTCAGAGCGACTACCATAAGTCGGCGTTTGGCTGTGAGAAGCCCCCGAGACTGGGTATCATGTCAAGGGTCTTTCATCGGCCAAACATGCCTCTTTGGGCGACATGCATGCCTGACAAAACGCGATTCCAACCAACACTCATCGGAAGCGTACAGGATTGGTCGACTCGGGGGGGAGGGGGGCCTATTGGCGAACATCAGACTTACGCATGTTAATGAACAAAAAGCCGGAGAGCGGAAACTTTCCAGACCTTGTCTAGGATTTGCTGGCATTGCATGTTGGTGGAGGTGAACCCACTCAAATCCATGCAACCTTGCACGGGTTTGATTCGTACATATTTGTCCTCTTACCCCTCAGAAAGGCCGCCCACCTTGTGCTTGCTCTCTCCTTCTATCTCCTTTTCACCCTGACTCGCTGCACACATCGAAGAACATGACAGAGCAACAGCCTTCATCATCCCAGCTAGCCGACTCCGTCCCAGTTGCTGCACCGGCTTCACCGGCTGCACAGGCGGGTGAGGGCGAACTCCAGCCGCCCCAGCATTGGTCAGAACAGCCCTTGGAGGTGGGTTACATGCCTCCTAGAGCGGTCCGGCTGCAGGCCACTTCATCCCCGGCCTATCCAGTACCACAATTCCTGCACGAGACTTTCGTTAACCGATAATACCACAGGACGATGGCGACTCAGCGCTCGGCGATGATGCAGCCAGCTCGACGGCATCTATAGCGTCCAGTATCTTGGAATACCGAACCGTCAACGGACGGACATATCATAGCGACCGAGGTTCCCACCAGTACTGGTAGGTGCTCCCGGGGCTTGGAGGATCAATCGGGGTGAAAACGAAAAGGCTGAGCCATGCTGCAGGGGTGCGAATGATGACAGACAGAACGAGACGTTGGATATTCAGTAAGACTGGGCACTAGACTACGGCATTGAGCAACGCTGATATAGTGGCGAAAGACATCACGTCTTCACGCTTGCGCAGGACGGAAAGCTTTGCTACGCTCCGTTGAAACCTGATATACAGGTATATCGTATCATTTGATCTCTCTGAAACTGGATGAGGACTAACTCCCATGCCAGAAAGCTGTCGACATTGGCACGGGAACAGGCATCTGGGCCATGTAAGCTTTTCAAGACGTCATTGGCAAATCGGATACCATGCTGAATATGTTGTGTACACAGTGACTTTGGTGACGAATACCCAAATTGTGAGGTCATTGGTACCGACCTCTCGCCCATTCAACCGGGCTGGGTTCCGCCCAATGTGCATTTGTAGGTTCCGCCGGTTATCAGGGCCTCCGTTCGTGCTAGCAGATCCTGACTAACTTGTCCGCACCAACTCCACAGCCAGATTGACGATTTTACACAGGAGTGGACATTCGCAGACAATTCGCTCGACTATGTGCACTTCCGGTGGCTGGTTGGCACCGTGACGGACTGGGCGGCACTCTTCAAGCAGGCGTACAAAGCACTCAAGCCGGGCGGCTGGATCGAGTCCTTTGAATGCAACGGCTACTTTGAGTCGGAAGACGACACCGTCACCGACAAGACGGCCGCGGCACAGTGGGGCTATATATTCCGCGAGGGCTCCAAGAAGATGGGGTCGACGGCTTCGTTCACCGTCGTTCGCGACGGGCTACAGAAGAAAGCACTGGAGGAAGCAGGTTTCACTAACATCCAGCAACAGCCTCTCCGAGTCAGTCCACTATCCTTTATCTATCCTTATCCTTTCCTGTGAATCGCCTTCAAGTCTAAGGCGGTATGTATCGCTGACTAACATGGCTTCCAGTTCCCGATCTCGGATTGGGCGACCGACCCGAAGCTTAAGCAGATTGGCCAGTACACAAGGGCTGCACTCGAAAATGATATCGAGGGTACAATGGGGTTCATGGCCAACCAATTGGGCTGGTCGCCGGAGGAGGTCACGGTCTACGCTGCTCATCTCAGGAAAGAGGTGCGCCAGCGCAAGGTACATGCCCTTTACCGTGCTAACGTAGCTTGGGCACAGAAGCCTGAGACCTCTGAGTAAGATCACACTTGGCATGTTAACCCTATTGTCATCTCCGGACTCGTTTCGAAGGTTTGACTATCTTTATGCAAACCCCGAGCTTGTGTTAGATAATGTCTTTACACCCAGGCCGAGAGTTGCCGGGTTTGGCCCTATACTAGAACTTCTTATGCATTGCATTTGAAGCTTTTATCTCTTTATGAACCTAACCAGTTGTTACCTGCCCCTCATTGCTTTGCCTCAGCTTACCCATCTTGTGAGCCCGAGGCGGACTCTGATGAGTCCGAAGGATACACACCTGCCCCTCATTGCTTTGCCTCAGCTTACCCATCTTGTGAGCCCGAGGCGGACTCTGATGAGTCCGAAGGATACACACCTGCCCTCAGTTCCTGGCAGAGGCAGTCTTTCATCTCGGGTGGCTTTATTCGTGAGGATGACTATCAGCGCGAGGTCAAGCTATTTGCAAGGAGCGATACCAGGCAAGGCAACAAGGTATTCTGGTGGGATGCTTACATCGTCACATCTCTACATATGTGAGAATGTTCCTGTCCCGTTCATTTGGAGGGTAGTGCTCGGGTATGTTGAAGCTAGAGGCGTTGAACCCGAAACGGACGGGATCGTTAAGACTAGCCTCATGACGTTCCCTGATACGGCACTCCTGTTGTCCCTGCCACTGTTGCTACCTACTCTGCATTGACAGTGGCGCGTGCAATGATATCGGGTAGCACCGATACCAATGCGGGGTTGATACAACTGAGGGGGCGGGGTCGCTCAACAGGAAGCCATGCAAATTACTCTGGACCCCAGATGCAGCTGTGCCCACTGCGGTTGCGGGAATTTCCCAAGTCCAAAGCATTGGGCACAGGCAGGCAGTGAATGAGGCATATAGCTGATAAACAGGTCTAGAATTTGGTAACAGTACCGTACGAAGTATGCTGAGAAGAGAATTGAGGGGTTCTGGATGCGGTTGGCCACTAACAGGGCCATGACGAAGTAGGCTCAATAAAAACCAGGACCGGGATGCCATGACAATTCTCGTGCATCCCCTCCACGGCTCATACTATGGTGATGCGCTGCACCATAGAAAGCTTAAAATCCTCCATACTCATCGTTTCCCCAAACATGAAACCGTCAAGAAAAACTTCGCCCTTCACCTTAAAATATGCCGGCCTCCCTGACTGTGGGGAGAGAAGAACAGGCACACTGCAGCCACCAATGAGCCAAATCTAGTCACTCATACAACTTTGCTCTTGAGCAAGCCTAATATAGCCCTTTTTAGTGACGAACGGCTTCTAGGATATTAGACATCTCATTCTTATAAGTGTCTTTTGCCTATCTATAATTCTTATGTTCTTAGGTCTAAGCCTATACTCTACTAGCTGCCTTTCTAAATTTAAGTCACTATACTAACAGTAGAATATATCAGGAATATTAATTAGTATAGGTATTAGATCTAGATAGATACTAAGAAGGGTTATAGTATAGGTAAAGGTCTTAGCTAAGTGCCTTTTATCTTTATATAGTATAGACTATTCAGCTTTTATAATCTAGAAATTAAAATACTATTAAAATAGTCTTGAATTTATATCTAATAACTTAGAATACTACTTAGAGGAATAGAAGTTATTAAGACTTAGTATCTATAATGATTCTTAATCATAAGAGGTAAGACTACTTTATAAGACCGGAGGTGTATAGGTTTATATAAGTAGTAGGTAATAGGTGCTGCTAAGTATTAGTAGTTAATTATAGCTAAGATAGCTTTACTTAAAGGTCCTTTATTAAATAAGATACTTTAAATACTAGAGAGCTATCTAGAGTAGATATCTAAGGATAGATATATATCTATATATATAGATAATAGATTATAATAGATTATAGAGTGATTCTTAATAAGTCTGATAGTAATCTATACCTAGATTATAATATAATCTATTATAATCTCTTATAATAGATCATTATACTCTAGAGTAATCTAACAGTCTATATATTTCTGCCTATCTTATTATACTAATCACTCTTAAGATAGTGTCCTATAGTAATAGTAGTTGATTCTATAATATAATATCTCTCTTCTAGATTGACATCCTAATAACCTAAGGCTATTCTTAAGACCTATTTATCTAGAACTAAAACTTCTATTATAGATATTAAACTCTCCTCTTAATTCTTCTAGTATTCTTCTAATAATATATTCTTAGGCTGTATTAAGAAGCAGAAGTCTAAGAAAATAATTTAGTATATATCTCTAGTCACTTTAATTAAATTATATAATATAGAAGTAAAAGAGTATTCTTTTTATATCTATTATAAGTTAAAGTATATTATAATAAAAGAGAATTTATAATATAATTATTATATTTATTATAGTCAGTCTTATAATAATATACCTTTAGGTCCTTCTAGTAAGTTGTCTAGAATAGTTTATCTTTTTCCTATTTATACTAATCCTTTCTCTTAGCTTTCTGGCTTCTTTTAGAAAAACAGCACCTTAAGACTATAAAGAAAATTACTAAAGCTAAGTTATTAGAAGTATAGTACTTACTTAATAAGAAGCTAGTCTATTTAATATGACTTTATATATAGAAAGAGTCCTTAATAAGTTATAGAAAAGAGATAGTCTATTAAGATTTAGAAGATCTAGATGCTTTAGATAAAGTGAAATATTAAGAGTCTAATATAGTACTAAAGATATAGTCTAATAATAGTTTTAATATAATTAATTAAGATACTATTAGTAATACTATAATATATCTCTTAAGATTAGAAACTTTTAATAAATTAGACTAAAATAGTATAAAGAATAGTTAAGTTTACTTAAATAAATTAAAATCTATATAAACTTTACTTAATAGGTTAAAGAAAAGTATTTTCTCTAAATATTTATATTATATCTTTTAGTTGTCTTACTTAATTAAAAGATCTTTCTATAACGATCCTTAATCCTAAGAGGTAAGACTACTTTATAGGACTAGAGGTATGTGGGTTTATGTAAGCAGTAAGTGATAGGCGCTACTAAGCACTAATAGTTGATTATAGCTAAGATAGCTTTACTTAAAGGTACTTTATTAAATAAGATACTTTAAATACTAGAGAGCTATCTAGGGTAGGTATCTAAGAGTAGACATATATCTATATATATAGATAATAGATTATAATAGATCACTATAATCTATAGTAACTAGATTACTTACAATCACTTATCCTATAGTAATTATATGGTCTATATGTTTCTGCCTATCTTATTATGCTAACTGCTCTTAAAGTAGTGCCCTATAGTAATAGTGGTTAATTCTATAATATAATATCCTCCTCCTAGATTAATATTCTGATAACCTAAGGCTATTCTTAAGACCTATCTACCTAGACTGAAACTTCTATTATAGGTGTTAAACTCTTCTCTTAATTCTTTTAGCATCCTTCTGACAATATATCCTTAGGTTGCATTAAGAAACAGAAACTTTCTGATTCTTCTAAGAAATATAAGGCTCTTACTTATATAATTAAAGATTATAGTTATAAAGTTATGCTCTATTTCTAGTGCTTTAATTATTCTCTGCCTTACTAAATAATAGAAGAGATAAAGAGGTATATTAAGTATATTAGAAGAGGTTGGTTATATAATAGTACTAATATTCTAGTAGGATCTTATTAATAACTACTTTTTCTATTATCTCTCTATTATATTAGCTGACTTTTCTGTCTAGTATCTTAGGTTTTAGCTAAATAGAAAAGACTAGAATAGTAAGAGGAAGTAGATAAGGAAATAATTAAGTCTATCTTTAAGTATTAGCAAGCCCTTTAGAAGGAGTTTGATAAAGCCTCTGCCTGCCTTTCTTATATTTATAAATAAAAATACAACGCCTATAAGTATTTATAAAAGATAGTGGCCTGAGGTTTATAAAATCTAGGTAAACTAGAGGAAATAGAGTGAAAGAAGTCTGAAGCTGCTATATAGAAATCTTTTATAGTTCTAGAGGTGCAGGCTAATAATAGTTTTAATGTAATTGACTGAAGTACTATTAGTTTAGGTGGTAGTTAGTTATTGACTAGTCTTAACTTTACTAGTAGAATTGCTAAAGCTTCTATTAGTAATATATTAGGTTTCTAATAGGTTCCTAAGTATTTTCTATAGTATTATAGCCTTTTTACTTAACTAGATATTTTCTGTTTAATACCCTCTACTTAAGTATCTACTTAACTTTATATTCCTCTTTCTCTACTTCTACTTCTACTGGTTTCTTTAGCCATACTTCTAGAGGGGCTGGTTCTAGTAGGAAAATATAAAAAACTAGATAGATTTATATTGTCTTTAATAATAATAGTCTGTAGTTAGATATTAAAATTTTCTATTTAATCTTAAATAGTCCTAGTTTTTTATAATCTAGTTTATTACTAGATCGTTTTATTATAATGTTTTTTTATAGTAGATAGATTATATCTTCCTCTAAAAAGGATAGTCCCTTCATCCTTTTTCTATTATAGTAATAGCAGACTTATTCTTAGATAAACTTAAGTTCTATTTTTAAGAATATATATAGCTTCTTAAGATATTCTACCTTAAGAATAATAGAGTCTATATTAATCTTATCTTATAATTATTAGTATACTTTTAGGTTTTAGCTATAGTTAATAAAGAATAGTAAAACCTTTATTATTTTAATAGAGGTGCTATTATATATAAACTATATAAGTAGTAATAGCTCTATCTAATTATCTTAATTATAGTTGATATAGTTATATAGATATACTTTTAATATCTAATTTAGATATTCTATCTATCTATTAGTTTATAGGTAGTAGGCTATAGACAGTTTTTTATTAGCTTTAAGTTATTCTATTAAGGATATATAGAATTTTAATATATATATTAGTTCTTAATCTATAATAATCTTATATAGTATCCTATAGTTAGCTACTACTATTTTGTTACAGAATCAGCCGCCGCTACCGCGGGACACTGCCCCAAGGGCGGTCAGCACGATAAGATAGGCAGAAACGCACGGACCGCTGGATCACCCTGGAGTACGGTGATCCATCGTGAGGGATCACGA